AGGTTCCTGGCAAGGAGGCAGAACAATTCAGATGCCAGGAGCTGGTCCGGTGGTTCTATTTCATTCAATTTTGGGTGATCTGCCTGTCAATTGCGGCATAGTTACACAAGACAGGAAATTACTGCTGTAAATTCCAAGACGTGGACTTTCTTTAATGTGGTGTGTAGTCTTTCGGAGTTTCTAGCTCTGGTGTCTGGCTCCCGTATAGTTTCGTTTTGCTTCTGCACGATAGAAAATTATATTGAGGTTGTCTCCATTGCCCCTGCACAAGATCGAGGATGCCCAAATCTCGCAAACTACCTAAAATAAAATGAAAGAGAACATATCAAAGATACAAATATGTGTACACCATGGAGAACGACCCGTGCTCAGAGATTCGACCTGTTGGATCCTGATCAGGCACCCTTGAAATCCTCCGGGCGATCCCCAATACCATCAAGACCACCGACTTCTTGGGTATCACGGCTCGTCGATAAACCCAGAGACTGGCTCATGCCTTCAAATATCACGTCCGGACCAACAAAAGTCTTGCGCTTCCCGAGGAACCAGCTTAATCCAATGAACAAAAGCACACCGACAGCGATGACACTCAAATAGTTCATGTTTTGAGCAGTCACGGGAAGGAAGGTTGGGAAACAGAACCACACCGTATACATAGCAATCCAGATGCTAGAGAAAATGTTGCAGAATAGCCCCAGTGACTTTCCCAGTGCGAATGGGCGTGGCGGTAAGACTTTATCACGACCCCGAATAGCCAGGATTGCCTGAGGGACTGTATATGTGACATTTAGTCCCAAGATAGAAATCGAGAGAAATGAGTTGAACGCGGTTGTCGACCCGATATAGATAAGCCCATAGAGGATGGCAAAAATGCAGGTCAAAACGGTCGCATTGACAGGCATCTTCAACGTCGGATGGACTTGGCAGAAGAATTTGCTGAAGGGCAAGCCGTTATCTCGGGAAAATGCCCAAACGAGGCGCCCGGATGTAGCATAGCAAGAAATGGTGGCAGAAAGGTACGCCAGCCACAGCCAAACGGTGAAGAAGAGCGCTACACTGTCGTTGCGGATGGCCTGGAAATAAACAGTCAAGTATGGTGTTGGGCTGTTCATGACCTCATCAAGGTCCGAGACGGAGAACATGAATGCGATGGTCCATATCATGACAGTGAAGAGCCCTATAAGCATGGTGAGACCCATGGCTCGCGGGACATTTTTCCTGGGATGCGGCATTTCTGTCATTTAGCGAGTTAGTAAGTGCCTTAACTTTGAACTTTAGAGCTTTAAACCGAGTACTCACCCTCAGAGACGTGAGTGGCGGCGTCAATGGCAATAAAAGAAAACATGCCTTGGCCAACACCGATCATGAAAGCGACACCATTGTTCCAGCCGCTGTTATTGTTCCAGGTCGCAAATACTGTTCGACCGGTCTGCTTGTTGTTGCTTCTGGCCAGGACCGTGATTGTGGATACGACAAACCCGATGCAGGACATGAAGAAGAAAGCTGTCTCTGCCCGAGGTAGTTGTCTAGGGAGTAGAGTAATCAACGACGTAGCGAGTAGTGTCAGGGCAACGTATATGAGGTAAATCTGCCATTGTGTAGCTTCGAAGTCTGGGTGGTACACTGCGGCCATTGCCGCAACGGCTTGTGCACAAAAGATACAAGAACCTGCCGACAGCATCCACCATGAAAAGACACTCAGCCAACCAATGGTGTACGACACTGCGGCTCGGAATCTTGGGGGTGAAACCATGAAGGCGAAGCTAATGGATTGAGTCAGCTAGGAAAATAAACAGCTGAGGAGGGTCTTCGTACTGGTATTGTCCACCTGAAGTCGGATAGGCGCTGGCCAGCTCCGCCAAACCCAAAGTAATGAAGCTGCATACCACAAAACCGACTACCAAGCTGTATATGACACATGGTCCTCCTCCAGCGATCAGAGGGATAACAAAGACAGCTGAGTACGCGATCCAGGAGTTGGTTATGGTAAAGGCAAGGGACAGGGTCGACAAGATGCTGAATTGACGTGGGAGTTCACCCTTGTGACCTTGAGCGCGAAGTTCCAACTCATCGGTCGACAGCTCTGTCGGGCCGTTCGAAGAGTCGAACACCTGAGGCTCGTTTGTGCCTGGAGAGCCCATTCTATCTGCTGTGAGATGAAGGTGCTTGATTGAGTGACTGGTAGAGTTTCTGGTCATAAAGTGACGCACCGCATCCCTCTGTTGTTGGTACCCTCTGAACAACTATATATCAAAGAAATTCTGATACGGATATCGCTAAAGCCATGTCATCCTCCAAAGCCAGACCATCCTCCTGAACCGTTGACCACCTCATCCTGGCAACCTGTATAGACACATTTGTCTGGGGTAGATAAGATACAGTTTGCGAACGCGAGTCCAGACGACACCGACTAGTCTCTAAAGTCTTAGCTTAGGCGAACCGTTATCAGAAGGTGTCTGAGGCCTGCCTCGGCTGGAGGGGCGGGGTCGGAAGTGGCAGCCGCCTAAGAACACCAGGGCTCTTGGACCCTGAGTTACTATCTCGCCAACTGAGAATTGCCAAAGTCTAACGAACCTAACCTCCCGCTCATTTCGAAGCCCGACTAGATATACCAAATTGGGATATTTTGGCCGATGGCCGTGACCCCGTAACATCGTGTTGCCACGGCTTCTTTCAATGGTCTTCGGTTTGAGTAAAGGTTGTCGAGCATGTGCTAAACACGATGCAGGTGTAGTAAGGGACTGTTGGGTGAGGGATAGTCGAGACATAGGGCACATGTGGGCCATGCAACTATATAGAGCTCTCGACTGGCTGTCTGGGCACCAGGGAACCCGAACGCCATGCTTGCGTGACTCTAAAGCCTTCCTACTGGTGAAGAATTGTACTGCTCATCATGGCCGTCAGTGACGAGGTGATTAAACTGGACGCCCTTGTGGTGGGTGCTGGATTTGCGGGGATGTACCAGTTGCACACCCTTCGCGAGCTTGGGTACTCAGTCAAAGTCATCGACAAAGCAGGAGGTGTGGGAGGAACGTGGTACTGGAATCGCTATCCGGGTGCCATGAGTGACAGTGAAAGCTTTGTGTATAGATTTACCTGGGATCGAGAAGACCTGAGAACGTACCCGTGGAGTACCCGATACCTGCATGGGCCAGAGATTCGAAAATATCTCGAACATTTTGCGGATAGACACGACCTACGGAGGGACATTCAGCTCGATACTGAACTATTGAGCGCTAATTGGGATGCTGAACAGAATATCTGGCGAGTTACGACCAGCACCGGCCAAGTATTTGTGGTTCGCTACTTGATCACAGCACTCGGTTTGCTTTCAACGGCCAAAATGCCAAATATCCCCGGCATAGACGAGTTCAAAGGCGAAATTTGTCACACTTCGCGCTGGAACGAAGACTACGACTTGACAAATAAGCGCGTTGGAGTTCTTGGGAATGGATCCACGGGGGTTCAGGTAATCACGGCTATTGCGTCTAAGGTCCAGTCGCTCGTCAGCTTCCAAAGGTCACCCCAGTACAGCATTCCTAGCGGAAATGGACCGGTGACACAAGAATATCGTCAGTGGTTGAATGAAAACTATGACGAGATCATGGATAGTCTCCCCAAAACATCCACATGTTTCGGCTTTACAGAGTCAACCACACCGTACGCATCAGTTCCTTCCGAAAAGCGCGAGGGGGTGTTTCAAAGCCTTTGGGACCAGGGCAATGCTTTCCGGTTTATGTTTGGAGGATTCTCCGACATTTCTTCCGACAAAGAGGCTAACGATGCAGCTTGTCGATTCATCAAGAAGAAAATCGCGGAGACTGTCAGCGATCCGGAAAAGGCTAGAAAATTGATGCCGCAGGAACCATATGCACGACGACCGCTGTGTGATGGAGGCTACTATAAGCAATTCAACCGCCCTAACGTGGACGTGGTCAATCTCAGGGAGACACCAATCGAACGGATAAGTGCCAACGGGGTGCACACCGCAGACGGTCGGTTCTACGAGTTAGATACATTGGTTTTGGCGACAGGTTTTGATGCTGTTGAGGGAAGTTACACAAGAGCACGGTTTCAGGGGAGAGGAGGAGAGACTTTGGCAGACCACTGGAAGAACGGCCCGACAAGCTATCTGGGTAGCTTCGTTCCTGGATTCCCTAATCTCATCATGATCAGTGGGCCTCAAGGGCCCTTCGCAAATGCCCCTCCAAATATCGAAATGCAAGTCAACCTCGCCACGAAGCTGATACAACGAGCAGACAAGTTGCGAAGTACAGGGGCAGCGGCAGTGATAGAAGCGATTTCCGATGCGGAGGCTGATTGGGGTCAACATTGTTACGAAGTCGCAGAGACGACTTTGTTTCCCTCTGTCCCATCATGGATCTTCGCCAGTGTTCGAGGGAGCCAGAAACTTATCCCACGATTCTTCCTTGGAGGAGTTGCGAAGTTCATCGAAATCGTCGATGCTGTGGCTCAAGCTGGGTATGATGGATTTGCTTCTCCTCTAGGGAATGGTCGCAAGGAGGTGTGCAACGGTCCATCGAAGAATGGAAGTCTTGAGAATGGAAGGGTCGAGGTTGCCCTTGCCTAGATGACAGGTCAATGCAAGATATGTATATACCTCGGTCCAGAATTCCGTGACACGGTTTGCTTTGGTACATAGAATGTAGATCTAAGACACCTCGGGATTCAACTTCTCGTGCCTCTACACAAAAATTTGGATTTTCTCGCACATAACGCAGGTGGACGATGGTCCATCTTGCATCTTGCATCTCCGAGTCACTGACAGACACGTGACGGCTTAAAATTCCTTCCCACACCACCAAGCAGCCATGGTCTCTGTCTATCGAATCTATGTGGCAGGTCTGGGAAAAGAGGGGAATGACTTAGGCCGCCACCCAATCATCAATGATAGAAGCAGACGCCACTGAGGGGTTAAACCTCGGGCAGATAAGCAACATAGACACAGACTCTCTCTTTGCCTGGATAAGTCGGTGAAAACACAACAGACACCACACTCGTTGGGTCAGAACATCTTTAACCTCAGAAGGGCACTGCAGTCCGAGTCCTGGGTTTGTCCATTTCATCGTCTCTACACACCAGCTCATCATCTGGCTAGGCCACCTTGACCGCATATATGCTGGGCGTCGTTGCTCGTGTCGTCAGGTATCATCCTGCCCATCATGTCTTCTCGTTCACGAGGCAAGCTCCCTCCCCAAAGCTTTTGGCTTCGATCCCCTACTGATTCTAACTTCGTTCACCAGCGGGCTGTCCCCGGTGTCGTTCTATGGCAAGTTGGTCGTTTCACTCGGATTCTCAGTCGACTGATCAGATCTAGAAAATAAAGTGTGATGAGACCAAACCAAGCTGTAGACAGTGCCTGAAGCGCAAAGTCGTCTGCCCTGGCTACCAGCGGGATCTCAAATGGAGTCATAAGCACGAAGTTCTTCACTCCTCGCGATCCCAGATCCCCCCTACCGCAGAGTCATGTCCAGGTCCAGGTCCAGATCCTCCACTTCCAGCCGTTGCCAGTCTCAGTCCGATCCACTCGGCCCTGCTTCCGAGAAATGTTCAAGTAGGCCTAGGAGCACAAAGTAATCATATCGCTCCTCTGCCATCTCAAAGTCCAGCTATTGACGACCGTTCATCATCTCATGATCATCCTGACCATTCAGATTCAGCGCCTTTTTCTCCCGTAACCACCCGATTAGGTAATGACCATGACCGATCTAACGCAGACATATTGCGGGATGATCTCCGCGAATGGCTTGTAAGCCACGAACCCATGACCCTATTGGAACAACAAGACTGGACATGGACCTTGAACGGGTCAACATTGAATTGCAATCAAGATCCGACATTAGTTTCAACCTTAGATATTCCAAATTCAACAGCTTCACCCCAGGGCACCGAATTCAATCAAGCCTTAGTTCAGTACTTTTTCGACAACCTGTGTGGGATACACACTGTCCTCGATGACACAGCCGAGCGATTCAAAGCGCTGGTGAATCGCTATCTCGGTTCCTCCCCTCTCCTTCATAAAAGCATCGTCTGCATGGCCGCCGCTCACTGCTTCCAGGATGATGAGTCGATGCTTCCCATGTGTCTTGAGTGCCATACAGCCGCTGTCAGATCTCTCTCCGAGGCAGTGTTCCAGATCGAGACCGTGCTAGAACAACCTACCGGTTCACCACACAACCCAGCCTTAGCTGGAACTCACATGCTACGCAGATTGGAAGAAACCCTGTTGGCATCGATAATATTAGGCTTCTGTGCTGTAAGTCTGGCTTTTGCAAATTCAGCGCATCAAATCAGTCTGCTAAGTCAGTCAGCCTTGGTCCGATCCCCGAGACTTGGGTCTTCCTCATCTCCGTGGAGCCAGAAAATTGTGCGAATATCTCATTAATTACGCCACACTGGACGGTACGGAACCGGAAAAAGCTTTGGCAAATCCCGACCATCATTTCTTGATAGGGGCCATGTCGTACTGGGAATCCTGCATGGCTTTCGTGGTCGACCAGCCCGACTCCGTTCTGCAGTACCTGTCTCCTTTCCGTAAACCCACCAAGACGACTTATATCCACATGTTTGCAGGAATCAGCCTGCCTCTATTTGTGACTCTCGCCAAGGTCGGCATCTGCGTTCGCCAGAACAGAGCCTTGAGAAACATGGTCGGCGTGGGCTGGAAGGGTCGAGACTCTTATCAAATCCTCGCAGCTGAGGTCATTCGTGATGCCACAGAGCTTGCCCAGTATGCCGTTGACTACCAAATCCCTGCCGATGAAACCTTTGACACCAAGACTTTGAGTTCCTCCACCTATCGTCAACTCAAAGCATTTGCCCAAATGTGCAAGTTCGCAATCCTGCTCGAGCTGCAACGAAACTTCCCCAGTCTAGTCGATCCCCACCTCGACGATGTCGAAGTTGCAACGCCCGACACCTCAGCTTCACGAGAAACCATCAGCCTCGATCGCCGTTACTTTGACCTGTCGGGTGCGATCCTTAGCCATGCAAAGGATATTCCCGAAGGATCTACATGCGGCCTATATCAGACGATTTTGCTGCTCATTTGTGGAAGTGTTCTACGAGTGCCCAAAGATTCAGCAACACTCCGATCCAACGAATCAAGCCTACGTGAGAAGTTAGAAACCCAAATCTTATCAACCCTCGCGCGAAAAGACGAGCTCAACCAACGTCGAGCTTTCATCCGCCGCCGGCTACAGTCGAACTGTGCCTCATTTGGCCTACGCCAAGTCTTCTCTCGGGCTGAGCAGCTCCTGGAAGACGTCTGGTGTGAGTTCGACACAGGGACAGACGATTCGAACGATCTTCGGTCTAGACGCCATTGGATTGACGTCATGGCCGATAGAAAGCTTGAAACGTTCTTTGGTTGAGCATGTACAACTAGAGACTCTGTCTTGGATCGAAACCTTAGCTCCGTTGCACTATTTCATCTATGAGCCGGCAAGATCAGTTTTAACAAACCCAGCCTCCATCCACGTTATATACAGCTCCAGTCACAAAGCTCGCCTCGTCCGACAACAGAAAGGCTGCCACGTTCATGATCTCCAGTGGATTCGCCTTGCGTTTCTGAATCTGAGCGCGAATCTCGTCCGAGTTCTCCACCGTGTCATTCGCCATCATCGGGGTATCAGTGCAACCTTCCACGTCAGGACTCGGTGACAGCGACAATCTGTAGGCAACACTTACCTGGAGCCACGCAGTTGATCCGAATTCCAACATGTTCTTTGGCCGCGCTGCGGGTCAGTCCAATGACAGCATGCTTGCTAGCGCAATAGGCTGTAAATGTTGGCCACCCAATTTGTCCTTCAGTGCTGGCCGCTGACACCTTTCGACCAGGTTAGCAACCAAGACGTACATCGGCAGTTTGGAGAACTCGCTTACGATGGAAGCTCCATCTTTCATGACACGAAGCTGAGCTCGAATACAGTTGAACACGCCTGTCGAATTGACGTCCATGACAAAGTTCCAGTCTTCATCAGTCATCTCCACAATCGGATTAACTCGAATGACACCGGCCCAGTTGGCGGCGCCGTCCAATCGTCCATACTTGTCCATGGTTTTGGCTATCCAGGAGTCAACGGAAGCACTCTTGCGCACATCGACAGTCGTTGTAAGGTGCGATGACGAGTTTTCCAGCGATTTGATGGTCTCCGCGAGTCCCTCTTCATTCACGTCGGCCAAGGAGACAAGTGCTCCTCGCTTGGCTAGCAACTGAGCAAATACCCGCCCCTGACCGGAGCCCGCCCCTGTGATGGCAATCTGTTGTCAACAATGTCAGTGGGATTTAATTCGTCTCCTGTGCGGTGATACACACCACTTTTCCCTCAAAGCTCGACATGGTAGATGAATCTTCTGTGGCTGGATGCTTCAAATTACCCAAGTCGTCAAGGGGGGATCAGGCACAGATTTAGTCTCGAGATCTTACAAGGTGAGTCTTATTCTAGCGATATCGATGATCTCAACACAAAGTTGTACAACTATATCGCGGCACTGTATCCTTCTCTTAAACAGACATGGCTAGGTACTATTTCCTTCCTAGAAAGCCAGAACCGGGAACTACAGCCGTGCCTCAAAACTGGCCACTGCCTTGCCATATCATTACTATCTTTGTCTGGATCCATGTCAGGCCTTCACGCCCTGCCTAGTGTCAGCCTGGAATCTGTGGGAAACTTAAAGTCAGGCGATGTGGTTGAATTTCAGAGAATTTCCTTTCCGGGTAACCAGAGGCGGCGTTGCATGGGGAATCATCTTCAAGATATGTGGATTCGAGGCCTTGCACACTAACATGTTCAATAGCTCTATCAAGCCTGAGTTTTTGAACATGGACACTATCAAACGGCAATCATAATGCCAATTAGACTCGCCATTCATATCAAGAAGGTTCTATCCACATAATCTGAATTTCTAGATAGACAGTCCCCAAAAAGTAAGGCCACTCAGACCATCCTGTGTACTGACACGTTGGTTCATTCGAAGTGGCCGCTTACGCTAGCCTAAAGAAGAACATTTAGCCGTTCATCGCCGTTGATTGAAACAACTCCAAAGGCGATCGATGTTTTGTTGCTATCTTTGTAGATAACATCGAGAGACACAATGGCCTATGATTGGCAAGCGATTTCCCAACCCTGGGAGAACGATTCAGTGTTCGACATTCGAGGGTGGTCTGCTGTCCTTGAGTTCCATGTTTGCCTTGTCACGAAGGGCGTCAAGCGTAAGGACATTATGCCACACGTGAGTGACTCTGTGTCGTTTCTCCATAAGTCATCTGGACAAACGTATGACATGTAACTTTGTATAAAGACGCTGCACGCAAAATGTGAGATCGATATTGCAGCAACACTGATATCAAACAACAACCACTTTACCTATAATGCCTCGTCGCCAACTCCAGAAGACTGATCCCATCGTCATCATCGGTGCTGGGGCGTTTGGGCTGAGTACATCACTACACCTAGCTCTACGCGGCTACCAGAATGTCACTGTCTTTGACAGGCATGACTATGAAGTCAGCAAGTATGATTACCGCAATGGAGCTGATTCGGCCTCTGCAGGTATTTAGAATATTCCTTGAATTTTGCGATTTGCAAAGAGACTTCCAAACTAAGACGAGGTGAACTAGATTTGAACAAGATTATTCGCTCTGCGTATGGCTCGCAGGTTGAGTACCAAGACCTGTCCAAGGAAGCAATAGAGTGGTGGACCTTGTGGAACGACGAGATCAAGAATGGGAAAGATCTTCCACCAGGCATCAAACCATCAGATCGCGTCTACATCAACAACGGGACACTTGCATTTACCGATCAAAGCGAGTTGTCGCCTTTTGAGGTCGACACCGTTCGCAACATGACGGCGGCCGGCCTCGGTGATACTCAGCTGGTCACGATGAAGCCTGATGATGTGAAAGCCGCCGAAGAGCGTGGTTGGGGTTATGGCATTGATCCGTTCCGTCGTAAAGAGAGGGGGAAAGGTAATGTCGGTGTGCTGGACACTACCGGTGGTGTAGTCGTCGCCGACAAGGCTTGCCGATTCGCTCTTCACAGGGCAAGGAAGCTCGGTGTCAAGTTTGTGTTTGACGCTCAAGCCGGAGCGTTCGAATCCTACTGGCATGACAAGGACGGGGTAGTGATTGGAGTCAAGACCCAAGATGGACAAACCCATCCTGCGACAAAGATCGTGATGGCCTGTGGCGGTTGGACGCCATCACTTGTCCCTCAACTCGATGGTCTTTGCGAAACAACCGCAGGGTCAGTCATCATGCTGAAGATCCCGCCAGAATCTCCACTTTTTGATCGATTCGCTCCTGAAAGGTTTCCGAGTTGGATGTGGAAGCTCTGGGACGGTGCCGACGGCGGACTGTATGGCTTTCCCCGCGACGATCGAGGATGGATGAAGATTGGATACCGAGGGACGAAGTACACCAACCCGCAGCTACAGCCTGATGGCAAGCTGCGAAGTGTGCCCATCACAAGATATACCCCAGGCGAAAAGGTCACCCACATCCCTCAAAAGGCCATGCAGATTTTCAAACATTTCCTGAGGGAATATCTACCTGAAATGGCCGATAATGGGATCGATATTGAACTCACCCGACTTTGCTGGTACACGGATTCGTTCGACAATCACTATGTGGTTGATGATATTCCAGGTCAGAACACGGTCATGGTTGCAACAGGTGGCTGCGGCCATGCTTTCAAGTATTTGCCAAACCTGGGGAAGTGGGTTGTGGACATCATGGAGGGTGTCGGTATGGAGCGACCTCTGGCTCAACGTTGGCAATGGAGAGAACTGGAGCCCGGTATCGAGCCTTTCAATGTCTTGATGCAGGGCGCGAACAGTCGAAATGCCTTCAAGAACGTGTCCTGGTCCAAAGCTAGCGACCTAAAACTAGGCAGTGCTCCTCGTCTTTAGATGTCAGCCGACTTGATAGCTCTGGGGTGGGGTGAATATGATTATATCCGGTGAGAACCAAGAATTATTTTGCTGATGACGTGGTATTTCTACTGAATATGTTGATTCTTGATTGTTACTACTGTAGTTGATGGGTTACATGATGCTAAGGGGTCAATGCCCAGCAAAATAGTCTTTGCCCAGCATCCGGCGCAGATCTGCGGCTCAACGCCAACACTTACCCGCGCTTTGCCGCGCTCTCTTGTTTACCGCCGCACCAAACTTGGGCTGTGCATCCGTGGTTGTGAATCCTTTAGCCGATTAGCAGGCCTGCTATCTGTGCATGGTACAGGCATGAGAGTGTTCAAACTCGCCCAAGAGCGGGTATATAGACCCCCAACATGTCCCAGGAAAATGATGAAGGACATCAACAACAAAAAACCCCAATTCGACACGAAACTCAAAGATCACCATAACTACAAAAGCCAACCTTCCCCTCATCGTCAATCCTAGCAATGGCCGTAAAGTCTCCTTTATGGCAACGGGATGAAGTCACCCAAGACTCATTAGGAAGCGATACCAACACAACTCAGTCTATGAATCCTGCCGTTCTGTCCAAACCCATCGCCATCCCTGCCACCGACAGTGAGCCCGGATCACCATTTCTGCGTGCGTATCCGGTCGAACTGGAGAGCTTTGGAATCTCTCGCGAACCATTCCTAGAGTTCATTGACCACTTGAACCGAGTCATTGTGCTGAACCCGATGGTGGTTGGAGTCGGGATGGTGGGAGATGTGGTCAGCATGATTCCGGAGCCTACGGCAGCACTGACTGGCACAATTGTTGGTGCGGTCTCTACAGGCATCGCTCTGAGCTCATCATACCTACAAATGGAGTTGCTGCTGCGGCACATGAACCGGGAGACACTTAATCCAATCGGCCTTAAAGTCAAGGTCATCAAGACCAACCAGGTCGCCAAACTGGTCGGTATGCCCATCCTTAACGAGGAGGGGAAAATTCGCAAGGATGTCACTATCCTCGACCCTAACGAAGCCTCTGTCGATCTTGACTCCCAGCCGGCTCAGCTTCGGCGCGTGCGCGCTCTCGCGCCATGGACGTCACTGTTGGAAATCGATGCTCAGATCCGCGCACCCAAAAATCCAGCTACGGACAGATGGACCAAGGTTCACGTAGCGGCCAGTGAGTGGCAACGCAAAGATGAACAGAAATCGTTCCGCAAGGCCCGTCAAAAGTCTGTGGCCAAGTTCGACGAACGCAGGCGCAAAGCCGCCGGCCGTCACGACAAAGAAATCGAGTCTCTTACTCGCAAGGAGAAAGATCTTGCCAAGCGGAAAGATGCCGACGATGCTCGTGTCCAAGACAAATTAGTCACAATCCAAGAGCGTCGAGATAAGCTTGACCAGGCATACACTGAGAAGTTGTCCAAGGTTGAGTTGGAATTTGCCCTGAAGAATAAAGAGGAGAAGGTGATGAGGAACCTCTATTGGCTCGTTATCACCCGGATTTGAGGTGGAAGACGTGGGTGATTGTATGAGTACTGGGGCAAGCATGGACTTGGAGTTTGAATCACAGCGCTGAAATATAAATTAGCAAGGCGGAATGGAGTTGGCGTCACATGAATATTCAACTTGTAACGTTTGATTTCATGATTTCAAGGAACAGTATTTCTCATATTATATTCATAGTAGAACAAGAATCTGCAAAATTGACGAGTGGGTCAACCTTGATGGACGCGCACTCCAGTCGAAAATAAAAACCATCATATCGTGTTTCCAGAACACGTGTGTTACACCGACGCCAAACTCTAAACTCACAAGAAAAGAATCAAAAGAGAGGAAAAAGCAGAAAGCCAACTGGCGTCCTCAGATGTGAACCTCTCAAACAACGGACGTCAAAGCCTTGTCAAAGGTAGAGACTAATTTGGGAATCATAGACTCCTCGAAGATGAGCATGGGTCTCAGACGGACAGTGTCCTTGCCACAAGTACCGATATTGACACCGAGCGATTTCATCTTCTTCACCAGGGCGGCCGAATTGACGGTGTCGAAAGCAATATAAGTTCCCTGACCCTTGCCACGGAGGTTGCGAATCTGGTCTGGGTGTCTGGTGGCTAGATCTGCCAGGGCCGTGTACAACTTCTCGCCGATTTGGGCAGTCTGCTCGACCAAGTGGCGGTTGAGTATCTCGTCGATGACAGCGTTGGCCAGGATTGCTCGTGCCGGATCGCCAATCCATGTGTTGAACTGTCGATACGCCTTATCTGGGATCAATCGCTCATTGCCGAAGAAATATCCTGCAGTCTGTGCCTTCTTCGAGAAGGTCACCATGTCCGGCGGCGTCTCTAGCTGCCAGTGCTCGTGGCCCCAGAACTTTCCCGTTGCTCCAAATCCGGTCTGTACTTCGTCCACAATCAGCATCACTCCATATTTCTCCGTCAGGGCTCGTAGGCCTTGGAAGAATGCCGGAGATGCGTGGTTGTCGCCCCCTTCGCTCTGAATCGGTTCAACGATAACTGCTGCAACGGGCGATGGCCTGGACAGATAAGGGTTAGCGTTCAAGTCACTGGAATGGAAATTACTGTTTGAGATGAACTTGTTGGGGACGTACCATGATTTAATGACTTCCTCCACTTCGTCAAGAGAAGCCTTTTCCGACGCTCGGTTCGCTTCAACATTGTCTTCGAGAGGATATTTCAGGCTAGGAAACGTGGCTTGAGGCCAATTGAAGGAAGGGATATCGAGTTTGTGTACGGCTTTGGATCGAGTGGTTGACAGACTTCCGAACCCTCGTCCGTGGAACGAGTTCTTGAAGCTCAGGATAGAGAGATCGGGGGACCCGGGTGCCGAGTTGACCAGGCACGATTCAATCTCGTGGTCGGTCCACTCAACACCCTCGCCTCGTCGTTGTCTCTGGTAGTGCATGAAGGCCGCCTTATATGCAAGTTCGTTGGCTTCGGACCCAGATTGAGCAGTGAAAAGCCTGTCGTGGCCTTTTGGAGCAACTCGCAGAAGCCCTTGAGAGAGCACAGTTGACCAATTCTCGCACGGGAAGTTGCCGATGGCTGGTCGGTTGACGAGAGCAGAGATCATCTGAGGCGATTGTGCAGCGGCGATCAGAGTCGGGTTGTTGTAGCCGACAGGGATTGATGCGATCTGGGAATAGACGTCCAGATACTTGTTGCCATCGACATCCACAATGTAGTTGTCATGGCTCTTGGAATAATCCACGACAAAGTGCACTGCTCGTGCATCGAAGACCTTGTTCAGGGCAGCAATCTTCTCCTGAGAGATTGGGCCGGGGACTTCGGTTGCCACAACGGTGGTGGTCTCGTCATGAACGGCGCTGGGCATGATGAAGGGCTGGTTGAAGAGACAGGGTGTATGCTCTGCGGTGTACTACTGATGGAAGATTCAAGGTTGCCCTGCTCTGGACCAAGGAGTAGCGAAGCCATCTTATACATCTTTTCCAGCGCCACTCAGGCTGTGGGGAACAACCAGCCGGTTGCAGCCCCTGATCGTGGCCCGGATTTGATGGCAAGGCTGCCGGGCACTGCCCCAGCATTGAAGGGTTTGAGTATAAGTTTGCATCGTGAACTCATCGAGTGGCGAATCAAATTGCTTTCCGCGCAATGGACGAGAGGCGAACACCGGCCCGGTGTGTATATGGCTTTTATGTTGGTCGTTGAATTTGCCGTGAGGGCTGATCACGTGTACAAGCACTGATTGGGTCGGACATACCCGGGAGAACCTTAATCAGATCCTTTCCGAACCTCCCCAATCGGCATGTCAGCGATTTTCTTTGTTCATCCCTCCACTCTACACAACAAAGTTCCACGACTCTCTCGGATACTGATGTTGTACGTTTCAAGTGACGCTAGGAGCTGAGATCTTCTAGAATATCGATACAGCTTCCAAAATCGGCACTAAAGCTCGCTCCTTGTGGAGATCACGTCACCGGTCAATTGGATACCAGCAGGTTCCCCTCAACCTGGTCGAACCTGTTGCATTGGGTCCACACGTATCAAACGATTGAACATGCCATGCTCAGCTAAAGAATCCCACCGCTGACTCAGGCATGAGCCATACAATCTCCCCCATCAACGACCATTTGGTGGCTCGAGTTTCCTCCGCTGGTGCCAGCACTGGTCATGAGTATCCACCGCGCAAGATAAAGCGAAGGAAGATCGCCGAGGAGGATCGAAAGAGAGCTGTCAGAGCGTAAGTGAAAACACCACAATTGGTCCTCAAACAGATGACTGAGGACCCATGGCAGCTGTGATGGCTGTCGCCGAGTCAAGGAGAAATGCGAGGGTGGCACCCCGTGTCGAAGATGTTCCCATTTTCGACGACCTTGTGAGTTCAAGGGCTTGAGAACATCTCCACCACACCGTCGCTCAATTAATGGATCCTCTCACGAGTATGGGTTTCCCCTCTTGTTCTTGTCTTGCTGTGCATATCTCAACTCGTGACTAGGCCCGAAGCACCCCTTGACCAGGAAGGTGACCTTCTTGGTAGAGCGGGCTACATGGAACAGATCTTACGAAGCAAGTTTCCCGAATTAGATCTTGACATCGACTCTCTCCAACGAGCTGCCGAGTCTTTGGGCAATAACTCCAGTACTAAGACCGCCGATTCCGAGCCGGATGGTGATGGTCAACCAGTCCTGGCCGACGACGACCTAGAGATAAGGCCTGTCGAAGGCGGCAACATAATTCATTACTCTGGCGAATTTTCGTACTGGAATTTCTCCCAAAGGATCAAACGACACGTCGAAGAGTGGATGGGGTCTACAAATCCAGATGCTCCGAATCCTGAGCGCGTGTCGGAATTCTGGCGCCCTGAAACTCAGTTGTCCAACTCGCACAGCCTGTCATCCTCACTAGCATGTTGTCCGCCTCGTGACATCGCTGACTTTCTCACACACGTCTTCTTCCGTCATGCGGAGTCGAATTATTACTTCGTGGATCGAGCATGGTTATCAGCTGTGCTAGATACTCTGTACAACAATCCTTCAAAGCTGACCGTCAAGGACGCCCCTAAAGTCAGTGCGGCTCTTGCGATATTTGCTGTAGGCACTCAATACGCATATCTTGATTCGATCAATACTTCTGGAGCATCTCATACGGCGACAAACTTTTCAGAGGATGAAATTGGTACCCTTTTCTTTGAACAAGCAGCCAAGCTGCTGCCGGAGATAATACAGGTGCGTTACATTCCACATCACCCTCGAATGTCCTAACGTCCATTACAGGTTGCCTCGCTCGAAAGCGTTCAAGCATGCCTTCTCATGGGACTTTATTGTCTCCCTCTCGATGCATCGGGGCTTGCATACACCTATCTGAACCTGGCAATGAAGCTTGGCATGGTCAATGGCCTCCACCGAAAGTACACTGGGAATGCCTTCAGCGCTGCCACGGTGGAGACAAGAAACCGCGTGTGGTGGACAATCTATGTCTTGTTAAAGAAAGTGGATATCTTTCACGGGCGACCCACGTCTGTCCTGAGATCAGATGTCGATGCAGACGTGCCGAAAGACCCAACGACTTCGCAATCATCAGCTCCACCTTCCAACATACCTTACATGTTGGCCTCAATTGCATTAATGCACAAGCTTGAGGACTTCTTGAACGAAATGCAGCTCCTGAAGAGATGTCAACGGTCAGAATTCCAGACCATCCTCGCACGGCTTCTTTCAATGAAGGAATCAATGTCGCGGTGGTTCGACAGTCTACCTGGAGGAATCAATCATGAACCGGATTCAGCTTCGTCGGTTCATTTCCGGCCTGCTATGCATCTGCGTTTGGAACATTGTCTCGTGCGAATGTTCGTCGGTCGCCCGTTTCTGTTCAGTCGACACGGTCCTGGAACAACTCCGATGTCGGCCGTAGAGAGAGCCCCGTCGGCTCCTCTGACTGCAGGAGGAGAAACTGAAAAGAGACCTTCTCGCCGAGGGATTCTGATCGATGACTGTGTACAAGCCGCCAAAGAGGCTATTGCGACATGTCGAAGACTTCGAGACAGCGGTGTGGGATTGGCGCGAGCGTCTTACATCGAATACAGCTCCTGTCGTGCCTCGCTGCTTGCTCTGATTGCATATTGCATCTACAACCAAACGGATCGATTCAAAGACTCGCTTCAAGTTGGGCTCTCGATGATCAGGGAGATGTCCGTATCAGGGGACTCAGCACGAGCTGAAGTATCACTTATCGAATCACTGGAAAGGGCACTAGCCCGTCTGCAATTCTTCGGAAGCTCGTCATCCAAGGTCGACACGAGAGAACCAACCACACGCTCTACGGTGTCAGGTTACGATCGGTTCAAGAACTGGCAAGCGTTGCTAAAGGGTGACATGGAACCCCCAATCCAGAACACAACAGCAGCCACAACAAATACTCCAACAACGAGGATCTCGACTTTGGACACTGGAGGAATCCCCATTCCATCCCAACGATACCACGGCTGGTCGATTGATAGCAGCAGTGACAGCGGAGCCGCGGGATTCCCCAACATGAATGCACCTACCGAACTCGATAGCGGGGCAGGCGGAAACCAAAACCCCAATCCCAACTACTTCCAGACGGCGGCAGACTCGGCATTCTTTGGTTTAGACAATATGCTGATGCCCTCAGACGGCAGCACACACGCCGAACAGCAGGTGTTGCAGGACTTTTTGGCCATCCCAGACTTCGAGTTCAGCCAGGGGATGTTCGATAATACCGCATCTCGTTTCGAGCCCGGTGACTTTGATCACGGTCAAGGTGCTTATGGCGCTGGTCAAAATCATGTCCCGGGACATTGGTAGGAGTTGCCAGACTTGCGAATGAGGAGAGACCGGGATGAATGAGAATGATTATGACATTTCTTACTCTTTGCCAAGGGTGCAACTATGCACGTTATGATTTTCTCATGATTGTCTTTCTAAAGAATTAATGAATGATAGAAGTCGATACTTTGTTCCATATATATACTTTCACGTATAATCCTAACCCATTGATGGAAATGAACAAGATTAGTACTGCTTCATAAATCTGTCTTGGACGATACGATTCCGGGGTACCAGTGAATCTGCACTATGATCACTTTTATTGCGAAATAATGTACAAAGGTAGGTACCTATACCTATCCGAACAATCATATCATTCTCATGCAGCGCAGTCCACCATAAACAAGCATGCTGATTGATCAAAGATGAAAAATGCCGGTGAATATCAGCACAGCAGAAGAAGCAGCAGCATCAGGTCGTAAAAGGATTATAAACTTCGCCTGTCTCGTCGGCACGTTTCCTCAGCTTGCGGTTCTGCATCTTCAAGAACATCTTCGTGCTAAAAGCGACGGCAAAGGCCAAAGCGCCGAAGACGAGCATGAGGATGAAAGCGAGACGATAAGTTGGAGCCTCCTCGTCACGGAAGAAATAAGGAGAGACGACATTGCCAATGTGGCCGAAGATATTGACGATGGCACCACAAGCAGCTCGTTTCTCAGGGGTGGTGCTGAGGGTGGACAAAGCCCAGGTGTAGACAAGGGCGTTGGCTGAGAAGGATCCCGGTGCGTACAAGAAGGAGGCAGCGTAGCGAGCTGATACATTGCTCGTAGCAATAGTGATGACAAAGCCGATGGCGGCGGCAAGGAGACCTCCTGAGATGTGGTAGCCTCGCTCTTTGATTCGGTCGCTGTTCCAGGATACCAGAAACGAGGTGATGGCGCCGAGAAAATAGGGTGGGGAGGTTAGAAGTAGGGATGTGATGTTGCTGCCGATATTTAGACCAGATACCAGGGTTGGGAAGAAGAAGTTGAATCCATATGACGATGTCATGAAGATGTTCATGAAGACCTGATTCAAAACATGTCAGCTGTTGTTGTTTCCTGTGCGACAAATGTGTGGTCTGTGTTGTTAAATTCAGGGAAGGAGGGTTTTATTAGATGAATACTTACAAACATCCAGGTCTTGATGTCGGTTACAGCAAGTTTGAGACCTGTCCAGATCTTGCCTGTGCCTGTGGCTCCGGTGACGCGGTCAGCCACCAGTCTTGCCTCTGCTAGTCGTCGCATGTCATCATCCATGAATCGACGTTGGCTTCCCGTTTTAGAGTGTGGATAGTCAGGCAAGGTGAAGAAGGCGAAGAGTCCACAGACGGTGCTCATGAGTGCTTCAATGATGAATAGCCATTGCCAACCCGCCAGGCCTGCTGCGCCGTCGAGGCTTGAAAAGATTCCTGCGGCTAGGATCCCTGAAAGAGCCTGTGCAAGGACTAGTCCTGAATACAAGATCGCTGTCCTCAACGCAATCTCCTTTCGTGTATACCAACAGTTCATCAAGTAGACGGCCTATACATGTTTCAGTATGGTTGTGTCGGAGGAAAGAAGAGGGCAGACTCACACCAGGGAACAGTGGTGCTTCGAGAATACCGAGAAAGAAGCGAACAACAAACAAGGTCTGAGGACTAGTAGTACCAGCCGTGGCGGCTGAGACGGCGGACCACACAATGGCAGTGACCGGAAGATAGATGCCCGGGCGGACGCGAGTCAGAAGCATATTGGAGGGAAGCTGAGCCAACATGTAACCTACGGTGAGGACGGCGACAGCGGTATTGTAATCGTCACCAGTCAAGCCCAGGTCCTCGTCGATGGTGTTGAGACGAGCTTGCGCAATATTGGTCCGGTCGAGGTAGTTGTTCAGATACAAGATCCATAGTGTAGGAAGTAGAGTCATGTCCAGGACGCGAACCAGTCGCTTCTCGGTGTGTCGCCAATCCGGCAGATTCAATTCGGCAATGGGTGCAAAGTTGTGATAGTACGACTCGGGGGTGCTGCTTTTGCGTCTGTGGCCTTTTTCCGCATCCGCATGCACGGTTTCAACATGGTCTCCCTCGGCCTTCGCGTAGGCCTCGTCGCCTGGTTCAGCCCTTAAAGTGCTGTGGGACGAGTTGATGGATGTGGTTCTGTCGGGAGGCATTGTTGTGGTGGGAAAGTCTGGGTATTTGGCATTCACTCCAGTTCAATTGAAGATATGTTAGACGTGCAAGAGACCATATACATACAAGCACGACGAAAATGGTACACGCAGAGGTGCTCTTGCAGATAAGTCTTTCGTAAAAAAACTCTTGTACATCCTATTCCTCCTCGACCGGCCTTATTGCCCTACATATACAATCATGTCCCTTACCTATGGCGTTAAGGCATCGGTAATACCAAATATGTCGCACAAGGCTAAGCCCATGGTGATCGCAACATCGCGATCAAGATGACGACGTCAAGTATCGGTCGAACCAAGCAGGATGCAGTTTCTGTGATCATGATAGGCGAAATGAGTGATCACCATCGACCAAGAAGCTCTAGGCGAGGAAACACACGATTGCGAAATCTGGGGGTGGAATCGATCCTTTGACGTGGTTAGAAAACGACTAAAAGCCACAGGAAGAAGAAGCTCACTTGGCTGACATAACAAAGTCGGCGAAGACAAAGCGTTGTCGTTGTCGATGTCTTGGGAGGCTGGGCAATTACGATTTCACCCGCATTTTTTCGATTCGATGCCTTCACCCCGTCATCTTGGCTATGTCTAGTTTTCCCGCTCTCCAAGACCTTGGAAGTTCGTGAATGCGGAGAGAAGCGAGAGAGCCTCAGCGAAGCGTTTCGTATTTCGTCTATACTAGACAAGCAGATGAGCAGACCCTTGACGACGAAGACGGGCAAAAACACTAATCATGACCTCATGCCCAGCATCCGCGTATTTCATCTTGTGTTTATGTCGACGAAGGACAAGAAATAAATCCGCACAAGCAAATTCTTGCCATGTTGCATTGACATTGGGATCTTCCCTTCACCCCACAGTCTCTCAAGACAACACAAGAAACAGACATGGCTGATCAAACCAAGGTCCTAGATGGAAACTCTCTTGGTTCCTGCAGAAGAGAATCTGGAGTACTGGAATATTGATCCTGATCGCGGGGGCTCCGCAGCACAGATCGGTTTCTAGAAAATGCCTCGGTCGGACCACCCTCTACGCACGCCAGAATTGCATGCAAGCCTTCTGCATAGTAACATGGCCTGACTTGGCTTACGGCATTGAGAAGTGTCGGTGATTGATTATTCGAGGGATTATAGATTCACGTCAAGCAAATCTCATACTGAAGGATTTGATCACCAGTCAACGGAAGCCTTATTTTGAACCGCTGACTTCATCAGACATAGATTTCTCTAATCTAGGCTTGATACCTTATGTTGAAGACATCAAGTGAGCGACAACTCATGCATCGGCATCGCACCATTCTAGGGTAAGGTTTCAACACAATTCCTTTTTCAGGGATGTGGACGTCGCTTTCAGATCCGATATCGCAGATATCCCATCAAAGTTACGTGGATTATGTTCTTGCTCGATGCAGTAAATGCGGCTCGCTATGTTACAATGATGCAGACACCAACCCGCCCGTTCCTTTGTCTCCTCCGTACCCAAGCATCTGGAACAGCCGGTCGCAAGCTTTCGCCAGGTCCGGCACCGAGTTCGTGGAGAAAGCAATGAATCTGTCCGTACGGACGACAACGAACCGTCGACGTTTGAGAGCGTCTCTGATACGAAACATATCGTACCCACGCGGCTCCGGACGATCGATGCAGAGCTTGGACTCGGCGAATTCTGATCCTGTTGCAACTCTAAAAACTCGCTCTCTTGTCCTTGACTTGATCAACTGGTTCTCCAACTCACCCGAAAGACTGGCGTTGGGATCGTGCACGAGGTAACAGCGTTTTCCCGCCCGGAGTTCTCCATGGGTCAACATAGGTAGATCGACTTTAGTCAACTCGGCTTCGATCCCAGCGATGTCGTCAACCCGATCCACAAGAACCACTAATTGAAAAACCGAGGTCCATGGTCCAGCGTAGATGACATCGTCTGTGAACAAGACTTCGCCATTAGCTTCACCGGAGGGACCGCTGATAGCCCTGCAATAGACCTGAGGCAAGAGCAACCCACCGCCAAGGTCGGGCAAAAACGCATTCATAGCAGGAGACCATGTATATTTGGCCAAGGCTGTCCCACGAGAACCAAGTTCCAACTGTCGCCGCACACTGGGGATCATCTGGATCAGCCATAGAGTCCAGTCACGGCAGAATATCTTGAGCGGGTTACGTGCGGTGGTGAGGGAGCCGTGCGCCACCGTGTTAGCAATCGAAATATCCAAGCTTTGCTTCCGCTCTTGACACCATCCATCGAAAAGAGCCTGGTAGTTGAGCTTGGAATTTGGTTGACACGCCAGTTTGAGTCGCCATGAGATACCTGTGACATCGCGAAACCCTGAAGCAATACCTTGACCGCCAACTGAGACGGTGTCAGTAGGTTGGCGATGGTTGACACAGGTGACTAGTTACTTACATGGAGGCATGACATGTGCCGAGTCGCCGCACAGAATCACTCTGCCGAGATTCCACTTGTTGCAACTCCTTGCAGAGAAAGAAAACGGCCGCGACCTTAGCACATGAATGCAATCTGGTGGGTACTGGACGGGGTCTTTTAAGCTGGTCGAACATAGCAAATTAGACGAGCAGTTTCTAACCGAAGCGCCAGTTGACTTACCCATACAGGTGGCCCGGGTGAGTGAGGTAGGGGAAAATAATTTTGGTTGATTCATCATAGGACGCCATGGTTTGGGGGTCCTCGCCGTCTTGTACGACATACTCGAATCTCCATAACCTCTCAGAACGGCGACCAAATGTTCCACACACAGCCGGCCGTGTCGGATTGCCGATGAAGCGAAAATTAACAGGGAAGAAGATGTCAAATACCTGCTCCGGTGTATATCCGAGTCTCCACAAAGGAAAGTCAGGATGTGATTGTGGCGTAGGAAGAGTCATATGGTAGTTGGCGGCGACCCATGTTTCTTGATATGCGTATCTAGCCCACAAATCAGTAAGCCACTCCATAAGAGTTCCAGTCATTCAATGTATGAAATTCATACCCTGGCACTGATTCAAGCCTGATCCCTCGTGGTTCGAGATAGTTCTTGCGCACGTAACCAGTCTTGCCGTCGGCGCCAACAAGAAACTTGCCCTGGACCCGCTTCTTTTCCCCGTTTGTGTCGAGGTAATCTACACGAACGCTCTCGTCGTCTTCCTCGATCGCGTTTACTGTACAACCCCAGCGTAACTGTGACTTCGAGCATTGGCTCGCCGCAGTTCGAATCCATTTCTCGAGCACAGGCTGCTTGTGAGCAATGGCTCCGACATGTCCAGACGAGCCATAGCTGGTGGACGTGTCGGTCTTGACAAACGGCGTTGTTCTCAGCCCATCCTTTCCAGAGATGAAAAACAACCAACCAACATCAGCTCCAATATCGGTATAGATTTTGTCGTAGAGCCCAAGTGATTGCAATGTACGGATGCCATCCTCATCCAAAGCGATGCCGCGTGGGTCGGTGACAATGTCGTTTTCCTTTTCGATCAAGATGTTGGGTATCTCCATCCTGCCCAAGTATGCGCTGAGCAAGGCCCCCGTTGGACCTCCGCCGCAGATGATGACATCTGTTTGTTCAATGAGGTCGACATCCCGGTTTCTGTCCGCCATGATCGTCAATGTTGTCACAGAGGGTCGCCGTCTACATTTGACACAGCACAAAGCCTCCCTCTCGACCTGGGATTGTGGGAAAAGGTCTCTTATGGGCTCTTATGGGAATTCAAATCTCCAGAGCCCCAAGCTCCAGTGGGTAGTTTTAATTTCTCGACCATCGAAACGTCTCCTGACTGCGGCCATGACTGCGGCCATGACTGCGGGGCGCGGCCTGACATCTATTATGCCGACTACGCTCACGGAATATATCCGGAAGGGATGTCTCCCCCATGTCAATACCCCGGCAAAACTCCCTGCAGCGAAGTTTCATCACGGTGAAGTCAAATACTATCAAGGCCGTGGATCCCGCAAAATGCGGGACAGTTGTGGAGTTGACTAGTCTATATTTGGCAATTAATTATGCGGGGCCATTGTGATTTTCCGGGGAGCCTGGAGAAGGAAGGAGCAGCAAGTTGATATACCAAAGGGGAAATGTACCACATAAGGTAATTTACTCGTATGGATTGTCCTGCTCCATGTACGGACGGAACAGTGCGATTGTACGACAGAAACATGTGAGATCAGGTCTTTATTGGCTGGGGTTTGTTGTCTTCTTACAGTTCCCAAGCATATTGGGAATTCTCTTAGTACACTCTAAAGTTACAATAGCACATTACTTGGTCTCCTCACTTGCCCTTCCGGATGGTCGTACTGCTACCCTTACTACTCAGGCCACGGCTCAATCCAGCCCCTATCCCTCGACCCAATGTTGCGATCTTGCTGCCCGCCCATGGGTTGAGCTTCATCTCGTCACTCTCCGGCTCGTTGTAGCCTATGTGGGGCAGCCCAAATCCTTCACTGTCATCCGGCCCAATGACCATTTCTTCAGCTTCAAGTATCGGGCGGCTGGGTACAGTGTTATAATGGGACATGGATGGCGCTTTGCTTCGAGACGCTCGGGTTGAATTTCCTGCTGTCGAAGGCGTGTTCGTCCCATTAGAGGAATGGTTCGTGACTGATCGCTGTCGCGGATGATTTTGCGATATCGCAAGGAAGGCAGCAAAGGCAGCATCAGAGCCGCCGTGGCTCTCAATGTGACCTGCACCAACGCCGTGGTCAACGACAGACTGATTCCCTGAGAAAACGCTCGGAGTCCGGCCAATCGTCGAGTTGCTGTTGCTGTATCGACGAATGAGGGAATGCACCTGGACATCGTCTTGATCATCGTGGGTATGTGGAAAAGGCGCCTTGACCACACTCAAAGTTGAACAGGGACATCCGCAACCTGTTGGGCACGTCTGGCCTTCGTAGGCGTCATTGATTGGTTCTAAACTGTCATTGAATCGGACGCTCTCGGTAGGAGTATTGGGCCGGGTCTCTTCGGTTGAACGACGTGAGTCTGGACCACGCCCCCTTGTTAACTCTGGTCCGAACCATTCTTGGGCGCATTCGAAGCATGTCATGTGCCCACACTGAAGGCACGGAACTGAGAGGCCCTTGACCGCATTATTACAGATCACACAAGCAATGTGTTTGGATAAACGGCGTGTGGCTTCTGAGCATTCATCCTGAACGCAATGCCAGCCGAAAGGGATTCCATTCTTCTCAATCGCTGCTAGAACTTGTCCACAACGATGACAGCATTGCCTGATCTCCAATCCGAGACCGCGAAATCGCAGAGCGGAGCCCAGCGTCTTCATCCGACCTTGAGCGGGGAGCGCGTGGTGGCTTTGGACCCCTGCCGTTGTCGCCGCAAGTGATCCCAAGCGTTGTTGGCTGACAAACCGGTCGTCCATCCTAATGCCATCCGCTTTTAAGATCTCGGCCCGCGGAACATGCAATTGCCAGACATCCAAAAGGTGCGCATAGCATGCTCGATACGTTCTGCATCTTTCATCCAACTCCGGGTCTGAGAATCCTGAATGTGGGTAGCCATCCAAGTCAAATTTGTCTTGATTATACAAGATTGTCTTTATTCTCTTCCGCTTTGTCGGAGGTTTCTTCTGTGTCTGATCCGAAACCTCGGATGGCGCGATGGACCACAAGCTCCGACGTCCAGCGTCTGATCTTGGAACTTCATTCCGCAGGCTTACAGACGACATAGACGTCCGCGTCCTTGCGTCACGACTGTCTTGGCTGCCCGCTTCACCCCCGATCAAATAGGACCGTGAGTGCCGGCCTGTGGATTGACTACCAAAAAGGCCATGTGCAACCCAATTAGGTGCCAGAGAACTTGAAGGGCTGTATTTCTTGATGCTTGAAGCAATCGCAGATGCCGAATTTTGGCTGGGTGGTGAGTTGGAATAACTTTGTGTCAACGCAGAGAGACTGGCTCGTGCCGTGGAGTAGGCAATACTTGCGGTAGATCGGTGGTTCGCTCGATTTCCCTCTGGTGATGTCGACATCGACATTGTCGTAGAGTGGGTGGTCCTTGGCTCGCTTAGATCGTCACCCATGAAGCTGTGTGCTCGGGATGAAAGCTGACTCTCATGTCGTGCAAGAGCATGGCGTTGAGCCGTCTGCGATCTTGGTTGGCCAGTCATCAGCTGCCTATGCCCAGCCAGCTGTGATCCAGACTGAGGAAGCAGAACTGACTGATCAACTAGGGTGAAGCCAACTGGAGGGGGTTCCGGTCGGAAGAATGCCTTTGCAACGGCTTTCGAGGGGAAATAATCAAATCGAGCCAGGTTGTCATTTGTGCCATTCACCGTCTGACCTTTCCATGGATCTCTTGAGATGCCGTCCGCCTCTATCATGGAAGTAAGGACACAAGACATCATGGCCAGCATTTGAATGTCCCCAAGCCTTTCAAAGTGGTCGAACAGGGCGGGAATGAGGTAGGGTGAGCCCAAGGGATGATTGCCCCATCGAGTGCGGCCTCTGAGCTCGCTGGCCATTGGACCTTTGTACTTGTTGGAATTTGGGTTTGCCATTTTAGCGATCAATGTAATATCATTGATTGCATTGTGGTTTACCTCTGCAAATACCTCTAGAGGCACCGAATCGTCCAGTATAAGCCCTAACAGTGTCCACACAGACGCGAGGTCATCTAGGGACGCGGCGGCGGCTACCTTGGCATTGTGATCGCAAACTTCACCTCCATTGCCGACTATCCTGTAATCTTCGGCCAATTCACGCTTCGAGGGGATGAGATCGTCGAAGGTGTGAAGAGAGACCGAGCTTGTTTGAGGAGCTTCGTTCAGTTTCTGGCCACCTGTTGTCGATTGATTGGAGCGATCTGGCGAGCGAGACCGCTGGTGCAAACCAGAAACCACGATTGGCAGAGAGGACCCTCCTTGGGCATTGTGCTCAGTTTCAAATGAGGCAGACGAGCTGCTTGACGATGTCCAGGAAGACTCGGAAGTATCTGAAGATGTCTCATCGTCGGCTGTTCTCGTTCCACTGGCCATTTTTCGAGCGGGCGAACTAGTATTCAACCTACCAAAGCCCTCGAACAATCTGCTCGACTCGGATTCCTCAAGGTCCTTCACCCCGAGGGTACTAAGAAATGAGACAGGTTCTTTGGGCTTTGATGGGAAGAAGCAAACTAGTTTTCCAGTGTCTGACCAAAGGGCTCCGCAACCTTTGGCTAGCGGGACACGTAAATTTGCCGAAGCATCTAGACGCTTGTCAGCAGCCTCTATCTGATCGTCCTCATCACTGCTGGAGTCATCGACGGCGATGGCAGCCGGTTCAAGGATCTTCGAGTCGGTGATCGACTCGCCTAAAACCCAGGCAACGATTTGTTCCAAGTTCTGCTCCCGTAATAAATATCTCATGACGGCTTCCAGACAACCCCTTCTTCGAGATGCATACGTCTCCGAGATGGTTTGTAATTCGGTAGAGATATGTTTATGCGAGGCTTCATCGATGGAGGCTGTCTTTTGCAGACTAAGAACGGCATTGGCATCGCGTGGGTACAATTTGGGGAAGCGCATCTCGACTTTAAGATAGACCGGAGTCTGGTTCTCACCCCAGGGGGCGTGAATGCTCATGATTGCTTTCCGATGCGCTATATCGAGAAATTCAAATTCGACATTCTTGAACTTTTCGCCCACCTGACGGATCTCCTCAGCAATGGCGTCGGGGTCCCAGGAGAAGATCTTGACATTTTTCAACCAAGCAATGGGGTCAGCCGTTTGTCGATTATGACCTCGACCGTGCATGCCTGATGGTTGATTTTGGCGGCCACCTGCCACCCATCCTCGGAACTGGGTGACAGGGTTTTTGTTCATGCCAACATTGGTGCTTGTGCGTGCACGAAATTGGACCATGCTGTGACGGGGCAGGAATTCACCTCTCGGCGGCTCGATTGGAGAATCTTCATCTTTTGGCTCGTCTCGGAAGGTGCGGTATGTTGCTCCTTTCCGGGTATTATGAAGGCGTTGTACCTTTGATACTCCCTTTTCGTACCCAATATCGAGATAAACCTCGGGGTTGACAGCATGGAGTCGCAACTCTCTATCGGTGCCCCAGGTAACCAACTGAAATTCCCTATCATCGATGTCGTTGTTTATGTCTCCGCGTGATCTCCAAAGAAATTCTTTGACTTGGCCATCATGGCCAGGAAAAGTTGTGACAGGGCGGACGGGTCCGCTTTCGTACACACCATGGACGGCCCTGCGATCATAGAGGTGTAGATTGCTGTTGCCACGTTGAGGCATTGCGACGAGACCCCAGCCGAAAGGGGTGTGACGAGCGCGCCAGACAGGGAAAGGCGTCTCAATCACGCGTTCTGGCTGGTCATCAGCCTTGTCCAGGTCCCAAAATTTGATGGTCCTATCAAGTGAGCAGGTCAGGATTTTGTTTGGTTGATGTCGATTCCAGTCAATGCCGTAGATTTTGGTGCCATGTGCCTGGATGGTTTTGAGGGGATGTGCGCCTTTCCGGACGTCCCAGGTATGGAGGAATTTGTCGTGGGAGCTCGCAACCACGTGTTCATTCTGCCGGCACCATTTCACCTGGGTTGCACCAGCAAACCAATCAGAGAAAGAGTTGACAGGTCTTGACGGGGTGCGCAGATCCCAGCAGTGAACGAAACTGTCGACGGCACAGGTGGCCAAAACGTCAGGGTTGTGGGCGGAGAAGTTGATATCGGTAATGGCCCTAGTATGTCCATGCAGAACATATTCGATGGAGTCCTGCCAGGAGCGAGCACGTAAGTTCCAGACCAAGGCTTTCTGATTGGATGTACTAATGATCCAGTGATCGCGTGCAGCAAAGGGGGACCATTGGACATCGGCCACCTCCCACGGAGTTCGATGAGCCAAGTAGCGAGGTGGAGAGTACGGTGAATCGAGATCAATGATATGTAGGCCTTCTTTGGAAGCCAGAACAACGTCTCGTCCACTTGGAGAAATGGACAAGGCTCCAACCGGCTGTTCGAGTCTGAAGGAGGCATCCTGACCAAAGGTCTCGCTTTCGAAGGCGGAAGATGGACCACGGTGGGTCATGGTGGGATTCGAAGCGATTCTCAATTATATAAAAACAAGGCAAGTGTTCATGATTGTGGCGTACTTCCAGGAGACGAAGGAGGGGTGTATAGTGTTGAATGTGGAAGAGGAAGAAGAAACATCACGAAGGCGACGCAGGCGAAGGTGGATATCTCAGCCAATGCGGGATTCAAATGAATACCTCAAGAGCTAAAGGTAGGACTCAATGATCGTGACCGCCTGGGCGAATGACATGAGTAAGGTCGATGATGGGTGTGAAGAAGATGAAAGAGTTGTCGAATGTTGTCGTAGCATCAACATCATTGGGGGATTGGAAGCATGATGTACGTTGGCTGGGAAAGGCAACACATCGCCAAGTCTTTAGCACGTGACTTTTGTCGGGTTATCGTTGATGCGAGATGTACCTTTAAAGTGGCAAGAGGAGCCTACCTACCTACTCCGTAGCTGAGGGAAGAGCGCTCAACAGGCTCTGTGCCTAGTTGGCCACCTTAGGTAATTCTATGATCTATGTTCCATGGCAGTCGATTTATTGAAATCAGCACCAGACAACGCTTGTAGATGCGAGTCGCTGATTCAAGTACCGCATCCTCAGTTCCACCGAACAATGTTGCTCAGGGCGAGCTCGACTCCACCACTCTTACTCCGTAAGTGCTACCCCATGCCAAGCTAACCTCGCCAAATAGTACAGAAAGCCCCGCATTCGCAACTTCCCTTGTTGGACGAGGTGGTTTTATATGCTTTGGCCGCTCCTTCCCCGAATATGCATACCAAATTCTGACATCCAAAGAGGAAGGAACACCATGTACCAGCCTGCGCCCACGCTCCAACAATCAAAGCTCTAGCATTGCAACCCACCAGCTCGCGAGCATCTAATGCCATCTAATCTGTTTCGTTGCGACCCAATTTTTGGACGAGATTGACACCATGACCTCTGTTTCAGTGTCACACTGAACCAACCCTCTGTGCAGCACATATTTTTTCATGGCTCTTAGTCCCTTGCTCAGCCCACGATCTGGGACAGATCCTGTGACTCGAGTCAAAGATGTCAGAAACAACTTCATTGCCCGAACCCTCTAACGGACAACTGCCCGTACGGTCGGCCAGGGGTAGAAAGTGCCCATATTGCCCCCGTCATTTCCTCAAGGTCGACCACTATACCAGACATGTCCGCTCCCACACCAAGGAAAAGCCTTTTGTCTGTGATGTTTGCTTCAAGAAGTATCCTCGCAAGTAAGTCCAGGTAATCTCAATATCTGTAAGGACCAAATCTAACGGTAAAGTGATACGTTGCTCCGACATATGAGAACTCACAATGCCAAAAATGCAAACACGGCTTCTGACATCAAGGGTATCATCTTTATGCCCGGCATTGATCCCAAATCTCGCATTTCTAGGGCATCACGGCACCGACATGACGCTGAAAGCACACCTTCAGAAGACCAGCATCCACGCGCTGCGACGCAACTGGATCATAATGCTATGGGCATGCACCATCTCTTCTCGCCATCTACGGGCCTCATCGAGAATGGTATAGGTGAGAATATTGGTCAACACTCACCCAACCTGCTAGACCCTCACCTAGGATCAGATGTCAATCTATCCTTGCACGAAAGTCATACTTCCGCGTCTTTCCAACCAAGCATCTACAGTGAAGATTTTGCAGAATCCGGCCTGTCCCTACCAGATCACACACAGGATCTACTGTCATCAAAATCGGTTGACTCGGCAAATTGGCTTCTGACCAACGACTTTGACTTCTCCATCTTTGACGACATCAATAATCATCATTCAATCGATGTTTATGATCCTTACGGCCGAGACCTAACAACACTACCCGCCATTGAAGAAACCTCACCTGAAAGCACGGGCCCTGGCCCAGAAGTCGCAGACCTTAGGCATCTGTGGTACACGCCTGTACCCAGCATTGTATCCGGATTTGAAGCCAGTCAAGTCCCACGTAGTGTCTTAGTTGGCTCACCTCAAACCAACGAGGAGATTGATGAAGAATATCGCGCCAATCTAGCAAACAAGCTACAGCCTCCAATACGCAATGAGCCATTACCGTCCATTGAGCTCCTGGTAAGGTGATTTAATAGCCATCCGTCCGTCCATGTTCCTAACCATCTTACAGAACCTTTGCATACACATGTTCTTCAAGCGCTTCAATCTCGCCTTGCCACTTGTGCATGCCCCGACCTTTCGACCAACGACAGCCGACCCACTGCTGGTACTTTCCATCTGCTCCGCAGGGGCATTGTCAATGGGTTCGGCTGTAGCGAGCAAAACAGGATGCATGCTCTTCGAGCGAGTCCACAAAGCCCAGGTGGGCCAGGTGAGTCCATTTACTAGTCGCATGTCTTAATTCAACTAAACGGTAAATGCAGCCTTTTGAGAAGATGGTCTTGGGAAAGCCAGATAAAATACGGGCAACAATGAAAGCATCTATGGTGGGGCAGACGTTTGCTTTACTTTCTGCGGTACTGTACAGCGTACCGTCTTCCAAAATAATATGCTAAAGCGTCAAAATAGCACTCGTCTCATCTTTATGTCGCCTCCTCATTTCACGGTACCTTGATTTCTGTTCGTCGCTCTCACCTTCTGAGTTCTTGGATGACTGCTGATGAGCTGTAAGGCTGCTCGCCATGCACGACTTTACCACCGTACGTCTGCATTTGAACTGAAGAGCGACCTGAGCTCTGAAGAATTGATTAATTCATGGCACATATGGGCGCGAAGAGAAGAACTGAAAAGGTAGGACGATGGCTCCAGCACCTCAGCCCGTACATATAGGACCAATGCTCACACGGAACCCGCAGATTAGTTCTTGCACAGTATATCCATGACGCCGAGCTCGCCGCTTTGTTCCATCATGAGCCGATCTTCCGCCACCATGCTGCTGTCCTCCCTGAGATCTCGAGCTCGGCTCTTTTTGAGGCTCCCTCGGCACAGATTTGGGCGCAGAAATGGAAGGAAGAGCATGATGCTCGTGAGTTGGCCGGGAGTTCGCAGCCATCGCCGACCTTTGCCGGTGGGTCAAGGTGGTGCGCCCAACCGTACTCGACCGACACTCCCATGCTTGTGAGATACGCACTACTGTCCGGGATAGCCGCGTCCATCGCTGAGAGCCGCCATCTGAAGTATCTTGATCCTGAGGTAGTTCATCGATACGAGGCCGAGTTAATACACTGGCACAATACTTTTTCTGAAGACCACACACAACCCTCGTCGCATTCGGACCTGGCTGAGGTTCCGTTCAGCCTCAATCCACTTTGGCACTATACATGCATGACGTTGACAACAGACCTTGACATGCTGGAGCGTGCGGTCGGTAAGGACGGCTCAAGTGTATCCTCTTCAGTCCAACAATACGTCTATGCTTGGATCAGCTCGCCGGATTCAAAGCGGTGCTTGTATCACGCATTGAAATTGCAACAGTCTGTTTCTGATTCCAGTGTTGGGGCTGTCACTGCGATTCACACACCAAGAATTCTCTTTGCTGCTGCAATTTGCTGGCAAGCATACATAATATACCGGCCGCACATTTTGGATGCTTTGCAAAATGAGGGCAAAGGAGGGACTAGAGCGGATGGCTCCGGGACAAAAACAATGCACGCCTTTCAGAGTAACCCATCTAACACATCTATGGTGGCAATAGGCGATGATGGAGATTCACAGAAACTAGACAAAATTTTGGCTACGAATGCAGCCGAGATGAAGGCCGCCACTCTCTGCATCCTTGAGAGCACCTTGCGCCGTCTGGGATCGTGGGGGATCTCGAGATCATTCGCTGATTTAGTCCGAGCATTTATCTTTGGAACGGATGCTTGAGTGAATGAGTGTATAAGCTGTAAGAGAAATCTGGAAGCCCAGGAGTCTATCAGTTTGTCCAAATGAGGAAGTGTAGATGAACAAGTGCTATTCTTCTCTGTGCTCCGACGTAATAAGGTCTACGGCGAAACTCGGGTTCCTTCCCAGACGCCAATAATGGTTGCGCCTTCCCCTCCATTATTGCCTGCGCTTTGACTCTCCACAGTCAATCAATCCTCCAACCAACACCATCAAATGTCACTGTAAGGCAAACACAGATACTGTTAGTCTGCATAATACATCTACGCACTGTTCAACGCTTTCTGTTGTCTTGCTTGCCTTTCTGCGGGACATCTGTGGCAATTCAACCAACCTCATTCACAACATCGGGCGCACTCGCCACTACCACAGCCTGGCTGGTTCCTTGACCTTCAACACTGAAGAAGAGGCGGAGGCAATCTGGTTACAAAGACTATCTCAACCCGGAGACCATTATACTCTGACAAAATTATCTGCGCACAACCTTGTCCTGACAGCACTGCTATTGCGCAACCTTGAGCAGCTTCCAACATGGCGCTGCCAAAGAGAATCATAAAGGAGACGGAACGACTGATGGCAGAGCCGTATGCGCATCATGTCTCATAAAACTGTCACTGGAGATCTGACATTGTCTACAGTGTGCCTGGAATCAGTGCCATTCCTCATGACGATAACCTGAGGTACTTTGACGTGAGCATACATGGCCCGTCTCAGTCACCCTATGAAGGTACCGATCACATCTATGCATATCATACAACATGAATGTCGCTAACTCTTCACCCAGGGGGCATCTTCAAACTCGAACTTTTTCTGCCAGAAGACTATCCCATGACACCACCCAAGATCCGGTTTCTGACCAAAATCTATCATCCAAACATCGATAAATTAGGACGAATCTGTCTAGACGTCTTGAAGAGTGAGTCGTTGGATACATGTTTGGCTCACCCGTGCTAATGGGGTGGTGATAGGCAATTGGTCGCCAGCTTTGCAGATCAGAACCATTCTCCTATCCATACAAGCTTTGCTAGGAGCACCGAACCCCGACGATCCATTGGCAAACGACGTTGCTCAGAGATGGAAGGAGGACCAAGAGGCTGCCATCCAGACCGCCAGAGAATGGACTCAGACACATGCTAAATCATAATCATATCTCGGACTGGAATCTGTCCCCAGGAGTTCACTTGTGATTAGGTGGTACCAGATATACATGGGTGGTGCTGATCGATCAGACTTGACACCAACCATGTGCCGGTGCTGTGTTGATGTGCTATGAATTCATGACATTCGAATACAACATGGATATCCCTTGACAATATTTTGAATTTGCTCTATTTGGTGAGTGTGACCTCTTCATTTGAGCTTGTGCATGTGCCATGTTCTGTTGTTCTGCGTTCTCACCTGACGCCGCCGAGCCCAACCCAACCGCACCCCACGATCAGTCCTGGTTCTTGTTTTATATTGCAAGTTTGGTGAACTTCCATTTCTTTGTTTCCTCCCTCTTCTGGACACGTGTGCCATTGGTTGATATTTCGAATCTGTTGGTCGTACCCGTTTGCCTGAAGAACAGCAACCCAACAGTGTCGCCGAGTCTGAGCAAAAGCATCAATACCCGAAGCTCGATGCCCGATGTTCGACGCTCCCTCTTCTCCCGCCATGACCGTGGCATCCAAATCTTCAGCCGAGAGCGCTCGCGGTGATGGTGCAATCTCCAGGTGATATGCCACCGTCAAGAGACCAAGTGAAGAATCAAGACCTTATACTAACCAAAATACCAGCCCTTTGTCCACCTTGCCATTTCCCAAATCTCCTCGTACTCCTGGAGGCAGCTTGCGACGGCTAGCCAACAAGATAAGCTTCTCCAACTTATCATCTCGCGGAAGATTGAGACCGTCCCCGTCCCAGGAGAGAGTGACGGAAGCGGGGCATGTGCAATCTTCACTGATCCAGGCTCGACGCGCTTCAATCAAACCCCTCTCGATCATCACAACTGCGTTCGATCAGCTCGATTTCGATCCTCGCTCTGCAATTGAGACACTTCAGACCCCTCCAGCTGAGACATCACTGAGCCATTCTCCCTCCGTTATCATGTCTACTGACAGTCCCAGAGACCGCAGTATCATCGATAACATGGAGAGATTTGGCAAGCAGGTCGAACCTTTTCCAGAGGTCTTCACAACACGCGCACTCGCCATCAAAGAGCGGCTCTTGAAAAAGGCAAACGAGAACTTACACAACCCTAACTACTTTCCAGACCCTCCACCTGACATGTTTCGTGATCAACTTGCCCAACTCAACGCACGCAATTCGGCCGGTCAAGATCGAGAGGAAGATGAGAAGACGATCAGAGCAGCAAAGTCTTTCACCCAGTTGAAGCCTTTGGACGAGCCCAGCTTGGCTGACGGTGCCTCGACACCCTGTCAATCTAGCAGCTTCAACGGAGATACAACCCATGAGGTTCCAAGAGTCATTACTGCTCCCTTCACCTCACTGATCAATCTGGCCCCTCCAGATCCCAGCCAGCATCCATCCTTCCATCCAAACCCACCATTGTCCACGAGTGGCGCACCTCTGATGATCACTACCTCAAGTGCAGAGGAGATTCGCAAGTGGGCACAGATGAAACGCAAACACGAATCTGAAAAATGGACAACTCCACGCACCAGTACCGAATCTCCCAAGCCAGTCAGTAACACCTTCACCACGCCCACTTCTGGATCACATTCCCCTATGCCTACCAACCTCGCGAAGGGTCCATCCTTGGATGAAGCAAACAAGCTGTTTCTGGGCGGTCATACTCTCAGTAATATCAGTCTTGGTCATCCTGACAATAGGGGTTCGGGCGGAAACGATAGGCTCCAGGGATCATTGGGCAAGAGTTCACTTGCTAGGACATCTTTTGGTGCCGACCACGAAGAGACCGACATTCGTGAGATTCTCTCTGACACATCGCCACTGATCTTCTCCACCCCGAAAACCAGTCGTACCCCCAATGAGAGCTTCAGATCAGAGGCCACATCATTCACTTCGGAGGGATCGGAGAAGAAGACAGGCCTACGCAAGATGTCCAAGTTCTTCAAGAGCAAAGCAGACAAATCCGAGGGTGCAGGCACACAGGAATTCCTTGTGACCTCCAACTTTCAGCGACCCGATCTGGTATGCTGTTCTCACACCAGTTGAATCAAATGTGTACTAACTGGCATAGGAACATTATCTGCGACGAACCTCGAATTGCTGGTCACGCGATTACTATGAATCGGACCCCAAGCCAAGACATCCCTACACTTCCAAAGGCCGGTACTCTCGCAATTTGCGTTGTACTACTTGCCTCGAGACTTGCTGCGCAGTTTGCGATCGTGCTTGCTGTGCTTACAAGGCCGCCGTCATGGCAATGGAAATCCACAGCAACCATCCAGAAAACCTCAAAGTGGCGGAAGATCGAGTGCTCGAAATCACAAAGGTGTTTCCCTACGGACGAGAAGCGCCTACGTTCTTGCAGTGCACAAAGGATGACGAGACTGGATGTGGCCAAATGGTGTGTCCTGATTGTTGTGGCATTTGTCCCCTTGAATATTGCGGAGACGTCCAATGTCGCAAGTGCAAGTCCGATCCTTGGGATATCTGCGACTGGCATGATGAATGACGTGACAATCCTGCGGTTGGGTCGATGAGGAATGACTTGACACTCTTGGGGGTAGGGTCAATGATGAACGACGTGACACTCATGAAGTTGGGTCAACGATGAGCAATGTACAGAGTATGGCGAATTGGGATCGTGGTTGTTATTGGGCATGTCAAAAGTACATATGGCAGGAGCGATCTGCCCGGGGTGAATGTGGGCAACGAACGTTGCGACAGTCGCTGATGTCTTCGAGACACGGACTTTGCAAGGCCAAAAGAGCAACTGAGATGTTCAAGCGGGATTTCACTCTTCTATGAAACCACGGGCGAGTTGAAGGACTTCGTACTGTGGGAATGGTTGAAACCTACTCGACATGAAGTCCCAGTTGCGAAAAGCTTTTAGACAGGAAAGAACTCATGTAAAATTAATACTGTAACAACTGAAAATCAACAAGAGAAACAACTACTACTCCGTAGATGACTTCGACTTAGACTTCCAACCATCATCAATTGATGACAAGGATGTATGGTCCTTCTCTTGTTGGGCGAATACCCCTTATTAATCAAGACACGTGTGGCACGTGCAATAATCCCCAAAATTCAGCCTTGGAGTCAACTCTGCACTTCAACTCCCAACCCTCGACCGTATCAGATTCAAGTCTTGGCATTAGCCAAGACGCACAATTCAGTGCCCGACCCACCAGCACCGAGTCTCACAGATCTGAAGGGCTGAGCCAAATGGCCGAGAATTGAATTGAAACTGCGCCCGTTTGTGTGTCCCATTCTCAACCTCACTTCCACCCAACAACCAATCCTCACCACCCTCATCATCACCGGTACAGCATCCGCAATCATCCAAGATGCGTACCTACGACGATACCTTTAGCGGAACCAAAATCTACCCGGGCAAGGTCAGTTTCCTCCATGAAATCCAATCGAAGTGTCGAACGTCACAAGTGGGATGGGAATGGAGGATATATTTGTTGGAAGATGGAAGAGCAGATCACACGATATTATTATCATCGTCTTTCGTGCATCGGCACCGAGGATAGATTCGTGTCGTGATGGATTCTGGAAAGAGCTGGAGTCAATGAAAATGAGATTGAGGGACGTGGCGAGGATGATTTTTACGACATTATGGGCTTTGACATTTCATCGAACATTCGGCTGACCTAGTTTGTGATGATTACAGGGCAAGCTCTACGTCCGTGGTGACAGCAAGATCTTCCGCTTCCAGAATGGAAAGACCGAATCCCTCTTCCTTCAGCGAAAGAACCCTCGAAGAATAGCGTGGACTACTCTGTTCCGTCGCCAGCACAAGAAGGGTATCTCTGAGGTTAGTAATGGCGCGATTGTTTTCTATACTGGGTATGTCGCGATGGAGGGGTTTGGTCGGGGAACGGTGTCTAGTGCTGGAATGGTTTGTTCGGATTCTGTTTGATATGGCGTTGCGACTGTGATCCCCCGGATCGGACTACTCTCCCGTGATGGGATGGTTGCAAGTCACATCACGTCAGACCAGACCAGATCATATCAGATCAGGCCAGGCCACACCAGCGCCGTTATACGACCAAATACCCCCGTCGCGACATAAAGAACCACCCTTACCGCGAACGCGATACAAGACACGGTCAACTAACTTGATATCTTTTCGGTCATAATAGGAAGTCGCCAAGAAACGCACACGCCGAACCGTCAAGCACCAGCGAGCTATCGTCGGTGCCTCTCTCGATGTGATCAAGGAACGCCGCACTCAACGACCCGAAGCCCGTGCCGCTGCCCGTCAAGCCGCCATCAAAGAATCCAAGGAGAAGAAGACCGCCGCCGAGTCCAAGAAGAAGGCCGAGAAGGCCAAGTCCGCTGCCAGCGCCGCTCGTGGCCAGGCCCGTGGTGGTATCTCCTCTAAGCAACAGTCCAAGGGTGCCCAGATGAAGGTCCAGGCCAACACCCGATAAATGCACTGCGATGCAATGGCATGAGGATTGGGTTCTGGAGTGACGGTTGATGGATGATGTTTCATGGTTGAGCTCGATGATGAAAGAGATACCTACTTTGGTCTCGAGAGACTTTGAATCAGACATGGGGGGAAAGGGGAGAAAGATTATCTTTCTATTCCCTTGGTCTTATTATTGCACTGTGGTTGAAACTGCTTTGCAATCGAGGACAGAAAGGAGAGAGAGTTGTATGATGCGGTAGTGGTTGGACCAGGAGTTGCAGACAGCATGCACTGGTCACTCTCCTGCTTGCTTACTGCCGTAAACTTTACTCTATTACCTGACTTGTGTCTGCCGTTGCTCTAGCAAGTCAAGGATGAGAGAAAGAGAGAAATGAAAAAACATCAAGACTCCACAAATGAACTGGAATTGATTTGCGAAATGGTGTGTACGGTGTAGTTTTAGATGTGCTACATGCGTGCAGGTGATGTTGCCATGAACCAACCACGACCTACGCCGCAAAGTATCCCCTAGATGATGCCCCATTTGGCTTGTCCCAGGTCTGGTCCATCGAATGCATCATTTCCTGTATGATGAGTGATGTGTGCTCCTAATATGTACAATCCTCTTGACCCAGTCGTCTCATGGCAGCTGTAGGAGTAGAGTACTCGGCATATATAGCCAAGTCGAGATGCCTGAAATACATATCTCTCGTATATTTTTATTCAGTCAGGATCGATTGACTGTCGACTCTCCCTTTGCGGACGAGCTGATGAGAAGATACCACGGCGGCTGTGTTGAGATGTTGGAGGATGCCACCACGGGGATCGTGTGGCGTATTGATCTGATGTGCCCGTGGTAGAGTGGCAGAGTCTGTCATTCGGGTGGTGTCAAGGGCTCCCTCTAGTCATTGATGCAGACAAATCTTCAGCAAGACTCGTGGCAGAGTCCTTTGGTCGACATGAACAGGCTCCCCTCACAGCAAACGCCTCTTCTTAGTCCAGCAGAGTCCTTGGGAAGCGTATGCCCACAACCCTCCCCAATATATCATATCATCCTCAATCGCCCAAACTGGTCCCAAACTTATCAACAAAGAAATCCTCCGCCTTTCTCAAAACCTTTGCGTCCTTGGGTCTGATATTATGCGCTTCTTCCGGTAATTTCCAATTATTGACCCCCCACCACCACTTCCGCACCCTAGCACCAATAGTCTGACCCTTGAATTTAGTACCACGATTCCAATGTCTCCATCCAAACATGGCCAGATTCCACAGTATACCCTGCGTCAACGGCAGGATAACCTGGTCGCGAATCGTGATAAAGGCAACCATCCATTTTGTCTCTGCGTTCTTGATGCTCGCTAGATACGATTGCTCGAAACGGAAGTCGGGAATGGGAGGGAAATCTCGCCGTCGGGGCCGGGGGCGGATTACTTCGCTGGGTATGGTGGATGTGGATGATGTTTCTGATGTTAAGGAGTGGGAGCGTGAGCGTGATTGAGAGCGAGACCGAGTCGGTGATAAGGAGGGTGACTCGAGTATAGCAGGGATTTTCTTGGATGCTGCTGTTGAGGGATTCAGGTCATGTGTGGGTGATGGGTTTCGTTTGATGGAGACGGATTGGATCGCCGAGGCGAGTTCCATGGCTGGGTTGCTTGCCATGGTTGATGGCAATATCAAGGAGAGAACACAGACGAGTATGTGGAGGGGGCAAGGTGCCGTCTAGGTGCAAGAGGTGTGATGTTGCGACTTGTACTGGGTGTGAATTTATCTATATGAAACAGCGAAACTGATGATCTGAGGTTGAGAAGCTCCAGACTCCAGACATCAAAGAGTCACGTGACCTACGTCTCCATATTCTTGCCACAACTACTCAGGTGCCTAGGTAGTCTTGACTTTACATGTATCTCTTGTTGATTGATGCTCGCCGCCATCTAATCTGGTATACCCTAGAATGATCTATTTCAAATTCCATCCCATCTATTCGAGTTATGCTGTACGAGCAAAGACAGACAGGACGTCTTTATACACTGGCCAGCTCTGGAGTGTCGCCAAAACAAGCGAATTGAAACATTGCTGGGTAACGATCTCCCTTGGTACCACCAACATCATTGATCGCCTTTCTGATTCGGCGGTCATCTTCTGCCGTGAATTCAACATTGACTGCCTCGGCGTTCTGGTGCAAGTACTTGACATGTTTGGTTCCTGGAATTGGAATGAAATCTGTCGGAACCATTAGCAAAACCGAAATTTCCCTCAGTTCAAGAGTTTCTGAAGTTTCTAAACTCACCTTCACCCTGTGCCAAAACCCAAGCCAAAGCCAATTGCCCGGAAGTACAGCCTTTTTCATTGGCAATTGAAGTTATCACATCCACCAACTTGAGATTCTGAGGAAAGTTCTCCTCAGAAAAACGAGGAAACATGCTCCGTAGATCCTTGGGATCGAAATCAGCTCGACTCTTGATTGCACCGGTGAGGAAACCTCGACCGAGCGGAGAGTAAGTGACGATCTTGACACCCAATTCCCGGGCCGTGGTCAAGAAATTCGTCTCGGGAGATTCGATCTCGAGCGCAAAAGGTGAGAATTCCATTTGAGCAGCCGCAATCGGGTGGATCTTATGAGCCCTTCGCAATGTCTGTGCAGAGCACTCAGAGAGACCAAGATAACGAATCTTGCCTTCCTTTTTGAGATCCACCATTGCTTGTACGGTCTTCTCAATTGGCGTCTTAGAGTCCACTCGATGTTGGTAATACAAATCGATACGATCAGTCTGCAGACGCTTCAGACTAGCTTCACATGCTTGTTTCACATATTCAGGGTCGCCACGGATGAAAAAGCCTCCCTTTTCCATGATGTTTCCGAATTTCGTTGCGAGGAATATCTCGTCGCGGCGTCCAGTTTCTTTGAACCATCGACCAAGAAGTTCTTCATTGGTAAACGGGCCATACATGTCACTGGTGTCCCAGAATGTGATGCCCATGTCGGCGGCAGCGGTGAGGACTTTCAATGACTCTTCGTCGTTGGTTCCATTCGATAGGACAATCGACATGCCCATACATCCAAGACCAATCGCGGAGACGAGATCATCTCCAATTCGGCGTTGGGGGAATTTGGGCGCCATTGTGATAGGTATGTACTATATTTTGGTTGTGAAGAGTGATCTATGTATGGGATTCAAGGCTTGGTGTATATTAGTCGGCTTGGGGTCGTTGCTTGTCTGACAGGCTGTCTATGGCAGATATATACAGTCAAATATACTGTCGAACGGGACATCGTCTAATATTATATAAATATGAAGACTCTTGTTCTTTTGTAGTACTTTCCATTAAGATGGTCCGAGCCATCTCGAGGCATCGGGCATCACGCTTGTGATTGGGTTGGTTAAGTCCTAACTCCGACATAGCCTTCCTACAAACTCCATGATCTTTGCATGTTAGAATCCAATAGTAAAAAAATACAACAGCATGATGTGGTCCTGCCATACAGGGTCCCTAAGTCCGATTTATTAGATGCCCCAAAAAGGCAATACTCTTGCGAGCAAATAGCCTTGTTTTCGTGTATGGCGGTAAGGAGTCTAGTGAGACCCGCTTCTATGCCATCGACAGATGGAGATGAAAGTGGACGAGCTCTCCACCATTGTATATTCACATGCAGACAATTAGATTGGGAATAGGAGAGTCTACTGCTAGGGTCGCTTTCGACTCTTTCGGTGACCATGATGACTATACTTGTCCTACACGGGTCGGCTGTTGGCGAGGAAGTCGTTCCGGCGGCCTAAAATAGTCAAGAAAACATACCTAGATAGAGCCCAGGATTGTAAACAACAAAAATGACAACCATCGACGCCCTATCACTGCAAATACCACCCTCTCGACTCAATCTCTTCTTGACTAACCACTCTCCATACCATCACACAATCAAAATACAGATACAAGACGATGTCAAACACATTTTCCACCGAGGCACATTGTAGATGCTTTGGACTATCGATGGAACGATTCCAAGCCAACCGCTTCAGCAGGATCCACTTATTACTCGGTAGACCTTCCCTTTCCTGTTGTTCCAATCTGTCCCAATTCTCCTCCACTTCAGTCACGTGGGCGGTGAACCAACATTTTAATTTTGCAGGAAGAAACCCCACCACGAGATGAGAAGAGACCCTCACTACCAAAACATCCACCTCAACATCATCCTGGGAGACAAAAGTTACCATTGGATATACTACATACTATCTTCACCTTTTTGTCTCAAACCAGCGCCCTTATCGCTATTTCCCCTACTATTACGCGTCCTCACAAAAGCTCCAAGTCCATACCTTCACACACACTATCCCCCGTCATCATGGCAACCCCATCATTCAAGCTCCTGTGTTTGGAGAATCCGCTCCTCGACATTCAAGGTCAAGGGTACGTACCGTTCGAACGGGGTTCCCTCCCCCCTCCTCCCCTCTTCCTATCTCCGAGTCGACACACCTAGCTGGTCCTCTCGCTAACCCTTGACCGTCTTCCTCTATCTCAGTGACCAAGCAATGCTGGAGCAATATGGATTGAAACTCAACGACACCCTCCTTGCGGAGCCCCACCAAATGGGTCTCTATGAAGATCTCATCAACAACCGCAATGCAAAGTTGATCCCCGGTGGTGCAGCCCAGAACACCGCTCGGGGTGCTCAATACATGCTCCCTCCCGACTCGGTCTGGTATATTGGATGTGTGGGCGATGATGAGTACGCGAGCATTCTGCGACAGAAGTGTAAAGAGCAAGGTTAGTAGTCCGGGACATGACAAAAATACGTACCTACCTAGGACCTACATGGTAGAGGTGTACTGCGAAGCAGTAACTAACCCCCCCTTTTCGCTCCTTTTAGGTCTCCATGTCGAATATCTCGTGGACCCAAAAATCCCGACCGGAAAATGCGGTGTCATCATCACCGACCACCACCGAACCATGTGCACACATCTGGCCGCCGCCAACGAATACAAACTATCACATCTCCAATCACCCGAAATCTGGGCCAAGGTGGAAGCCACGACGACGGCATTCTACGTTGGTGGATACCATCTGACCGTCTGCCCGCCTGCCGCGTTGGCTCTAGGAAAACACGCCGCTGAAACCAACAAAATCTACATGTTGAGTCTGTCGGCCGGTTTCATCCCTCAATTCTTCAAGGATCCTCTTGCCGAGGTCGTGCCGTACTGTGATTATATCTTTGGAAATGAGAATGAGGCCAAGACCTGGGCTGAGACTGCCGGACATAAGGATATCAGTATTCCCGAGGCGGCCAAGTTGATGGTGGAACAGCCTAAGGTTAACACCAAGAGACCCAGAGTTGTGATCATTACCCAAGGCACGGAACCTACAATTGTGGCGATCAAGGAGGAGGGTAAGGATGCTGAGATTAAGGAATTCCCTGTTGCGGCGATCGAGGCCTCTTTGATCAACGATACCAATGGAGCTGGTGATGCCTTCGCTGGAGGCTTTGCCGCTGGTATTGTTGAGGGTGATTCTCTCGAAGTGGCTATCAAGAAGGGTCATTGGCTGGCTCGTCTGGGTTTGCAGGAGCTTGGTCCCTCGTACGCCTCCCTCATTACCCTTCCTCATACTTCTTGTCTTCTAATGCTAATGACATTCTCTCAGATACCCATACCCCAAGCAGACCTACAAGGCATGATCAATTATCCAATGTATGGAGGGTCATCGCATCAACTATTAGAGTGCAGGGCTTCAGGTCATTCGCCAGATTGCCGTACCAGGAAAGTGGCATGATGCCACTGCTATGCTGCCTGCCAACCACAGTTTGGTATGGCAATTCTGACGCCTCAACGCGTTCAGCCTCATTCAACAAGGCTGTATTCCTGGTTTATGATACCATGTCCTCCACGACTTGTTAAACGAAATAGATCACCATCTGTGGTAGAGTTGGCGCCTCAGGCGAGGAGAAAAGGCAGGACCGGGTCAAAGTCCGATGATAAACGAAGCTATAGCACAAAACACAAGTTCGGGCGAACGAGCAGCCTCGCTCCGCGCGAACCCGAAATAATGCCACCTGCATTGATATGCTGGAAACCCTTGTCGAAGATGGCCTGGTACATGATCGAGACTCACGCGGCGCTCTGCCAAATCAGGGACTGCGGGACCGTGGACTCGAGCCAGACCCTGCCCTCATCCCAAGTAAAGGCTTGGGAGCTAACAACAGCAAAGTCATAGTCTCATCCTGCCTGTCCACTGGTAGGGGCGCCGCTACTCCTAGGTCGAGATTCCCCAATGGCTCCGAACGAAGCTCTTTGTGGAGCCTGGCGTGAAATAATCTCTCCGTGAACCGAAGGGGAGAATGACTGTACTGCAAAAGGTGATGACGAAAGTTGCGACTGCTCCAATCGAGGTCCCCATATTTTTAGATGTGCTGGTGTCTCCGAATAGTGGCTTGACAATGTCGCTTGGAGCAACTCTGCGGGTGATGACCTATCTTGCAATTGTTGCTCCTGTTGTGCAAGATTGAGGCGAAACTGCGCTTGGGAATTGGTCGTAAACGGCGTTGGAAATGTAACTGTACTCGGCCGAGGCGATGATCCAGGCGTCTCACCCGGGAGAGGTGCAAAAGGTGAGTTGTATATGCTAGGCAAGTTCGGCCGACTTCCAACCGCGTCAGGTGGAATAAATGGGCTTGTAGGTCCCTGATGAAGTTGTTGTACAAGATCTCGAGCGGTGAAACTAGAGCCTTGAAGATGCGGCAGCGCGCGATCGGAAAAGGATGACGCCGTTGGAGTTTTCAAGGTAGGAGTCAATGGTTGATCAGGCACCATACTGCGAAACCCAGCACGTTGTGCGGGCTCGGGGTGTGTGAGATCATTGACCATATTCTCCATTGTTGATGTTGCAGATTCGGTCACGCCAGCTTCCGAGATGTTGTCGGCTTGTGGAGGAACATCTTGTGAAAGCCTCTGTTTAACTCTCCCCAAGTCGACATTGTCGGGATTTACGCCGTGTATGGACGTCGAGTGAAGATCATGAACGGGTACAGGATGGACGTCTTGAATGGGTTCAATATCAAGAGCCACAAAACGATTTCCTGCAAATTGCAACGGCACTGATATGCTCCCAAATTGTTCCTAGTGATGTTAGAAATCCCTTTAATTCTTTCCTTAATAGCAACTCGAGGCCATAACATACCTGGTGCCGGCAGAGGAGAATTCCATCTTTGACCAGACTCTTGACACGAGAGAGCATCTCATCGTCCACACTCCGTGGGCCAAAAATCTCCTCATTGTAGACAGGTTTGAGCATGTCCTTAGAGTTGAACATATGTTGTTTTCGGACTAAATCGATAAAAGGAGAGAACCCAATCGTATCGGCGTCCTCACTCAGCAAGTATGGAACCTCGACAATGTCAATGATTGGAAAAATGGCAACCAACATGCTGAGTGTTTCGGCATAGATATGCCAGAATGTTCTCATTTGAAGTTGTAGTTCGGTGCGCGCCATGAGCAGTTCGGTGGTACTTAAGAGCCAGCTGCTGTAGAGGCGAAGGTGCGGAAGGATTCGACGCGTGAGTGCCGTGAACTCGACAGATTGTGGAGATGATGAGGAAAGCTTCTCGGCACGTCTTGTAGCATGGAGTTCAGCGAGTAAGAGCCGTAAAAGTAAGAAAAAGGTGCCGACGTTGAGCTGTTGCAAATTACGAAACGGTTGAATTTCCGTGCTGCCAGCTTCAAAGAGGTGAGAAATCTTGCTAGGAAATGAAGTGGTTGGTTCACTTACCACGAATCTTCTGAGCCACAACCTCTTCAGCAGCAATGTTTATCAAGCAAAGCTTTCGAGTGTTGGAATCCGACGGCTTGTCCTTCAAGTGATCTCCGAGTCTCCGTAACATTTCATCCAGCTGGACTTCATCGCTGACGAAGGTGATGTCTGCACAAGAAGCGTGAAAAACAAGAAACAGATCACAAAGTGTGCCATCTTTCTCCGTGTTGTTTGGCGAGATAGGTTTGCCTTGCAAAGCCCGGGCTCTGATCTTTTTAAATTCGAGTTCAAGGTTATTCGGAGCCTGAGGGAAAGGATTCTCGACAGAGATGGACCGATAAAGATAGTAGACCGCTCGAAGGTGGTCTTGATCCTTGAGAGCGATGACAGCCAGTTGGTTGTAGGAGGTGCCCCAAGTAGGGTCAAGGGCTATGGCAAGCTCATAATACCCTTTCGCAGGACCCCAGTCGGGAGTCTTCTTGGGGATTTCTGACTCCCTATAACGGGACAGATCACCAAGCTGGACGAGACTCAAGTAACAGGAATGGACGATATGCTTTTTGAGCGAATCATCGACCTGAACAAGAGGATCTGCGGTTAATGCTACAGACAGTGGTCAGACGCCGGAAAGGGAGCGAACCAGATCAAAGATGGACGCACTGTCAAGATTGAACTTCTTTGCCACTTGAAGAACCTCGGGAATGTCTTTAAAGTGAGAAGCCAGTCGTTGAATGTAACCACGATAAAAGCGTTGGCTGGACTTGAGGAAGTCGAGATATAGCTTTTCAGCTTTCCGTCGTTCCACATGTCTCTTCTTGCCTTGTTCGTCTTTGAATTGGGTGAGGAAAGGTTTGAATTTCTGATTGACCCTTGCATGCAAGTCCCAGAGACGGACTTCAATTCTTTCACTTCCGGCCTGTGTAATGTCCAGAAAGATGAAGTCCTGACATGCAGATCGCAATCTATGGGCCTGGTTAGAACACGGGTATGGAGGGGAGCCACCAGGGTCTTACTCTGCCAACTTGGGCTCGAAGGAGGGGTAGACAGGGTCTTTGCGAGACAAGTTGTGGGAGAGGTCATTTTCTAAACGTTGTACATGTCTAGGTTGAATTAGCACAGATCCTGGGTGCGTGTCGGCGACGTCAATCTCTCACCTGAGTGCCTTGCGGGCAGGTTCTTCCATGGCGAATTGAGGTAGGGATACTGGATCATGGCGACCACGATCTGGGTCAAGCAGAGTGCCTTGAACAAGCTGGGCACCGCGTCAGGATACGATCCATTGGGACAAAGTTTCGCTTCCTGGCTCGGGTCAAGGACTGAGACCTAGACCGAGAGGAAGATGTGGAGGGACGAAGCGTCACACGTGGAGGATGTTCGAAGGACCGAATGCAGGCTCGAAACACATCCAGTAGTGATCGAGCAGTAGTCAAGGGTGGTAGTTTACTCAGATCGAAGCCTGACGATGGCTTGTGAGTTTGGTGGGTGTGAGTGTGGAACCTTGTCTAGGTACTTAAATGTGAGAAAGGAAGCGGGGGGACTCCGGGCGACGAATCGACGAATCGTGACCCCGAAGACGCCTAAGGGAGCCTTTTGCGGCGGACTGCATGCGCCTATAGGCGTGCTGCCTCGCGAGGATTATGCCTGGCTCCGTCCTGCACGTTTGTTCAGCCTTGCCAAGGAATAACACGGCAGATCATAATTCATTCAAATGCATCTCTAAATTTCCTCACCTGGAAGCAAGTCGCATCTCATGAGGTATAGCATTGAACAGCTCTCCATCAACACCGAGTGAGCGAAGGGCCACTCACTCAGCGACTTCGCTCTGACTCGACATCTGACCCGGCAAAGCTGCTGCGGCAGAATATAGACATGGCCAACAATTCCATGTCGATACGGCTCGCGCAGACATGGCGGTCGATCAGCAAACCTTCAATTTGCAATCGATGTGTACAGTCTCGCAGAAGTTTTGCAAGTCAAGCAACAGCAGCAGCAACACCGTCGCCGCAGATTGATTCCGATTTAGAAGAGGCATCATCCTTGACATCGTCATCCGCACCACAGTCATCATCTATCGCCCAATTAGAGCTCCAAGCCTTTGACCCCGTCAAAAATGCTCGAGCAAGAACGAAACAATTGCCTCGAAGCAGGTAATTCTCACCCCTAGTAGATTCATTCAATCCGATCACTCTCTCCTAACCATCAATCCCTTCAGATATCAATTCCGAAGTCCGAAATACGACCGCGGTCCTCTCCACCCACATCAACCACCTGCCCCATCCGATCCCTCGAGTCGAGAATTCGTCCCCGGCCCGTTTTCCAAAACCCGCATGGAACAATTCTATCATAACATCATCGCCCCGGATTTCATGACCATGTGCTACCAACACACACCACCGGGGTTCCGACCGCTCGAGAAAGCTCCTCGTTTACGGTCCTGGGTCGGCGACTCACCCTATTACGCGAATCGAATGCTCCGTGGCCCAAGAGGAGGAGATGTTCTCCGACTACTGCGAAAACCCATCACATTCCGCAACGTACCGCAAGTGGAGCGTATTACGCTCCATTCCTTTGTCAACCAGGCTGTCAAGGGTGGTTCAGCGCCACTCCACGTGGCTGGTATGGTCTTGCAAGCCATCACTAATCAAAGAGTGGTGACGCACAAATCCAAGCATGGTGAAGCTAATTGGGGGTTGGTCAAGGGTCGGACGGTCAGTATGACGGTTGATTTGAAGGGAGAGAATATGTATCACTTTCTGGGCAAGTTGATCAATATTGCCTTGCCGAGGATAAAGGATTGGAATGGAGTGAGAGCCACGACTGGAGATGGGTCGGGGAATCTCATGTTTGGAATTGAACCTGAGGTTGTCGCTATGTTTCCGGAGATGGAGGTCAACTATGACGCCTATCCTCCCAAGATGATCCCGGTATGACTTGACTTTGGTTTGAATCACAATGACGTTCTTCGCTGACTATTCGCAGGGAATGCACATTACTATTCATACGACAGCCACCTGCGACAAAGATGCAAGGTTATTGCTCCAACAACTCGGAATTCCATTTTGGGGTAAAGTTGTCAATTAGATTCTCCCAAGAGAGCCGCTATTTGGTTCTTAGCAGCTATTTTCCTCACGACATGATGGAACTAGGTATTGGCTGTCGTGCCAACATTGTACAATATAGTTCACGGTTGAGACATATGTGAAGGCTTGTGCACAAAAATGTGAATAGCGTTGATATCCGGAGGGTATATTCGCATGGATGCGAAATTCCAACTGGACGAGATTTCATCAATGGTCCTAGAAACTGTTCTATTCTGCCAGCCAGACCTTCAAGACAGAAAGCTTATTCGTGCAGCTGGTTCAGCGTAGCGTCGAAAGCTATCTTGCAATTTTTGTCCCAACAAACTCGGTCTTCTGAGGTAATTCACCACGTAGCAGCTCCAGTGACCAAGTAGAAAATCAGTTATCATGTTGGGCTACTGGAGGTTTTGCAGGATACCAGCTTCGAGCTGACCCCAGAGGCCGAGAACTTTCATGTCACCTGTAATCACCCGAGGGAGTTAGCCATGATATGCATTGAGACGTGTGTTTATATGGAGCATGTTGTGTAAGAAAACTAGGGACGGCCGTTATAAACATACCAAACGGAATAATTTGTGAGGCAATCATGCCACCGATACCCTAGGGAGGGGATAATGAATTAGTTTGGTTGTCAATGCCATGGTGCGAAGGAACACCACTGTCTTAGTGATATCCAGGGAATCCGAGTACATACCCTCGTACGGTCTGCCCACCAGAAGAGATTAGGGAGGCCCGCCCACCAGCCTGTGCCCTTGCTATGAACAGCAGAATCTTCGAGGTGGAGGAAGAAGGTCAAACCCCATCCTTGAGGAATGTCATGGGGCTCAGGGTAAAGTTCTGGCAGAGGGTTGGCGAGGTCGCGTTTCGGTGGATCGATGCCCTAAGATGAACAAGTCACCAGTCAGTCTCCTCGAGCAAAGAACACCAATGATTGGCCTGGCTACTGTCCTTACCTGACGAGCAAAGTTGGGCATGTCTGGAATCTGTTCACATTGAGAATAAGCCTTGGGGTTTCTCTATGCAGAAGCCATCTCGACTCACTTGGTTTGTAAACATTTGATCTACCGTCTCCTTCTTCAGAATTCGTTGGCCTGTCAACGGACTCTCGCCATCGTTTAGCAGTGTGGCAATAATCTGGACGTATTCAGTTGGCTTAGCAAAGCACCCAGCTCCACCTTGTTGGAAGGTCCCGTCGATTTCCTCCTTGGTGGTAGCATAGAGGGGCTTGCGGTTCAAGTGACCGCTGGGATGCAATCGAAGGCTTCCGTCTGCTGCGCGGGAATTCATGTAGGCCAGGTTTCGTTTCATGACCTCATCTGGGAACATGTTAATCTGTTTCAGGCCCAGGGGCTTGAAGATGTGGTCCTGGAAATAATCGTTGAGTTTCTTGCCCGAAGCTCTTTCGATCAATTGACCGGCCCAATCAATGTTGATACCGTACTCCCAGGCTTCACCGGGTTGATTGACAAGTGGTTGAGAAAGATAATCATGGTACGAGCCAGAAAACTCATCCAACCCTTGAGCACCAGCCCAGTCGATGAGTCGCTGGTCGAAGAACGAGTAGCCGAATCCAGCTAACGCCAGTCAGCTACACCCAAGGAAATGGGTGAGTGGCTTCATCAGGGTTGCAAACCCGACGTACCTGTATGTGATAAAAGCATTCGAAGAGTGATACCCCTTTTCTTGGGTACTAGCTTGCCGTTCTCAAAGACTTGGACTGCTTTTAGTTCCTAGAGCCACATTGAGTCTTGTACCTCTATGAGCACGTTAGACTACTCACGGGAGCCAGTTTCTCAACCAGATCGACATCGTCCAGAGCAAGTTTTCCTTGCTCAACCAACTGGAGAGCCGCAATTCCCGTGATCATCTTGGTGCAACTGGCGATCCAGAATATGCTGTCCATCGACATGTTTTCTTCCTTGCCAACACCCACCTTGCCCGAAGCATGCTCAAAGATGATTTCGCCATTCTTGTTGACAGCTGCAAAGACCAGACCTGGAGCTCCTGTGGGATCAGCAGTCACAGCATCGATCTGAGACTTGAGGTTAGGGATGGCGGAAGACGCGATTTTGGCCATGGTTAATGTTCAGGACGTCAGGAGAACTGCAATAGAATCAAGATAGAGGACTAGCAGACTACCAAACAGGAGAACTTTTGCAAAGCTGAACGAGACCTACTGGTATTTCTACTGGTATTTGTCAAGTTCAGACAGAATCCCCCACCTTGCCATATGCTTCCGGAGCATAGGAAGGTGGGGATTTATCTCTTGGATAGGGCAGTGAAGTGCTCCACTCGTGAACAGACATCCGAGGGTGAGTTCAGGATTATGATTGATTCCATTGGCAAGTAAACGTGGCCGATACTTGATTTGGACGTCGACTCGACAAGACGACGTTAGCTGTGATTTGACAAGTAATGATGAAAGCTGAATGGGATTCGTTTCTTCGGGGCTCCGCAGGCTGACCCAAGAGGAGAGGAGGAGTGGAGGAGAGGGGCAAGAGGGGATTGAAGAGGAGAGATGGAGAAGAGGCGGATACCTGATTGATTGGATGTTCGAAAAGAAGGAATATGGGACGCCTGCGTGGCCTGGGTCGCAACTTCCCTTCAGCCATAATTCATCTCCGGGAAAACATAGATCCTTCCCGGCTACGCTAGTCCCTATATGAGTTTCCAACGTCTCCTCTGGTTTGATATCACCCTCATCTTTTTTCAATCAGTCCATTCGACAACCAACTAACACTGCAGATGGGAGCTGCAGGCTTGCACCCCGTTTGCCAGCTCGTACCGTTGTTTGTACCTGCCACCCAAATATGACTATGAAGGTACTCTCCCAACAAACAATCTGGTCAAGGTCTGTGAAGATTGCATATGACAGGACCATGGATCCTGCCGTGATCACTCATAAGTTCAACACATGACAGTCTTTTTCGCCGTCTACTCCTTCCTGTTTGCAAACAGCCGTCAGAGACATCGAGTCTTGTCGCCATGCTGACTCTAAATCTCACCAAAAGAGTCAGAGCTGCAAGAATGACTCGGGTCTCTCATATATATATCTTATGAATTTTGCCCTTGAGCCCCATCCTATCTTTCATCCCCACTGCTCGTGTACTACTTACTATCCAGACAGTGTCTCCATTGATTGAATCTCAACTATCACCAAAAATCACTATGGCAGCCATGGCGTCAAATGAAAACCTTGCGATCTTTGCAGAGCAAATGATGAATATTGTTGACTGCAAGAGTGATAAATTCTCCGAGCAAGTGATGGGCGAGGTCTATTCGGACATCCATGGCAACATCATGTTGTTCGTTGGCAATATTTGGGCGGACAATACCTACGCGGTTAGCACAGAGTGGCGCGAGGAAGCTGAAGACTATCTTCTGCCGAGGCTGAATCTCGACCCTTCAATCTTGGACCAACTCGGTGCCAGCTACGTAGCCAAGCGAATCATCTGGAATTTGGGCCTTCAATACGAGCTTGAAAGACTGATCTTCGATCGTCCCTACCCCGTGGGAGTTTTTTCCGAAGATGAGTACCTCTTCGAAGAGGCTCCGCAGGACACCCAATCTACTGCGGTGAGATACCATATTCGCCCCCCTCCCTCCCAAAGCACATGCATAAGTACTAACACATCCGGGTGATATAGGATGGCCTCGCATGGAGATCAGAGGCAATCCGAGAGTTCATGGGTAGCAGGCGATTCCAGGAACAACAGTTCGAGGCATTCAATGAACTTGTCGAAGAAATTGACGTTGGCCATGACCGATACTTCCCAGATCGTCTGGACGTCGCGACGACAGATATACATCTGTACAAAGACATTTTCAAGAACCGGATCATCTATGCATCCATCAAACTTCACCAGGCCTTGCGATGCACCAAGAACAAGTACCGTATTCGTCGCCTCCGCGTTCCTGCAAATGGCGACCTACGAAATATAACCGATGGTGCCTTTTTCGATGCCAAAGACATGGAACCCCTTCCGGCGGAGGATGTTGGCGAAGGCGCCGTTGTAGTCGTTTGCATCATTCCAGTGATCGTGGGATTACCAGACTATCTAATAACGAACCCTGGCTGGGTGGTCAAGGTGCCTGAGCCGTCAGAGCCGACTGATTCGTCGCCTGCATTCTCGGATGAGTGAATGGAGTGATTGGGATGGATGGATAGTCTTGCTGGGCTTGCCATGCGATACTAATGGGATGTGATGGTGGCAGCCATCATTAATGTATACTACTTAATGGGATGAAGTGATGGGCAACATCATCACTTAGTGCAAGTTCTTCGTCAGACCGACGAAACTGAACCTTGCACAATCTTATCTTGGTATAAGATATCTTGTTTGCTTGCCGATAATGTCTTGTTTGCTTATCTGATTTCTTGTGTTCTTGTGCCTTTTGTGTTCCTGCTACCAGCTACCACCGAGAGTTCACATTCTTCTTCTTCCCTTCTTTCTACCTACTGTCTCTGCACATGAGATTATAAGTTTCCGTTGACAAATCCTCGCATTCTGAACGACCATGTCGACAGCTTGCGACGAGGGTTTGAGAATGAAGATGAAGAGGAGAATGTTGACAGAGACAGGGATGGCGAAAGGGGCGGGGAGAGAGATAGGAATAGGGATAGGGACCGGACGAAGACGTGATTTGGCTGATGTCAGGTAAGTGGTATCCATCCATTACTGAACGAAGCTGAATCTCTCAATGACCAACAGTCTACTATCTATGCTTATATTCGCTAATTGGGACCGAGACGGATCTGTATATCAATCGCCTTTTCCCCAAAGGCCACTAAGGCAACATGATCATAAAGTATCGTAAAGATCTATCGACTCATGCGCATCAAACGACGCTCGAAAAGTTCAACCCCAGAAGCAGCGCCAGAATTGAATGCTACCACAAAGACATGGTCTAAAGACAATAGCCCATAATCACATCTTCACATGATTGTGCATTCCCGATCAGGTTTTTGACCGTCTGCTCGAACTTTACTCCGTGAAAGCCTTCCACGACTCTTTTCTCGTTTGTGATGTTTGTGTGAATCTCCATGGGTCTGATGAGATGCCGCATTGTTGCTATTGCTCGGCATTTGCAGGCTGCTCCTTCTAGAACCCAGTCCATCCCCCACAGGAGTGACATGAACCTCCATCTTCGGAGCAAGGTCTGCCGGGAGAACTTCGCGGCTTCTCCTCGCCAACTTTGATAATCGGCGTCCTAGTCCACCCTCGTTGCTTTTGTTCTGAGATGCAGACAGACCTGGTGAAGAGGATCTGGCAGTGCCGGAGTCAGCAGGAACACTGAGCTTCTCACTGGAGTACTCCGGTGGCAAATCGGTGAATGAAACCACACTCGTTCGTCGTTCCCCCGTGGGAGACCGACCTCTTCCATTCTGTCGGAAAGGAATCTCCAAACTGAGTTGGCTCTGGGCCACTTTGCTATCCTCTGACGGATTGGTGAGGGTGGATGTTGTTGACAATTCGCTCAGGGAGTAGTTATTATCAGCGGCCGAGGCTAGACTTGTTTCGCCGGCTGTGATATTGCTGGGATCTCCGTCCGTGGGCATGATTTGATAGAATAAAAGATATGGTGTCTCTTCTTTGAGGGCTTTCTCGATGTCGACCATGGTGATGCGATTAGGTGCAAGATCGTCAAATCTCATCCAAGTTTTGGTGTGGTCTGGGGCAAAGCTGCTGTCCGAGGTTGAAGGAGGTGCTGTACCTCGGACCAGCGCAATGTAGTGGCCAGAGTCAACCGAATTGCCTCGATGACACACAACCGATTGCAATGAAAGCTTGAAGACGCCATGGAGGGCACCAATCTCTTCCACGTGATCATCTTGGATAAAATGAGGAACTCCAATTTCGACGGGAATGTCTATCTTGGTGTCGAGACGGATGGCTTTGCCGGCAGGTGTAAAGGAGTACCTTTTCAAACAGAGGCCGAGCACCGGACGTTTAGTAGAAAAATGAGCAGCAACCTGAGCATCGTTGGTCGGTGCGTTATCCGTGTACCACGCTAAGAAAGGTAAGTCTTGAGAATGAAAGAGAATTGTGTCACTTACGAATCAAACTGAAAAACTGCCAGGCGGGCATCATCACCTCTTTACGGACACTACCCGCGCGGGGTCGGCCGGTGGAATCCTTCGAGTTGATAGTTGCCAAGGAAGTGAAACCACTTTCGTTTCTGGAAGGCACATAACGTTCCTGGATGATGCTAGGAGCACGATGCCTGTTGGAAGGTCTAAGTGGAGAAATTTGACTGGGGGATGAGGACATGGGAGTGATTGGAGAGGAATCGGAATCCAACTCCACGGTCTCGATGTGGATAGCGTTTGACTTTCTGATGGAATTCATGGTCGAACGTCGTTCCATATGTCTCCGTACTTCAATACGATTGTTGAAATACTCCTCTAGACACTCTTCCAGAGTAATTTCCTTGTTGCTGTCGGCCCATTCCTGAGGAATAGCAACCTCGAGGAGGCGCTCATTGACGAATTTGTGATCATCAGTTGCGTCTTCTTTGCCGGTGTGGAAAATATCCATCTTCAACGTCATCAACGGCAGCTCCAATTTACCAGTGATAAAGGTAAAAGCTTCAGAGGCATCTTGTTGGTGCAAGTCTCCTGCTTCGGTCCAGCCACATTCAGCGATGACCTTTTGTAAAACCTCGGTGATATCAGTGGTGATTAATCTGCCTGAACGGAGAAGGTTGACCCAGAGTCGGATCACAAATGCCAGTTTGTTTCTAGACACATCGGGGAATGAATTATAGAGCATAGCCTCGAAGCTGTCGAGGCGCGAAAACATGGAGAAGAGGGTGGAATCAAGGTAGCAGGTGACAGCATGTCTGTTTTGAGCGCCAAGTAGTTTGGTTCGAGGATCAAAGGGTGTGAGTATGCCTTCAGAGGCATCGGACATGGCAAGCAAGAGAGCGTAGGTGGAATCCACGTCTCCGTTGGTGTTAGTTGACCGCAATGCCCAGAGAATTTGGGCATCACGAATATTGACACCCTTGCTTTTCATCAGGCGTTGTCGTAAGGTTTTCATCTGTGGTCTTGGGGTTAGCAGGTCATCTTCATACAGACATGAAGGGGCTGTGTACCTTCTGCTCCTCGAGGATATCAGCCGAGTTCCCACGAGCATCAAAGAGGCCATAGAAGTCAGCAGCGGAATTTGGATCCACTGGCTTTGGAACGTTGGCAGGACTTGGCTGCGAAGAGTGGCGGGTTAGCTTGCCAGTCAAGATATCCAAAACCAAATTCAGAAAGGAATGGAACAAGTACTGAAGAGCCATCTCTGCATCGAGAGGGTGAGCAGAAACCAAGACAGCAGTGGGCGGGACTTGACATGGACTAGGGTTCGTCTGATTGATTGACTGACGAATGGATATAGGGAAGGATGGAGTGATCGTTGACTGCGTGGTTGAAGGATGGGGAAAACTCACCGCAGATGACTCTGACTTCTTTCCTGAACTGAGAAATCGATGAGGACTGTGGCTATGCCTTACACTGTGGCTGTAGCTAAGGGAATTGGAACTGGAATTGGCAGGAGCAGAAGCATGACTATGGCTGTTGTCGCCATCTCGGTCGCGCTTTCCCTCCCGCTTTGAGAGAAATCGATTGATTCCAGTCATGGCAGTCGCGATCGTGCGCACACTTCTATAACCCCACCAAGTTGATGTAACTCAACACACAAGTCGGACGGGAACTGTAAGACGATGCAAGACTGCATTTATATCGAGTAAATTGCCAAAAATTGAAGTCTGGATGTGGGGAGGCGCAGATCTTGTTTGGGAATGTAGTCGCTCATCTCAGGTCGTCAGTATGGCCGGCTTTGCTAATCTGTGATATAATCAGGGTAAGAAGACCCAGCACCTGCGGCTGGAATAATCCCAAAGACCTAAAAGACTCGTGTCGGATATTTCTAGGAGAACCAAACTCTACATGACCCGAGATATCAGAAATGCGGAGGGGCCAGAGGGGTCCAGATCCAAAAGGCCACGGAGGCTCAGCTTCACATCAGGCTCTTGAATTGCCCGTAGTGTTAATTGACGACGCCTGCCTTTTGCCCCGCCTGAAGACGAACTGGCCGAGGGGCGACGCTGCTGACACTGCCATGGATTGACCGTCTTGGTTCCGATTGGTCAACCATCCACCAACTGCCAAGAGCTTCTCAAGCTCTTGCTTGGCATTCTCAGACTGCGCTCCGTTACGGTTCAAAGTAGTGAACATTGAGCTCGCTCTGCATATTGGCGTTGATACTAGCCTCTTCACATGGTCATTTCGACTGAGAAGTCTCCTTCTTCACACCTACAGCTAGCTATTTGACAGAGAGCATCCCTGGTCCTGCAGGACCCCCGCTCCCGACATCATGTCGACCCTCACTCGCACCTTTCGCAACCTCTGGAGAATAGGTTTGAAAGACTTTGGACACCAGATGCAGTATATTGTGAGATGGCCACGATTCAAAGACCATGCCCCAATCTAATCGAGCATTCAGGGAGACACCAAAGCCGGAGTCCTCGTCGGTATTGATCGATATGGCAACAAATACTTTGAGAATCTCGAAGAAGATCTCCCCTTACGGACGCGATGGGTGAGCGGCAGTCAATAACTTGATATCCAACTCCTGGGCTAATACACGTTGGCAAATAGGTCGACTACAAGGATGTGGAGCTAGATGCTGCTCAGATCGAACCCGGATGGCATGCATGGATGAGCTACAATGTCGATAAGCCTCCCACGGAAGACCCCATCATGGCTGTTGGTCTTAGGCCATGGGAGAGCAAGACGCCCAAGATCAACATGACAGGAACCAGAGCTGCATACCGACCTTATTCAACGTGAGTGATGGGAAGAGTATGATGCTAGAGACATGCCACTAACCTCTATCAAGAACCAAACCAAAATACTCGGCCTGGGCACCCGTGGCTAAAGAACGAACTGGTGCTTGAATTATATATCGAGCTCCTCCTAGACGGGGTCATTGTACATATGCATGCACGCGGCGTTGGAATGGATGAATCATATCTTGAGTCAGAAAATCTCAAAGTTCTTATTTGCCAAATCCCAGGGTATCTATCACGTCTCGTCTTGTCTCGGTACTCCGTATGCGCCCAGCACCGACACCAGGGTCATTTCCGTCGTCACAACCTCGCAATCATGTCTTTTGTGGCCGTCGACCCAGTCTAGCTGGACCGAGTTCTGCACGAACCTCATCCAGTTGCTGCAGACCATACACTTCATTTCCGTGCTTGCCCCTCTTGCCCTTGGCGCCTTTGCGTTTCCCACCAGGATTGGCTTTGTTCCAGTCACCCAAGAAGTCATCCATCATGCCATTGAAGTCGTCTCTCACAGCACCTTCATCTGCAAAGCTCGTGGTGGAGAGTTGCGACATCTTGGATTGCCCAGTCATTCCAGACGCCAGTGACATGCCACCATCCATATCATCAAACTCGTCTCCCTCATCCAGAGCATACATCTTCTCCACCTGGTCAAACCGGGCGTCAAGTAATTGCTGGCCTGAAGTTCGTGCGAGTGATGAAGAAGTCATGGAATATGCTGATGGGTTGGTCAGAGCACCCTTTCGCTTCTTCTGCCGTAGAGGTGTGCCGTTGAGGGTGTATAAAGAAGCTGCTCTATCGTGGACCGCTGAGGCAGCGATGATGGACTCGGCAGCCTGTGGAGGCGGCTTTCTCGCTCCGTCACGTTTGAACCGTGCAAAGTCGCGCAACCAGTCTCCATCTTCAGCCGCAGCGGCTTCAGCATCCAATGTGTTTTGATCTCCTTGTTCGCCTGATCCTTCGGTAGTCGGAGCACTAGTTGGGAGTTTGATTTCCATAGGTTGTTCTGGGGCTTTCTCTGTTGCATCAGATTCCCAACCATCGTCGTCAAATTCGTCATATGATGCCTCAAATTCGGCAAGATCAAGTTCGCCCATTCGACCCTCCTTTGCTAGTGAGCCGAACAAATCCTCCTGGTCCTCGTTGTCGACGTATGCATCATCATCTAGAGCCTCGAGGATTTCTCTTAATCTCGGGTCCATGTCTGGTTGGAATCCGGCGATTTCATCAGGAACATCTTGCTGGTTCTGATACGTCCTTGGTCTGGTGGAGGTAGAAAACGTTGACAACATCTCACTGTCGGCGACACTCTTCCCATCATCCAGCGAGACCTCTCGTAGTGCATCCTCCAATTTTATCGGCTTCACCTTTGCTTTTCCTTTCGAGGCCAGTGAAGTGGCGTCGATGAAATGTGACTCTCCACCGCCTTGGCCGATATCTCGAAGATGTTGCATATAGTCGTACGTGGTATCGTCAAAATAAACTCCGTGCTCGGCTGCTTCTCCTTCGTTCTCTCGCATGTTCTCAAAGTCCAAGTCATCTTCCAAGTCGTCTATATGCAGTTCCCGAGGGATGGGTTTCTGAGAAGAGCTGCCAGCCCCCGAGATCTGATATAGTGCTCGCTCACCGGCAGACTCATCGTGAAGTGCAGGGTCGTCTTGTGGACGGTAGAGAAGTTGAAATGTTTGTGCTTGCTTCTTGTCACTTTGCGGTGGTCAGTATGAGGACACTGCAGGACGGATAATACTAGTTACTTACATCCAGCGTTTTCGAGGCATCCTGAAATCACAGTCAGGCTATGCTGACGTCTACTTTTGTCCTAGAACATTCAATTGTGGTGGTGGTGTTGGAATCGTCGATTTGTCAATTTGTCGAATTTGATCAAGAAATTCCCGTCGTTTTTGTTTCTGCGCCACTGAAATTCTTACCCCGCAGTACAAAATTCCCACCCCAAGTGACGCATTTTGACTGCGGCACTGCGTGGGCAAAAGTCAAGTTTTCCGTCGAAGGCGACTTTCTTGGGACTCTGATTAATCATTGCATTCAGGCGAATTCAGATTTCTATATCTGTCGCCTCTACTCGATATTCCCTCAACCATTCAACCTATCTATTCTGCAGTCGCCCACATCTACCGTCGCCGCCGCTGCTGGCTGCCTTCACAATGGTGTTACCAAAGAGCAAGAACAGCGTGGGCCTGGGGAACAGTCTTATGAATGATCGCTTTGGCAAAGGAAAAGGCTCTGATCGAAAAAAAGTGTCTGCACAGGGAGTCCTTCGAACAGATCACACTACGGGTCAAACATATGTCACCAATGCCGCCAAAGAAGCGTCATGGGTCAAAATGCGCAGTGTCACTGAGCAAGGCGCTCTCGACGAATTCCTCTCAACGGCCGAACTCGCAGGAACTGATTTTACAGCGGAGAAGATGAACAATATAAAGATCATCCACTCAGACCAGAGAAATCCTTACTTGCTCAGTGCTGCCGAGGAGAGAGGGACACGGAGGAAACACGCACAGAATAAGTCAAGATTAACGGTTCCCAGACGACCTCACTGGGATGAATCCACCACACCACAACAATTAGACAGTCAAGAAAGAGCCAGTCTCCTGGAGTGGAGAAGAGGATTGGCCGATTTACAAGAAAACGAAGATCTCCTCATGACCCCTTTTGAACGAAACATTGAAGTCTGGAGACAACTGTGGCGAGTCATTGAACGATCGGATCTCATCGTGCAAATTGTGGATGCTCGAAATCCATTGTTGTTTCGAAGTGAGGATTTGGAAAAATACGTCCAGGAAGTCGACTCCAAGAAACGCAATTTACTTCTTGTCAACAAAGCAGACATGTTGACAGAGGAACAGCGGCAAGTCTGGGGGGACTATTTCCATGAGAATGGTATCAATTACAAGTTTTTCTCGGCCCATCTCGCCAAGGAAATGATTGAAGGTCGTGATGCTCTAGAGGAGCTCGACGCTCGACAGATCCAGCAACAGGTTGATAGGAATGTTCCTGAGAAGAGCATGATCAAGAATGTGCAAGACCTCAATTTGGAAGAGACCACCGAAAAAGAAGAGGAGGAATGGTCAAGTGAGGACGAGGATGCTTCAGGTGCATCAGAACACGAGTCTGAGGAAGGTTTCAGGAGCAATGACCGAACCCAGATCCTGACAGTAGACGAACTCGAAGCACTATTTCTGGAAAATCTTCCTGAAGAGACCACCAGCGGCGAAAGAAAGACTACGATCGGATTAGTCGGGTATCCCAACGTCGGTAAATCCTCAACCATCAACGCATTAATCGGAGCGAAAAAAGTCAGTGTGTCATCAACACCCGGCAAGACGAAACACTTTCAGACGATCCATCTTTCAGAGCGAGTGATTCTGTGCGATTGTCCGGGTCTAGTGTTCCCCAACTTTGCATCAACCAAAGCAGAGCTTGTATGCAATGGAGTTCTCCCCATCGATCAACTACGCGAGTTCCTGGGTCCTGCAGGACTTGTGGCACACCGAATCCCACAGAAATTCCTCGAGAACGTCTACGGTATGAAGATCATCACTCGACCCGTGGAAGAAGGAGGAACTGGTGAACCCACAGCGAGTGAAATATTACGGTCATACGCAAAAGCACGAGGATTTGCCACCACGGGACATGGCCAACCTGATGAATCACGAGCGGCCCGATACGTGCTCAAAGACTACGTGAGTGGGAAATTATTGTATTGTCATCCACCGCCGGTGGAGCCGGAGATTGACGGCGCCGAGTTCAACGAATCTCTCTACGACTTTGCCCATCTCCCGGCCAAGAGACAAGCATGGTTGATTGCACACAACACCGAAACCTCGTCGACAATCAGTGGCGGTGCTGAATCGTCGACGATTTCTACAGCCTCGAAGCAACAATCCTCTGTTGGCGAGACCGGTACTAAGTCAAAGAAACTCGACAAAGGATTCTTTGGGCCTGGATCCGGTAATTCTGGCCATGTTCGACACCCATTCAACCATCAATATACAGAGCAGGGTCAACAGCAGCAACAGAGGGAATTATCAGGAAGAAAAGCCAGGACCATGGTGGCACTGGAGAACAATATCGATCCCGCTGAACTCAAAGTCAACAGTAAGAAACATTTCAAGGGAGCGAGGAAAAAGACTCGAACGGTCAGAAGTACCAATGAGGATGATGATTGATTGATTAATTAGCTTGTGAAAATAATTAATGAACGAACATTCTAGCTTTGTTCAATTCAATTCAATTCACATGGTGCTGCCCTGCCATGTCCCTGCCATGTACCTGCAGCTGAGAGGGAGGGTCATGATGGGCTGCGAGTCGAGAGATGTTACAAACACTCGTAAAACCCAGGATCGTGTCTAGATTGATCTTTCATCTCCGCGTGCGTTCGTCACCTTCTCCACACACTCCGTATCTCCATATCCTTCTCCACCTCTACTACCTCCGTCGCCAACATCTCTAACCCCCTCTCCAGAATAAATCTCTGGTTCTCCACATCTTAAAGGAAATTGAAAATGTGCCGATGGGGGTCATGGTTGTCGGTTCAATCCGCCAAGGGGGTCTGGTAGTGTAAGTAGTTATTCGTGTCTGTGGATTCAGACCTGTTACATCCAACTATTTGTAGGGCGGAAAGAGCGGGGTATCTTAGGTACGTGGGTGTACTTGTGCTTCGTATCCTGAAGCATGAGGCTAGTTCGTGGCATGACCAGACCTAAGTAGTGACCTAGTGACTAAGGTACTAATCAAACCAGTATGCAAAAGGGAGTGTTGGGCTGAATATGGAACTGAAAGTACCATGTGGTATGTAGAGACATGATCAAAGTCGAAGGAGATTGATAGACGGAACAATTTAACTGACTTTGGGTACCAAATACTGGATTTTGATTTGACTAATAGGATATCTACACACTGGTGTGAAACCTCGTCATCAACCACCATTAAACCTCACCAGAGGTCAGTCATCAAGCCTTCTGAGTCTGATTCTGATTCCCCGACTCTTCCCCTTGATTATGGCTGTGATGATGTTTAGCATGCAGATCCTCCACTGGAGCATCAACATGATAATTCATGGTTTTTCTCATATCGCCCAAGAACAAACACGCCACACACGCCACGACACCGAAACTCGCGGCAATGATGTAGATATTCCTCAACGAGTCCGCAAACGCCTGCTGCAGGGCCCTGACACCGTCCTCGATGATCGACGGTGAAACACCAGGAATCTGTCCTAGGGCCTCTGCATCGTTGGATGCGAGAGCGCCGACGAAAGCGGGGATCGAGTCGGCAGGAAGACCGGCGGCGGCGGCGGCAGCGGCGATATAGGCGGGGAGTTTCTCGTCGAGGCCTGTGCTGAGGACGGCGGCGTAGATGGCGGTGAAGACGGTGGCGGCTACAGCGCGAGAGGAGGTTGTCACGGCGGTGGCGGTGGCGATCAGACTATGCGGGGTGGAGAGTTGGACGCCCGTGATGATCAGGATGAGAGGCGAACCGAAACCCAAACCGGCGAGACCGGCAAAGGCGATGAGATTGGTCGAGTCGCCCGGTTGGATCGTGGCCATACCAACAATACCGGCGGTGAAGATTACGTAGCCGGCGAACAGAGGGGAGCGAATTGTGCGGAACCGAGTTGATGCAAAACCCCAGATGATGGTAGCGAAGAGGCCGGCGACCCAGTAGGATTGAGCGCGGGCCACGACCAGGAAGGGGTCGGTTTCGAAGAGAGCGGTGGTTCTGGTGGTGGGTGGTTAGCTTTTTGAGGGTCCATGAAACGGTAGTGAGGAGGATGGGGGGGAAATTGCTTACATGACTGGATAAAAGATGATGTAGGAGAAGAGCATGATTCCTTCAATAAAGATCAGAATCACACAGATGGCGAATGTCCGTCCTCTAGCTTGTCCACCACGGAATAATTCATGGGACAGAATTCCTGTGCTTGTGCCTTTCCATTCGTAAACACCAAAGGCGATCAGTGTCACAATACCGATGATCATCGTCGATAGAGTCCGAGCATTGGTCCAGCTGTATAGATTGCCACCCAGATTGAGTCCGACCAGGAAAAGCGTCAGTCCTGTGGTGAGTAGACCGAATCCTGGGAGATCAAGATGACCGAGCTTCTGCCAGAAAGACAAATGATCGAGACGAGTGTGACGCTTGGGAGGTCGATAGCCAAAGAAAATTCCCACGGCTGTTATGCCCCAGAAACCCATTTGAATCCACTGAGAGAGAATAGTTAGTAGGTTGAAATAGAAGGATTCTGGAGAAGCCTTACAAAAAATGTGCGCCAACCAGTGTGCGGATTGGATTTGGTCAATGCTCCAATCATCAACGGACCGGAAATGGCTCCCAGGGCGGCTCCAATGTTGATGCACGCTTGGATCACTATACACAGAGTGGTTAGATGGCTGAAAGTGGTAGAATCAGGACTGTCAATACGTACTGGGTCGCCATCGTCGTGGCAAGATCTCGCTGGGCACAGAATATGCCAGGGGAACTGAGGCAAATCCGACGCCGATGAGGGTTTGTGCGGCGATGAGTCGATAAATGTTGTTTGATCCGGGTGCAATAGCGGCCCCAATAAAGGAAATGATACATGAGCCGACAAGTAAGAACTTGCGGGCCTGAAATGTATCTGAAGCAGAAGAAATGACAGGTCCAAGGACAGCCTGGACTAGGGAGAGTGCATTAGGTACCCATGTCTGGGCTGCAGTCCCGTCGAGGTCGGCACCGATATGGGACAACTGTGAGCGTGTCAATCATCAGCCAGGAGATTCCAATCACACAATATATAGAGTAGAACGAGATACGTACAACAGCAGGAGGTCCTTGAAGTGCCACGACCTGGACATAGTTCAACATCCACAAGGCTGCAAGGGCAATCCATGTCCTCATATGAATTTCAGGTTCTTCTTCATCGTCATTGTAGACGAGGTTTTCGTCGGTGGTTTTGTCACAAGCAACTTCGAGATGTTTTTCTTGCGCTGCGAACTCTTCCTTTTCCATGGGTGATGTTTGTTGGCTAGTCACAGCTTCTTTCCCAGGCTGCTGGGTCTGTTCAATATTGCTGGTCATGATGACAATGATCCTTTGGCTGCAACGGCAGGGTGATACGAGGAAAGGATATCTCTCAGGCACAGGATGCCTGTGGGGAATTCATATCCTTTTGTACTGAAGCATCATCTCAAATCCGGTTCACACCCGGCCTTTTCGGTCATTGGTGCACAGATACTTGTCAATCGCCGTGAACCAATTGACCAACCGACATGGGTAGTATCAAATCCGGGGCGGCTGTGGAGAGACACGAGAGTTTGCTAGAGAGGGTCGACCAGGTCGGGGTATTGTCCAGACTATGCCATATGAGGCACTTGGACGTTTTTCCTCCCCACTTGGAATCGACGGGACAACTCTATCTTGTTCAAGCCGAGCAACTGGGACGTGTCTAGGTCCCAGATGACGGATTGGTGCCCGGAGGGGGGGGCCTTGCGGGACAGCCTGGGGACTTGGTCATTGCTCTTTGACTTTTCCAACTGGGCAGAGTCTTGTCAAGACTCATATCTCGGAATTCAAAGACATGGCATTGTCAATCTGCAGCCAGAGTTGGTACTCCCAGCCCAGGACTGGTCAAGCGGGACCTCGGCAAAAGAATACGTGTTGCTATGGTGGCAATATGGCCAGGAATGGTTCCTGATCCGATAAGGTCTACTCGTGCTAATCGATTCATTGGCGGTACTTGGTTCGTTTTGAAGTTGTTGACGGGTTGACTGGCTGACTGGTCACTTCTGGAGACGGTAAAGACAAGTCCTCGTATTGCTGCGTAGCCAGGCTGCTTAGGGTCTGAGTATCTCCAGTCGTAGCTCCTCGGCAAAGCGACTTGATGGTGGGACAGCCACTGGACATCGCAACTCGAACCAAATCAGGGCCGGCCCACAGACAGCAAAAGACGGCGTGGAGAATGTCTGATCTTAGCGGCCAGTCCCCCAAAATCCCTCCACACTTTCTAACGTCCCACAAGATTTTCGTGGGGAAGCTCGGTAATATTTCTTACTGCTGATCCGATGTTACCGCGGGACCCAAGTCCCTCATGTTGAAAGTACGAGTAGTGTGCACCAATAGATCCTCTTGTTCGATCCTTCTCCATGGGAATCCGCGTGGATGGAGATATTGGATGACGGTCAACCAAGTGGGGATTCCTGTCCATTCTACCACGTGCTCTTCAACCAACCCAAGGGCATTGCAGCCTTGTCTGTTGTGCAGATCTTGTGCAGTTCCCTCTGGAGTTGGTCGACGAACCTGTCAGAATCGTGGAGAGGTCAGAGCGTATGTGAGACCCTTCTTGAAACGTCCCCTAAAATGGGACCCTAGAAGTTGTGTGTGTCACATAGCTTGCCCTTCGTCGTCAAACTTTCATGTGTCGATTCAACCGACTTGTCGAGATATACCCGACCAGCCGTGGTCGCGCAAAGTTCCAGCTCCATTTTGACAAAGTTTTGTTGATGATAGGCATCAACTTGCCCCGTCGTGGAAAGATCGCAAAGTCATGCTCCTGCGCAAGACCAGCTCCTCAAAGATTCTTCAAGGCACCAGCAAGTACCTGTTTCCACTGCCGAGATCGCTCTTGGGCCGCTACTAATAAACCCTCAATGCCTTGCATATCGACGATCCCACCTCCATGTTTCTCGATGCGCAAGATTGCCAACGGTGTACTCTCATCCGCTGCATCAATTGTAATACATCCACTCTCATCGCAGCATTCTTCCTCAAAACTATCTGTGTCCACTAGAATCCAATGTGGGACACCGTCACCACCGAGTCTACTCTGTAATCTTTTCTCTGGCGTAAACACCGCAAAACTGGTTGGAACCGGCATTGACTTCAGCACCAGGTGTCTAGACTCTGCCGGCTCGGCGGAACAGAGAACCTGAGACAGATCAGCGTCCCACCGCGCATTGGGCAGGACAGTATTCTTCAAGGCCGCGTATAGGGCCAACCATGCCGCTTCGAAGACTGATCCACCGTAGCTGATGCACATCATATCGATGTATATCGTCCAGTAGGCCTTGAGCTGAGGATCTGTGTCAATACCTAGTTCTTGTGATTGTGACTCGACAGGAGGTGTGTAGATGATCTCAAGATCAGATGTTCGAATGAGTCGTGAAGTATGTAGGAGAGAAAGGAGTCTTTGAGAAATCGATTGTGCTTCGACTGAAGGAGGTGTGTTTGCGGCATGTCTGGGTGAACAACCGGTCGCGAGTTCAATGTTTGGAACAACCAAGTTGTACAAAGAGATGGTATCCTGACCGAGAAACTCTTGTTCCTCCTCTTCAGTTCCATTGCCATTTTTCCGTCTACTAGGCGCAGTGCGGTCTTGTGTCTGTGATGTTTTGTTGACCCTGAAGCTAGGGATTTCTGTTACAGGAAGAATCTCCGCCCTGACTCCACACACAATGGTGGTCTCGCCAATTTTGACAACTGAAGAGCCATTACAGTGAGTCAGCGACCCAACATTGAGCTGAATAGGGCGAAACTCGGTGAGGGTTCGATCGGATGGGCGTCGAGGTGGGGATTGGCTGAGATGTGCATGAAGGAGGGCGTGGGGGGCAATGAGAGGCATTGAGGAGGCAGGGATGGTTGTGTCGGAGGAATGAACTGATGCGATGGCTGTCATGATGACAATTGAGGATATGAGAAGTCGAACGTCTCCTTACCACACACCAAATCCTGGATGAGCGCGCATGGTATCGTCTTGTGGTGTCTCTGGTGTCTCTGGTGTCTCTGGTCTTTCTGATGGATTTCTGCAATTCAAACAGGGAAAAATAGAACCGGCAGAAAAAGGCGGTGTAAGCTGTACCTTGGCATTGCGGTGCATCACAACCACCTCCACGCCGCAATGGCCACTGTTCGGGTGTCTTCCGGTAGTCACGTTGCCTCTCGGGCTGTCAGTTTCTCTCACTGGGTGGTTTTGGGGTTGATGGGTCACCTGTTCCGGCGCCAGGATACCCCAGCTGGCGCCAGTTGGCGCCCGTTGGCACCCTTTCCAGAGCCCGGATTCATTCCGGACCGCGTACTGCGGGGAAGAGACTCCTTCTGTACCAACAGGAATCAAACCCGCTACAGATTTCCAATATCATCTACTGCCGAGCTGAGTTTCCGTGGTATTGGCAATGACAGTCTAGATATATGATATAAACATGTCCTCGGAACTGGTCTTCTCAGTCCTCTTGTTCGGCCTCCATCATCATCATCCTTGAATTCTGTGGTGTGGTTACTGTCGAGGCCATCTTCCATCCTCCCTGATCCGATATATATACACGTGACGCCATGGTCCAGCACGTCGACGTGTTGATCTGCGGCAGTGGCTCGGCCGGTCTGGCTGCTGCAACATGGCTGGCCATCTGTGGCATCAAGTCTGTCAAGATCCTCGAACGACGGTCTGGTCCCATGACCATGGGTCAGGCCGACGGCGTCCAATGTCGGACGGTCGAGATTTTCGAATCGTTTGGTCTCGCCGAAGATCTACTACGAGAGGCATACCACGTTCTGGAGGTGGCCTTTTGGTCTTCAGATGGTAAGGGTGGGTTGAGAAGGACAAGTCGCACTGCAGATACTCAGCCAGGGTTAAGTCATCAACCTCATGTGATTCTCAACCAGGCGAGGATCAATGCCCTGCTGTTGGACCATATGAAGAAGAATGGTGGAGAGGAGGTTGAGTATGGATATACCGTCAAACATGTTGAGGTGGATCCAACTTTGGTGGATGATCCCTCCGCCTACGCTGTCACGGTGCTGGCTGAGAAAGATGGCACTGAAGAGACCTTCAAAGCTAAATATGTTTTGGTTAGTATCCTCTTCCTCTGACCGAGTCACCGAGAAAGACTAACGCCTCTCTAGGGCTGTGACGGCGCCCACAGCGCAGTCCGTCGATCACTCGGGTATCAAATGGTGGGCGATACCACTGATGCCGTCTGGGGAGTCATGGATATCTATCCACGAACGAATTTCCCTGATATTCGACGCAAAGCCACCATCCATTCCGATTCAGGCAGTATTCTCATCATTCCCCGCGAAGGCGGTAGCCTCGTTCGCTTCTATATTGAATTCCCAGCTGGAACCGATGTCAAGGCAGTCAAACTTCAGGACCTGCACGACAAAGCGCGCCAGATCTTCAGCCCCTTCACAATGGAGTATGCCGATACGTATTGGTGGTCATGTTATTGCATTGGACAACGTCTGGCCGACCACTTCACCAAGGATAACCGGGTGTTCTTGACTGGAGACGCTTTCCACACTCATTCTCCCAAGGCAGGACAAGGCATGAATGTCAGTCTTCAGGACGGATATAATCTTGGCTGGAAGCTCTCGACGGTTTTGAAACGTAGAGCAACGCCAGATCTGTTGAAGACGTATCAGACCGAGCGTGGAAAGACCGCTGCAGATCTCATCGACTTTGATCGCTATTTCACCAAGCTGTTCTCGTCCAAGCAGAGAACCACTCCTGACGAGTTCAGCAAAGGATTCATTAAGTCCGGCCGATATACCGCCGGATTGACGTCCAAGTATGAAGACTCGGTCTTGACATCCAATACAAGCAGCAAGCAGGAATTAGCGTCCGAGATCGTGGTTGGCATGAGGTTTCCAAACGCTCAGGTTGTCCGATTCTGTGATGCAAAGGCCGTTCCTTTAGTCCAGGCATTAAAGTCTGACGGAAGATGGCGGGTCGTTTGCTTCCCTGGTCAAATTGAAAGCTCCAGCACACTCCCGCGACTGCAAAAGGTGAGAGATAGAGAGTGACATGCCTTTTAGTGAGAGCTCATCAAACTAATCTTCTCGACACAGATTGCCGAATACATGGAATCACCTACTGGTCCCGTGCGAAAGTACACAGCAAGCGGTGCAGATAGCGACAGCACGATCGAACCTATAGTGGTGCTCAAAGGAGACCACACAGAACTGGAACAAGAGAAGATTCCTCGATATTTCTGGCCTGTTACTGGACAGTGGCAAATGCGAGGTGAGCAGCGTGATACAAGAAGCTTGGTGGTTCGATTCACTTATTCTTCCTAGATCTTCACAAGGTGTACATCGATGAGATGAGCTACAACTCAGGCGATGGAAAAGCGTATGAGACGTTTAAAATCGACCCTGAGCAAGGTGCTATTGTAATTGTGCGCCCAGATCAATGTGAGCAATCTATGTTTCTGTCGTGTCTGGCCATCAACTCATACTGACTTTCCCAGATGTCTCCAAAGTTCTATCAATCGACGACATTGAAGGTGTCGGCCAATTCTTCGACGGGTTCTTGTTGGAAATCCAAGCTAACGGGACATCATCGACGCATTGAGAAGAGTGTTGGTGGAATGTGGCCTCAAGTGGAAGCTAGCCATTTATTTCTCGCTGATATTGTACCACAAGAGTCCACCGATTGTCACCAGATTGACACAAGTATGCTGCCCGATAATCCAGGCGGCCGTATACAGATACTTGGGCGAGAAGACGGTCCATATGAAAAGATGCTCTCGAAGCACCGTGCAGGCGACCATGACGGCCAATACATGCACACCAGCAAAGGTGGCTTGAGTCGTCAGCAAAAACCTCCAGTTGCCGTTCTTCAAATCGACGTCGCTAAACAACTGACAAACAGCAAATGACCACCATATGGGACCGGTCCAATTGCTGACAAAAGTCAAGATCCCGACTGCCACGACATTGTATCCACTGATGCCGTTATATGCATTAGACAGGTCGACCGTCGCTATGGAATTCGTACCGCCAAAGGCGAAGAAGGTGGCATATTGAACCAGCACAGCAAGGACCGTAACCTCGCTCACCGAATGTGGCCTAGCTCGTTGAAGGAATTTGAGTTGTAACATGTAGAAAAGATACATTGGTACATCCACGGTGCGAGATTGAGTGACCAGAAAAATGGTGACGATATCTTGGAAAATCGCCAGCCATGATTTCAAGTGCTCGATCGACTTCCATGGTGTTTCATAATACAGGGAGCACCCTCCCAGGTGGGTCAGCCCGAGGAAGACCACTTGAGCGAGTTTTTCGAGTGGGTAGCCTCGGACGAAAACGACCAAAGGACGAAGCCAGGAGATCTTGTACAGGAGTTCTGGTGCGTCAGCGGCAGTAAAAGCGACTTTGAAGACAAAGGCTGACACCGTGACCAGCACAGGGAGCAGTCCCATCTGTCTTCCACCCATCCATTTGGCCGCTCTGGCGCTGAGATTTCTCGATGGGATGGTGTAGGTCACCATGATCAGGACCCATAAGAACCACGAGTTTGGTGCCATGATCTCTGTCACGAAATCTGGGTCACCTGCGTATTTCTGTCCTGTTTGTCTCCATCTGCGGACAACCCCTGATAACAGATAGGCAAGAAAGGTCGCTATCTGTCCCGATGGCAGTCCAGTTGTCTTGTATCTTCCGTCCTTGAGGTGGAGCAGGAGTAGCCAGCCTCCCAATGTCCAATACCAGAACTGATGCTCTTCTTCGACGTAGCTGCTGGCAAACATGGTAATTGCGTACATGAGCATGATAAATATCAAAAAGACGCCATCGAATCCCGCTTGCAAGGCACCATGGGTGAAAGAAGGCACACATAGAAGGAGTGACACAGCGGCCAGAGCGATCCCAATCTGCATGCTCACAAGGCCATAGTTGCTTGCGGCTCCACTCAACAGACTCTGCGCCCCGCGCAGGAATTGGTTCAGTTCGTCGAGTCTCTCTGTCGATATCTCGGATCCGACACTATGCCGGCCTTCCACGATCTGCCGCCAGAGGCAGGCCAAGATAGCAGCATCATCCCCTGCGGAGGTTGAGCAACCTGATGCAGTGGCCTGGGCAGCAAACTCGGTAGGGAAAGTGGCCTCTGCAATTCGGTGGATCTGCTCGGCATTCTCATACAGAAGATCGTACTGATCTTTGGGAATGGTCCAGAGCTCAAGGAGACGCGAAATGATGACGCCGAGGTTGTTCAATGGAATGGGAAATCCTAGTAAAGAGGCCAGAGTTGGGGCAATATCTGACTGTTGGACCACATCGTAGTATCTGTAGTCTTGGGCGTTGGTGACGGGGCTTGCTTGACCTTCATATGCTGACTTGAGTTTAGGTGATATGAAGGTAAGAGCTGTGGAAACCTCTCCCGGTGATGAAGCTCCGTGATTGCCACCTTCATTCATTCCATGGTCACCCAGAAGGACAAGAAGGCAGGACTTGAGATGAGAATTTTGTTCCATGGCGGTGTAGATGGATTCGACAACGCCATCCATTTCGGCTTGCTTGGTAGGCATCATCGGCCCTTTTGGCCCTGTCTTGTGCCCGATGTGATCGAGGCCGAGGAAGTGAAGCGTCATTGCGGCCCAGTCGTCTCTCTCAAGTTCATCATCGATGTGGCGAGTGACATTGTTGTCAACTTCGGTAAAGTCAGACACGAAGAAACTAGTGGTGCCATCTGCGCGTTCAAAGAAACCGGGAAAGAGTCTAAGCCAGGTGTCGTCTCCATACATGACCAGCTTGCCACCCCTTGCCCTCAATTGTGCCAGCCAAGAGTCCTGAGTTTCTAGAGTAGAGGTTGTATCTGACTCGGCGAAGTTGAGTACCAGGTCCACGAAGCTAGGAACGGAACCGGTGGTAATGGCTTTGACTCTGGGCATGGTGATGGTGGGTGGGCTTGCATGGCCTGTGAACGGTACGGCGGCACCAGATCTGATCAGGCCCTGAGTGAAGCTGAAGCTTGAAGAGTTTCCATAGACAAAATCACTCCGAAGGGCATCAACCACCATGAAGATGACGCGGTCAAAAGGAGCATCTCTTGCTGAGGACCCATAATCGTTGGGCCACGTTGCCAGTCCCGGCAGAAAAGCCTTGTGAGGGAAGAAACCCTTTGCGAAGACAAGCAAAGCCGCGATTAGTGAGAGATGTGCCAGAATTAGTGAGAGTTTGTCCCATCGTGGCGCCATGTCGATCAACCTCGCACCGTCCCGTCGGAATCTCCCCTGAAAATACGATGGTGTGTTTACCTGGACATGACTGGCTTGGATCTAACTGTTGATTGACGACCCTCAGATTATGGATGGTCAATTGAAGAAAAAGGAGGTACAAAATCGCTCGGCACCGCCCGATTCCACATTGACAAGTTGTTGGCTAGATATATGGGGTGATGGATGGTAGATGATGAATCCATCAGGGTTGTAGTTGAACATTTCCCAATCACGTGCCAGTTCGGTTGGACTGTAGTTGAGTTCTTTTGATCGACCGTAATTTGCTACGGTGGAACTTGTTGTATCTATTGGGTCGACCTCAGTAGAGGAACAAAAGGAATACAACAACAACTCAGAAATCAAGATAGTATTCGAATGGACTCACCTCCTTGATCTTTGAGAGCTTTAATTGACTCATATTACGGTCTAGTCATCAGAATCCACATAGTAATTTCCCCCTTTAGGCAAAGTGAGATGTACTCGTAGTCTCCCTTATGATCGACCATGGAGGTATGGATCGACAACCGATCGGCTTCAACTTGCCGATTAACTGATAAGGGGAGGCCCCCCCACACCAGCCATGAGAACCTCGAGACGATGGGAATCGAATATGAGAAACTCCGAATCCGTTGACTAACATGACACCCGTACCCATCCAAACAGTGACTCAGTAAACACTCCAATACTCACCATTCTTCTTCGTCACATGGTGTCTGAAGTCCCCCAAACCAACGGCCCTGGCCCGGCGAGCCAACCACCCAATGTGCTCGTCTTTGGCGTCGGCAGTATTGGGGCTGTATATTTATATCAACTTCAAAAAGCCGGATGCAAAGTCACCGCCGTGTGTCGCTCCAACTACACCGCTGTCAAGGAATCAGGATTCACGCTACATAGTGTCAGATTCGGCACTCAAAAGTACAAGCCTGACCATGTAATTCGCAGCGTGGCCGAATGTCCCAAGGACGTCGATTACGACTTTGTGGTGGTGTGTTCCAAATCATTTCCTGGTTCTCGCCCATCACTCGCAGATATGATTCGACCGGCGATCAGAGAAACACATCCCCACACGGCGATTCTTCTCGCGCAGAATGGGATTGAGATTGAGCAGGAAGTCGCCGATGCATTTCCCCAGAATCCGATCTTGAGTGGCGTGGTCTACCTTCCTGCGGTACAGACGGATCAGGGAAGCATCGAGTATCCGGAAATGATGAACTTGTTGGAAATCGGCACGTATCCTAGTAATGCTCCAGCATGGCATAAGGAGGCGGCACAGCGTATGGCGGACTTGATGACCCAAGGCGGTGGCGGTGCCGAAGTTCTCGATGACATCCAGGTTGCACGCTGGTCTAAATTGATCATGAACGCGGCATGGAATCCAATCGGAGCTCTGACACTAACTACTGACGGCGACTTCCTCAATACTTCGGATCCATATGCTTATGAATTGTCTTGGGCTGTCATGATGGAGATTGTCGACCTAGCCACCAAGTTGGGTATCCCTGGTGTTACTAGACAGGTTGCAGAAACGAGATTCGCTGTCACCAAGGAGCGTGCAGAGACTGGGAATGGTCGTCAGACGAGTATGCTTCAGGATGTCCTTCAGGCTCGTCCTTTTGAAGTCGAGGCGGTTTTGGGAAACCCTGTTCGTCTCGGTCGTAAGCATAATGTTCCGATGCCGAGATTGGACTCGCTCTATGCGTTGGCAAAGGCTAGGGCTTGGTCTCTGGAGAGGTATGGGAAATGATTGATAGAATGGCTATGGCGTTGGATTTGCCTTGGATGAAGTTTATAGACTTGTCTTGTCTGGGTTGTGTATGTCAATACGATGTACTATATGATAGGACCCACCCCTCGTATCTCTACAAACCTATGTAATCCAGCTATGGGATTGCTCGAGTTGATAGTCTGAGGGATAAACTCCTGTGCTCCTCTCGGTCAATGAGGAGATTGTCTCCATTTAGACTCAGTATGGCGAGATGGTTGGAGTAGCAAGATTTGGAGATTTATATATTCAAGAATCAAGACTCTTACCCTCCTCTTCGTTTGCATACTGCTCATAAACATTGAAACCACCAGACCTTCTCGAATATCTATCATACTTAAAATCGGACTTCATAATGCCTATGACCATCATTCGAGGCTCTCGAGTCAGTGGGGGAGCCACGATCAAACAAGGACCGACATTTACAGGCGAGGTCTACGCTGACCCAATACTCTTCAAAGCCGAAGAAGGAATCAACATCAATCACGTTACATTTACACCGTGTTCTCGGACTTATTGGCATTCTCACGAACACGGACAGCTTCTGGAAGTCAAGATTGGCTCCGGTTGGATTTGCGACAAAGGCGGCGAACCTCAACGACTGAATGTGGGAGATATTGTGTGGGCACCAGCAGGAACAACTCACTGGCATGGAGCCGACAACGGAAGTCTCATGGCGCATCTCGCTGTCAGTCACGGGAAAACAACTTGGCTGGATCCTGTGACTGATGAAGAGTACAATGCGAAGAATGCGACCAAGGTATAGGTGGTGTAGAGACGGAGGACCGAAGACTATCATTAAATATGTTCATTTTCGCCATCCAACAAGCCTTTCTCATCAGAAATGTAGTAAGTTGTCTGTCATGAAGACATAGCCACAAATCAGACCTTGGGTTCCTCTGTATCATCAGCAATGCGCCTGTATGAGTATTTGTTCTCGGGTGTTCTGTTCCTCAGCCTGATGGCACAGTATGGGCTTACTGAAGCTTTGGACGGGCGCGACCCCTCGAGCTCCTAGTGGACGTCCCCTGCCTACCTAAAATTGTGGATGCTGTCGCTCCGAACTTAACTGGCCTGCTGGCTAACCAGGATGCAATTAGCTAGCGACAATCCGCCGCGCGACGTTGTGGCTTTTGGACACGGAGTTTCATCTTGATATTCGTTTTTGTTTCCCTCTTCAAGGGTCGAAGGTGAGTTCACCCCGTATATGTTCATACCATATTGAGGATGAACGCAGACTAATCATGACCACCAGTCTGAATCTCAATGCCGAAACAACCATATTCACAAACACAACCGAGCTAAACCGAGTCGAGGGAAGGACGGCGAACGGAGACGAGGAGAGTGACTGCTGTGTCGCGGTGAAAACAGGTGGGATGAAGATAGGCGTGACGGGTCTGGTCTTTGGTCTGGGGTGAGAAGTTCTCGAGGTTCTTTGGTGGCACAACAGACAATTTATTGTCTCACTCGCCTGCCACGCCACGTGCTTCTTTGCCCTGCGCCTTCCTCCTGCGCGTCGACCTCCTTCGTTCCTTCCTTGCTTCTTCCAGACGCAGTTGCCGATTTTCCTCTCCTGTTTTTTTCATCCTTTTTCTTCATCTGAGGAGCTTGAACAGAGATCGAAGAGACGCAGACTTCACATGTCCCTTTTTTCCTTGTCAGGTTTGCTGTCTTTGGATTGTCGGTGGTGAGCGGAGAGATGGATCAAAGAACATTTCCACAAATTCATCTGTCTCGTCGTTACGCCTGTTTCCCGATTCCTCCCTTCTTTCGTCTTCTCCTCAGCGAAAAGTCGAGAGATCGAACCTATCCAAATCGAACAAACCCGGGCCCTGAAGCGATCAACTTCACCCCTTGTTCGCCTCGACAATCCGTCGGTCAGAGTGCGTCTCATATCTTCCGGTTTCGTCGATAACGATCCCCTCGCTCGCTTTCCACACTCTGTGCAAAGACTTGCGGTCGATCCTGATGATTCTCGAGAGAAATGAGGCACGATTCGAAAGAGCTTGGGATTTTATTGTCTCGGGCTATCGTTGGACTCTGGTCAGGTTGATTGGAGAGCAAAAGGCATACGAAGTGGTAGAGATTTAAAGGAACTGTGATCCTTGATCGTCCATCATCATTGGCGGCCCTGCCAGACACAAATCCAGAAGAGGCGATGAAGATATCTTGCACAATCATCCCGAGGACGAATGACCTGTCAAGTCGTTCCTCATGCAGACTAGGTGGTTTGTGGTCGTTGTCTCGAAGGAGGCCTTCAACCCGTTCCATCTTGGTTGTTGTGTGATTGGTCCTGTGAAGGGGTTGATGTTTTATCACATCTAGTTTTCAATCTGAGCCAATTCTATGCCCTTGCTGAGTGGGTTGGAGGAAGACTGCCTGCTGCAGAGTCACCTCGGGGAATATTCCCCAAGACTTGGAACCGTGTCGGTCATCGCTCGAGTAAGTCTTTGCTCTCATTCCCCTTCATCCATGTCTGTTCTTCCCTTACTCTCCTGTTTGTCACCTCCTAACTCTCCAACTCCACACAACGCCTCAACACCGATGATGATTCGTAGTCCGAAAAGCCAAAGTTGAGACAGCCGAGTATCCGCTACCGACGCTCCAGATCCTTCCTTCGACAGCTCAGGTTGATTGATAGAGGGACTGGGGCATCAAGTCGACTCGAACTCTGGCAGTCACTGTTAACTGTGAGAGCTGATCTGAGGGAGGCTATGTGGATGGATGTGTGCATATGTAAATGACCATCCGGGAGGGCTCCCTCGTTTGAGAATGTCCTTTTGCCTGTTATAATTGCCTACTAATGAACACGTGCTAACAGCATCTTTACAGAACTTCTAGACCAATGTTGCGTCGTTTCATGTCGATGGCAAAGGTCGAGGCGTGGCAATTCCTCGCATAACCCTTGTCCCTACAGTCACACTATGTTTGGTGTTATCCCAACATATTGAGACGGATTCATTAAAGCATCATCAGAAGGTAGGTGCAGGTATGTTGGCATGTAGTATATGTAGAAATCCGATAAATCTGAGAAGGACACAATGTTCGTTGTATTGTCTTAGTAGACATCCATTTCCATTTCCATATATCATCGACCCCCTCTTGAGTCTTTATTCCTTTCCCTTGCCTTGTCCCCAAATCCAACCCAGCCCTGCCCTAAGCAACACACACCAGCACACTCTCTTTCCCACTGGGGTATCTTGATTCTTATAAACTTTCTTTCTTTGATTGATTTGATTGATTTCATCATCCATCCATCCATCCATCCATCCATCCTCATCTGCTATTATTATTCTCGTCCAAATCCAATAGACTCACACCATGTACACTTCCCGATTCACTTCCCTTTGTGCTCGAAAAACTCCCCGACCCCGACCCCGTCCCCGTCCCCGTCCCCGTCACCGAACGACCAGACCCACGCTCCACTTCACTTTGAGCACGACTTCGATGCCCCGCTTCATCGCTGCGATATGTCTTGATAGAAGCCACCTCTGCGCCTTCAAGCAATTCCTGATCTCGCTTGCTTTTCTCATCGTCTTCGTCGTCATCTTCGTCCTCGTCGTCACGGTACTGTGGACGAGCTTGGCCTTGTTCGCGGGCCTGTCTTTCAAATTCTTTCTGTGCTTCGTCCATGCGTTTCCGCATCTCGGCTGCCATGCGCATGCCGTCGTTGACGATGTTGTCAAGCACGCCTCGAAGACCGCGTGATCCGGGTTCCACCACACCTCCGGCCGTTCCGACGTCGATGACCGTCTTGTTCGTGGCAGATCCGTTGATGAGGTTCTTGACTGGTGTGCCGAAGTTGCTGAACGTGGTGAGGTTTCCTGACAGGGTTGCGGATGGGAGAGATACGGTGCTGGCATTGGAGATGTCGCTGAGTCGGAATGATTGGGGGAAAAAGGTTTCGAAGAATTGCTCGAGTAGTTCATCTGCCAGGATCACCATGCGGAAAGTGGGTAGAGTGATATGAAGAGGTTTATTGGGGTCGAGAGCGAGGTTATGAGAGGCCGCTCGAGCTTCACTGTTTCGCTTTGCTCCATGCTTCGGTATTGTCAGTGTAGGCGTGTCTGGCGGTGAAGCTTGGGAAAGAGGATCCTCAGAAGTGAGCGTTGGTGAGGCTATGGATTTGGTGTGTGATTTGGTTTCGGAAAGATCCAAGAGATCTTCGGGTTCAGGGCTGCTGATGGTGGACGATTCGAGTTTTTCTGTGGCAGACTTGACATCCGTGTCAGGTTGATCTGGTTGATCTGGATCGGCATACTCAAAACACCTCCTGATGAAAGCGCTGACACTACCCAGGAACTTCTCGGTTGTGCTGGCTTTGGTGATGGAATCGCCAGATAAAACAGGTGTTACGCCGGCTGATTCTGACGGTGTGATTGCGCCATCGAACCCCCGTCTCGATAGGAAAAGTAATGACTCGGACATGCGCAGAATACCCTCACGATCCACTTTGCCAGACCCTTCATCGTCGAAAAGATCGAAAAATAGACTCATCGAGTTCATGATATCTGTGGTGCCTTTAAACTGGGCAAGCCCACGCACCAAATGCTGGAGCGTCATCTCACCGTGATGAGTTTGATCCCACTTGCCGTACAAGCGTTGCATAAAATCGTGATCGGCGGGCTGGGGGCCATTGCCCCATTGCGTCAGAGTCTTGCTTCGATTCCTCTGACTGCCCATCGGGCTTGTCATTTCCTTGGCTGGGGAGGATGGCGAGTCAGCCACCGCCCATTTGGCTGTGTTTGCAAGGAATTCTCTAAATGCGTCGTAATCCATGGTCTGAAGGGGAAGGGCGTTTTGACCAGGCTCGTCATGATTACGCTCTGAATATCGAGAGAAGAGTCCAGGTCGGAGGCGTTGTTGCTCCTGCTTCTTACGCTCCTCTTCTCGGAGTTTGGCTCTCTCTTGTCTCTCCGACAAGACTGCAAAGAAGCGATCATAGATGGCACTGAGGTCTTCGGTGCTCAGCTTCTTGCTCTCTGGGCCCAAATTGCGAATCGATGTACGTTTGGCGAATGTAGCCAAGCCTTCTTTGACATTATCAATATGCTTGGCCCTCAATTCTTCCACACTGGCGTGAGTAATGCCGGCGAATTCCTTGAATGCCGTGACCATCAATTCCTGGAATCTGGTAATGGCCCGTAGCTTTTCATTCTCCGAGTGTGGATGAGCCGACTCGTCCAGCCTGGAGAAATAGTTTTTGAGGATGGAGATGAAAGAGCCGTCGTCACTGACATCAAGAAGCTCTTCGCCATTGATCCTCAGGATGGCCAGCCCGATTTGAAAAAGGACTTTTGGTCCTTCGAGAAAGAAAACGTCTAGGACTCTAAAGGCAAAGACCAGTGGCATAGAGTTGATGTACAGAGACAGGAACCAGGGTAGCGAAACGACAGAGAGATTGACATCGGACTTGACCAAATGTTCCCACAGAACCGGCATGGTTCTCTCGACCAGATTCTCAAAGACACGTTGATCCAACAAGGTTCCATACATGTCTTTGGAATAGTATCCGGGGAGTAGCCTATCGCACAAGGCGCCGAGGATGAAAAAGGCTTGGGATTCGGACATGTAGATGAGAAGAGCAGCGACAACAATATTCATAGCCTGACAATAGCCGACTTCTTCATTGGTCCAGCTGTACGCCGTCAAGACACGACGGAGTCGACCAATGCCCTCTTCACTCTGGAATCCTGGATATTCAGGCAGACTTCGGTTCAAGTCCTTTTCGATTTCGTCAATGGCAAGTGATTCTTTGCCGGTAAACTTTTCCAGAGTCTTGCTGTACAGATGAGGATTTCGTAGACGAGTGTAGAAAGAGCCTGAGGCGATCTCCCATATCTCTCCTCGCAAACGATTTGGAAGGCCGACTCTGATCAATTTGTGGAAAGTCGGCTGCCGGACGATTGTGGCATTACGGCCATTTTCTCGAAGATATTCACCCCAGAGTCTGATTTTACTCCTGTCTCGTAGCTTGCGGGCATCTCCAGGATATCTGAAGAGCGTTCCCAGGCCTGTATCCGGAGGTTCTGGGCCCGGGGTGCCGTCTTCCTTGGCCTTTGTTCTGGCGGGGTCGAGCAGATACTCGGAATAGCACTGAGCCACTACAGCACGTAGGGCATCGGCATCTTTCATGGCCTCCCTCAATCCTTTCTTGAGGCCATCACAAAAGTGTTCACAGGTGGCGCGGCTGCCGTCTAGGGTGATGATCAGTTTTCGAGGAGGGATAGCGCCTTTTGTCTTTTCCGAGGTGGGTTTTTGGATCGATTCGAGGGTGGTCAGGGCAAGGGAGAATTTGTCTTGATGGCTATTCAGCCGTTCGACTCGTCGAATGGAGCATAGAGGTAGTGTGAAGCCATGGCCACCGGGGCCGGCGCCTTGGGTTGGGCCGGTGAAGGAGGTCGAGGCACTATGGCTGGCAAAGGGAAGGAAGCTGGCGCGGATGGTGGAGAAACATAGAAAGTGCTCGCTCAGATGCAGTTCACCGGCATAACGGATTCCGTTGTCCTTTAACTTGTTGCCAGAGGTAGGAGCGTGTCCTGAAGGAGAGGATGGGAGGGGGAGGTAGAGTTCAGCGCTGATTTCATAGAGAGGATTCTGACCGGCGGGGAGTCTGAACTGGTCTCGAAAGTAGGAGGCTTTGGAGGGACGATTGTCATTGTTGTTGCTGGCAAGAGGGGATTGATCGATGAACTTCTGAACAAACGAGCTCAACATGGCCGCAGTCAGGCGCTGGGGTCATCAGGGTGACCGACTCCCAGCAGGGTGCGGAGGAGCGATGATGACAGCTGAGGAGGCTCGTTCAACGGCTGATATTGTGTCAATGGTCACGTTTGGTCTTTGGAGGTTCACATTCTCCGCGTCATACTGTGGCAATAATCATGTCTGAGTGGTGAATGTGTCGAGATGTGTTGAATTGGAGGGGATGAGTATAGGGTCGAGCATCTCCCAGGTCGTCCCAAGGCGGCGCCTTGACCAGGCTGGATGCCTTGACCCAATAATAATCAATCAATATAGCGGCGACGTGTGGTGAACCTTGACCTGGTTAGCTGGTACTTAGCTACCCCAATAAAGTTGTTAGTGGGGTGGTTAGTTTATTACTTACGTAGTGATTATTTTATTATTAGGCAGGGACTTTCGGTCACCGGGGGAAGGGCAAGGGTCTTGTACGAGTCCTTCGTATGTGCAGGTGCTGTTGATGCGTCCATCCTTGGTAGACCGTCCATGTACCTGCTTAGTCATGCATACTCTGTAGGTACTACGGAGTATGTAGTTTTATAGATGGAAGGCACGACCACCAGTTCTCCTTCTCTGCCTCGATGTTGCGACTACTTTGGTAATTCGTCATCTCAAGACATGTTCCCATCATCCACAGTGAACGAATATGAGGCAACTCAATTCAATGACATGTCCATGCCCCCATCAACGTTAACGTGTGCAATAATAATATTCTTCTTCTGCTTGCAACTATGCCAAAGTGCCAGCAAAGTCTTTGACCTATAAAATGGCTCCAGAGTAATCGTATGTGCCTTTGATCCTGAGGCCAAACCTTCTGTCCATGATTCATAAAGATCAGCTCCGGCTTGCTGAATTGCATGAAAATACCCGGATATCCAACCCAGCATCGTAGCATCCTTTCTGCCAGAGTCATGAGCTCGTTTCGATCCAATGATCCTTTCACTATGGAATCCATGTTGTCGGCTTAAATGGATTATTATGCCAACTCGCTCGTTGTCCAGCAACTGCGCTCATTCCTCGTCCTGAGTCAGGATCAACTCGACCACGATGTGGCTCTTCTCATACTCGGGGTGTTGCAACACAATCTTGGGCGTGCGTGGAGCATTGGCAAAGTTCTTCAGTCCAAGTCCATTCATTCCCCCACCCAACGATGCGGTTTGCTGAGATGCGGTCCCTGACCCCGAGCCTCCACCCCCGTCATCCAACAGCTTGATGTCTTTTCCTGCCACGACTTGCTTTAGTCTCCCGTTCTGTGCGTCTCGAATCTCCACGAAATCGTCGTCCACCAGGATGAGATACTGCGAGTACAGACAGGCTGATTTAGCCCGTCCCACAAACTCCATCACAACGCCCCGTGAGATGTCACCATGCTTATTGACGTATACCGCGCATTCTTCAAATGTCACTAGGAATTCGGCCTCGCCGAGACGGAACATTCCCAACGGCTTCAGATCCTTGATCCGGCTTGCAATTGAACTGAGGTGCGCCTGTGTGTCAGCTTGGTCGCTCCTCAGATTCGGCACACTCCAAGTTTGCTTCTTCTCTAATGTCAAGACCTCGACGCCTCTAGCTGTCGAGATGGCCAGACTTGACTGGTAGAGATTCAACCCATAACACTCGGCGGGGATGTAGAACTCGTCGTATTCGCGGAAAAACTCGGTCTGACCACGCCGAGTCGATGACGGGAGGAATCGTGATCGAGTTGTTGTACTCTTTTGAAGCACTGGTTCCAGAACCTTAAAGGTGGATGCGATACCATCCCGTTTTTTATAAAACACCAACGTGCGTTCCTTCATTCGGCCCGTCACGAAGAACCCAATGTCTTTGGACCCTGACAACTTTTGAGGCGCTTTGCGTGCCGAATCGTCTCGCGGACCGTGGCTGCCCGATGGTGGGCACACAACATCAAGATGATATGCGATCAGAGCTTTGTCGGAGATCAGCAGGAAGAGATTGAATTCCTCAAGGACTGCAATCTGGGAGATCCTTTGCATTTGGATGGCCTGCACAGAAAGTCAGTAAATTGGCCTTCTCGTGAGGCTTCCTCTCACTTACTCTAGTCCACCCCCTTGAGTTTTGATACTCGGAGATGTAGACGCCATAGTCGGTTCCGATCGCACACATTAGCCTACCAAATGGCTGGTGGAACACAGTCGCGCAGTTGACTTGAGCTCTGCAAATTGGAGCCGGCCTGCCTTGTCCTTCATATTTCTTTTCCGTCTCTCGAATTGCTCGGTCTAATGGCGTGCCTCGGATCAAAATTCGCCGTGACCCGTGACTGAGGCCATCGTAACCAAAAGCCGTGTCGGCCAGCACCCGTAGTTTGAACGGCTCCGCATTTTGAGAGTAGAGTGATTCGGCGTGCCGAGTTTTCGCTTGAATGATGGCTTCGCACCAATCTTGTCGGTTCTGAGCACTAGGTGCGTATAAGGTGTAGGTCTCAGGCTTGCCAAGGTGCTTGACACGGAAAGGATACATAATCTTCTCCTCCTTGGGGTTGCCCGAGTCTAGCGTCGTGATGGGGACCATGCTTTGACTTGCGCCCCCAGACCCGATCGAAAGGTTGGTGTTGGTGTGCGTGAGAGATCCTGGCCGGTCACCACTAGCCGCAGATTGCGCCCGAGCCATCCGGGAATCGGTTTGAGACCTAGTCGCGACGGTTGTGGTGACCGCCGCGATTCCCTTGACCGACGACTTGACAACAGCAGCGTCTCCGGCGCTTTCGAGCACCAAGAGATCCATTGGGATTGGAACTTTGGACACGTCATAGTATCCTTCACGGCTTCGTTCCCGCGCCAGTGGCTTCGCAAGCACGAGATAGTGATCGAAAAGAATGGCAAAAGTCTCCACCCACTGGAATCCCTTTTCACCAGCACGGAGTAGATCGCCTTTGAATACGATCTCTCGGCCAAGATGGTCGAGATTCAGCTCGACTTCTTTCTCCATTTGAGCACGCAGTCGTAGTTTAGTCTGCATCTCGATCAATTCCATCTTCTTGCCCATCTCGGCGAATTTGGCATCACACTCAAATGTTGCCGCACGAATCTCGTCCAAGGCAAACGCCAAATTCGTCTTCTCCTCCGACTCCTTGGGCATGTTTTTGTACACGGTGGATAAGAGTAGACCGTAACGTTGCAGTCTGGTGATTGGACTCTTGAGGTAATTGCCCCAATCCAGCTTCTTGGAACGAGCATCGTTTTGCGCTTGGTCCAGGAAGTTTTTGAAATGAAGATTGCGCTCGGCTTCTCGACGCATAAGGTAGTCGGCCCTGGGAAAACTGGCAGCGTACTCCACGTAAATTGGCCGAGCTTTTCGAATCCATTCTCGGAAGATGTCGCTGAAGCCAACGATCCACGGGCCTTGTTCGGTTTGGCGGTATTTGAGCTGACCCAGCAAGTAGTCCTGATTGACCTTTTTCACCTTGTCCACTCCACCAAAGACCTCCTTCAGGAAACCCGGCAGCTTTTTGGTCGGAATGATGGGCGGCTGCGACGCGGCTAATCGGTCCCGGTAGAGAAGTCGAATGACGTCGAGCTGGCTTAGATAAAAATCTTCACCGGTGACGACTTCGTGCAGATTGTTCTGCCGTTCAATTTCCTTCCTATCATGTCCTTCCAAGTCCTCCTTTTTGAGTTTATAGAACGTAGGCCAATCTTGAGTACTTTGCTCGCCGGGCAACGAGTCGACGTCGATCTTTTTCAAAGTCCTCATACAATGGTAGGAATAACATCGACCTTTAACCGGGTAGAGGTGCAATTTGGACGAATAGCAGCCGGTACCTGTGAGCTGGTACAGGACGCCAGACATGGTGCCAGGACCAAATTTGACCCATTCCTCTTCCCTAACCAGAGCGCCAGCTGCCACCATCGACTTGACGACACGGTCACCGAGTGCTTCGGCTTCAGTGTTGTACATGGTGGGCACTTTGTGCATGAATAGGGCTACCAAGCCTTCAGCCACGCTACTCTCTTTGAGGTCAGCCTCTTCTTCCGCCAACTCTCTGATCCAAGCCAAGACTGAACTCAGGGCCCAGGGCTCCGAACACTTCTTGAACTGATCCGATGTCAGCTTGGAAGGATTGTACCGCTTCTTGGGAATTGTGGGGAGATCAAGCCCAACGGCGGTTTGAGGGCTCGAAAGATCATAGATATCAGACATTGGCCGGCCCTGTTGACGAAGCAATTTGGCCCGATCAGACTCGGTTTTTGATCGAATGGGGTGGTCACTTCTCGGAGCACTTCTGGTACTTGAGAGTGAGGTTGAGCGCGGCACGGCCGTCGGGCTCAACAAAGTGGAAGAGTAGGCATCGGGCGCAGAAGGGAAAGACACGCGAGTACCGGGGTCTGTGTACTGAGAAAAGCGGCTTTGTTGGGTGTATGTCCCAGCAGGGATCAGGTGTGGGATTGTTCGGAGAGCTGAAGGGTCTGAATTAGAAGGTGGAGGTGGAAGCGGCCGCTGTTGGCTCATGCCAGGGTGGAAGAAGAGGTCCGGCATAGAATCTCGAGATGGGCTGGTACTTCCCGAGGTCTGGCCTGCTTCAGATTCTATCAGAGTAGCCTCATCGCCGTCTTCGTAGCTCAGGCGTCTCGGGAAAGGGCTCGGTTCAGTGAGCCCACCCGTTCCTCCAGTATCGACTCTGGCGACATTGTGGATTGGAGAAAAGGGATTGTCAGTCGGAGGAAGCGAGTCCACGCCACTTGTTTGAGAGTCTCTTCCCTCGGAAGACACGCCAGAGCTTCTGATGGAGCTCATTCGTGTATTCAATCGACCGTAAAGGTCGCTCGAGGGCATGGTCGCAGCAACACCGTACTGCGATTCGCCATAAGACATGTCGGGGACATAGCTTCCACCGGCGGCACCGCTTAGGTCGTAACCAGTATAGTCACTGTCACTGCTTTGGTCTTGAGAGACCATGCGTGCAGAGTGATCGTCGGAACGAATGGCAGTGGGGAAGAGGGTGGCGGAGCCTTGGGTGCCACTACGTCTTCTCATGTCTTCTGCTCGTTCCTGCTCGTCCAAAGCATTCATGGCAGCTAGTCCCGCAGCAGCCTCCGCATCACTGTCATCGGTGAAAGCGCCATAGTTGATGTAGGCATCTCCGGTCGAGGCAATATTGCCATTTAAATGAGTAGGAGCTTCATCAGGAGATAGCAAAGGCTGCGGGGAAGGGGTGGGGAGGACAGAGTCGGGGCCCTGGTCTTGGGATTGGCGATACATGTGAGTGTGCCTCTGCGAGTCAAGCGTGGAAGCATCGCCAATAGCATGGTCGAGATGCTGCATCAAATCATCATAGCCGCTCGTGGAAGGGTCTCTACGATGAGCCTGTGGTTGAGATGCGCTGAAGAAATCATTGTCCGATTCAGAACCAGATGGAACCCCTGGCAAAGACCTTCCTTGGGGATGACGGTCGATAGTACCCTGGCGTTGCGGCGATCGACTTGCCGGCATGCGATTTGGCGAATTAGCGAGCGAAAGTCGAGGAGAAGTGGACTGAGCGCTGACTCGACTAGCAAAGGAGGAATTTCGATTGACATCGGGCGAGGAATAGTTCGCTAGGGTTGCAGATTGATTCCCAGAAGGGGTGGATTCATGCGAATATGGCCCTTCCGGCATGCTCACGGATTGCATGTATGGCCTAGCGGCCAGAGACGCTTCATGGGGCGGAGGTTGGGGAGGTGGGGGAGAATACGCTGCATAATTCTGGCGTGGAGAAGCATTGCTGGGATGACCGGAGAGATGATGCTGGTTAGTGTCTTGAGGATATGTCCCGTATTGATTGAGTGAGTGAGATAGAGGAAGGGTATCAGATCGAGGCGGGGGCAGAGGGGGTTGAGCGGAATAATTCAACTGCGAATTAGCATCGTGGTAACCGTAGCTGTTGTACAGGGAGGTGTGGCGCTGAAGATTAGAATCGCCATAGGCGGCTGGAACATAAGGTTGATGTGCGACGGGGGTATACGAGGTTTGCGGAGAGGCGTAGGCTTGTGGGTTGTATTGATACTGGTGTGACTGCTGCTGCTGTTGCTGCTGTTGCTGAAATTGGGCAGGGTTATAAGTCTGGTGAGCGGGAGGGGTCGGTTGATGTTGATATTGATAGCCACCGGCTGGAGAGCCGTGTTGGGTGTTGGTTCTGAAGGGCAGGGACGAGGCTTGATTGGCGTAAGTGATGGATGTGCCTCGATCCACTGGAGGGCTGGAGGCCACTGCGGATGGATGTTGCGCTTGATATGGATGGGTCGCACGGTAGGAAGGGTCTGGGACATCAGCAAAGCGCTGGTCATCCCCAGCATCGAAACTGGGGCTTCTGTGAAGCGGCCTCGGAGGGTATGGCGATTGGGAGGTATGAGGGGGGTGACCCGAGTTCTGGGTAGACGAGGGATGAGCATTCTGGTTGTAATGAGGGTGACCGTTCTGATAGCTGGCCATGGTCAAGGCAGGCTGAGCGGCGACAACGAGGGTTTGTCGTGGAGGGGATGGGAGACGTCAGCGCAGGCTCTGGGTGAGACTCGGTGATTGCTGCGCATGTTCGACGAATGGCAAGAGGGGACGCGGAGGCATTCGGGGACAGTCAGGAGCAGAAGGACACCTGCAGACGCAGCGACAGAGAGAAGGACAAGTCGCTGAGGATATGAGATGAAACGAAAGATGATGTGAGTGCGGAGGGTCGGCTGTAGGATGAAGGATGTCAAGGTGTGGTAGTGTGGTAAGTAGTGTGGGTGTGGTTGGAGGACTGAGGACTGAGAGTCAAGGCTCAATTGGGCCAACCGACACAAAGGCGGACGGACTATGAGGAGGAAGGAGTGAGCTTTCCGCCGTTAGGCAACCACAGGAAAGAAGCACTGAGGATTAGGATAAGGCAGGATTTTCTCCGACAGGTATCATGATCATTATCATTATAATTATTATCAAGCAAAATCAAATTTATACATTCTAACCATTCTACGAAAGGTCATCTCGGTTTTGTACTAGTAAGATGGCGAAGACGAAGGAAATGTGTCGTGTGGTAGAGTGCATCTCATGTCACATTATGGATTCCATGCAAAGATCCACTATTTACGAGGGTTTCTCAGCTCTTACATTCTGTCCTCATGAATTCATCATTGCATCTTTACAGGGATAGATGGAAATCTGATACATTGGTAGGACAGATATTCTTGAAGCACATGTCAAGGACATGAAGATCATGGAGATTCACCGCTAGATAGATGCATGATGTACCTTTTGAGGGCGACTATAATAATGTCAGATGAATACGAGAGTGTCAAAGTACTACTCCGTAGGTACTTCTTGTTATGTTTAGGCTGAGGATACGCAAGATGGTGGTTGTTCGTGGTTCGCCTGATGAACGCCTACTCCGAGAAGGGAGGGGTCTTGCGCTGGCGGGCACTGCGGGTGGACAGGGCTGAGCGCCGAGGCCGTGCAGGACCCTTGGTCGACGAGATGCCTGCATAAAGCCAATCAAGGGTCCCGGGGTCCGGGGGTACCTGAGTTGTTGCCTAAAACAGCCCAAGGGGGCCCGTTGGCCCTTGAGCACCTACAGCAGCGGACCAGAGGCGCCCGAGGGCCCCTCGGCCCTAAAAGAATGCACAACTCATGCTATTCAAGGCCCAAATGTTTTATGTAGGGTGGTTGGCTACCTGGGGGGAATGAGTGACCTGCACAACAAAGTCCCATGACTTCCTTCAATCCACAGCCTTATTGCGACGCCTGGTTGCCTTCAGCCGCAGCCTTGGTGTCAGCCTCGCGGATTGATTTGAGGACGGTCTCAGCGACCCTGGTGCCCTCTAATGCAGCAGGCATGCCACAATAAACTGCTACCTGTATCAAGACCTCACGAATCTCCTCTTCAGTTGCCCCGTTGTTGACGGCGCCTTTGATGTGGACGGCAAGCTCAGCCATTTTGTTCAAGGCACACAGCATACCGATATTGATCAGACTGCGTGTCTTTCGTTCCAGTCCATCTCGAGCCCAGACTACACCCCAGCCGACCTCAGTGACGAGTTCCTGCAGCGGTCGAGAAAAGTCCGACATGTTATCCACCGACCGACTCACATGCTCGGGTCCAACCACCTGCTTTCGTATCTCAATGCCTTGATCCCACAGCGTCTTGTGGGCCTCGGCCACTTTGTCGGATGAAGCCATTGTGTGACTCTTTATGCAAGGTCAAAGCAGAGACTGGTGAGGTCGAGCAATTGGTGGTAGTGACAAGACTCGGGGAGATCTCAGACCTAGAACTTGTGACCAGTTGATATTCCAATGTTGTAGGTGGTGCGTTGGCGTGGTAGTAGTTGTTGTGGAAGGCTGTGGTACGTGTTACCTATCAGACGTGGCCCGCCGATAAGATTTCTAACCCTAATCTCGAAATTTTATCGGGACATGAAGTTGGACATTAATTTCTCAATTAAGCAGTTTTACATTCCTGATCTGGTTATCAAAATGGAAGAATTGTCACGCTCGAACGAGGCTGGACCCTTTCTTCAGTTACTGGAAGCGAAGGAACCCGCACTCAAAGAACCCCCGAACCGATGAGCCCACGGAGCCCCACTGGCCACTTGCGGGCAGCCACGGACTTGGGGTCCTGCTTGCTTCTCCAGTCGCTGAACCCGTACCTCCCACGCCTGCCTCCACGACCTCCAAATCTGTTGCCTGACACGCGACCAAGAATGCGGGGCACTCGCTACCCAGACCCAGGCGCAGGCACAGGCGCAGGTATGCCACGCTGCCAGCTGCCGCCCATCCGAAATCCAACACGAACATGTCTCTCGCTCACCAACTACAACAATCACGGGGCAAGCAAATATCAATATCTCAGTCCAAATTCGATCCAACGAGCTAACCGTGCATATAAGCCAGGGAATGATCCTCATTATGTCGAGCTTACTTTCCAAGTCGCCAAAGTCTCATCGTCGTCGCCTCACCTCTCTTGCACCAACTTCCCCACCCGTGTGCCTGTAGGTACAAATCTCGAGACCCAACCTGTTGTAATTTCATCAAGCGTGTTTAGGTTATACTGATCGACATCTGCCGGTACAACCAACATCCAGCAACCAGTGTCTGCCCCACCAATCTTGATGTCCTCTCGAGCCTCCCACCTCCGCACATGGAATTGTTCTGGAGAGATGGCTCGTGTCCACACTTTGCCTCTGAATGCTGGTACTCGGCAGTCTTGGCCCACCTCCGCCCTCACACGACCCCAACCTCAGTCCACTTGTGTTGCTGGAGAGGTGATGACTTCTCAGTGGGGCTTCCCCGGGCGTATATAGTAGAACTCTTCCGAGTTCTTGTGTATGTATGGAGCGTGGTCCTCCTTGCCGGCATAATCCTCGTTCAAACGAAAAATCCTGTCCCTTTGTCCTAGAAAATTCTCAATGGCTGCTTCCGAGGCCCCATGGGCCATCATCGTTGGCGCTGGACCATCGGGTCTTCTCCTGGCGCTCATGCTGGCTAGAAAAGGAGTCCCTGTTCACGTACTCGAAGCATCGAATGAGTTGGACGATTCACCACGCGCAGCATACTATGGTCCTCCGGCTGCATACGAGTTGAGACGGGCGGGCGTCATCGACGACGTGCGGAAAGAAGGATTTGACCCTGTCATCACCTGCTGGAGGAAGCTCGATGGCACTTATCTCGGCGGTTTTGACAACAGCATCAACTTTGACGACCCAGATCGTTTGGCCACTTTGCCCTTGGCTCAACTAGACCGGCTGCTCTACAGGCATGTCAGTGCCCACCCGTCAGCCAAAGTTTCATTCAACCACAAAGTCGTCGACCTTGGCCAAGACAAGGACAAGGCGTGGGTAGATGTCGAGACGCCCGAGGGTAACAAGCGACTCGAGGCAACATACATTGTCGGCTGTGACGGAGCTTCCAGTACGGTCAGAAGGAAGTTGTATGGAGATACAGACTTTCCAGGGTATACCTGGGACAAGCAGATTGTGGCGACGAATGTAGGTCCCCGGTCGTTCCCACAATGCAAGAAATTTTTCGTTTTCTGACCGATTGATAGGTCGCGTATCCCTTTGAAAAATTCGGCTACGAGGATGTGCAGTTTTTTATTCATCCAGAGCACTGGCACATGGTTGCTCGGCTGACCAAAAACCCCGACAACAGTGGATTTTGGAGAGTCAGCTATGGCGAGATCTCTGGGTTGACTCGAGAACAATTGCTGGAGCGCCAACCCATGAAGTTTGAGGCAATGCTGCCAGGTCATCCGAAGAAGGGTGAATATACTCTGGCGGCCATCAATCCCTACCGGATTCACCAACGTTTGGTCGAGAGTCTACACGTCGGACGATTCCTTCTCGCAGCTGACGCTGCACACAGTGAGTAGTTGTCGACGTCCTTGTCCCTGTCAGAGCTAACACAACTCTAGTTTGCAACCCATTTGGAGGATTGGGCTTGACAGGAGGAATTGTCGACGTCGGAGGATTGTATGACTGCATGATTGGAATCTACGAGGGCAAGGCGGATGATAGCATCTTAGATCGCTATTCTGAGGTCCGGCGCGAAAAGTATCTGACCATCACTGACCCCATATCTACCGACAACATCAAGCGCCTATACGACCAAGATCCAGACAAGGCGCTTGAAAATGATCCTTTGTTGAAGTTGTTGAACGGAATGAAAGATGACAAGGAGGCTCAACGAGAGTTTATGAAGGCTCCCTTTGCACTCTCCTATGATTTCACACAACATTACAACACCAAACAGGCCAAATGTCCCGAACAGAAAGTGCTGGTCCAACGTGTCGAGCAGGTGGCATCTGCTGCGGCAAATTGAAATTATGACCAGCAACGAGAACCGAGGAAGGGTGTCCACTTGGTTGGGAGTTGATGGACTTTGCAGATGCAATGTATGCCCAGTCACGTGTGCAGCCACTTGTTGATAGTATGGTGTCCTTCTAGAGACAGAGTCTATTTGCATTCTGAAGAGGAGCAGCTTTATCTAGATTTTATAAGTATATTTTGCTCACACGTAGAATGCCTCGAGTCCAACTGCAAAATACGATCAAGGCGAGTGATATCAGGTGTCGACTTGGGTCTTGACCAGGGATCTTGCACCGAGACGCTCGGACATCACTAAGTAGGTACCTGCTCGATATCGTGAGAGCCCATTGTTGAGCCTAAACGTGCTCTTGTGCTTGTACAGATGCCCGTTGTGCCTACTCCCTACCTTAGAGGCTAAGCGACACCCCCCAGAGCTTTTGACACTGGAGCCAGTGGAGCCCAACAACAGCCCGAGGAGCCCCTCAGGCCCCGAACGCTCCCCTCCATTTACCCCTCCGCCCCTCCGCCCAACCACACAGCGCCACTCCCCAAAGCTTGTGCACGTCATTCAAGTGGAAGCTTGTCGTCGTCAGAACCACATTAGAATTTCACAAACTTTTGGCTACTCGTTGGAGTCCAGTAGAGTCATTGGCCCCAGCTTTTCTGCTCGTCTGGATCAAGCTACAGGTCCACAACGAATAGGCAAGTGTAAAAACCACTACTCGGTAAGTAGGTACCTTACTTAGGTCATCACCATGTGAGCGTACCTGCCAATCTTCCATCTTCCATCTTCAGTCATGCAATTGTCATGACTTTTTTGCGCTCCAGCACCACCAACACCTTCCGTCCTTTCTATCTTCAACCCTACTGACCACCAAGTCTTCGAATAACTTGGTGCATCAGTTACCTTTTCCTTCTACTCTACGTGACTTCTTCACAGCTTGTGTGGCTCATTACCATCCCATTCTTGGTATAATATTTAATTTTCCCGTCTCTCTTCGTTCACTACGCTGGCTCGCGCCCACGTCGACGCCACGCCACACCACACCACTTCACTCCTGCCCACTACCAGCTGACAGTGTCCTACCCTACCTATCCTGCGGCCATCGTTCCTCTCCATGTATGCTTGACGCGCAGTCATGAAACCATCCGATTCAGGCCCTCTGTTACGTCGAAAGTCCTCCACTCCTCACTACCAGACCTTTGGAGGCATCTCTCCTCCAAAGTCTCGAGGCCAGCCTCTTTCCGTATCCTCCAATTCCTCTAGCCATGACCTCCACAACCAAGACGATGAGCAACAAAGCTCTCCGCTCCCTAAAAAACAGATGGCTATTCTGGCCGTTATAGCCCTCTGCGAACAGACAGCCCTCAATTCCATCAGTCCCTACTTGCCTGCAATGGCTTCCACTTTTCCAGATGTCAACCCAGGCCAGGTTGGCGTCTACGTTGGCACCATAGCTTCAGCCTTTGCTCTGGCCCAGCTGACTACAAACTTTTTCTGGGGTTGGTTGTCGGATCACATTGGGCGGAAACCCGTCATTTTATTGGGCACCGCTTTCACTGCAGCCTGCTTCGTCGCCTTTGGCTTCTGCAAGACTCTATGGCAAGCTGTTATCGTTCAGGCTTTGATGGGCCTATTGAACGGTAACCAGGGCGTAGTCTCGACCTGTCTAGGAGAAATAACAGATCGGAGCAATCAGTCCAAGGCCTTTACCTATCTGCCTGTCTTGTACGGTCTGGGCGGTATTACTGGTCCAGTGATCGGTGGGCTTCTGGTTTTCGAACAGAACCCCTTCGACAAGTCCAAGCCCAACCCCTATCCCTACCTCCTCCCAAACCTTTTGTCCGCCTCTATTCTTGTCGTCGATCTTGTCCTAACCTCCATCTTCTTGGAGGAGTCTTTGGAGGAAGCCCAATATCAAGCCCCTCTCGGTGTTCGAGTTCGCAATTTGTTCGTATGGCTATGGCAATTCTCCTCCTCCGCTCGCCCATCTTACCTGCGAGCAAACAAAAAACGAGCCAACTTGAATCGTCAAGATGATGGCACTGACCAGTCAGAAGATGATGCAAGCGACGCCGGCCTCGACTCGCAAACATTCTTCCATTCGGGAGAAGAACTCAAAAGTCGTGACATTCTCAACCGTGACACCATCCTCTTGCTGGCGACCTATCTAATCTTTCAACTCTCCAACATTTCGTTCAATTCTCTATACCCCATATTTGCCCAGGCGTCCCCGCCTACTGGTCGAGATCTAGACCCTGAGGAGATAGGATTATCCTTGGCTTTTGCGGGTGCTGTGACCATCTTGTTCCAGGTCGGCCTTTTTGGCAAACTTCGAGATAGAGTCGGCAACCGTTGGGCGTATCGGAGTGGATTTGTTGGTTTCGTAGTGGCATATCTGTTGATGCCATGGGTGGGTTACAAAAAGCAAGATCAGGGAAGAGGATTGTCCCATGGCGCAGCATGGTTATGGTTTGAAATTTGTCTCATTCTTCTTATCAAGACGGTCGCTGCGGTCGGCGGTCTAACCAGTGCTTTGTTGTTGGTAAGTTTTGACCAGATGATGCCCCGACTTGACACTGACGTGGCCTAGATTACCAATTCCGCTCCCAACCATAATGTGCTGGGGACGTTGAACGGTCTTGCTCAGACACTATCCGCCGCAGGTCGAGCTGTAGGCCCATTTGTGTCTGGAGGCATGTTTTCTTTGGCCACCAAGGTCCAACCCAAGGGAGAAGCGCTGGCGTTTGGTTTATTTGGAGGGATTGCTTTTGTTGGGTTTTTGCTCAGTATGGGCATTCGATCTCCTGATCTTGAGGCCGCAGGTTGGGAATCTGGAGACGATCAAGATGATTCCAGCGACAAATCAGATGACGATGAAACTATGACATAGAGCTACTGTTAGGTTGACAGCTCGAAACGACAGAAAATGAAATGACCAAGGTTTGCTGAGTATGTACCTGGTCATGTATGGCTTGATGTATCAGACAGGCATTGTGCCAATTCGGATCTCCATCTCCGTAAGTGAAGCAATAATTGAAGGATTCTAATGAAAACTTGGTGGCCCGTTTTCTATCGACGACTTAAACTGTTTTCCATGACAGCACGCGCCAGATTTCATTTTCACTGCAGCCATGTTGTATCTTCCCTCAGCCCGTCGATTCATTCTCCCTTCTGTGGTCTGTCTGATCATCTTGACGCTTGTGCATCTCATCATCCAGCAGTTAGCACCATCACGACAGAGTCTGGTTCGAGCAGCACAAAGGACTCAGAGATTTGGAACCTACATTCCCTCTCAACAGGATCATGTCTTGTTCGACCAGAACAACCCTACCTACCTCTCCTCTCATCCTCCATTCCAACGAACAGAAGAACAAGCTACATCGACGACCTTCCCTCCTATCCACCCCCGACTCGCTAATCTCCTCCAATGCCCAGCTGGAACACTCAATCCCACGACCTTCCACCTCCGTCTCCCAAATCCAATCCTCAACATTAGCATGATCCCACCATCAACTCCATCCCACGATCCCACCCTCCGCTTCTTCAATCCCGCCATCATACCTCTGCCTCACTGGTCCGGAAAAACAACTTACGTTCTAGTCACCCGACTAGTCACCGCCGGGCACCACCAAGAATCCCACATCTGTCTCGCCGACATCTGCTCCCCTCCATCGCGAAAAGGCCAATCCCAGCGATTACCAGCCGACGTTCGAATCTGCACCGACGACGATCTCACCATCCTCGGTTCCCAGGGCGGTATGCGCTGTACTACACCGCCACATAAGATCAACATCCCATCCACACCAGCCCATTCCTGCTCAGGAGCATGGCTTGCCTTTCCAGATATTCCTGGTTTCCACGATCCACGCGTTTTCTGGTCCGGGAAAGGCGAGCCGTTAATACTGATCAACAGCGCAAGTCAATATGGCTGTGTGGGTTTGTGGATCGTTGATCTAAGACCGCTTTTTCCCGAGTTGGGGGATTTGTTGAAGAGGGAGGGACGGAGTGTGTTGGACTCGTCTCGCGCGATTAGTTATGGGTCTTTGACCGAGATTACGAGGAATCCAAGCGGGAGCAGAAGTCCAGTCGAGAAGAATTGGATGCTTTGGTTTCCGAATCGAGAGGATGCGTATGTTCAGTTTGATTTGCTCGGTGGTGGAAATTCTCTATCGAGAGATACATTATCCGGAGGATCGAGCAACAAGAATACAACAGGGATAGTACATGACGAGCGTCGAAACGGTCCAAAGAGCCCACAACGACGAACAAAAGGAGGCCGTACCTTTGCCAAACTCATCGGAAATGGCTACACAACACCAAACCTCACCTCGCCACATGAACAATCCTGTTTCGACACAGACTTTGAACACTACCCTCTTCAAACAGACAAACCATCCATCCATCCCATCTCTCCCATCTCATCATCAAAAGCCAATCACACACACGACTCACTCGGACAGAAAGGTCATTGGCATCAAGGTTCCAATTCACTACGATTGATTCTATGTACCAGAGTGGAAGCTCGACGAGGGGAATGTGACGAGGATGACAACAACAATCGCGATCATAACACTCATAACTCCACCACCTCCAAATCCATCACCCCCAGCCTCTCGGTGCATTTCGCCATCATCAACCGCAAATTCTCCAACTTGATGGATCTTCCCCTTCGATATGAACGGTATATCATGGTCTGGGAAGGAAAAGCACCGTTTCGAATCCTGGGTGTCAGTCGCTGGCCTATAGTTTGGCGTGACGAATGGGTTCGACCATGGAGTTTTGATGAGAATTTTCGGGGTGATGGACATGGAAGGCAGGGATTTGAGAGGAAAAATGGGTCGATGAGGCGGAGAGGAGATGAAGAAGATGGGAATTGGGAGAAGCAGGACACTCTTCGTGACTCAGACTCGGAATATGCATATGCATATCATCAATATGCATCTTTCACATATACACCATCCTTGGCGTGGTCATGGATGCCACATTCATCCGGCACAGCGTTTGAAAAGGGACGTCGACATGAAGATCAAGACCAAGATCAAGACCAAGACCAAGACCAAGACCAAGACCAAGACCAAGACCAAAATCATGATCAGGAATCATCCAACACCCACCATACCAACCAATTCCAACCTGAAGACGACGCTTTATACCTATCTCGTCTAGGCACTGGATATCTAGGTGACGATGTATTGGTTGGCGTTGGTCTCGACGACGTGAAGCAGGGGTTTGTGCGTGTTAAAGTGGATGACTTGATTTCATGTTTGAGACTGTGTCCTGGTATAAAGAAAAAGGGGGAGGAGGTGATTGATGAGTGAGGTGTAATAGAATGCAGGGAGGAGACTCTTTTATGGGTTTATCATGTAGATATATGAATGAGTATAGATGAGTATGAGTATGAATGTGAATGACTATAGAGTGATGGGGAAAAAAGGAATAGGAATGAACGTATTACTTTTTTCGCACCATGATACCCAAGTCCTCCTTACCATCAGATCTTGATCCCCTTCTTCCTTTGCGATTACTCCAATCCGATAAGTCACAGGCTATTCTCCTTCGTCAAGTCTTGAATCAAAACTTGGCGACCACTTTTCAATGGCATCTTGTGATGAAAAAAAACAAGAAAGTCGGAAAATCACAAGAGGCAGAACAACAAAAGAGCCGCCGACCAAGAGCAGCACTCGCTGTCCTAGCGAAACCCAGTGAGCCATTGCAATCATCGCTTTGCGAATCAAATCGAGTTCCCAATCAAGAATGAATGCATATCGCGTGCTCGCTGCGCTCAATATCAGCGGTCTTGATGTGGTCATTTAGTCATTAAATCATTCATCCATTCATCCATTCGTTCAGTCTCGAGAAACTGTCGAGACTTTTCAAAAATATACTAATTTGGAGGGGAGGGGGAATAACAAAACGAAGAAGTTGAGATGTCGCTTGCACGAATATCGGATATCGGATATCGGATATCGAATATCGAATACCGAGTCCAGTCGACTCAGGTTGATCGATCTGGCCGGTAATTGAGAAGAATGTCTTCCTTCATGGCTAATCGTCGTCATGCTTCATACGGTGCCTGCTGTCCTCATGTATCGGTCAAAGGCTTGTTGTCTGGCTTGGTTTCCACGTCCGAGATCAAGATCAAATTTGTCGACTGGTCTGTCATGAGGGACTCGTTGGTGACTTGCTCGGACGGTAGATCCATTATCTGTGCTGGAGCTGATGGTTGTATATGCTGTTCCGGTATCATTTCTTCCTTTTGTTCAATGGTCGTGTTTGCCTCGGGGAGTTCACAAGAAACAGGTGCGTCGATTGGCGGCTCCTTATCTGTGGCTGTATCATTGTTGTTCTCAGCTGTATTTGCAGTTGTCGTTGCCGGAACTGGTTCTGGCTCTTGTTCTGGAGCCGCAGCAGCGGGCTTCTGAATCTCACTCTCACTCCCATTCGATGCTTCACCCTCAGTTGGTTGCTCGCCACTGGAGTCGGGGGCATTAGCTGCAGATCCTGAATTCTCGACAACTTCCTCAGCAGCAGCTTGTACGTTATCCAAGGCACTTTTGGCCACATCATCGCGATCCAAAGTTGGCGGAACAATACCATCATCCTCTTTGGAAGGGAGAACCACCTTGAGACCAAGATCGGCTTGTTTGCTATACACTCGAAGCCCAACAATGCAGCTGGCATTCCATGGATTTCGGTTGGGGTCCTTTTTCTTCTCATCGTCCCCATCTTCAGTGTTGTCTGCCGGCGTTGGATTGGCGGGTGCCACCTCTACATGCGATCCGGGCGTTCTGGTACCTGTTGTGTTGGGGGTGGAGATGCCAGAGCTTGACAGGGACTGTATAGTAGATGCAGACGAGGAAGAGCCAGGATGTTGTCCTTTTTGATGGGCCAGGTCGTAGAGCTTCCCGATCTGCGTGATCTTATCTCGTCTTCCAATGTTTTGGCGAATTACAGTCTCGACATCTTCAAGTCCGCTGTTGGATGCCTCGATCTTGACCAGAACTGTATATGTACCTTTGCTCAAGAAGACTTCCACGTTGACGGACCGCTGCAATTCATAGTTGAGCTTGCTACGTGCAATGTATTCGTCGTCCTCGTCCTCGTCCTTTTGAACTCGGAATTGTAGTGTAAAGTTGTATTTTCCTTGCAATCCTTTAAAGTACCGGTCGTCGAGTTGAGACAGCACAATCACGGCTTCAGTGTCTTCGGGCACATCGATGCTAAAGTGGTTGGTTTGATAATCCAGGGGACTCCAAGGGACTTGGACGGTCATCCATTGCTGGGCGACATGCCACTCTGGACCAAAAATTCGAGTGCGGTCAATGTATTTATACTTGCTGAGCATGTCTTTGTATGTCATCCAGAAGATTCCGTCGTCGCCAAATTTATGATTAAGGATCCTGAGCCAGTCCGAGGTCCATTCTTTTGATCCATCACTCCAAGCACCACACCACTCTTTACGGCCCCAGGGGTTGCGGATCTTGACGAGTCGTTGCCCGTGACCTTCATATGTGTCAAGAACGGCGTATGCATGCTGACTGACGATTCCCGATCGTCTTTCTTCGCGAACTTGCTCGTTGGCTCGTAGATATGGTCTCCACCTGTGTGAGGAATTAGGGATGAGGTTCTGTCAGGTGTGATGGCGAGAGAACGTGGGAGAAGACTGACTCGCGATATCTAGCTGCTGCGCAAGAGAACAAGAAATCCTTTCCGATTCTCGAAAGTTCATTCTTCCAGAACTCGTCAGCAGAAAGGATGTTGGTGGTATATATTTCAGTGGTGACTCCACCGGTCAAATCTTCGATTGCTTCACTATAGATGTATTAGTGGCAGACGCTAATATTGATGGATCTAGAGAAAGCAATGTTTGTGATGACATACCCAGTCTGACCGCCTGAAATAGCTGCATAGTCACCATGAGCTTTAGCGTATGCTCTGTTCGACTTGGTCAGTCATAAATTCGACGATTGCTTGGATTATAAGATTCATACTTCTCGAGTAGGCTGACCCAGGTCTCATTCTGGTCTCGACATTGAGCAAAATAAAGGGCTTGCGAGCCTCTCTGGAATAATTCCTGATATTGGCCTTCTTGATCAACTCGCCTAACTCCATACTGGCCAAGAACTACATCTCCGCTCTCGTCGTAGGCTGGGGCCCGCAGGTAGAGTTTGTCATCAATGATACACTGGTGCCATTCTCCGTCTGTGTTTGAATAGAGTTTAGTGATGATTGAGAGGTCAAGAGGAATTGACGTACCTCGATGGAAGACGAATCCATAGACACCGACAGTTTGGTCTTGAATGACACAAACACGATCGATGAATTTCTGGTCGCAGCCCAACACGGAAAGCGCTGCCAGGAACCAACAGTCTCTAATAAGATACGGTCAGGAGACAGGTACTCTTAGAGTGAGGAAATATAGTGGATAAAGTACCCTGCATAACCCTGCATAATATCATCGGTGGAGACGCCGCCAACATAAAATTGGGGGTTTTCAAAGATGTCCTTTGAGAGGTCAGCGAGTCCAGGCAGGTGAAAGTATCAACCTACAGTCACACGTTTTGCATCTGCCGGATATCCTTTCTCCTCGTCATCATCACCACCAAGACCGTTCAGGCAGTCCCTCATTCGTGTGATTTTGAGGTCACGTTCAAGATCCCAACGACTGTCGGTGTATCTCTGATTGGCTTGACGACACTCCTTGATAATGCGCTTGACGTCCCGAATACAGGCATCTCTAGCATTTTCGTAGGATGTGACAGCGCGATGAGCAGTCTCACCCTCCAACTTGGTGGCCAAAAGACCCTTGTCGGTGATGCGGTCTGGCAAGATTCGCGTGACCTGACCTGTATATTCTGGATCGAAATTGTTCCAGAACTTCCTCATCTTGTCTTGAGGGTGAGGTTTTGGTTTCTTGGCCGCAGGTGAGGCTGGAGGCGGGGCTGGAGTATCTGGCACGAGCATGAGTTTGATGGTCCTCCCACCCCCAAGCACAAGACCAGGATCATTTGTGGCAGGTTGATCGTCCAAGGGTTCGATGTCGACCTTGAATGGGAATTCTTCTTCTTGGGCTGGCACTGAGCCGTCATAATTCTGACCATTAACATACTCCATGATTGCTGGTGTTCCTGTAAGACCCTGCTATGTTCACAAAGGAGACGATACCAATGTCGTTGCGAACGCCAGAGAGTCACATATCTCGAGGGTTCTGAGGAACCAGAGACCGGAAAATGATCCCAGATGGCAGCTCAGGGAAGGTGAGATGGAAGAACGTCTGACGATCAGGCTGTTGGGAACTGCAGGGTCTTTCTAGACATGTCGATCCGGGCCGGAGCAACAAGGCTTAGATAAGAATGGCAGTTTGACCCATGATTCGAGAATTTGAGCCTTGAGGGTGCAGTCGAGCAACAATGGCCCATGATTGAAGCAGCCGGTCGCATATGGCGCATCAAAAGTGAGGCTTAGCGAGGTTAGCGTGGCGGGGAGGCGTGTTAGACGCTTAGTCGTTGAGAAGAATTGAGCTAGGGTTCACGAAGGAAGTTGTTGAGTGGTACACGTCCGTCGAGATGGATAGGCGACCAATCCAGACCTCGTCCAGAAGGGGACAGGGTCTCGGACGGTCTGATAGAGGGAACTGGCGCTGGGGCCAAGTATCGGTGAGTGATGCGGCGACGGAGAGGGCTGGCCCATCTTTTCCTGCAGAAGTGACGGATTAGTCGTGAGAGAATTGTAGTCTCAAATCAGCTGGACCAGGAGGGACATGTCACTCGTTTATTGGAGAGGGTTGTATCCAAGGATCGAGGAGCATGACAAAGATCAGGCAACACAGGACTTGGGATGAATGCGATTTGGGGGTTGAAGATGGGAGGTTGGGATAGGGACGAGATGGATTGGTAAATGGCTAGGCAACAGGAGGAATGGGATGAGCGAGGAGGGCAAGAGGTCACCGAGGGTGGGATTCATCATTCAACTGTGTGCTTGTGCACATCGGTTGGATTGATGGTCTGGAGCCTTGGTACTCATTAAATTAGTAGTATGCGTATACGAATAAGCCCGAGGATAATGAGTTTAAGGACCTCTCGGCCCCTACGAGGCTCATTCGCACAGAAGAGGTACCTAAGCTATCAGTGACAGTGCTCCGACAGCGGGCCAAGGGCCGATATTGTTGTATCTTGAATTGCAAGAGCCATGAGAGGCTCCTAAATTCTGCACTGGGATGCGGAGGCCGGAGGATTAGCGGGCAGTAGGCAATTCTGGGGAAGATGTGTGGATGGGTTTTGCCTGAGGCGATGGGGCCGAGGGGCCTCGGGCCAAGGGGCCAGACCTCGTTAGGCTTGAAGGGTCGTTGATTGTTGTCGATAAGCCAGTGACTGCAGTTATTACTTAAGGTCCCTATAAGTATTGACCCAACTACGCCTGTGCTCATCGTCGTCCGTGGCTTAAACGGGGATTGTACTTGATTAGGGCAATGGTGCCAGCCTCTAATAAGCCATCAACCTCTTCTAGACTGGATCTCTGGTATATCCTATTTCCAGCGATTAATGACTGAAGAAAAAGGAACAGAGTGTGGTGGTTGAACCTTGGGTGAACAACCCGAACGACACTGTTGACAATTATGGATACCTCATTCTGCGACTCTCCGCGTGGCATGTCTGCCTAAGGAGTTGAGCCCGAGGGCCCCTTGGCCCACATCCACCACCGAGAGATGCCTATCGTACTCGGACCCAGATGGATGATTAATGTGTCCATCCGTCTTGGTTATTAGAGCAATTTTGCTTGCTGCTTTAACGAGTGTCTTGTGATTTGTGGTCATTTCAGTATGCCAGGACTTGAGTCAAAAAGGTCTCAGAGTCTGTCCTGATACTATTCATATGGTGTTGAACGCCAACACCTTTGCATAAGGGTTGGTAACATCTCCCAGCCTCCTGTACACTGCAGAGCCTTACCTTTGGCTATAGATAGATGGGCTTCCCCCTAGCACTGAGGAAGCCCCAAGCAACTCATTCACCTCAATCTTTGACACATCTAAGCCCGGGCTTCTGCTTTATCATTCGAAAACTCATGATGGCCCCTCTCAAGCGCTTTCTCGTCTTCTATCTTGATCTCAATCTGGGCATCAATAGGAGCATCAATTTTCGTGTTGAATTCGGATTGTGTTTCTCTCAAGAATGCGCAAGCTGCACCAGTTAGCATTCAAACGACCTCAACTCCTTAGGGACCCGCTTACCAATAAGGGCCACCAAGGAACATGCAGCAGCAAACACGAAAACATATCGAAAAGCGATCGCATAAGCTTGCTTCATCGCGGTAGCTGCAGCAGCGATAATCTCCGGAGTGGTCTCTGGCACTGCAGTCGCTGCCTGCATGTCACCGATCGTCAAAGCGCCTAACAGAGGCGCGATTGCATCCTCTGCCAACCCTAGAGGAATTACAGCAGCGGCAACCTTTGGAAACAAGTTTTTGGTGAGACCATTGGCAAAGATGGCGTTGGATGCAGCCGCGCCAGCAGAGCCCCCAACACTGCGTATTGACAACATGAGGCCAGATGTAATGGCTATCAGCTCTGGTGGGGTCGAGAACTGAGCTGCCGTGACCAGAGTCGTGATGCAGAACCCTAAACCCATGCCGCAAAACACATTATAGCCCCAGTAGTGAGCTTGAGGGGTGTTTTCGTTTGACGTGGCCAAAAGGATGAAAAAGATCAGGAATGAGACAAACCCGACCATTGACGGCCCCCTCACTGTTCTGGACCTGTACACATAGTACCCTGCTCCAAATGATGCGACCAGAAAAACAACAAAAACCACATTATAACAGAGTGCCTGTTCAAAAGGGTTCATCGTAGGGGCATAGAAGACGCTGAGCGAGAATGGGACAAAGACATTTGCTGCCATAAACGACAATCCCTCGATGAAGATACATCCAATGGCGATAGGGAAATTCCTGTGGTGAAAGAGGTCGTGATGCAGCAGACCATCCCTTCGAAATCTCCAAGCATAAACCACCAGAACAACTATGAGAAGGCAACCGATGAGAAATGGAGCAAGCACATGTACATTTGTCCAGGGGTAAGGATTTTGGGACCAACTGAGACCCAGACAAAACAAGACCAGCCCTCCTGTCATCAGGATGTATGCAGCCCAGTCAAGAGACTTCAGTTTCTGGCCAAGTGACAGCTCAAGCTGTAACTTGGTCGGAGCTGAATTGTAAAGAAAGGTGCAGGCCAGTGCAGAAAACGCATACACTCCAGCACAAATGGCAAAGTACGTTCGGAATCCAGCAGGGTTATAGCGTGTCAGGCTTCCACCCAAGCAAAGGCTGAAGATTGAGCCCAAACCCACAGAGGAATTCACCGTAGCCTGAGCCCAAGATCGATATTTTCGAGGAAGGACCTCCGACGCGACTGTGTGCATGAGGCAAGATGCTGCAGACGAGACACCGCCCAAGCAGAAGCCTGCGATCGCCATGTTCATGGATGTAGCACGGGCGACCACCACGCACCCTACGCAGCCAAATATTGCAGCACCGACGATGAACCATTTTCGACCCCAGTAGTCTGCCGCTTGAGCTAGCGGCGGCGATAGAGCAGCGATGAATATGACAATGACTGATGCGGGCCATGCAGCAAGGCTTGCTCCACCGATGACTGACGCAATCGTCCGGGCAAAGGCGCCTGCGCCAACAAGAATGGTCAATTGAGCAAAGTAGTTGCTATTGACCGCCTGAATATGTAAGAAACTGAATACAAAATGAAGGCTGGGTGGATTTACCAAGATGAGTATGATGGTCTTCAAATGATTCCAATATGTCTGAGTTTCTGGCTCGGGAGTCTCCTCCACTTCGTGCCGAGTTACTGTGTCTTCTTTGGCCATTTTGATATTCAGTGAAATATCGTGGTCAGTGGTCATGGGCAGCAGGATGGCGGATCTAGCAACTCTTTATGCGCGGGTCCCCTGACACCAGGTTCACCTCCTTGCGGAGGAACCTGGGGGTCGACTGGAGACCCCTCATACGGTGCTGACTGGAAGAAAGCTGTGTAACCACACGATTTACTATACAGGAGGTCTCAAAGACTCGGACACGCTTTTCATGATAAATACCAGGTATTGTAACAGCCTGACCCACACGCCATGCTAGTTGACCACGTCCTTGACACAGTTCACAGTAGCAAGTACCTGAGAGATTCTTTAGACATCTTGGCTGTTTTCGTACCGGATCCCCTGCTTCCGAACGTTCTGAACGCACATTTTGTTCACAAATATATTAGTACTCTTCTATCACCGCTTCTATAAGATGCACGAATGAAGTGGAGCTCAGGATCTTGGTGCGGGACCCCAACCAGTCTCTGGGGTTTCTGGGGTTTCTGGGGCGCCTATGCGGGACCCCAGACAATATCTGGGGGATCAAAGCAATAAAGCAATTCGCTTAGAATATGTTTCGATCCTATTCGACAAAATCAGCATGTATGCTCGGGTGAATTTGAAATTTGAACTCTGTTCCACGGCTATATCACTTGAACCTGGAGCCGGGATCCGGGATCCGAGATCCGCATAGAGAGTGATTGAGGAGCAAAGTAGATGTAATCTGGGCATTTCGCAATCCGTCGGAATATAAAAGGGACCTCCTGTGCTCTGGTCTCCGCCGGGTGAAGGATGGATCGGTGAAACCCCCTCCTAAAGCCATCACTTTGCAGTCACTTCGTCCATTATGTCGCTTCTATCAAAGCTCAAAGACCTACAGCCATGGGAGCACCTAGCATCCCATCGCTTTGAAAATGGTGACAAAGTAAAGCTGCTAGCACTTGGAGTAATTGTCCTTCTGGTAATCAAAGTGGTTGTACAGGTAAGAAAGAGCTGCTTTGATTCATGTTTCTACAAGACTAAGCAGCGCCAAAGGCTATTTACAACACCTTCTTTCATCCATTGGCAGCAGTCCCTGGTCCTTCGCTGGCTAAAATATTCGAATCATACCTTGTCCCAGCCCAGGCGGGTCTCCACCGAGCGCAGGTAGGTCTAGTAATCCACTTGGTCAGCTCCCCATCTACTTAGATGACGGTGTTAACATCTGTGCAAGACGTTGCGGAGTCTACACGACAAGTATGGCTCTGTTGTTCGCGTTGGAACCAACGAAGTCTCGGTATCCGACTGGACTGCATATCGTTTGATATACGGCCAGAAGACAAGCAGCAAAAGACCCCTTTTCTACGAGGCCACCAAGTTGGCGGGTCACGATAATGTCTTCACGTTTATCTCGAAACCAGCACATTCCGCTCGTCGTAAACTACAGAACCCAGCTTATTCGCTACAAGCTGTCCTCAATAACGAAAGCTTCATAGCCGAAAAGGCGGATATTCTGATCAAGCGCATGATCAATGCGAGTGATGGCTCCAAAGTCACCGAGGCGGCAGCTGATGTGTTCAAATACAACGGTCTCTTCAGCTTGGAGGTCATTCTGAAATGCGCCTATAACCGAAATTACGGCGAATCACCCGAGGGAGAAGCCTTGAAGCTGCTCCGGAACATGGATTCGAGCGCCGTGGGGATTCAGATACAAGCTGCTCTGCCCTGGCTAAGTCGGTCAATCGCGAAATACCTTCCAGGCATTGCGGGCACCTCGTTTCAATCATGGGATGTCTGGCAAGAGATGACTACAGCATTGGTCGAAAAGTTTCAGCACGAGGAGCTCGCTGCCGATACAATCAGACAGCAATTCATGATAACACCCATGATCGTCAACGAAGATAGCTTTTTAGGACGCAAAATCACACAGGAAGAACTCATCGAAGAAATGATGGCTCTCACTTTTGCAGGTAGCGGCACTACTTCGTCCACTCTCACGTACTTGATGTATTCCCTAGCCCGGGATACCAAGACACAAGAGCGGCTGCGAGAAGAGCTGTATGAGTCTGGGGAGAGTTTCAACGAGCTAAAAGACCTCCCAATTCTGAATGCCGTTATCAAAGAGACCATGCGGCTTTATCCTACAATCATATCAACACTACCCCGTGTCCTGGACCAATCGGTCGTCGTGGACAAGGTCGTCCTCCCCAAAGGGACGGTGGCCGGTATGCAGAACTATGTTCACCACAGAGATGCCAAATTGTTCCCTAGTCCGGACGAGTTCTTGCCCGATCGTTGGCTCAAAGATGGGGAGCACGTCAAAGACATGAATAACGCCATCACTCCGTTCTCACTGGGACCACGAAACTGTATAGGCCAAAACCTGGCCAGGGCGGAATTGTACTTGGCCACTAGCAAGGTTTTCCGGAAGCTGCGCCTCACACTACATGAGTCGATGACTGAGTGGGATATGGAAATGGAAGACCGTTTCAACATCGCTCCGAAAGGGAGAAGATGCTTGTTGAATGTTGAAACGTTGGGCTAATAGAGCCACTGTGTTATCAATTGGTCTTTGCTAGTCAGGTTGTGGCTGGCCATCGACATCAACAGGTCAGGGGTAGATCCGTTTTAGGTCGTTGCTCGCTACCTCGCATGAACCTTGAATCAAGTAACCCTGATTTAGACAACCTCAGCAAGACTGGTAGAAGAGCAGGGTTGAACATGTGACCGTTTCGTATACAGGAGACAGAGCCTCGCATAAGTCCTGACAAGGGCGGCAACACCCTCTAACTACATCAGGCTAAGGTAGAGTCAGCATTAGCCGTAGTGTGACAGATTTCAAATGACAAACTTATAAGGAAACTGGCCCACATCCACCAACTGGAGATGCCTATCGTACTGTACCCATATGGATGATTACTATAGCACCCATCCACCTTGGTCACAGCCTCGGCCGAACACCTCCGAGCCTTGTCCACCATCGTTCAACAAGCAAACATCTACACTCAGAGAGCTATATGCTTAGAGTCATGCCGGTGTAAATGCCAGTTCTTACATAAAGATATACTCCGTATAGTTGTAGCATCTTCTACGGGAACTCAACATACCAGTAGGTGAACAAGTGGTCAAACCGCCAAAGAATTCCATCTACTCAAGTAGCCTCGCGTCATACACCTAAACTCCGGGCAAAGGTCTAATCATACCTAGGTACCTAAGTACCAAAAACCTCGCCTGCAGACCATAGCTAGGTGGTGATTAGGTGCACTTATGCCTACCTCATCCCTTGGCACCTCTTAATTCCGCCGTCTCCCCTCTAAGTAGACCCTTTTTGCAGCAATTCGGCCTTCCCATGCATGTCACCAGCTACTAATAATCCCTTCCTAAGCCAATAGAAGATGCTACAGTAGCAACAGTACCGTCATTCATCCGCCTGCGCCTGCACTTCCATATTTTTCTTTCCCCACAGCATCTTTGACTGCGGCTTCATCCACCGACGACCACGCAATACCTCCACCGCCTGTCCTTGTCTCAACTTCCTCACCTCCTCCCTTTCCTACCTATATACACTTCTTTCGAACCCTCCTCCCCTCCTCGTCTTCGTCGTCCTTCCCTTGTCCTGAAATATATGGTTGCTCTCCCACCTTCCACCAATAGATGAGGGGCTTTGACGGATCGCAGTCTGTATTGACTGCCGCTGGACGTTTTCCACCCCAGCTGGAATTGACAGCATCACCACACCTGCTCCAGAATAATCCTCTATGTGGTGATCCAGAGGGTTGGGGCCCAGTCAGCTTGCTTCGTTGGGATTTCACACCATGTTTCCTCGACCTGTGGATCATCGGCGTCGCCCTTTGGGGTCTGATCTTTGGAGCAGGTGCATTGTGGTATCTCTTTACCAAACGCTCTGCACAGGAAGTTCCTAAGAACTGGCACTTCTATGCGAAACTGTACCTCCTCTACCGCCTTTGCCTCTTCTCCCATCATTCTGCTGACTCCATCTCAGTTCTATCCTCTCCGCGATACTCCTTGCCACTGCCCTCCAAGCTGCCCTTCAAATCGAACAACTCCCTTCAATCTGGTTCAGAGACATCAGATTCTACACTTCCATCGTAACAATCTTCTCCCTCGGCGTTATCTTTGCTGTACAATACCACGAGCACTCGAGGTCGAGAACCCCAAATGGAGTCGTTCTCTTTTACTGGGTCTTCTTCATCCTCGCCTATGCCGTCAAGCTGCGCTCTTTGGTCGCAAGAAAAGCTTACCTCGATCGTCTACCCTACTTTGTTACCTTCAACGCAACTATTCTTCTCGCCATCTTCGAATTCCTCCTCGAGTATGCGGTTCCCAAGAAACAGAGCCCGTACGACGCTCTTGGTGCCGAGGATGAATGTCCCGCCGAGTACGCCGACGTTTTTTCCATCCTCTGGTTTAGCTGGATGACCCCAATGATGAAGTTTGGCTATACAAACTATCTGACTCAGGATGATTTGTGGAATTTGCGCAATAGGGATACAACAAAGACCACGGGAGAGAGCCTTCAACATTCTTGGGAACGAGAGCTCGAAAAGAAATCTCCAAGCCTATGGATTGCCCTGGCCAGGTCCTTTGGCGGACCCTATCTCCGTGGCGCCATGATCAAAACCGTCAGCGATTGCCTCGCCTTTGTTCAGCCTCAATTGCTCCGACTCTTGATCAATTTCGTCGAGTCTTACAAAACCGGCCATGAACCTGAGCCCGCCATCCGCGGTGTGGCTATTGGCCTGGCCATGTTCGCCACCTCCATGGGCCAAACTGCCGCACTTCATCAATACTTCCAGCGCGCGTTTGAGACGGGCATGAGAGTCAAATCCTCCCTCACCGCCATGATCTATGCCAAGTCGTTACGACTCTCCAACGAGTCTCGTGCCACAAAGTCCACCGGTGACATCGTCACATATATGAGCGTTGATCAACAACGTCTTGCTGATCTCGCCCAGTGGGGTCAACAAGTCTGGTCCGCTCCCTTCCAGATCACCCTCTGTATGATTTCCCTCTATCAGTTGGTCGGTGTTTCATGCTTTGCTGGCGTCGCTGCCATGATAATCATGATTCCCATCAACGGTTTCATCGCCAGATTCATGAAGAAGCTACAGCTCTCGCAAATGAAATACAAGGATCGCCGTTCCAGATTGATGACCGAGATTCTCAACAACATGAAGAGCATCAAGCTGTACGCTTGGGGCTCCGCCTTTACGGAGAAGTTGAGCCATGTCCGCAATGATCTCGAGCTCAACAACCTCCGCAAGATCGGTGCTGCTCAGTCTTTTGCAACATTTACGTGGTCCTCCACCCCCTTCTTTGTGTCATGCTCCACTTTTGCCGTCTTCGTTTTGATCAACGACAAGCCCTTAACCACCGATCTGGTGTTCCCAGCTTTGACCTTGTTCAATCTGTTGACATTTCCTTTGACGGTCCTGCCCATGGTCATCACAAGTATCGTCGAGGCTAGCGTCGCGGTCGGCCGCCTGACTACCTTTTTTACAGCCGATGAATTGCAAGACGATTCCGTTCGAATGATCGATCAGCCTTCTGCAAACAAGGGCGACGTGTCCGTATCGATCACAGATGCCACCTTCACTTGGGACAAGAACCAAGACCAGACTGTGCTCAAAGACATCAATTTCAAAGCAAACAAGGGCGAACTGACCTGCATTGTGGGACGCGTTGGCGCCGGCAAATCCTCGCTCTTGCAGTCACTCCTCGGTGATCTCTGGAAGATCAAAGGCGATGTCGTGGTCCGTGGAAGAATCGCGTACGCCGCACAATCCGCCTGGATCATGAACGCCACCGTCAAGGAGAATATTGTCTTTGGACATCGGTGGGATCCCCACTTTTACAACCAAACCGTCAACGCCTGCGCCCTCGCCGACGACTTTCGCCAACTTCCCGATGGTGATCAAACTGAAGTGGGAGAGCGTGGAATTTCCCTTTCAGGTGGCCAGAAAGCTCGGTTAAGCTTGGCCCGAGCGGTGTATGCGAGAGCAGATGTATACATACTCGACGACGTTCTGTCTGCCGTCGACCAACACGTTGGCAGACACTTGATCGACAACGTTCTGGGACCTAACGGTCTTCTCAGCGGGAAAGCCCGAATTCTAGCCACGAATGCGGTGAATGTTCTGAAGGAGGCGGATTATATGTATCTCATTCGCGAGGGAGTCATCTTTGAAAAGGGAACGTATCTCCAACTCATGGCCATGCGTGGAGAGATAGCTACATTGATCAAGTCCACGACTACAGATGCCGGACAAGAGTCTGATGGCGAGAGGAGCCCTAGCATCGAAGGGCTCGACTCGGATGATTCGGCGACCGCAGTCGCAAGTGCGGTGCTTGAGCAATTGGACGCCGAGGAGGCCGAAGAGTCACGACAGGAAGTCGGCGGGCTGGCTCCCATCCGACCTGGACCGCTGGGACCATCTACTGCCAGGAAATCGAGCTTCAACACGCTGCGAAGAGCGTCCACCGCCAGTTTCCATGGTCCCATGGGACGCACTAATGATGAAGAGGCTGGGCAAAAAACGAAGCAGAGCAAAGAGACTTCAGAACAAGGAAAAGTCAAATGGTCTGTCTACACCACTTACGCCAAAGAGAGCAACCTCATCGCAGTCGGCATCTATTTTGTGGCGCTGTTGGCCGCACAGAGTGCCCAGATTGGTGGGAGTTTCTGGTTAAAGAGATGGTCGGAAATCAATGAGAAGTTCGATTCAAACCCGCAAGTGGGTAAATATATTGGTATCTACTTTGCATTTGGTATCGGCGGCGCAGCACTCGTGGTGATACAGGTAAGGAGGACTGCGAGCTTTCCCAAGGGATTTTTGCTGATCAGCACAGACGTTGCTTCTCTGGATTTTTTGTTCGATTGAGGTTTGTCAGTCGACGAGATGAGGGCACCACATACTTACAGACATGTAGGCTTCTCGAAAACTCCATGATCGAATGGCGCATGCCATCTTCCGTTCACCCATGAGCTTCTTTGAAACGACGCCGATTGGCCGCATCCTCAACCGGTTCTCCAGGTATGTTTTGCAGTCTTATCCGACATGCGGCATGATACTGACTCGTTGACAGTGATATATATCGTGTGGATGAAGTGATCGCGCGTACCTTCAACATGGTAGGTTGTACCACGTTTGCATCTCCAACAGGGCTGATCCGCGTAGCTTTTCGTCAACACTGGGCGGGCTTTTTTCACCATTGGAGTGATAGCTGCATCTACCCCGGCATTCCTGATTCTGGCGATCCCCTTGGGCATCGTATATATCGTGTACCAGAAATACTATCTTCGTACGTCACGCGAGTTGAAACGACTTGACAGCGTCAGCCGCAGCCCGATTTATGCACACTTTCAGGAGTCTCTGGGAGGAGTTTCGACCATTCGTGCATATCGACAGCAAGCTCGCTTCACGAAGGAGAACGAGTGGCGCATGGATGCTAATTTGAGAGCGTACTTTCCATCTGTCAGTGCCAATCGATGGCTGGCGGTTCGCCTCGAGTTTCTCGGATCCGTCATCATCTTTGCCGCAGCCACGTTTGCCATCATCTCAGTGACGACCGGCAGCGGCCTGTCAGCCGGCATGGTGGGCTTGGCAGTAAGTATCCGAAGCATGCTGGGTAGCTACCTTGGACTAGGACTAATTCAGGGCAGATGTCATATGCGCTACAGATCACGCAGTCGTTGAACTGGATTGTGCGTCAAACCGTCGAAGTCGAAACCAACATTGTCTCGGTGGAGCGGGTGTTGGAATATGCCAATCTCCCCAGTGAAGCACCAGACGTTATTTTCAAAAGTCGGCCGAGCATTGGCTGGCCGGCTCACGGTCAGATCACGATCAAGGACTATTCGACACGGTATCGAGAAGGATTGGATCCGGTATTGAAGAACATTTCCCTGAGTATCAAAGCGCGGGAAAAGATCGGGGTGGTCGGTCGGACAGGCGCGGGCAAAAGTTCCCTGACCCTGGCACTGTTTCGGATAATTGAACCGACATCCGGTCACATCAGGTATGGTTGTCGTGCTCTGTGATGCCTTTGACGAGGCGTCACCCTGGGAACTGTCACTAATCACGTCATGACAGCATCGATGGTCTCAACACCTCGAGTATCGGGCTCCTGGACCTGCGGAGACGTCTTGCGATTATCCCACAGGATGCGGCGCTCTTTGAGGGCTCGGTTCGTGATAATCTCGATCCTCGACATGTGCACGACGACACAGAGTTGTGGAGCGTGTTGGAACATGCGCGCCTGAAGGATCATGTGGCGGGAATGCCAGGCCAATTAGACGGAGCGATACATGAAGGTGGTAAGTCTCGATGTTGACACCCTGTCGCGGAAACTGCACATCATTCAACGTCATGTCATGGCTAATCTGTTTGTTTGAACATTGTAGGGTCCAACTTGAGTCAAGGCCAACGACAGCTGGTGTCGTTGGCGCGGGCGTTGTTGACTCCCAGCAACATCCTTGTCCTGGACGAGGCGACGGCCGCCGTGGATGTCGAGACCGACAAGATGCTCCAGGCCACGCTCCGGAACACCGTGTTTGACAATCGTACCATCATCACCATCGCTCATCGTATCAACACAATCTTGGACTCGGATCGCATTGTGGTTCTGCAGCAGGGTAAGGTGGCGGAGTTTGATACGCCGGAGCAGCTCATCAAAAACAGGGGTCTCTTCTACGAACTGGTGCGTGAAGCAGGCCTGCTGGAGACGTTCAGTCAGCCCAAGGGCGACGAGAATGGCGTTGGCCGCTAGATGGTGGTGGCACGATGGCGCCGGGGAAGCACGATGAACATTTAGCTCAACCAGACTTTCGGTATAGATTGTCTCAGGCGGACAGATCGACGAGTACAGCAGACGCCCAAATTGTGGCGGCACGGGCGCGTTCTATGGCCAACTGTGGGCGACAGCGAGATGCAGATCGAGATGCCAAGGCCAAGGCCAAAGCCAAAGCAACATGCTTTCAACAACAGGACCCGGTTGCATGAGATCAATAGCGTCGGAGTCAGGGTGAGGTTCAGGCTACACAAGCTGCAGGCAGATCCCGGCGTGCGCGTGAGACTGGGCCAATCAACCTCGCTAGTGGGCTAGCGTCCGGTTTTTCTACGACAGCCTCATAACATCATTAGGAGGGGAAAATCAGGAGGGGAAAATCAGGAGGCGCACCGTCTCTGTTTTCGGATCATGTGTGGCCAAGGCCTAGTGGCACGCAGCCCATGTCGCAACCCATGTCTATGTCGGCATCTGGCCTGATGTGCCTGGACGCTGACTGTTGTGTTACGTTGAATGCAAAGGACCGACGGAGACTCGAGACTGAAGCAGAATTCATGTCCTTGGTCCCGCATTGTATGGTGAGATTATGTCCCCCGAATCAATGATGGGGGGACAGGTCGTGATCATGATATTGATTACGTGGAAGAGGGGAGTAAATTTGGATATTTAATCAGCTTGAATTGAGGAGTGTTGGATCAGGTATGTGATCCTGAAGTTGAGGCTGTTGTATGTACATATTGTTTTTGGAATACCAAGTCTGTGGCTGTGGTTGTGGTTGTGGTTATGGTTATGGTCGTCTTTGTAGAGTTCTCAAGGTGTTGAGGTGTCCGAGAATCAGGCAAAAGTCAAAAGTCAAAAAAGAAAATCCAAGTGTCACGGCTGTACAAACGAGCGATGATGGATGGCGTGTAGGGGTAGGGGTAGGGGTATGAGTTGGGTCGAGGGGTGCTTGGACGTAAGGGTAGATAGAGGCAGGGTAGGGTATCCCTTGTCTGTGGGACGACCAAATCCCAATTCCCAACATCACCAGAACCCTGACCTTGACCCTGACCCTGGAGTCTTTTCCCAATGTGGATAATAAATCTACGGATATCTACGGAGTAGACGGATGTTATCCATATGTCTCTGTCTCCCCCCTCCCTCTCTCCATCACAAGACGCAAGCAAAAATCAAAAATCAAAAATCCCAAGACGTAAGAAGAGGTGTGTGTGTGTGTATGTGTATGTGTGTGTGGCACAATCAATCCTCTAAGTAGGCAGATCAGACACTACGGAGTAGGTACTTTGCACAAGTTTGAACACTTTTTGTTCGGATGGATGGGGACCATGTCGTGTAACCCGCGACGCATTGCACCGCACCGCACCGCATCGCATCGCCGATTTTGGATTTTGGGAGGCGAGAGGAGAGAGGAGAGCATGGGAGATGGGAGAAGGGAATTTGCCAGTAAACAAGCAAGCAAGAACCTATTCGAGCTCTATTAGTAAGTAAATTCGGTCTTGGCTTGCTTTTTTCCTGCCATACTTTAATTTGCTTGGTTGGTTGGTTGGTAGGTTGGTTGAAGAGGCTCTGGCGAGAAGACGAATGAAGTAGATACATACTAAGGTCGCTAAGTTAGTAGGAAATGCTAAAATATCAAATTATGTACTAGTACTAGGTTGATACTTGGGTAATGGAGTAAGGAGACATGGAGGTAGGTACCTACATAGGTACCTACCTACCTTGGTACTATGTATCTACTGAAATGACGGATGGTTCAATTTCGTATGTACACAAGTACATACCTAGTACTGTATTTATTGAATTATATTAATTTGGGGAATTCTCGCTTATAAGTAAGTACCTAGACTAACTAAGTACTCCGCAAGTCATGAAAGACTAAATCGACGTCTAAGTATAATTAGGTACTTTTTATTTCTTCCACGATTCCTCCTGACCTTGGGTATTCCCACCTTGTATTGTCCAGAACAGATACTAGGTAGTATTTCATAATGCAAACACCAATGCAAACACCAAAGAAAACCAAAAGGCAGAATCAACATCATGATCCCCATCAAGATCATCCACATCTATTCTGTTGGATCAAAAGCAGAAACAAAACCACACAAAGACCCCTCGAGCCCTCCTCAGCCCTGCCCTCGACAGAGCCAAATCCGGGTCCTGGATTCTGGATTCTGGATTCTGGCTTCTGGCTTCTGGCTTCGCATCGAACCCCGCATCGAAGATGTGCAAGAACTTCCTCTAAAGGCTAGAATCTGCGCCCACCAGGACAAGCATTGGATAAGATACATGTACGTACCTTGTACTTGCATCAGCATACACGATATATGTACGTCCCTTGTACTTGCACTTGCATACACGATATATGTAGGTGCTATGTATAAACCCATGCGATTTCCGAGATCTGAACCCTTAGTTCGGCCTGGCCTCTGCACCATGTTAGTAATAGGTATAATGTATTTATGTAGCTGTGCATCAGAAGCAATCGAAATTCGAATCTCAGTGGGCGGCCACGGCGGCGTTCCTTGCTCACTCCATCCAAAGTACCTACCTTAGGTACACATACGCATACGCATGCGCATTGCCACAACCAAGTCAGGTAGGTCACGCTTCTTACCTCTCTCTCTCCATTCATTCGTCGAACCTGTCCTCTCTCTTTTCTCGCCAAACAAATTTCAGAGACTTGTCCCCGTGTCTGGTGCCGCCGTCATTGTGTCGAATGAGCTTTTTCATCTCCCAATGGTGTGCCTATTCAAGACACTCACGACCCTCTACCGTGTAACCAGCCAAGGACACTGTGTCTCTGTGAGGGTGAATGACATCTGAAGCGGCTGATTGGCCTCTGGGGAACCATCGTGTAAGACGTCAACGTATCTGGACTCCAAATGACCCAGTCGGCCATTTCAGCCCTCAACCCCACGCTGCCTTGCCAAGTCGGTCTGGTTAGAGATGTACTCCCATGACTCCGTATTCACTCGTCGCTAGGGTCGCACACTCGTGCAGATGGCCGACTGAACTGTGGTAGACCTTGGACCCAACGGGCCACTCACCTCTCCCGAGCGGAGATTTTGCAGTTGTGGCTGTAGCCAATCTCAACAATTTGAGAGTCCCAACTTCTCTGGTGAGACCAGCAACATATTCTGGAGCACAAGGCGCACATGGAGCCTAATCCAGCCACCATGGAAGAGCACAAGAGCACAAGAGCACAAGAGCCCTGGCCCTGACCCCTCCTCCGCCAGATGACCATGCATGGTCACTGACTAACCTTGCTGCTTGGTCCATTGTCTACCGGGTTCGGGCGCCGATACTAAGCAAAGATTCTGACCGCAGACCGATGATCCGAGTATGTATCAAACGCAGATCCACTCACCGTGCTTGCCCCCTTCTCTAGTTGTAGATGCTGGCATTCTTCCGGGGCAGCGCACCCACATCAAGCTGTGCAAGCTCAATCTTTGCAACGCCAGCCTCATCGCGTGGCCTTCTGGCAATCCATCGCGCCCCGTCTATTCGCTCACCTTGCAAGACAGAATCATGGTTGCGTGCATGAGGTGGACACACCCGTCCGACTTCCCCGGACCACTGCCTGACAGTGGCGAATCATTCCTTCGCCCATTCTCCCACCATAGTGCATTGTCGACCGTCCGCTGTTCAATCATTTATCAATCTGGCCATATTGATCTCTCGATCCGTGTCCGGTCGACTGACCCCATGGAGTCGGCTGGCCCTCCAGTGTTTGCTCAGCTCCAGAACCTCGGTCAGCCTGGTCTGGTCGATGACCTTGACTTCACACGATTCATGTGCATATCTTGAACCATGACTGTGTCGGCTTTGCATCTGGCCGCCGACGGCAAAAGGGGCCAGCGTTGACCCGCCAAAGATGACCAAGCACACGCTTGTAGTCGGTGCAACAATCAGCAATGTGTGATGCATCGCTGTGTGGTCCGAGGTCTCTTATGAGGCACGAGGAAGTAAGCATGCCAGTCATGAACCCTCATGTCATGGCGTTCTCTTTCTTGGTCTCGGGTTCCGGATCATGTCTTGCGTCCAAACATTGTCGAGATCCCATCTCCCTTCCGGCTCTCCCTGCATCCACACACTGCATCTCCTTGATCTCCCCACCCCATGCGGTTTGTGCTGTCCAAAACCTGTCCGCTCGTACACCATCTGCTTCTCCCGAACCTATTGGTCACTGTTTCCCTCCTCGTCCAATTGAGAATCCCATATACAACTGCTTTCACGCTTTTCTACTTTTCCTCTTTCTCTCTTCCCTCTCCCTTTTTCTTCCTTTCACATGTTCGTTCCCCATTCTACCAATTGTTTGAACAAGTCCAGATAATCGTGCGAAACCCAATTGACCGTCGTTTGGCATCTTGGGTCGTTGATCTTCTGGGCCCTTCCGTATGGCGTCATCGACGAATCAGCGGCAATCCAAAGACGACTAGGTCGGCAAAGATCTGCTAGATCGTATCCTCTCCCAGATCACGGGCGCTATAACCGTTCCTGAGGCCTGACATTGAAAATCCCCAATAGCACCCAAAATCCATCCTAGTCGGCATCCACTTCGTATCAAAGGCGGGGCCGTCCTGACCACCACCACCTCTTCCAACCTGCTGATCCGCAACGAGTAGAAGCATGGCCACTTAGCCCTGCCACAACCTTCCCGACAATCCCTGGTTGGCTTCGTCTTTCTTGTCTGCGCTTTTTTGGCGAGGTGGATACTGTTTGTTTGCTTGATACTGCACATCCTGCAGTCTCCCCCCTTCATCTCAGTCCAGTTAGCCACACGCACAAGCGCCATCCCGCCACTATTCACCCGCATCCTGCGGCCACAGCATCCCACAAACACTCCCTGACTCCGTTGCTCACGCTGCACCGCGTCGGCCGTCTCCTCCCTTCTTTGCATAGGTCAGTCTAGCCCAGCTTTTCTTCTTCATCACCTCAACCCCGCCAATGAGCCATGTCGTTATCTTTGCTTTGCAGGTGGGAGGCCTCTCGATAATGTGGAGACCCTCTCGCTTCTCGCAGCTCCAAGCGGCCCTTCTCGCTCCATTTTGGGGGCGGCCACCATGTGGACCTGCCGCAAGCTTGTCTCTGAGTAGCCCAAAGACCCACCCTCGCATGCCTCGCATCTTGAATTGTCTGGTCCCGATGGGTGGACGCAACGTAGTCGATTGCACTCCAACCGCTCCCTCGTCCATAATCCAAACAGGGGACAGGACCTAAATCTCGGATCGCTCTCGAATCGGAACCTACCTGGCATTCGCTAACAGGCCTTTGCTCCCAGACACCGTCGCACTCGACCGTGGACGTTCTGCTGCAATAAGAACTCCATCATCGGTCATCTCACCTCCTCGGTCTCCACTCGCTTGATCTATCAGATTTTCCTCCATGCTAGCAGGTCTCCTGCTACTCTGCAGGCCAAGTCATGATGCTACCAACGCTCAGTCAGACAGCTCTAAAGCAAAATCCACTCGGGCTTGAGCACATGACGGGACTGTCGACTGCCTCCCCGCAGACCACTGGCACTCCATCGCCCCAACATCACATTGTAAGCCTCCCAAGCCCTTTGGTGGCAGTATACAAGGACCGATCGGCTGACCAGGACCAGGAAAGAATCAAGGCACTCCTCGAAGAGCTTGACGACGTTCTCGTGCTCGTTCCCAACACTCAGGGAGACGTCCAAGCACTTGCATCACCCAACATCAGGGGAGACAAATGGGCAATCCTCAAAGACGCCCATGAGGCATACCGTCACTATCTTTTGGACAGAAGTAATGCGCTTGAGAGTGAGGAGACCTACCTTATTACTTAGATGAATGACTGAGCTGATGCACACAGCAGCGGCAGGAGAAGGCACACCAGGACCCACCAGTCGAGGCCGGGGTAAAAAGCTACCTCAGACGCTTGAGGATGATCAAGACTCCCCCAAAGGTTCGCTCACCTATATCCAACGCGTGTCCAAGCGGCGGAAATCGAAACCCAGCAATGCTGTCAGCCGCGTTCCAGCACGTAAACAACGTGGAAGCAGGTCTCGCATGCTTTCAGGTATCTCCGGATCATTCTCACTCGATCCTGCCTCTCAAATCCGAGTTGGGGACAGGGAAGCCTTGGAGCACTGGTTCCGGGAAGCCTTCTTGACCATGCAGCAAGTTGCTTGTCGCATAGTCGCCAAGGTGTGGATCAAAAAGATTCACCCCAAAAAGGTGGGCCCTTGAAGTGACTTCTGATCCACGGGATTGCTCTGACGTGACCCGCAGCAATCGACACATCCATACAATGGGGGAGTGCCTCGCGACAAGCCCCGTGATCCCAATCGGACAAGACCTCCTTACTGGCCTCAGCGTACGTATAATCCTGAATTTAACCACGAGGAAGCATGATTGTGGCGGCTGCCACACGCTCCCGAGACTTGTTTGAGTTTAGATGCTAACAGATCTGTAGACATTACTCACCGAGAGCCGGACCACATAGGTCGAGACGGTACGTCAATAACACACATCTGTGCGGGGAGTGACTAACATACTCCAGACCGTATCAATGTTCTGGTGCATCTGATTCTCAACACCCCGCAAAAGATCATTACAAACCCACCGGCGGCCCTTGGCCAAGCACAGTACTTGACAGCCCGGGATCTGTGCGACTGTGTGGAGGAGAAAAAGGACGACCTGCAAGAGTTCGAATGGGAGATTCTTCAGAATGTTGTTCGCACTCGAGAGATGATGGAGCAGTACGAAGATGGACAAATAGGTAAGTTAGGGTCACCCCGTCTGTACGCCCTTGATTGACCAGATGTGGGTAGATGGCGACAGTATGGTGTTCTGCAATGATTACAGCGTCCGTACGAGAAATATGCGAGACGATTCCGAAGACAGTATGGATGAGCGACTGACGATCGGGAGCTTTGTGGACGATGAGGGACATGACGATCAGATCCTGACCCCCGAACCATCATCTCTGCCGTCGCCAGAATCAATGAACGCCATGGATGATCCTGTTGGGCCCGCGGAACACCGACGGCACATCAATGACGACAGCGTTGAAGTCGGCTTGGTCCGACGACACGGCTCCCGGTCGACTGCGAACGGCGGACAGACGGTTTCAGGCATGACTGGGCGAAAGTACCACGAGACCGCCGTGGACATTTCGACACGCCTTAAGCAGTTCAAAAGCCGTCTAGAAGGAAACGTACCGGCGCAGAGCGCGGTGATGCATGCCTCTGCAAGAGGTCACTCTGGAATGCACATCTCTCCAATAACCACTGACGAAGTCCACTCGTCAATGACACCGAGTGCGTTGGAGCAGAACTTTGACGGAATGTCTCATGCCACTATGCCAAGCGACGCGCACGCAGCACACAGCCTGCAGCATGGGATGTCCAATGCATTATCTTCTCAGGAAACCGGGTACCCGGCATGGCCAGGGACGATGACGGATATGGCATCCGGGCCAGTCGAAGAATTGTTCGGTATGCCCCCGCAACTCATGATTCCCCGGCCCGACATGCGGACCATGTATTATACACAAGCAGCTCAAGGGTACGGAGTGGATGCGCATGGAGACTTGACCATGATGGACTCGCCACGTTATCAAGGATCGATGGGGAGCCAACGTCGAGACCTCCCACTTCGGATGGTGCAGCCAACCTTGAGTCTCATGACTGATCCCCACTCTGGAATGGATGTGCTTCAAGCAGGTTACTATCCAATTTGATAGAACCGAGTGGAGTCTCATCGGCTTGGACGAATTTCTTTCCCCTGAAATGTGTGTTTTGGATTTGCACGATTGAAATTTGTCTTTGGTAAGGCTCAAGCTCGGTACTGTTGTGGAGAAAGTTTCTCGGATGTCGTGACTGCGTCGGGTGTAATAGGGTCAGGAGAATCATGGGAGAAAAGATTGGTGGCATTGGCTTTTCCATGTCATCCACCGGTCATCAGATGAGACGATGGATTAGAAGGTGCCATGGGATAGCTTGCGAAGCATGCATTTCAGGACATTGCGAGGCTGAGTTTGATATTTTTTGTCGGGATTTTCGGTCTGATTATCTGGTTGATCGTTGCCAATCATGTCGAACAGGGTCATGGGTTGTCTGCAAGTCCTTTCTTGTCAGCAGTGTTGCCCAGCAAGCTTGCACACGTGCAGCAAAGCAGACCACAGGATGCAAGCAAAGTATATATGTCTTCTGCAGAAAGGTTGATATCACACCTGGGCATGGGCGCCGTCATGGCCAACGGTTTCGGCTGTCTGATTTACTAGGCTTTGCTCTAGTCGAAGTCATGAGTTGAGATCGAGGACGACAGAAAGGGAGAGCTGTCGATGGAAGCTATGGGGATACAATGGTTCCAGGCACAATAAATTTGATGTTTGACTCCACGACTCGATAGCCTTGAGGTGCAAAATGTGCGCTTTGTTTCATGACTGGGTTGAGTTGTAGACAGTCTGGCAACAGGAAAAATGAAGGCGACTTCCTTGGGATTCAGATATCACGTGAAAATCAAAAAGGAAGGAGCCACTCTTCTGAGGCAGGAGCTGCAAACTGTTTTCACGCATCGTCCCTTCCTCAATTTTGAGGCGTCGTCATCATCATCATCTTCTTCTTCTTCTTCTTCTTCTTCTTCTGCCTGAATCTCGACCTCATGTCAACAGAGAGAATCTTACCTTTTGGCCAGTGAAAAGAGTCTGATGTCTGGAAGCTGACATTAACGGCTGGCGTAGCGGAACAGAGGCTATGCTCTCACATGGTCTTCACGTTTTGTCCATTTGAATATTCATACAAGAGCTTCATGAAGAAAAGGGGGTTGAACAAGGACCACGTGGTATCAAGAACGACTCATGGTATGTGTTAAGACCTGATCTGACCTGAAGAGGCCCTTGACCGTGTTGATTTCATTTCTCACCGTGTGGCATGAACACAAAGAGCATCCGGGCCGAGAATTTGAGACCTCTAATGCACAGATGACTGGAAATGTGACATTCTGATCAGCAAAATTCTGCAGTCCTAGCTCCTTTAAGCACCAAAGGGTAAGACGCAAAGGACTTGGGGGACGCAGCAGAGCCTCCACCAGGATCGATTTGCCTAATCGAGCCTCCAAAGCTCAGACTTTGAGCGCCACTTGGGCTTCTCCGACGCCTGACAAGTCATCATTCTTCGCCTGGAAGAACACGCCACTGGAGCCAAGTCTATTTTTACGCCAACTATTACTCAATCGAAATCAACATTGTTCCTGCTTCCTCGGATCAATTCCGTGGGTTTAATATAAAACGCCATTGTCGTGGTTGCACCATGTCTTCAACCCATGAAAAAACATTTTGGATGAGAGTGAACCCTGAAGAGACACTGAGCACTTCATTCTGTCCTTCAAGGCGATGGATTCCAACCAGAAAGAGGATGATCACCCCTCCCGCCGAAACTCGGTCCCTGGGACGGGCAATTTTTATCCACAGGATCAATATCCGACGACCGACCTAGAAACAGGCAACTCCAGCCAGGCGGCGGCTGACAACCATGGTTCTGCCACGGCGAAGAAGAGCATTTTCGGCATCTCAAATTGGCGAAGAAGTCGGCCACGCACTAAATCAAAGCCTTCGCTTTCAGACACAGAGAAGGCAGTTGTCGGCAAAAACTTAGAGACTCAATATCAGGAAATTCCCTCCCACAATGAGTCGTCTGACAGTACAAAACTACCTCAGTACACGGAAGAGGCTAAACAGCTGGTACGATCATTCACGCAAGCTGGACTGGACGCCATGCACGCCGACCCAAGGTAGGTCAGGGAATGCCTCATTACTTGACCCGTACTGATATTTTCAGGTCGGGCGCCGAGACGCCATATATAGACAAACATCTTTCCGATGTAGATTATGTTCCACCGCCATCACATTATCGGCCCAGCGTCTTTGGCGCCATTCTCAGCTCAAGGCTCAACCACATCATTCAGGAAACCTCAGCACACCGAGGCCGTGGGCCGGCACATGGACACCATCATGAGCCTGGAGTCAACGCAAGAGGCAACAAGTCTTCCCACCAGAGGTCTCGCTCTCACGATTCATCGCCTCTTATCTCCGGCACAACAACGCCAACCAAGAAAATAAAATGGTACGAAGAGCGACAGCAACACTCCCTGGCAAGCGCTTTGATGCAAGCCGGCATGTCAACAACAAGTCTTGGACTCCCAGCAACTTCAAACGTTGTGTCAAGGCCTACATCTCTACGGTTTCAGTCAACCGACGATCTTCTCCCTCCAACAGAGGGCCAGTCCCCCTCCAACTACCGACACAGTGCCTCATCAGCATACGTTGATCTCCAAGGGGCCGTCGTTGCTGAAGTGGCCGAAATCATTGCCTGTCGAAAGTACCTGACCAAGTTGTGTGGCGCTCTCATGCGATATGGAGCCCCTACCCATCGTCTGGAGGAATACCTCCGTGCATCGGCGCGTGCCTTGTTGATTGACGCCGACTTTTTGTACATCCCAGGCGCCATGGTGTGTACATTTTACGACCACACAATTCAAGCCAACAACGTCGAGGTAGTCCGAGGAGTCAGTGGGCTCGATTTTGGGCGCTTGAGGGATGTCTTTGACGTCTACAAATGCGTCATTCACCACAAGTTGACTGCTGAACAAGGCATTCTGCAGGTGGACAACATCCAGAAGCGTCCCGACCGGCATTCACAGTACTTCAGAATCCTCATGTTTGGATTTGCCTCCCTGGCAGTGGGTCCGTTTTCCTTTAATACCCGAATCATCGATTTACCCCCCATTTTCATCCTGGGCTGTGCTCTTGGCTTCCTGCAGATCAAGGTGGTGCCAAAATCTGAACAGTTCTCCAACGTCTTTGAGGTCTTTGCTTGCGTCATGATAGCCTTCATCTCGCGGGCCTTGGGTTCTATCAAGGGCAGTGATGGCGCCTACATCTTCTGCTTCTCTGGTGTGGCTCAGAGCAGTATTGCCATGATCCTCCCAGGTTTCCTCGTGTTAAATTCTGCATTGGAGCTGCAAAGCCGTAACATCGTTGCCGGGTCAGTTCGAATGGTGTATGCCATCATCTACGTGCTCTTCCTGGGCTTTGGGCTCCTGGTTGGAACCACCGTCTTTGGTCTCATCAAGCGCGATGCTGTCGACGATGTGACGTGTCGTGTGCCAGAATGGTTCTCTCCCGACGGGGTCAACTACAAGCTGTTGTACACACGCTTCATCTGGGCTCCTCTGTTTGCTTGTGGGGTGGCCCTGGTCTACCAGGCCAAGTGGAAACAGCTCCCAGTCATGGCGCTAATAGCTGTGGCAGGCCATCAGGCCAATTTCTGGATATCGACTCAGCTGTCTAGCAACCTTCAAGTTGCCAACGCGATTGGTGCCTTTGTCATCGGCTGCCTCGCGAATCTGTACTCACGCGTGTTTCACGGCCTCGCGGCAGCGGCGATGCTCCCGGCAATATACTGCCAAGTGCCTGGTGGTCTCGCAGCCTCAGGGACGCTGGTGGCTGGGGTTGATTCATCCAACCAGATTATCGGCAACAGCACTGCCATCACCATTATCAACAATGGTACACAAGGCTTCATTGCTGCTCAAGACGATCCCAACAGCGTCTATGGTGGGACCATCTTCAATGTTGGATATGGAATGGTCCAGGTAGCCATTGGAATTAGTGTCGGGTTGTACCTGAGCGCGCTTGTCGTATATCCCTATGGGAAGCGGAGGAGCGGACTCTTCAGCTTCTGAGGTTTGCGTCTTTCAGACATTCCCATTCCCCAACTAACAAAATATCACCGAACCATTTTGGTTGTATAATATGTCTAATATCTCACTAAGATGTCAAAATTTTCTGGGCTCGTCCAGATGGGCCACAAGGTCCACCGTTCGTCGTGTGGCTGCCATGGAATCTTTTTGAAACTACATCAACTACCGCACACCACAGCGCCACCAATTGGAGGATTCCTACAGCAATTACCCACGCATCTCGAAGAGATGGAGAACCCCTGCGATAACTTGCCCTTGCAATCTGGAAAAGCGATAGCGGCATAACAACTATATCTTCGAAGGTAGCCCACGCGCCTGAGTAAGTCCAGAGCACCATTACACGCGGCATAGGATGCGTGACGATGTCTTCTAGAGAGCCATCTCAGTAACCATTGTCTGTCCAACGATGAGAAGGCCAACTGGAACGAAGATTGCCGTCGACAAAAGTTGACAGGAAATACGACACGTCCTGGAATCGCACATACAGCCTAGCTGGAATAAGAAGCGCAACAAGCATGCTAGTAGCATGATATTGAAGTCCTCTGTGGTGTCTCATCATGCGTCTTGCAGTCGATAACAGAGGTGAGGTGAGGTGAGTCTTGACGACGAGGTAATTTACCGCCTTAACCCCATTGCTATTTCAATTCGTCAATTGTATGTCATGGCCCGGCTCTTAGACCAGACTGCTATCACAGCTACGGCGTGCGGTTGATTTCCGATGCTACGCTATGCACCCAGCATTTGGTCTCAGGTTGAGATGACTCTGGTTGCTCGTTCTTGTTATGATGAGGCATGACTGCACGCCGTGTCTCGTGGCTCAAGCTGTTGGCAGTGATTCTGAGATATGAATTAGGGGACATTTCGTCGCACCAGTGCTCAATAATGGCATGATGGCCAGAGTAAAAGATGGTTGTTTGGTATGGTATAGTGAGTGTAGGTGACATTCCAGTACCAGAGCCTAATGACCTTGAACAGTAAGCCTGATGATGTAATATAGATGATAATGTCCAACGAAGTAGTATTTAGAAAGATTGATTTGCAGGCCTGGAGTGAATTGTAAATACTTACCTACCTGGTAGGTACATGAGCACTTCTTTATCTTTGTCATTGGGTGCTAGAGTTGGGCCGTTGGTAGGCAGTGTACCTTTAGGAGAGGCTGGCTGCGGGCATGCCTAAAAACTAAGTCTAAGGGAGCCTGACAGTCCATAATTCCACCCTGGGCCAAGTAGGTATGCAGTTGAGTAAAGTATGGGGGTGTCCATGCTTAAAACTACCTAGGTACCTACCTACCTAAGGTACTTAGGTACCTAGGTAGGCAGTGACTCTGGACACCTAAAAGGGCAGGTATACCTGAGGTTGCTCAAGTAGGCGTGGGTCCTCAGGTGAAGAGGCAGGCACCAGGCACCTGAAACTCGCGCGTGACTGCCGCGAACTCTCCAACAAATCTGCCGCCTCTGCCCTTCGCTCTCCCATTGGCCAGAGTCACGCGCATCAGAATTGCTCCATCCGCTTGCAGTCTTTCTTTGATCCAACACATACAACACCTTGGCCTCACTTTTCGATCGCTGCGCCCATCTGTCATTCCCCTTTCCGCCTGTCCATCACTGCCTTCACGACTCCCCTCCCTTCTCTTATTGGCAGGATCACGCAACTACGTTGGCCACCTTCTTCCCCAATCCAACGCCGACGCCGACACCGACGCCATCCCTCCTACCCTCTCCTCCTTCAACCCATCCCAAACTACACCCTACCATGGAATCCTACTCATGTTGATTGCCACTTGGACAGCCCATGTCTACACAGACAGCCCCTCGGGGCCAACGCGGTGGTAGCGCATCCAGGGCTGGTCGGGCGACCCAATTCCAAGCCACACGCGGACGAGGTGGCTCCAGAGGCCTGACAACACCAGCGCGAGCCCGTGGTCGGGGAAGAGGGGTGGCTGCCCAGAATGGCGCAGGAGATGCCCATGCCAATACCCAGGCCTCCGGCGCCGCTGGACTCTTGCAGAAGCTGCGCCAGGGCACTGCTCAACGATCACCAGCCGACGTTCCCACCACTCCGTCAAGAGGTAGAGGAGCAACCATCTCCAGAGGTTCTGCGACAACCATTACAAGAGGCCGCGGCCGTGGTCGCGGTCGTGGTAATTTGACCCAAGTCTTCAACGATCCCAGGCCTCAATCCTCCCCTACGCCCTCACGGACAGCCTCTCCCGCCCCGACCAACTATCGAGATCTCATGAACGCCGCCGAGTCGAGTTTCAAGACGGTATGCCCTCCCTCCCTTTGCGCCCGGCTGACCACGACTTCTGTCGCAGGCTTCTGACTTGCCCATCTACATCTAGCTGCAAAAACGCCGAGAAGAAGAGCGCGCCCAAGCCATTCGCGATGGCTTCCTCTCAGACCCAGAGAAGAAGACCAGTCTTGCCAATGCCATCACCCCCGTCGGCACATGTACCGACATGTGTCCCAGATTTGAACGAGTCGAGCGCATTCATCAGCAGATGGTTGACCAGGCAGAAAAGGTGGGTGTCGGTCTCTTTCATGTCATACCATCCGACGGTACTAAAGCCTTGGTAGTTTTACGATGAAGATTCGGGTCGCTATCTTCCCTCAGAGGAAAGAATGGTTAAACGATTTCGACGCTCTGCCGCCGGCTACGACGAACAGCTCCCCTCTGATATTCGTACCCCCGACACGCTGAAACGTACTCTGGATTATCTCCTTGACAAACTCATCGGCGGCGGCCAACGACTAGCAACAGTCCACAAATTCGTCTGGGATCGTACGAGGGGCATCCGCAACGACTTTTCCATTCAACAAGTCTCCAAGCCGGAACATGTCAAGCTTGCCGTCGAATGCTATGAGCGGATAGCGAGATTCCACATTCTGTCCTTGCATCAATTGTCCAACCCCGACAACCTGTACGAGGACGAGAACTTCGACGCGCATCAAGACCGAGAGCAGCTCAACAATACTTTGCTGTCACTCTTGTACTACTACGACGACCACCGTGACCGAATCCATTTTCCCAATGAGGCCGAATTCCGTGCATACTGCATCATCTTTGAGCTTCAGTCCCAGAATCCGGATATCTTGGACCGCGTCCAGCAATGGCCTGATGACCTCCTGAACGACCAGAGGATCAAAGTGGCTTTGCAGCTTTACAACGCTGCAGGCAACACGTTGTTTGTCCAAGGGCCGCTTCAACCCATGGACACATTTGCTGTGGCTCAGAACAACAACGGCAGTTTCTGGAGCGTCTTGTCCTCGGATCGTGTTCCTTATATCCTTGCCTGTGTTGCGGAAATCTACTTTGGCGCCATCCGGTTTGCTGCACTCGATGCCCTCTGGCGTTCGGTCAAAAGTGCGCCGCTCGCTCAACAGGCGAGATCCCGTGACTGGAGCCTCTCTGAGATCACCAACTACCTTGGATTCGATCATGAAGACGAAGCTCGAGAGTTTTGTTCCGCATTCGGACTTGACTTTGTCGCCGATGATCATGGTGAAGAATTCCTGGATCCCACGGCGTTGAGTGATCCCGACCTCGACCGTGCGTTGATCCACCCACACCGTCCCTCATACAAGATCCATTTCTGATTATCTGTAGAATCATCCATCCCCCGCCAACAAGCCTTCTCACACAGTCATGTCGAAAAGAAACGATTCCGGCGATCCCTAACTGCGGTCATCAATGGCGTGTCAGTCGCCACGGCAATTCGAGATGGCTTGGTCGAGTCGGATGAGTCGAAGCCTGATGCTGGCGACTCTCAAGAAGATGAGAACAGTCTGTTCATCCCCGAGACCAGGACATTTGGAACGCCGACAACGACATCGACATCGACATCGACATTTGCATCAGCACTCAATCCGACTGCAGCGACATTCACCCCGGCATCGTCCACATCTTCGACCTTTGGCCAACCTACGAATTTCAAACCAGCCGGCTTGTCCGTCACTCCTAACACCTCGGCCGCTCCCGACTATAAACACACGCCTTTTGGCCAATCCTCTAACAGTCAAAGAGCCTTCGCACCGTTCGGGACCCCTACTACATCTGCACCCGCCGCAGAGGCCCCCAAAACCGCCCCTGCTGCACCAATTGCGGCCACACCATCCTTTGGTGCTTTTGGATCTTCTGGACAACCGACTGTGACGCCCACACCATCCTCTTTGCCGCCGTTCGGTTTTGGGCTCCCTGCCTCAGCACATGGCTCTTCTGGTGGGGTTTCATTTGGACAGCCTGCTCCTGTACCGTCGCCGGTAGCAGCGACACCATCACAGCAGCCATTGCCTACGACGTCGATATCCGCTCCCACCGAACCAGCTCCTAAAGTGTGGAACTCAGACATCAAGTCAAAATCAGCAGCAGATTCATTCAACTGGGGGCAGCCTGCAAAACCAGCTGCTTCACCCGCCACGCCTCTGACCTCACATGTGTCTTCTTCCAGTGTGCAGTTACCGTCATCGATTGCTCCAGCCACTTCACGTAAGTCATTTTCTGCCATACCTTTTACTTCGTTTTTCAATGCAATCCTCCTCAGGTATGTGTAATGTCGCTGACCATTAACCATCTTGCAGCTTACTCGAACACCATAACTCCACCTTCTGAGCCTTCTGCAGGCCCTCGATTTGACTTTGCAAACCCTTCTGCCCAGCCACCACCCGTACAGCAGCCTTCAATCTCTTCCCCGTCGATTGGAATCGGCTCGCAACCACAGTCAATAACTTTTAGCAATCCACCCCCACCAACCGACCCAAAACCAAGTCCCGCATCCGCACCTTCAGATCTCCAGGGCCCTCCTCTGGATCCAACCGCCACAACTTCAAGCACGACTAACGTACCTCCACGTGCCCCTTGCACGACGGCCCGACCATCTGCACCACCTTTTACTTTCCCTTCGTCACCCTCGGGACCCTCTTTGTCACCTCAAATCAGCAAGTCGGATCCACTCGGACGAAAGCGTTTGCATGAAACACCCAACACTCCTAGAGTACCTTCTCCTCTGAGCAGGAGTACAACGCCACCGCATTCTCCTCCAAGAACTCGTACCGAGCAACCCTTGAAAGCCAAACAAGACGATCGCCTCCTTAGCGACTTTGCCCGAGTGGCACTCGTTCGTCCCGGTGGTCTCGTGGCGCAGTTCATTGAGTGGACACTTCCTGAGCTCCTTGAATCCGTCATTGAGCAACATCACCAGGAAGTCTTCCGAACGAGAGTTGGTAAGTATCGATGATAACACGAGGAATCGTCATTGACTAATCCAATCACAGTCAGCATTCGAAGAAAGATCATCATGCGCAAGTTTGCCTATTTGTGGAGGTCGTTGACCTGGAACAAGTTGCTCAAGCGCACCGCAAACAACCGTCGACAAAAGTTCGCCGAGGTCGTCAAGGCTCAGGAGGACAAGAAAAGAAAAGCCGAGGCCGAGTTGGACGCCATCAAAGCTGCCGTAGAAGAAACCAGGCGACTACAGAAGATCCAACGCGACAGGGAAGAGGATGAGCGTGCAGTAAGGGAGACCCTTCGAATTCGCAAAGCTCAGCAAGAAGCAAACTCCAGAATTGTCAAAGTGGCTGGCCAGAAGCGGAAAAGTTTGTCAGACAGTGATGAAACGGTAGGAGCCGATCAAGAACAAGTTGTTGGTACATCAACTCCCGGTCACAAGCGTACCCGCACCATCAGTACACTGTCTGATCCTTCATCGGCCCTGCGAACGTCCCGATCTTTGAATGGTCAGGTACATTCGACTCCAGTCTTTGTCGGCAGTCCGTCGAGACCCGAGAGAAGTTACATTCATCCTTCCGGGCCTGGTCGATCTACGAGCTCGCATCAACTGCTCCAATCTCAAGTCGGAAACCTCGACTCCAGCCAGCGTGGAAGAAAGGTGGACACAACAAAGACAGATTACTTCCGACTCAAGGCTCTTGGCCTGGACCCGGAAACGCCTCTGGTTCCTCTGACAGAGAAGCAACTTGAGACCAGAAAGAAACGAGAAGCCGAGGAGAAGCAAGCCATTTTAGATCGAATCATGCGAAGAAGATATACGGGTCGGGAGTTTAACAGAGCACCATCGCCTCCCGCGTCAACTAATCCTGAGCCGCCCATGGGCACGATTGAAGCGTATCATGGCCGAGCAACCGAACCTCATTCGACTATATTTGACCGTTCTTCTGAAACCACACCAAGCACCGGCGGCGACCTTGAAATTGATGAACTTATCCAACAATCAAGAAAGCAGCGCGAGGCCTTGGCAAAAGATACAGACTGGCTCAAAGAATCCAGAGAAGTGCTTGAACAACAGTTTTCACAGGCTGTCAAAGTTGCCAACCTTCATCCAGAATCAAAGCCTACCCAGTCATTGAGGATAGACAGCGTCGTTCCCTCACCCAGCGGCAAAGGCCTGGCTCGTGTCAACGGGTTCGATTACTTGCCAGCGAAGAACAACTTTGGGCAGTCTCTTTCGAGGACCGAGCAACGTATTAGAGCCACTGGTGCGCATGGATTGGCCAATAAACCTCTACGACCTCATCGAGACTATGTCACTGTCGGCGTAGCAATGTCCAAACGAAGTGCATCCAGCATCTACCGCCCTGAATTGTCGAGTCAGCAAGTGAGCAGCCCGTCTAGGAAGAGGTCGCTTGATGACATGGAGTCAAGAAATCATTTTGAAGAGAGTGTACGGACAACCAAGCGGACGAGATCGACACCAGAGAAGGAGATCAGGAAGAAAGAGAAGGCCCAACCTCACCACGGCCCAGTCAAGAAAAGTCCTTACGCTGTACTTGAGCCAGCTGAAGATAGTGAGGATGAAGATGATGACGGCCCGGCAGAAGACCTACGCGGGGTGAAATCCAATGGACAACAGGTCGAATATTACGCCGAAGACGACTACGGTGAAGAGGAAGAGGAAGAGGAGGAACTAGAAGAGGAACTAGACGAAGACGAGGAACCAATCGAGAAATTCGACGATGGAGAAGGGGAAGGATCAGATGAGGATGAAGACGAAGATGACAATCGAAGAAAACCATCATATGGCCAAGAAGCATACTTCGTGGACGAGGATGAAGAAGAACTCGAGGAAGACTATGAGCTCGAGGAAGAGGAAGGCGAGGGAGAAGGAGAAGGAGAAGGAGAAGGAGAAGAAGACGAAGACGAAGAAGAATACTATGATGATGACGACGATGACGCCCTTGATGAGGACGACCCGGCCCAAAACATTCGAGGCTTTGGCAAACATCACGCTCATCTGGCTAGTGAAGACTTTGCACACGGTAGCCGCTCGGCTAGCAGTGGACCCGGTGCAACTGAGGACGATGCACTGGTTCTTAGTGACAGTGACTAAGAGCGAGACAAGGATTCGATCAATCAATGATCAATCAAGATGCATTCAAGGACAACCAAACACCAATCAATGAGTTGGATCAGGATCAGGATCAGGATCAGGAAGGGAAAGCTATAATCGAATTATGCATGATCGATCGATCAATCAATCAATCAATCAATCAATGAACTGTGGAGTCATGATTACTTGCTATAGACAGCTGATCTGACCGAATCTGAGTCTTTGAAACATTTGTAAAAATCACAATATTACAAGGTACTAGGTATCATGGATACTACTACAATACTGGAAAAAAGTTTCAAGTTCAAGAGAAAAAAGACAAAGTATGATTTGTTGATACAAAGATCAAGTTTGTGTTGGTTGGTAAGGAGGTCTGATCGCGAAGCAACCAACCTGCCAATGAATATGGGTTAAAAGGCGAAATGAAGTATTTCCCAATATACCCCGAGTCGCTCGCTTTGCTTAGACCCATTTTCATGCTCAGGATGATGCCCATAGTCAGGTCCATATTTGCACAGCAGACATGAAAAGACTGCGGCGCCAGCTCCTCCTGTGTGTAGGCCAAGTGCCTCTCAAACATATCATGTTCCTTCCATACTCTCCATTCTCCCTCACAAAGACCCTACCCTGAACAAACTATGTACTCGTACATGTTCATGCAATTCTCGCAAAAGCAAACGCTGGATTGTATTCATTAGGCTCTGTCGGCACTTTTGGGCTGTCGTGTCGCACGTCGGTCACGATGATCTCCCTCCAAGTTGTATTGAGGAGGTGGTGTCAAACCTTTGATCCCTTTGACCCGACAACCTCAGTGACAGGGTTCAATAGGCAGGTATCGAGGGGGTATGGACGGATGAGCAGACAAGAAAGATCATGGATGGGCAACAAGACAATGAAAACGGGTGTTTTGGTTGGGGTTGGCTACTAGGCCTCTTCTCTTTTCGAGAAGAATTCTCGTCGGTAGGCCGACAAGGCGTTGGCCACGTTTTCAAACTCCTTGACTTCCTTCTGTCTCAGATCAGCAATCACTTGCTTCAGACCCACAAGGAACTCGTCTCGAATGCCTTTGTCCTTGATGTCGCTGGCTGAACTCATCTGTACAAGGATTTTGTCATCTGCACACGCGTGACGTATAGAAATTAGTAGGGGCACCTTGCTACACATCTCCGTTGTTTTCAATGTCGGATGAAGAAACCATTCTGCTTGGGATTTGGGTTCGGCTGTACACGTACCTGAAAGACCTAGCTGTCGGAAGTGCTGCTCTTCACATGTCGGATCTTCACAAACCTCCCCCGAAAGTTCAGTAGGGCAGAGAGGCCGAGATGGATCAATGCTGTTGCTGTAGGTCAAGGATCGATACCCACTTTTGACTGTGTCGTGAAAATCCTGATGGAACCGATAGGTCTTGAATGAGCTCAATGGTGTCTTGTATGGTACATAGTGAGGATTCGGTGGTGAGCTCCCATCGAGCAGGACCGCCTTCTCACTTTCCAGTGTCTTATTGTTCTGATGTTTAGTGACTGCATTAGCGTCGATTGACCCGGTAGCTTTCTGAATTTCGCCTTGACCACCGTTGGGCAAGACTGTCGACGTGGTCTGTGGCTCTTCACGTCGAACAAGGGCCACCTCTGCCAAAGAAGGCTCGCTCGGCACTGGCTTATTTGGCAGATCGTGGATAATAGCTTGCTGGACAATATGGCTTTGCGAGGGAACCAATTCCGCCATGCTGGTGCTCTCGTGGGATTGATTTGAAACATCAACTACATCTGGTATGGGCGGAGCGGTGGTTGTAGCGTTCTCAGGATCATATTCGTCCGAGTCTGAATCGTCATCAGATAGATCCATGGGTTGCGGAGCATCCCCATCGGCAGGCTCATAGTCTTCCTCGTCATCGTCATCAGATCCGCTGTTGGACATGCTCGCGCTGCCATCACTTTCCACGTCATCTTCGATTGGTGAATCCGGTGAGATCGAACGAGAAGTTGTAGGTCCAGTAGTCAGACCCTCAGCTGTCAAAGGCTCGGGTTCGGGCGAAATTTCCATTTCGTCTGTCTGTTGAACTTCGTCCGCTGTCTCATCATGCGCCGGACCTTCAGGAGCGAGTTGTGGGAGACTAGGCGCGATGACCTGAGCAGAAGAGGCTGTCGGATGCCACCGGTCATTGTTGGCATAATCGTGTGTAGCATCAATGACTGGGACACGTTCAATATCGCTAACCACCTTCGAAGAGCCTTGAGGTGCCAGATCCTGCGAGGACAGGGGAAGTCCTTGCTGTTCTGGAGGGCGAGATGCAACCTCGGCTCCAATGGAATCGGACATATTCTCCTTCTTATCAAGCTTGAGTTTTTGGAGCTCGTCTGAGTACTGTTTTTGACCTGAGCGGCCTTGCTGCAATTGCTTTTCAAGATGCGCAACCTCCTGAGTAAGGTCTGTCTCCGACTTTTCCGCCCGATCCAAGTCATTCTTCAACTTCGCGATTTCGGACCTGAGATTTAGCAAGGCTGATTTCGCTTTTTCAAGACGGACTTCCGTCTGTTTCACCTCGGCATTCAGATCAGGCAACTCCTCCTGTAGCACCTGCTGTCTTCTGGCCCGCTGTTTCAAGAATTCTGCCTTTAAAGCGGCCGCTTTCTCTGCAAGTTCTGCTGGAGTCAACTTGGAAATGGGCTTAGACGTCAAGGATTGCCTATTCAAGGACTCTGGGGTGGTGCTTTGCGCAAGAAGAGGCGGCTTCGACGATGTCGCATCATTTACTCCAGGAACGAGTAGTGTTGACGTATCCGTCGTGGAATACGATTGTGATGTTGAACTCTTGGGATCCACAGCCGGGCGATTCCCAAAGGCGCTTTGCAGCTGTGAGTTGGCTTGACGATCATATGATTCGAGGCGTTCGATATTAGCATGCGCTCTCGAGCCACGGCTCCCTTCGGTTTCCTCCACGATTTCGCCTTCTGAAGCATCGTCATCCATAGGCACCTCAGTGAGCGGGGTTGCCTGCTCGGTGAACTGTTGCGAATTTAATCGTTTCGATTGGGGCAAAGGCTCACTGGTGGAAAGCTCTTCTGGCCGAGGTCTTTTGAGAATTGGCTGAGGAGTGTAAGGGTCATACTGCGGCGGTGTCAGGATATCCTCCTGATCCCGAGGCATATCTGCAGAATCGTTGTCCTCCGACGTCATTTCAGCCGCGCCCATAAACAAACCTGGGATAGCGAAGATAGACGCTCCATAAGAAGGCGCTGCCTTTTCGGCAGAGGGGAGGGGTGGCTTCTTTTGGGATGAAGGCTCAGATTGGTGGGAAGCTAGAAGAGGGTCAAGGTTGCCATGCTGTGATCTCGTAGTTTCATCTTGGCTCGAGGTCTCAATAGATTGCCGCAGGCTGTCTGTCCGCAGTGGCGGTGCGAGCTGTTGTTCTTTGGACAGGCCCACCCCATCCAAATTTGCAACAACAGTCCCAGACGAGTGACCTGGAACAGTAGAGAGGGATGAAGCTGGAACGGGTGACGGCATTGTTGTACGGCCAGTCCGAGCTGCGAGCAATTGAGCAATGCGATCTTTGCGTTCAAGGTTGGCATTCGGGGTAGTCTGTGGTTTTTCCGAGTGTGAGAGAGCGGGAGACACCTCCATTTGAGGTGTTTGATTGCTTGCCAGACTGGACTTGGAAGCGGCCTCGGGCTGGACCACATCAGTTGAAGGTGACGATACTCTTTCGACGACACCACGAGCGACAAAAGCCGGGGCATCGGGCGGACCATGCGCATTAGACTCTAGAGTCTCAGCCGTTGCACTTTGGACAGCAGACGCTTGATGGTATGAGGAGTTGGCTGGACTAGGCTCTGCTTCAATGTTGAGTTCTTTGTAAAGACCGGACAGGACTGCAGGATCGATGCCCTCGGTGATTAGTTCCCTATAACGAATGTCGTTGGTGAAGAGTGACAGCACGGCTTCTTTAGCGGCCTCTCTTAGGTCTGATATAGACTGAGGCCCTGAGCTCCCGTCGAGTTGAGGGGCAGCATTCTTTGGTAGCTCGATGCGAGACAGTGTCCTATGGATGATCGTAGCGGGGCGAGTCGGATCATAGGCTGTTCAAGCTGTCAGTGGAAATCCAGAAGGTTAAAAGAAAGGAACGTACGAGATGCGCTACCATCGGTAGGCGGACGACGTCCAGTCTCATGCGTCTCAGAAATCTTATTGTAGCTAGCTGTCGAATCGTCTTGGTAAGCCTCTTGTGACTGCTGCTGAGCGTTGGCAAACAGCATGTCCAGATCGGATCGAGAGCCAAAAGAAGGAAGGACATCATCTATACTGGGCGTAAGTGCAAGTGTCGAGCAGAGTCAAGTGCGTTGACTTACCATGGCCACGGTCTGCGTGTTTTGCATTAGCAGGAGCGGGTGGATGATATGACTTTGAAGCAGGACGTGTTGCCGAATATGGGGAGAAGCCTTGATCATTGGAAGAGTGGTAATCTGGTATAGGTCGAAAACCACTAGAGCCAGGCGCTGTATACGGCGCGGGCTGCGTGGGTTGATTTTGAGTATTCAAGAAGAAGCCCGAGCCAAACTGATGAGGCGCAGACAATTCGTGCTGGGGATACGGGGAGGAGACCGACACACTGTTTGGCGTAGAATATTGAGGGTAGGCGGAGGTGGGAAGGGAAGCAGGAGCGAACGCAGGAGGGGGAGGGGGAGGAAGTCCTGCGCTGGCTAGCTGCTTGAGCATTTCTGGGGTGAATGAGGCCGCGCCGAACGGAAAAGGCGCCGCAGGAGGGCGATGTTGAGAATTAGTGTCGAATCTAGAGGCATTCTGCGGAGATGGTTGGTATACGGTATTTGGAGGCAGCTGCTGGTGATGGTGTTGAGGATGCTGCGGCGGAGGGGCAGGAGGAGTGTGCACCGGTTGGTGAAAGACATTCGACTGGGCAGAAGAATAAAATGATGGCTGGCTCGGATAGGAAGGAGTTGTGGTGTACAATGGAGTCGAGGGATAAGGTTGCGCACCCGCCATGGTCGAGGCGCAGGAAGAAGAAAGTGTTGAATGAGAAGGAAACCTGGATATCACTGAGATGGCTCAACAAGCCTATGACACAGACACAAGGATTGAACAGCGACACCTCTACACATGATGAGGTGTCGGTGACAGATTCTTGTGGGATGCAGAAAAGAGGATCAGAATGCGAGGCGACTTGAAGCAAGACGATTGACGCAGAAAGATCGACGCGCAAGGAGTCTGGCAAGAAGTCGTCGGTCGGTCGATATGTAGCTTGCCTTTTGAGGATATGGAGATGCAGATGCAGGCCTAGATTGAGGCTGGCGATACTCTGATTCACCCGAGTATCTGAATGTCGATCGAGGAGGGACAGGGAGATTCGGTGATCTGATTCTCAAATAAATGTCAAATGAAGCCAACGGCGTCTAAAGTCTGGAGCCTCGCTTAGCCTTGGCGCCATCCACTGACACGTGATATCAATGCTTGGCATATGCAGCCTCGCTGTGGCTGAAGGAGTTTGTGGCTGAAGAGTTATGCATGAGAAGGGGCGACCCACAAGTCGGTGGTTGCCCCGTCAATGACGGATGTGACAACAAGATGCATCAGCAGCCAAACAGCATCACAGCCTACCAACAAGACGACCCAGCATGACATTGAAGCTCACACATCCCCCACAGCCTGGCATGCTCCATTAAATCATTCTCAGAATGCTCACTTCTCGACACTCAGACCTCCTTAGGATTCTCGTTCCTTGACTTCAACCTTATATGTGCAACCTCTTTTGAGAAACGACCCATCCCAACACGCGGCGTCATGCTGCTCCACGAACGCAGTCCAGACACTTCGCCCTTCAATGGTGCATCTCAACGACACTACGCCTTCAACAGATCCTATAATTCAGATATGTCCATGCCATCGCCCGTTTCACCATCTCGAACAACAAAGTCCCTCCTCTTCGGTTCTCCCGCGCCCACATCTCCCATCCGCCATGAACGACAACAGTCCTATTCTCCCTCTACTTCCATGAGCTCGGTCCCTGCACATGTCCGTACCAACTCCCTTCAGCGACAATCGAGCACCTCGAGCACGTTTGCCCCGAAATTCATCAAGTCGGAGGAAATGAAGCAGAGTGAAGAACGCATTTCCGCTATCGAGGGCGAAAATGACTTTTCTGGAAAGAGATATGTCTGGGTCAAGGATCTCGAGAAAGCCTTTGTGCGAGGTTGGATCACAGAAGACCTACCCCACGACCGTGTCATAGTCCAGTTCGACAGTGGCGCACAGCTGGAAACACATGTTGACGAAGTCGATAAAGTCAACCCAGCCAAGTTTGACAAGGCTGATGATATGGCGGAACTCACTCACCTCAACGAGGCCTCTGTCATTCACAATCTCCACACTCGATATCAATCCGATCTCATCTACACATACTCAGGGTTGTTCTTGGTTACCATCAATCCTTATTGCCCTCTTCCCATATATGGCAATGACTACATACGGATGTACAAGGGCCAGGCCAGAGAAGACACTCGCCCACACATTTTCGCCGTTTCTGATGCAGCCTTTCGTCGCTTGGTCGAAGAAGGTGAAAACCAAAGCATCCTCGTCACTGGTGAATCTGGTGCTGGCAAAACTGAGAATACAAAGAAGGTCATTCAGTATCTGGCCGCTGTCGCCACTTCTGATTTCGACACTCCAATCACAGGGAGAACACCAGGAAAGCAGCTTTCGAATCTCTCACAACAGATCCTGCGAGCAAATCCAATTCTTGAGTCCTTTGGTAATGCTCAGACGGTCCGGAACAATAACTCGTCTCGATTCGGCAAATTTATCAGGATTCAGTTTACCCGCTCTGGTCAAATCGCCGGGGCGTTTATTGATTGGTACCTTCTGGAAAAGTCGAGGGTTGTCAGAGTGAGCCAGCAGGAGCGAAGCTACCACATTTTCTACCAATTGCTTGCCGGGGCCGATAAGCGTATGCGTGATGCCCTCCTCATTTCCGGAATGGACGTTGAGAATTTTGGGTACACAAGGATGGGCAATGATACAATTGGTGGAGTGTCAGACTGTGATGAGTGGAATCTGCTCATAGAAGCATTCCATGTCATGAACTTCTCTGATAAAGATCAAATGGCCATCTTTCGGACGATTGCGGCAATTCTTCATCTTGGAAATGTTGCTGTGAGGCAAGAGTCCCGCGCCGGAGATCAGGCATCCTTGACCGATGATGCGAAAGCCTCTATTGACAAAGCCTGTAAGTTGATGGGAGTTCAGACAGAGCCTTTCATCAAGGGTCTTCTGCACCCAAAGGTTAAGGCCGGCCGAGAATGGGTGGAAAAGGTTCAAACTCCGGAGCAGGTCAGATTGGCCATCGACGCCCTCGCCAAGGGCATCTACGAGCGTGGCTTTGGCAATCTAGTCTCAAAAATCAACACGCAACTCGATCGTGGAGGAGTCAGCAGCGACGACAGCCAATTCATCGGCGTGCTCGACATTGCTGGATTTGAAATCTTTGAGAACAACAGCTTCGAACAGCTGTGCATTAACTACACCAACGAAAAGCTGCAGCAGTTCTTTAACCATTACATGTTTGTTCTCGAACAGGAAGAATATGCTCGCGAGCAGATTGAATGGCAATTCATAGATTTCGGCAAAGATCTACAGCCCACGATCGACCTGATTGAATTGCCAAACCCAATCGGCATCTTTTCTTGTCTAGATGAGGATTCCGTTATGCCAAAAGCCACGGACAAGTCCTTCACAGACAAGTTGCATTCTCTGTGGGAGAAGAAAACTCCCAAATACGCACCTGCGAGAACCCGGCAAGGGTTCATCCTCACTCATTACGCTGCAGAAGTCGAGTACTCGACTGAGGGTTGGCTTGAGAAGAACAAAGACCCTCTCAATGACAACCTCACGAGATTGCTTGGCGGGTCAAAGGATGAACATATCGCCAACCTCTTCAGTGACTGTGTCGAAGATCTTGACGAACCATATAGCCCTCGAAGTCGAGTCAAGAAAGGTCTGTTCCGGACCGTGGCTCAAAGACACAAGGAACAGCTCAGCAGCCTCATGAGACAACTACATTCGACCCAACCTCACTTTGTTCGCTGTATTCTTCCAAATCACAAGAAGAAGCCTAAGCAGTTCAATGCGCCTTTGGTTCTGGACCAACTTCGATGCAACGGTGTCCTGGAAGGCATACGCATTGCTCGAACAGGATTTCCCAACCGTCTCACATTCGCAGAATTTCGTTCAAGATACGAAGTCCTGTGTCAGAACATGCCTAAAGGATATCTCGGTGGTCAAGAGGCTGCCCGAATTATGCTCGATCGCCTCAAGATGGATGCAGCCAATTATCGGGTTGGATTGACCAAAGTGTTCTTCCGAGCTGGTGTGCTGGCTGACCTTGAGGAGCAACGAGACAATCTAATCCGTGATATCATGTCACGGTTTCAGTCCTTGAGTCGAGGATTTATGCAGCGACGGGTTGCTTTCAAACAATTATACCGTGCAGAGGCTACGAGAGTGATACAGCGGAATCTGAACGTCTACCTTGACCTACAGGCAAACCCCTGGTGGCGTCTTTTTGTTCGTATGAAGCCATTGTTGGGAGCTACACGAACGGCGAGTGAAGTCAAGAAGCGAGATGAGAAAATCGAGCAGCTAAACGCACGTCTACGGCAAGACGCTGTGGACAGGCAGAGGGCAGAGGACGAACGACGGCGCGCAGAGATTGAAGTCCAGAGAATCCAGAAGACACTGGAAGCTGAGCGAGAGCTTGTTCTGGATAAGGAGGAGATTTTCAAACGCCTCCAATTCCGTGAGAATGAGCTCAGTGAAAAGCTTGCAGATGCCATTACCGAGCAAGAAACCCTTGAAGATCAACTTGACGCTGCAATGGACTCGAAAAAAAAGGTGGAAGAAGAACTCGCCACACGGCGTGAGCAGGTTCTCCAGGCCGGCCAGATCATCACACGGTTAGAAGCTGAGAAAAAGGAATTGCAACACAAAATTGACAAGTTGGAGGACGAGCTCGAACATGTAGAGAAGACGCATTCTCAAAACGATGGGAGACTGGAGGCTATCAGCCAAGAATTACGGAGCTTGAAGGGTCAGCTTGGAGTCAAAGACAGGAAGATCTCAGAGCTGGAATCAAATTTGCACAACATTGAAAGAGAAAAGGAAAGCAGAGCCGCAAGTCTTGACCAGGAGGTGCGATCATTACGAAGCCAATTGTCACAACGAGAACGCATGACCGAGGACCTCTCCAACAAACTTCAAAGGGCCGAGTCGTTACGAGAAACAGAATCCAAGCGAAAGGCCGAAGGATTTGAGGCCCAGATACGGGCTCTCAAGAGCGAGTTGCTTGCAAAGGACCGTAAGATGCAGGACATGGAAGACAAAATCGCCAAGATTGACAAAGACGCTGAAATGAAACTGGCCTCGACGTCCTCGGAGCTCGTCACCACCAAGAAACTGTTGCGAGAAGTCCAAGGTCAGAATGACGAGCTACGCAGCCAGGTTACGACACTGTCCGCTCAGGCGTCCAAGCATGCCGAAGCACTCCGTAGAAAGGAGGGTGAATACTCGGCGCTGATGGCCGATGTGGAACAGCACGAGCGTGAGAAGCTGCGATTGAAGAAGGAAAACGATGCTCTCTCCGGAAGACACAGCAGCATAGAACAACAGCACCGGAGTCTGCAAGGTGATATTGAGAGCATGAAGGCACAAAGGGCACGAATGGAGATGGAAGCAGCCGAGGTGAGGAAGTGCTTGGAGAGAGCAATGCCGTTTTTCACACAGCATTTCTCTACACCAAGCTAGTTGAGTTGTATTGGGACAGGCGCCCAAGGATTACGGAGAACCAAGAAGTGATGACAATGTTGATTTTCTGTCTTGTTTGCGTCAGAGGATCTTGTCGATGAGTGTAATGTTTGGACGTTGATGGGCCGAGTTTATGGCGATTCAGTCAAGACTGAACGCTGAACACCGGAGGAGTGTTTGATCCCACTACTTAGATGGGAGGTTTTGACTGAGGAACCGGAAGCATTTTTTGGAAAGTGGTTCCTGGCATGGCGAAACGGATGGGATGGAAAGGATACCTTGTTACCAGCAGTCAGGACGTACATAACACGATGGTTATACAAGATTGTTTCGATGGCTGTTTAGCCTTTTTCCTGTAGATCAGTCAATCGTCCTTGGGAATGATCCTCACTCGGGACTGGGACCAGCCGCTCAGCATAGATTCGGAGTTGAAAGGCATCTATCAGCCTCATTCTGTGAATACCCATCGATCTACTTACTTCATTGAAGTATTACATCAGAAGGTAGACTATTCGTGGCCGACTAAGGAGTACTCAGTAGCTTCGAGTAGGGTGAAGAGTTCTATCATTTCCCATTATATACTGGGAAATGTCTATATTTAATTCTTGGCCAAACTAGGATATGTACCTACATAGACGCATTTATTTTGTGAATGACATCTCTTCTAGACACCTCGGTAACTTGTTTCGATGATGAGTTCATGGATCTTAGACATGATTCCATCATCAATCTATGCTCCAGAAACAACCTTGGGTCCAGGGTCTGTGTACATGCTCATGATGATGGAATCTTCTTAGGCAATAGGTTTTGCGAATCCTCCTATCGCCTCTCGATGTACTATAACTGCCTCCACTTAGTCTTGAGCCAAGGATGGAGGATGTCTGTGTGGGTGCCGCGGTTGAAGTCGGTTACCACAGTGGGCCTGTCGGGCCTTGATCAGCGAACACGACCCTTCTGCCGGATGTGAGGCCTGTTCTGTTACACGGAGGGATGCAAGATCTATATGGTCAAGGTCTGCTTCTGGTTGACAAACCTCGTTACATATAAAGAAGAAAGAAGGTTGGTTATAAGCAGCAACTATTTGGATTCTATCGTCCACAACTCTCACTGCTCAGTATATATGTCAGAATCCATCCAGCCAGCAAGGTCAGGTGCTGTAACAAGGGATTTTATATCAGCTTGAATTGAAGAACATGGCGACGCCAGAACAATACGACTGCATCGCCATTGGCTCTGGCGAAGCAGGAAAGCTCGTCCCTCTGGTCCTCTCCAGCCAATACGGCAAGAAATGTGCCATCATCGAGCGTAAATGGATCGGCGGCTCCTGCCCCAACATTGCCTGTCTTCCCACAAAGCACATCATGCACGCAGCCGAGCTGGCTCATGAATGTCGTATGGCTCATAAACACGGCCTTGATGTCAAAGAGGCCAAGTCATTGAAGGCCGACTTGGCTCTGGTGAAGAAACGCAAGGACGAGATGCTCGAGACTGTCAACGGATTCCAAGATCTATTGGTACAAGGCAAAGTAGAGATTATTCGCGGCGAGGGTCGTTTTGTCGGCCCTAAAGTCGTGCAAGTAAGCAATGGACGACTCTTGACCGCCGAACACATCATTATCTGCACCGGCTCTCGTGCTATGGTGGATGCCAGCATCCCCGGCCTTGTCGACGCAGACCCCAATGACTCACATTGAAATCCTGAACTTGGAAGTCTTACCCTCACACCTGATCATCATTGGTGGAGTGTACGTTGGAATGGAATTTGCACAGGCATATCGACGCTTTGGCGCCGAGGTCACGGTGATTGAGCGAGGAGATCAGGTTCTGCAAAAGGAGGACAGCGACGTTGCGAGTCACATCCGAGGAATTCTGGAAGGGGAGGGAGTTCGATTCCTGACCAACTCCACGATCGAGTCCGTGAGCGGACGAAATGGCGAGCAGGTCAGTGTGAAGATCAAGTCTGGCAACGGCACACCCTCGACAGAGAACACATTGCAAGGGTCACATCTTCTGGTCGCTTCTGGCCGGCTTCCAAACACAGAAGACCTGGACTTGGCCAAAGCAGGAGTCAAAAAGACCGCGGCAGGGCATGTGCTGGTGGATGAACAACTCCAAACAGGAGTCGCTGGCGTCTTTGCTGCTGGCGATTGTGCAGGCAGATTTAGGACATAAAAATCCTTATTTAGACCACTTTTTGGTTGTGGGAGCGGGGTTTTCCGTACCTATTTAGTGCCGGGGAAAAGGGGAGCAGCGTCGCCCGAAAAGTGCCTTACGGTGCTTGGCAACAATAATAACTGAGAGTGGGTTCGGGACCTGGGAACCTACCACAGCGTGCCTCAAAGCTTCAAGTGCCAAACAGACTTCAGGATTGCACAACCACGGCTCAGCATGGCTTGGGTCACGACACGGGTCAAATAGCGAGATACTCAGGTTTAGAAGAGGAAATGGACTTTAGAGATATTAAGATTCGCCGCGGAGCATCGTGATATAGGGCTCATGATCGAAGAAACCCTTGAGCCCGAATTGACTTCTGGGAACAGGCAATATTATAGAGAAGCTCCTGACTGCTCGTCCAGTGCCTCGGGCGCGCTCCCTCGTACTCTACTGTAGCTCCCACGACGCTCCCACGCTTGACCGAGCATCCGTCACGTTCCAGAGTAAATCGGTCTCGCTCCCTTTCCTGCATGAAAATTGCAAGGGACAGAGTACAGTTTGGGGATGATATCTCACACACACACACACACACACTTATATATATAGTTAATCATTGATGAACACATATGTATAGTAAGGTCGAGTCCGTAATTATATCAGACTAACCAGAACCGGGAGTCTGTCATCCAGAGGAAAGTTTCCCGACAGAAAAGATTCCGCATGTCACTCCATCTCTATATACCTTAATTGTCCTGCGCCCGCCACTACCGAGAGGAATATCTTTTCTAACTCCTGCCATACGATTCCTCGGGGGCTTGGACCTTTGATTCAAAAGTTCTTCATCTATGCCTTGAAAAGATTCATTCATTCATTCATTCATTCATTCACCACTACCTGGCCGCCCTCCTGCTTGAAGGGTATATTGTAACGTCTAAGTTGGAGGAAACCTTCGATCTGAGAAACAATTCGACCAAGGTCCACAAAATGCCATCCTCATGCAAAGAACTCCGTACGCCGCCTCACCCGCCTTCACCCCTTTTCAAAGACGCCTTTGATCTAACACAGACTAACATACTTCCCCCGGTTACAGGCGAAGCACTCGCTGCATGTCTCCAGAAAACAGACTGTATAATGATCCAACGCCATAAACCACTCGAATGTCTCTCGCCACCCCTTCTCGATACATTACCCGCCGAATGTCAACAACTAAAACGCGGGTTCCGAGAGTGTAAGCGCGGTATGGTTGATATGAGAAAACGATTTCGCGGTAATGCGCCAGTTTCCAACAGTGCTGAGCTCGAGGGTGGTGGATCCGGTGGTCAGCTGTATGGTGGTAAGCCGGCGTTTGATGTCGTGGCTTCAATGAGTAAACAGCAGAGAGGTGAAGTTGAGGGGCTCGGGTTTGATGAGTCGAAGACTCGTGGGTTGTGATGAAAAGAGCCGCACCAGACCGAATTGGACCATACATAAACGCCCCTCCTCGACAAGGGCAGCACGCAAGCTGGTCTCCGAGCTTCAAATCGCCGAAAAAGAACGACAGTCTCCGCCACCATATCTACCTACCATCTTTTACCATTTCATGGACCTGCCCACTTGCCCTCGCACTAGGTCTATGTCGGCGACATCAACCTTCAACCCATGGTTCAGCTATTTCAGGCCCACAGACAGGTGCCTTAGCCCGACAAACCGCTAGCCATACGAGGGGCCAAAACACGCCCATGGCGTCCACAAAGCTTTGTTGAATTAGCAGGCAGCAGCGTGGTGTGTATCATTTCATGCCATGACAGGGTTTAATCGGTCACCGCGGCCGAGAAACAGCGAACAGCTGCATTTCCAAAAACTAACCAAGACGTCCAAGACCTCAACTACCTTGGAACTGGACTGGACTGGATCTTGATCTTGAGTCTTATCTGAGCATTCGTGGGAGTCGCACAGCTATGATATCCTACTCTCTCCTCTCTACAAAGAGGATGTATACAACCGTCAGATGTGTACTGTACATACTTACCTACCTACCTTAGGTACCAACTCACATCTTGTACAACATGCCAAAAATAAAATCAAAATCGCCATTAGAACAATATAATAGATTCTCTACAGATCCACATAATACTCTTGAACATTCAATTTTCTATTGGTTGACTTTTCTTCAAGACTTGTCCATGAACAACATAACCGTTCTAGCTAATAATTCATGGTGGCCTCGTATGCAAAGTGACGCTTCCTTCGCCTGTCGACGTTGACGTTGTCGTTGACGGTATATATGATTACACTTTTGTTTTCTCTATCCCCTCGCACCCGTGCCGTCTGCACAAACTCACTTCAGTCACTTGACTCGCCGAGTTTCCTATAAACCTACCAAATACTCACTTACTTGGCAGTGGAAATACTCAACTTCCTCCTTCTCTGGCCATCCTCCTTAGGCGGTTCAGAGTAGAGCCAGAGAATGACAAAAGCCAAGAAACCAGCGATGACGCTCCATAGACCTGCAATCCATGGCCATGCGCCGGTGATGGCCCATGATCGTGGCCATTCGTCGTGCGCGAAATGTCGGACTGTCACTTGCAACTTTTCTTCAATGTTGGTGAGCCAAGGTCGTTTGTAGTTGACTTTGAAGGCAAAGATGCCGTGTTGGTCGGGAGTTGTAAATGTGGTTGAGAAGGTTGTGCTGTTGGCGGAAGATGATGTTGGCGTCAGTCCAAGGCGGTGGAAGGGGGAAAGCATGCTGAATTCAAGTTGCAAGCTATCTGCGGCGGGTGGGGTGAAGGGCGCCCAGTGTGTATGAGACCATTGTGAAAGTTCGATGCTGTATTTCTGCGAGTGAAATTGTGTTAGCATCTCTTCAATGAAACAAGGGCGAGACTAGATTGATGTCAGACGTACCACATCGTTCTTGATTCGGTAGATTCCAGGGTTGAGCAGACCGAGTTGTGTGGAATTCTCGCCGGGCTTCTTCGAAGGCGTAATCTCATGGTGATTGACCGAGACAACCTTGAGCACTCCGACCTCCTTGAACACCCACTCTGTCACCTGCTTGGCAAATTCCTGGTTCACCGTCTTGACTGATTTTCCACCTCCTGGAGCCTTCACCGAGGCGCCATACCACTTATCTTGCAATGACTCCAATGAACCCAAGACCACAAATCGAGCTGAGTTGCGAGCCTGCATTGCCGACACTAGTGCCAATTGTGACCCTGTTGCAAAGACATCCTCGACACTCTCAGTATCATCTTTGGGGTTGTATGCATATGCTGTGGCGGGAGCTTTCAGTAGTGGTGTCAGGAGAGGGTTGTTGTTTCCGAGAGTTTGTCCCACAGCGTTAGGCAAGGCTAAGATGCCTCCACCACCGAAGAAATCAACGACGTCTGATCTTGACAGAGTGGGTCGGCTGACGAGTAAAACGTCATGCTTCTCAGATGCGGAAACAGTGTCATAGTTGAAATGGTCAACTACCACGGAGTGCTTGTCTGTGGGTAAAAATATGTCGAACTCGAGAAGGAGGGAGGAGATGGCGGAAGGAGTGCCTGCTTCGGCGGACAGTGCAAGGAGAATGTTTCCTCCAGCATTGACATAGTCGAGGAGGATCTTGGGAGTGAGTGTAGGACCGTAGCCTGTTTGACAGTTCGGTCAGCTTCATGCTCTCATATGCAGAACAGGGACTGTTCGGAGGGTAGAGCGCACCCTTTGATTTGGGAGGGGTCAAGAGTAGATGGTCGAACACCAACTGGCCATGCTTAAATAGAGATAATTGCTCATTCCGCGGCGAGTCGAACGACAATTCAAAGTCTCGAGCTGGAGGCAACCGAATCAGTCTGGAAACTCCCAATATCGGGGATGTCATAACTCACCTTCTAAATCCGCCCAAAACTTGGAGTATAGACTCTTCTGAGATTCGTCCTCAAGAACAACAAGCAGCCTGTTTCCCACCGCACTTTTGGCAGCGACAAACCCACTCACAGCGAACAGCAAAACACATATCGAAGAGAAGAGGCGCATGATGAATATAGTGGTCACAAGCGACGACAGAAGGAGAGAAGTATCTCAAGGCAGAAGACTCATTAGGCCTTGTCCTGCACGGCAATGGTCTGTAGGATGTGTTTACTGCCAATGGAGAACTGAAGTGAACTGACCGCGCATGCTCTGCTCTTCTCTGTTCGAGGCTGCTGCTTTGGCCTTGTTACTCCGCAGTCGCAGATGGCTACAGGAGACGTGGTCCCAAAGTTCCCCCAAGTGCCAAGACCGATCACAGCCTTGCGCGATCTGCAGTTGAGTTTCGCTGTAATACCAAGACTGCGCTTCCCTACCCAATCGCAACGTCGATGATTGATTCCCCGAGCTTCACTTCACGACTTACTACTGCTGTTGCTGGAGATTCTGTCGCAGACAAACCCAACCACATCCGATAGCTAGTGCAGTCAGTACCTGTCTTCAAGGCAACCAGGAAGGAGGAGGGCAGACGGATACATCCAAGGTTGCGGTGCCTTACCTTAACATCGGTCACCAACCCAACACCGAACCGAATCCTCGATCAGAATCAGACTATCCTCCCCCAGAACAATGTCCGCCGGTATCCCGCAAAGATTCTGGGGTTCGCCCATTCGATACCTCCGCTGGGCTGCACATGAGAAACCGGCCATCTTCTGGAGCTGTGTTATCGGTGCTTGTGGACCATTGACCTTTGTGGTGATTCCCCCGATCAGACGATATGTTGGAGATGAAGATCCTCCGAGAGTGCCCTTGACATATCCCGGTAAGTTGCTTTCGACGTCTACATCAAAAAGATATGTCTTGCTTGGGAATGTCTTCCATGTTTGACTGCTGCGTTATTGTCATTCGTGATATGTATTTCATTTTGCTGACTTTGGGTTCGAATACATAGTGCCTAAAGGGCCCAGGGTCATACCCAAAGGATTTGATGACGAGTGAACTTAACAAGGCGATGGATTGATTACACTTTGAGGTTGACAGACACGCGAGAACATCTACAGAGGTGTTAGGTTGGGGAACAAACCGCCGAAATGGCTAGCTTGGTATCAAGACTCAGAAGAGAGGTGCGAAGTAAGTTTAACATCGGAGCGTCGACGATCAAAAGAAGCTGTTCCATACGAATGGATGTTCGTCATGGACCTTCATGTACATAAACATACCTGGTTCTTGACAAGATATATGCAAATGAAACAGAAAAAACACGATCAAACCCAGAAAAAGAAGAAGTTTATGACATGATCAATGATTTGGTGATAGCTACCTCATCTTTGCTATCCATCTAACCAATTGAAGAGCACTGAACTAACTTTGGCGTGCCCGATGAAAACCTGGAAATCAATTTGCTCAACCGTGAAATTCGTTGAAGCCATCATACGCCGCCTGTCGTCCAGCAGCCCTCACTTCCGCAAATTGCCGCCATAACTCCAATGACTCAAGATCTGTGCGATCTGATGCCAACCTGAGCAATGAAAAAAAACCGCTTTTGAAGAAGCATAACCCGAGCCATCAATGAAGACGACGTTTGCTGTCGCACGTCGCTCTTGTTACAGAACTCTTCGAAGAGCACCCCCAACCGAAAATGGCAAATCAAGAAAACAAAACCGAGTCGATGATAATGACGTCTGATAGGCCGAGGACAAGCATTGCAAACGATGGAAGTCTGAAGACTGCTGACTGCAAAGGAGAGATGAGAGTATTGACGTGCTTTCTTGTGGATCAAAGCTTTCCCGTGCCAGATGTACGAAGCTCGCTGTTGACGCTGGAACGCCAACCGACAGAATCGTCTCAGTCGGCTTCCATGTCGTCGTCTACGTAGTCAGTATCATCGTCGTCGCTGTCATCGCTGTGGTTGCCCTTTTTCAGACGACGAGTGTCAGGAAAGAACATGCTTTCCTTGTCGCCATCGTCGCTATTGTTCAGATCGCGAGTGTCAGGAAAGAACAAGCTGTTCTCGTCGCCATCGTCGCCATTGTTCAGGCCGCGAGTGTCAGGAAATAACAAGCTATTGTCGTCTTCTTCGACCTGGTTGTCGATGACCTCATCCTTGACAATGTTCTTGACAATGTCTTTGGCGCCGTCCACGCTGTCCACGATGGGGTCTTTGGTGCTACCTCTGATGCTCTCCTTGCCTTTGTCGTTCATGGTGTCCGTGTCGGTGCGCTTGGCCTTGACCAGGAGTCTGCGCTTTTTGGTGGGTCTCGTAGGAGAGCCATTATCAATCTCGACGTCGTCAATTGGCCTAGCAGAAGTAGACGTAGCTACATTGGCAGCATCAACGTCGGCAGCGGGAGTGGTGACAGGAACTTCTAGTAGGTCGTTAACAGGTTCGAACTCGGCAGGCGGAGGAAGTACTCGTGGATTCTTGCGGGGTTTCTTCGGTGTCTTGTGTGCTTTGATTGACTTCTTGTCTCCCCGTATTGCCTGAGCCATTTCCTCAGCCATTTCCTCCTCCACAACACGGTACGTACGATCTAAGTCGTCGTTAGGTGTGTTCGTTACGACGTTGGGCTCTGTCAACTCTTCATGCCAGGTAAGATCCTGCTTGACAAAGTCTACACAAGTCAGCCAAGTGATGTCCTGCTTATCCGCTCGTTTCACATGTGTGTTTTCCTTCATCAAAGGTCCCACAGAGGCCTTGATGTCGTCCTTGAATAGAGTCATGTTTGCTTCGAGGACCATACATGCTTTGACACTCATGGGAAAGTGGCGATGGAACTCTTTAAAGTCCAGGTGGGTGAGATAAGCTTGGCCGCCCTTAGACAAACAGGTGTAGAAGGCGAGACCTCCGTCGGGGGCACGGCGGGTGCGGTTCTCGGAAATGCACTGGGCGAACCATTGTCGAAAGAAGGCGATGGATTGCCACATGTAGATATCCTGAGAGTAGGTAGGACGTCCAGGTCTGCTGGCTGCTTCTCTCATGAGGAAAGCTGGGTAATGGCCGAGAAGTCGCAGCTCGAGCGATTCCTTGGCTCGCTCCAGTTCTTCGGCTTTGCTTGCGAGGACGGAGCGGATGTTGGTATTTACCTCGCTCTTCTCTTGGTCGCTCATACCATGCCAATTACCGACGAGGTGGCTGCCGGCTTCACAGAAGATCGAGGGAGATTGAACACGTTCACTGATCTCGATCCAGAGGGTAGGGTTCTTCAGGATGGAATTCCAAAGCTTTGTGTCTTGACGCAAGAGAACAAGGTCGATGCAGTTTCGGACATGATCCATAGAGCCGATGAGTTTTGCGTACTGGGCTAAATGAATGCAGTCGTCCACGAGCTCAGTCAGGTGAGACTCGTCGAAACGAGGAGTGATGTTGTAGAAGGCACCGAAGAGCCAACGCCAAAGCTGGTTTGGGCTTGTAGTTTTGTTGATATTGCCCGCAGGGAAGAACGCAGGCTGAGGAAGGCTTGACTTGGGATTCTTGCGCTTGCCACTTGAAGTGAGATCCTGTGAGTGAAAAGTTAGCAATTTGCACAGCTTGCGTTGAGATTAAAGAGTAGGTGTCGTCATACAACACGGACAAATTGACCAAGTTCGTCATCCCACGATCCGACTTGATCGATCCGACTTTGCTTGTTCACGGCATCTTCACTTGGTACCCACTCAAAGAAGGCCAACACGGTCTGGCCGCCGCGAGCAGTTTTGGCCGAGGGGACGCAAGGGTTCTTCTCAAATTCATTGGCAAAGAAAGAAGAGTGAAATCTTAGCACTTGAGAGTGAAGTCTGTACTCCTCAACAGAATCGATCCTGATCGACACATCAGCGTCCTTGTAGTTAGGAAATGATCCATTTGAAGCCGCCATGATTGGCGTGGATGTTCAAGTTGATGAAGATAGCCTTAGGCGTTATGCCACAAGGACAAGTAGGAACATGCGAAAGAGATCAACCGGTAGAAGCAAAAGTGCATCTACAAGCAGTGGTGAGAGGCGAGGTGGAAGGGTGAAAAATCGAAAAATCGAAGGTGGGATAATTTAACAAGGTCAGCCATTCTCCGCTGAGAGTGAAACATGAATCATTGAATTGCAATCAGTCTTAACAGTGAATGTGCAGGTTGAATCAAGTGTGAGCTGAGCATGTGCAATAGATAGCTTAGACGCTTGACTTGTGAATGATTGATTTAGTCATGAGGAGGTGTATCCACTCCCATCGTCGCGTAAAGATGTTTGGCTTGAAGAATAGCTGTTGAGGGCATGACGGTGAGCAGGAATTTTGTCACGCTATTGTTATTCGCACTCAGAATCCTGTTGGAACAGACCGGAGTGGATTGGAAAATGAGAGTCGTCCATGTGTCATGCGGGATCGCTATAGCCTACCAATAGGAACCATGGATGGCAAGACAATAAGCAGACAGTAAGCGATACTGAAGCCTCTTACCATATTAAAGTGGCACGTCCAGAGTAGTCAGTTCGCGTATGGACCAGGCCCATTAGGATGGTAATGGTTCCGAAGGTGGCCTCTCTTGTTGTCTCCAGAGTCACGTCGAGCACCACATTGGCCAATGACAGTAAGAAAATCAAGTCGTAATCTCACGAGTGCATGATGAGAAACAGGCAAACATAACCAGACCAGGGGATATGAGGTTGATTCAGCGATAAAAGCTCAAAAGGGCGCCATCCGTATATCATGCTTCGAGAGCGTGGTACATGCCAAAAACGCCATACAATGCTAAGTACAACACAACGTCCGAACTGTATAACCGGTATCTCGATTTGGTACAACAAGCGGGCAGAAGAAGATTCGTGATTAATCTGAGGTGACCGGGCTTGTTTAGAAAATGTTAGATCACATGCCAAATCCGTCATTATTTCAACACAGGGTGCTCCGTGGTATCATTGCTGCACGACAATGACGCTCGAGGTGGTCACTCGAGCGCCTTGGGCAAGGACAACGTAATGGTCCGAGGTCCGGGGTCCGGGATAGCTGGCTCACTCGCTGGTAACAATCCAAGAAGAAAAGCAGACCAGGTCAAATGGCGAGAGGGTGGGCCAAACTTCCTTTCTCTGGGGGGATAGGCGCTGACTGGCGCCAAAGTGGCTTTCCGGTAGACTGGCTCCAGTGGGAGATTTGAAGGCCTTGAGGGAACTGATCTCGCAACAAACCATGGCTCATCCTCGGTGGCTACGAGACTGGTCGGGGTAAGCCGTTGAGGCATAACCCCCTCCCATCATCACATCAACACGTGGATCCCGCGGGGGAGCCGTACGAGGCTCTGCGTATGGCGCAGGTATCGACGAGGTGATGGCAGGCCCTGAACGAGAGCTAGTATAGGGCGCCTGTGAATAGACACTAGGCGATGCCCTGGCCATGATTGGTGGGGTAGATTTGTCAGCTTGAAGCCTGGGCTCACGTTCCGGGCCGTTATAATATCCTGATTGTTGATGGGGAGGGGAGTAGTTAGGCTGGGTCGAGTTGGTGCTATAATTGGCCGATGTATATCCGGTTTCCATGGGATATGAGGATGTCACAGGGATTTGACGGCGGGAGGGAATACGAGTCTCCGGGTCACGGGCTCTTTGAGACCGGTCATAATCATCATCGACGTCCATTTCTGGGTGGTACCGGCGTGACTCTTCACGAGCTTGCATTTCGGCGTATGAGCCTGCACGATCCTTAGACCGAGTTTCTTGGTATTCGCGCATAGGCGTACCTTCAGGCAGACGATGTCTGGCCCTTCTTTCCCGGTCGCGCTGCCATCTCAGAGTGTCTTGACGCAGGTCATGCTCCATCGCCTTGGGGATATATTAGCTTGTGGAGGGTTGAACAAGGGGGTCAAGTCAGCCGTACCGAGGTGAAGGGGCGATATGCCCTGATCCAAAATCCACTGCGTCCCTAGTAACAGTGGTTAGCACAGCACACTTACCGTCATCGGAGGGCGAGATGGCATACATTTTTGTCGCGGCCCGGGCGACAAGTGGCGTCTTGGCCGAGGTACTTGCAGATGTTGAGCTGGATGACTTCTCGTTCAATGCCATCTCCGGGACAAAAGTGTTCCTCGTACTGTGGCCTTGATGGTTCACGTTCCATTGGCATGGGAGCATCCATGGGGACTCGAGGTCTGGGGCGAGCATCCACGAATTGGTTCTCTGGAAGGTAGCCAGACCGGCTTGGTACACTCCTATATTGGTGGTATTCTCCAGTCAGGGGATCTTGATAGAAGAGGCCTGGGTCAGGGTCATGATTCCGGTTCTCCATCATTCGGGGCTCTAAGGGTCGACTATCTCTGGGAGGAGCCACATAATTAGGAAGCCTGGGTTCCGGCCGGATGGATTCAACACGGGTATTCATTCTTGGTTCAGTCCAGGTGTCAATGCGGTCCTCGACATCAATCATGCGGACTTCTTCTGGTCTTCTGCTGGTCCTGGCCTGCTCACGTTCGCGGTCTTCTCTATTATGATCTCTGCTGCGAACAGAGGACTCAGGTCTGTCAGGTCTGCGGCGGTAGTCAGAATCATCTGGTGGGTACCGCGACGACATGATGGCGGTACAAGTATTAAAGGGTTAGGAGTGAATGGTACTAGCGCTTGTCCGTTGGGCAGCAAGGACCTGCGAGGAGACGAATGAGAAGAATTCCACTGAGAAAGGAAAATCGAGCAGAGGGTGTCAGGTAGGAAGTGGCGGCAAGGAAGAGCAGATGTCAGGATCCACGATTCTGCTGGACCAAGGCTATGATGAGGTTAGAATGGTCCGGAGAAGCACGGGAGATGCTGATCCAAGGTTTTAGATAAGGATGGCCTTGCAAGAGGGTGAGAGTGGGCGCGATGATGAGAGTGTGTTGGAGAAAGGGAAAGAGAACGAGAGAAAGGTTGAGCGTTAAAGTGGGCGTGGGCGCAGGCAGCGAGAGCAAGAGAGCGAATGTGAGTGGTTTGGGCTGAAGTGTGAGCCGTGGAGGAATCAGGCGAATCCAGTGACCAATGGGTGCTTGGCGACCTGAAGTCCCAGTGCCAGTTGTGCCTCGCAACTTGGAAGTGTCAAACAGTGGACCGACTTGTAGGCAATAGTAGTCCCGGTAGAGTGTATCAAACGCCGATCCAAGGCTATTATGAACGTTGGTGGGTAATGAGGACGAGGTTTGCTTGAGAAGCCACAGTTGGGCAACGAGGGGAGCAGGTCGACGCAATTCAATTCGTGAGGGAGAAGATGAGCATGAGGACGAGGACGAGGACGAGGGCCAGTCCAAGTTTAGCGTCTGGATCTTTGGCTCTCTGCAGAGCTCTCTGGCACACGAATCTTCTACTTACTACGTGAGCGGCGTGATAAGTGGATAGAGGGGCGAGAATGAAGGGCGAGGGGGGCACTGGGGGCCGAATGGGCGAGGGGTTGAGGGGTTCGAGGGGCTCACTGGGGGCAGGGAGGAGGGGGATTGGGAGTGGCAGTTTTGGCTCCAAGGCCAAAATCGTTAGTCGAGTGGGCTGGAGTGGCAGAGTGGCTGCAAATTGCAGGCTTCAAATAAAGGTAGAGGGGCCACGAGGGGCACAAGGGGGAAGAAGAAATTGTCAGGTTCACCAGTAGTAAGCAATTGCGGACTTTCCTTTGTGCCTGTGCCAGTGTAGTGACGAAAGGTGGGGTCTCAATAATAATGCTGCTGATTGTTGCGCTGGCAAGAGCGAGTGGATGGCGTGTTTGTCATGTACTGCAGAAGAACGACGAGAAATGAGACAATGCCACCTGGCAAAACCATGAGGTACCCATAAAATTGCATCTTACATTTCTTACAGGTTGAACGATAAATTGGATACTTTCGAGTTGTATCTTGAGCAGTTGATTCTACATTTGAGATTCGATTGACTTTGTTACGGGTGAGATGTCACGGCTCGGAGCGGCAGCGGGAGGACTCTTAGTTAGACCCTCTCCTGACCAAGTGTCGGTGCCGCAGTGTGCCCAGTGCACTCGTACCAACAGTACTCCGTAGGTAACCTACGTGCCCCCCGTAGATTTTGATGATGCCTCTACCACTGGTGACAGTCACCCCTACAACTACTACGAGTACTAATAAGTCGCCTAGTCAAGGCCAACTGACATGATCATCATCAATGTCACCATATATTTTTGGGCACCCAGGGAACGAATACATCTACACTCCTAAATCCCCTGGAAGGCCCAAGACCCTCCGAAGGTCACCTCACTATTGCCACCGCCGCTTCCTTAGTCCAAGCATGCCAAACCCTCTCACCTTGTGATACTCTTATCACCTCCAAAACTTTTGGGATTCTGACACCTCACAGTCAATCAAATGTCTCTCTATCATGGCACTGGAAGGCCTAGAGAGCCTCCAGCAGAATGTGGCAACAACACCACTGAGGCGTATCTGGGCCAATTGACGCCAAGCACGAATCAGTCTTGACCAATGACTGATAGTTGGGCAGCAACCCCGTTCCAATGAATTTGATCGATCTGCCTTGAGCCTTGCTTTGTCTGCTTCTCTGTCACTTTTTCCTGTCATGCTTCCCAGGCATTCCAGGCAATCGGATCCTCATCCTGGCTAAGAGACGCGGCGGTGGCCATTGGCGTGCAATCAGCCTGACTCTCATCGAATTATTTCCGTGTGACTTGGGCATGAACTTTTTAGTCCAGCAAATTGAGCTGACGTGTCAGCAGTGCTCGAATCTGCCCGACAAATCGGACACCTAGGACCAACCCATCCTACTGTGCTGCCGCAGGAATTCAGGTCTGCTGCAGAGCTTTATAACTCGGCCTGCACCTGCAAGACCTCGACATCCACGTCGTGTCGTGTCAATCATCTGCAGAAGGAGTAGCAGGTTTCAGTACCGCATATCCTGTTTGGCTTTCTACCCAAACCTCCCACTGGTGGTACGCGTGCTACATCAATGCTTGTTACAAACGTCAAACGGTAAGCATCATCCCTTTTCTCGTCCCTCCAAGATGTACAATATCATTGGCATTTGCCCTTGGCCCTTCAGCGCGGTCGCTGAACCAGACAGCCAGACAGTTTTGCACAACAGCAAAATCTACGGCAGCATACACCAGGATCAACCTAGCGTTGGACCTGGTGGCCATTGAGTCGTGATTTGTAGCTAGGTAGGCGTGGTAGGACGGCTCCCACCACCTCCTTTTGTCTTTTTACTGTGGCTCTCCCCATCTTTGTCCCAACTCACAGTCGAGCCTTTCCACCAGCAGGGATTGCTTCGATACGGAAGCCGCTTCGGGGGTAATGCAGATGAAGCTCCGATCCCTGAGACTGAATGCTCAACACGATCTCATCTTCGCTGAGACCCACCAGCTTTCCTTGGTCGTGATGCCGAGTGCCCGAGTCTGTTGGATAAACCTCAACCTCTGTTCCCTGCTTCAACCCAAGAGGGTCAGTCTGATCGACACTGGGATGATCCTCCTTGAAATCCGAGCCGAGGATGCGTTGGGCTGCAACGTCGCCTTTGAGGGAAGCTGGCTTGGGTGCTTGAGCCTTTGCATCGCGTAGCACGGAGTTGAATCTCTTGATCCACGCAAATACTTTAGGATACTGCTTCTCAGACACGAGCTCTCGGGGAAGTGCTCCCTTGAGACCGTTGAGCCAATCAAAAATCCACACCGCTGAATTTCAACCTGCATTAGTCTCAAATCTACATAGCCGAACTGCAGCGTCCTTTGTGCTGGGCTTACCTTCAATATCCGCCAATGTTGGCTTTTGAGTCTTGAGCACCCAATCCCGACCATCGGCGAGTAAGGTGCTTTCCAACAAATTGAACGCGGATCTAACGACCGCGAGGGCTTCTGGTCGATTCTTGTCAATCCCCTCTTTGCTCCACGGTCGGCTCGTGAGATCTTCTCGGTCCTTGACGAATTTGGGATCCTTGAGTAGCGGCATGTCGCTCGGAATCAACTGAGACGCTCGGTTAAACAGACCTGCTTCGATTGTCCATATTTCGAGGAATTTCTGTATGGCCTGCTGCTCAACATCGGTCGAGCCGAGGGCCTGGTCGGGAAAGAATTGCTCTAGCTTGCGGAGAATGATCCTCGTGTCACAATAGATGTCCCGCCCAATTGCTAAGATAGGGATTCTCCGGTAATTAACCCCCAATGCTTTGATATCTGGCCGTGGAAGGGTTGGGGCTTGTTTCTGGAACCAACTGTTAATCACCTCTTGTTGTTCCAATCATTCTCTGTATTTTTCCAGAACCACACTTACGCATTCGGCATAATCGATCCCTCTCAAAGCCAAATACCATATGATCCTTCTGGCATATGGAGAAAATGAGTAGTGGTACAAGACGATATTGTTGTTTGCTCCAGACATGATTCTGAGATACAGGCTTGCAAGGGAGCTTCTTTCCAAAAATGATGCAACAAATTCAGAGATCTGTCTTACGCTTGAGGATTGTCTAGGTAAGTATGTGATAAGGTCGATGTCAAGTAGAACTCGGTCCAAGGCTCGTCTGGATCAAGTCTTGAAGTTGGGACCGAACCTCGGCAATGTCGAACTCACGGGGATGCATTTTCCACGTGACATGACCAATTAGGGAGCGGGGAACTAGCGCGGAGAACTGTCCCTTTTGGTCTGCCACCAACGCTGTTTTAACATGACTGCTGTTAAGTCCTTACAATGATCCATCTGTTATTCTGGCAAGATGCGTACCCACCCCCTCCTCCGGTTCCCCACGTGTCCCACATCCTCCATCATCACCACCATTCTTGACTACCATCGTGTCTCCCACATGGTTTCCGTCCACGGACCGCCCTAAGGTGATCCCTTTCCCCAGCATCTCCATCTCCCGGACCGAGCCCCGTACATTGATTACGGAAAATTCCCCGCGGTCGAATAAAAGGGGGTATCAATGACCTCTATCAGGTAGGCTGAGAAGGCCAATCCCTGGCCAGTGAGAAACCTGTGACATATCCGAGACTGTGCATCATGTCCCAATCCACGACAGCACTACTGTTGCCCGAGGTTGGAGCCCCGTTCGAACTCAGAGAGGTCTTCCTCGCTCCTTTACAGCCGGATGAGGTCCTGGTCGAAATCCGCGCAACAGGACTGTGCCATACTGACCTATCCTTCGCAAATGGGACCTTGCCCTGCTCACCTAATGCAGTTCTGGGACATGAAGGTCAGTTGAACTCCCTGTGGCTGTTTACGTGCGACCCACATCTCGTACGAGCACTTCCCATCAATCAAACCCCTTGTCCTGGATGGATCTATTTACAGGATTGATATAGGGGCGGGAGTGGTGATTGAAGCTGGCTCAGCGGCAGGAGATCTCAACCCAGGCGATCTCGTTCTTCTATCCTTTTCCCACTGCGAGACTTGTGCCGCCTGTGAGTCCGGCCACCCATCATATTGTTATTCCTTCAATGACCGCAATTTCCCCGGCCACCGTCCCGATGGATCGAAAGCAATGTCGCTCAAACCTTCAACTGAGCCGGGAGACAATGGCATCTTCAGCTCCTTCTTTGGACAGAGCTCTTTTGCGCGACGAACCCTAGCCCACAAGACCTGTGTCGTCAAGGTTCCTGCCGGGACAAATCTGTCACTCTTCGCACCTCTTGGTTGTGGAATCCAGACCGGCGCGGGAGCCGTGCTGAACACACTAGATGTGAAACCAAACAGCTCATTGGTAGTATTTGGCGCTGGCTCAGTGGGAATGGCTTCCATCATGGCGGGTGCCATCCGAGGAGCCAAGACTATCATCGCCGTTGATCTCCAAGCCGAACGACTCGACTTGGCCAAACAAGTAGGGGCCACTCACGGCATCCAGGCGGGACCTGACACCGATGTGGTTGCTGAAATTCGTCGCTTGTGTCCTCCGAACGGTGCCAACTTTGCCGTCGACTGCACCGGAAGCCCGAAAGTCGTGCGAACCATGGTCGATTCTTTAGGAACCCGAGGCCGAGCCGCCACCGTGGGTGCTCCATCATTCGGCGTCGAGGTCCCCCTTCATATCATGGACGTTCTCGTCTACGGAAAGGAATATGTAGGTTGTTGTGAAGGCGACAGTCAACCAGCCAAGGTAAGCTCCTCTACTTCCAACAAATCCCATTTCCCCTGGAACCAGGAACGATGAGCACTGTATCAGCTAACATTGACATTTCTTAGTTCATCCCATATCTAATCGAGCAATATGCCCAGGGCAAATTGCCTTTGGAGAAATTGATTACGGTGTACAAGATGGCAGACTATGAGAAGGCAATCCATGATGTCCATTCCGGAAAGACCGTCAAGGCTGTTTTGACTTGGGACTGAGTGTTTTGACTTGGGACTGAGAGTTTGTCGCGAAGGGTGGTTGGTTGTCATATGCATATAGTTGAAGGCCATCGTCAGGACCACACAGATACACATAAATTAGAGAGGACTATATCAAGCATGATGAGTAAATGATATCAAGGGCGTTGGTCAGCGAAACTTGTCAGATATAACAACTTGCGATCTATCATAATGTATCTTGATAGAACGATATCACCTCCATAATTCGTTTCGTTTCCTTTCTTTTCTTTTTCAATGAAATCCAGACCAGCCATGTTTCTGCTATTGACCTTGTAACGAGTAATGTTCGTAAATGATATGCAATTGTAGGGCGATGCCATACTATATCTTCAGCACCAGACTCCATCACTGCTGCTAGGATATCCCAATAAGATGAAAGATTCGTGCTATTCAACAAACTACTTAATTCTCAATCGGCGACGCCTTCCACTGTTTAGTTTTCTCGTCCAAACATTGAGCCTCGGCTTCATTCCACTCCTGAGTAACCATATCCGCTCTCGACTGCGACCTGGGAGTGATATTACATTGAAACGGAACTGGCATACACACAAAACCCTGCGTAAGGTTATGGGCAGTAGGAGGCATAGGACGACCCTGAGAGTCACAAGCAGGCTCGAAATTGAATGCCCATAACATCCGCGACATTGCAAGGAAGAGACTTCGATCAGCGACGTGGATTCCAGGACAGATACGACGACCGGCACCGAAGGTGAAGACATCTCGCTTGGAAGGTTCCGGGCTAGCAGCCGAGTCGTATAGACTTAGAAGGTCGTCCTTGTATCGGTCAGGGTCGAATTTTCGGGGTTCCGGGTGTCGGTTGGGATCCATATGGATAGCCCATACGTTATTCATGACGCCAGCTCCCTTGGGGATATGATAGCCCATGTACTCGTCATCCTGTGTGACGGCATGGGGAACACCGCCGAGAATCGTCGTCGGCATCCATCGTAACGTCTCCTTGACACATCCACGTACGTATTGCATATTCGGCTCGTCTTCCATCGTAGGCATTCTTCCTTCGCCAACCACACGGTCGATTTCCTCTTGTGCTTTCTTCTGTACTTCCGGGAACAATGTCATTGCCTGCACGAATGAGTATAGAGTGTTAGATGTTGTGTCGGACCCGGCCTCTAGTAATGTGCCTGCAATGTATGCCGCCTGGTCGTCGCTGAACTCCTGACCTTTCTGGGCCTTTGTCATGCCTACACAGAAGCAGGGCTTGATGCTACCTTCTTGAGTCGCCTTCTTTGCTGTCAGCCAATGGCTCAAATATAGCTTCTTCTCCTTTTTGTGGAGCTCTTTGGCCTTTTTCTGTGCCGGCAACACAAAGTCTGGTAGATGTCGTAGCCAGGGGAAGAAGTCGATGAAGGCAGCAGCACCTGTCTGATTGAGGTCGGCGAATTCGGAAAATCCGTTGAAGAGTTGTTGCATCTTTTCGTCCTGGTATGTTGGTGTTCGCCAGCCGTAGACCATGGTCGTGGTTAGGGCGTTTGAATAGCGACGGATGTGGTCGAGGAAATGTGTCGGGTCGGTAAGAAGCTGATACACCATCTGTTTGTTCTCGAGGACCTGATATGGGACATATGACTTGGCCACCGATATGTTGAGAAGTCCGTGGATCATTTTGCGGAACTAGATACCCGTCTTGTTAGTTTGGGGATAGGAAGCAATGTGAATTGTGTTGAATATGTACCCCACGCCATTTAGCACCATAACCCTTTCAGAAGTTAGCATTTCATTCTCTGTGCTACAATCCACTGATTTCTGCTTACCATCATTAGAAGTCTCAAGTCACCACTGCATAGAGTCTGGCCAATATACATCTCCTGTCTGTGAGAGTAGATATTGCTTCGGCGATCCAGGAGCTCCTTGACTGCTTCATCGGTGTTCAAGACAATCATCGTCTGAGTACCCAGGATGAGACTATAGACTGGACCATATTCGCGAGCCCATTTCTCAAGCTGAAGGTGGAGGTCACGAGTAGGCATCTAGAACCCATGTCAGTACTCCTATCCTAGGACGACTGGACGTGATGGTAATACTTGATGGATGTTTCCTAAGATCGGTAGCGTTGGAGGTCCAGGTGGATAGTTCTTTGGCCGTCGGCCCACGCGCATCAAGCGGACAAAGGCAACAACAAGGCCTACAAGGCAAACAAGAATATATGGTCGTACCATGATGAGTGGTGTTAAACAAGTACAAGTGATATAATTCTCTCCAAATAGGTACCAGTATTTAGTACATTCGAAGGTTGAACTTGTGACTCTTCGACAATCATGATTGAAGACATGCTTAGTTGATATATGTCTCTTCTTTCCCACAGTTCTTCCCTTCCACCCTCGCCAACCCATGTCACTCCGCATATCCCTCCGCTTTGCCGAAAGCTGGACCTAGCAATTGGCGGAGGACGTTGCAGTCGGAGGAGTGTGTGTTCCTAATGCAAAACACAGGACATTGCGGATGAGGGGGTGGGTCAGCGGAGATGTATGGGTTGCATCTCCCTGCAGAAATTATGACAGGGGGCCTCGAAATTCGGTACGAATCAAAGGTTATACATTAAATATATATTTTGCATATATTGTGCATCATGGCATGATAAAGCTTGCTGATAATGGTACATGTTGACAGAAGTGCAGATCTACGGTATGATCAAGTCACTTGACTCGACACATTCAACCGAGCTGCACCTTCTGGAAATTAGAGATCAGATCATTTATCTGTTGCATACTGGTCTGATCGTATTTGGATAGGATGAACTCTGACTCTGTACGCCTAGTCGAGTTATCTCCTCTCGAGGTTCCAGCTGAATCGCTAGGTTCGTTCGAGTGGAAAGAGAATAGCCGATCTGCAATGACTTTCGCAAGCAGCCAGTATTCGGATGCATGGCGGACGAATCCAATTCTGTCACATATGTTGTACGGCGTCACATTATCGAGATTTACCATGGCGTGTGGTGGGCAGTGTGAATACTCATCCATGTAATACCTCCATGCTTCAGCCCAATTATGGAGGGCATACCGAATAGAGGTCAGCTGAGGGTCTCCTAATGAATGCTGGGCTTGAAAGATCAATGAATGGAGGGCTGAAACTTGATTAGCCAGACTTCAGATCATAGGGGGAAGAGGCATACAAGAGGTCAGAACAAAGAGGTTCATCGGCCCCAAGTAACCAAGGACTCGTCGATTGTGTGGAGTGAACGAAGACTGTCGGAGGATCTCGACAGCGTTCAAGACTGACATTGGGCCTCCATAGTCTTTTGCGCCGACCCAGAGCTCGATCTCATCGAAGCAAGAAGCTGCGTCTCTCGCCTGAAAGCAGGCATCAGGAGAAGCCATGTGCATCTTTGCCTCAGTGATTACGAGTCTCGGCGGAAGGTTGTTGAAAATGACGAAGGCGGTGTCGAGGAGGAATATCCAGAGAAGAACCCTGAAAGAGTGGTTGGCAGGCAAATACCGATAACACCAAACCATACTCACCTAATAAGCTCCTCTCGAGTGATAAATTCGTCCCAAGCGAATTCGCTAAGACTTGCAGCTTTTGGTCGATGTCGAGCGCTACTGAAGTCGATATCTCTAGCCGCCTGGGAGGAAGATTAGCAAATCTGATCATGGTTTCGACACTCGGTCGACGTACTGAGACGACGGTGCTGAACCTGTATCGGCGAATGCGCCGTTTGCTGCTATCGGTACCTTCCCAATTCTGGTATAAACAAACCATGTATGCGGCTTGCAAGGTCTGTATCTTCGATCGATCTTTGGAAGCATGAAGCGTCTGACCACTAGCACCTACAGATCTTTCATCTCCGCTGAACTCTGGATCAGTGAAGACCATTTCTTCAACAGAGTTGAACAATGACTTTGCGGTCTCGACGTCTGCCGGATCTGGCGACAGTGATGCACCTGTTTGGATGAGCGACTGGAAGAGGGAGTATTGACAGGTACGAGTCCTTACCAATCAGTGCCATCGCAGCTAAAAGAATAGGTTTACACGTAGTTGGATCAAAGGTCGGCCGATGGATAAAGTTGACATTAGGGTGCCAGATGCTCCAGTACAGCTGCAGAAATTTGATCAAGTTGGACGGAGAGAAGAAATTGGCACAAAGCGCTTCTAGTACTGAAGACCAGGTATGCTCAACGGGGCTATTACGGGGCTTGACCGTCACTACCTCCTTGACCAGCAGAACGATTCGATGGGTAGCCCACTGCAGTGAAGACAGCTGTGGCTGCATCGTCGGAGGGGTGGCTTTGCCAAAGATTCCCACCGAGGACAGTTCCATGGTGGGGAATCCCGTGCTTGAAAAGGGAGGTGCCCTCTGCAGATCAGGGAATGAGGAGAATCGCAAGTCTGAGCCAAGCGCTGTAGCACTGTTAGCTGGATCTGCCGCCTTCATTCCTAACCTAGCAGCTTCAAATCTGTCGTGAGGAGTGCCGCAGTCGAACGACTGACACAAGGAAGGGTACTTTGTGAATTTGTCAAGGAAATCAAAGTAGCGATGATAACCTCGCTCGGAGGTGCAGTCCTGAACCAGATCCCGGCCATCGTTGATGGTAGACAGACCTATCCACGATGCATTGGTATACTCAAGCTGATTCACAGTTGGAAGGTCGTTGAAATTATCAAACGAAACATCTTCCCACATGAGTTCCTCTGGATCGGAGAGGGTCGAGATAGCTCCCTCTAGAGTCGAAGATCGGGTCAAGCTTTCGAAGGATGGAAGCGCAAAATCGACTTCCTGGAGACTGGCTGGGATGGCCGGGACATGGGTGTCACCATGATACTGGCAAAGCTTCTGCTTTTTGACACAATTACCGCAAGGTGATTGCAGGTCACAGGCTTTCTTCTGGCGGACACATTGATTACAAGCTCGCCTTTTGGTTGATGGTTGATGGAGAGGTCCATTGCAGGTACGAAGGTGTCGTTTTAGGACGTCGGCACGGCGAAAGGCCGCATGGCACAAGAAGCAGCGGTGTGAGGGCTCTGGGGTATGGACATCAGCGTGTCGCTTCAGGTGGACTTGTCGTTTGAATGTCTTGGAGCAGACAACACAACGATGTCCTGTACCTGTGGGTGTTGCTGTAGACATAGCGAAGCCTGGAGAAGGGTCAAGTTGGAGGGCTGGACATGTCTGCAATCCACTTGAATTCGGGAGATGTAGACATGGCGCATGGTGATTGAGAACCCCAGCTTGTATCTCTTGGGCTAATCCCCGGTTTGATGTTTAGAAATGGGAAAGAATCTGGTGGCGGAGGTGATGTGGGTAGAAGTTTACTAACCCCCAGGCACCACGCAAGAATCTGGGGCATGGGGAAAAACATCTGCCAAGACACTACTGTTCACTAACGCCTTAGTGCATTGGGATCTTGCTAAAAGCGTGAACAAAAGCACGTGCATGTCCAAGGACAGATTGCCTGCCATTAGACGGTGCTTTCGAGAGAGAGAGAGAGAGAGAAACACTCTCCCTCTTCATCACGACCAGCATGATTCAAGGTAGGACTAGGTTCAAAGGCCCATATAGAAGCCGCACACAAATTCCGAACCTGTGAGAGTAAAAGCCCTTGTTGGTGACATCATTTGTACCGTTGACATAACGATGAGGTCAACCATTTACCAGGAACCCAATACATACTTATTCGGCAAGCAGCAAACAATCTGTCGCACACATATACACTTTTTCAAGTCGAAGCATCGTTGCACAGTCCTTGCACCTCCTCCGTATACTGATCAGAAGGATACCAATTTGTCTAACATGTCTTCTCAATCTGGACGTGATAGTGGGGGTGATCTGTTTGGCTTGGCTAAAGATGGGACTACGGTACCTCAGGATGCAGCGAATCCCAGATATATCCCATCAAAGCCTAGACCAGATCAAATCGCATCCAAGAATGACCCGAATAACTTGGGAGCATCGAATCTCGCCGAAGCAGCAACAAATGCAACCGACATTCCCAGAGTATGTATGATGAGGCGTGGTGCATGAGATCATACAACACTGACTGTCCTAAGACTGCACGAGACACTGCGACAGCTGAAGTACTGACGGGCACTGGCGACCAACTTCCTCCTCAAGTTGACTCCAAGAGATTGCATCAGGCGCCCGGAGGGGTGACCACAGACCCCTTTGCCAAAGGTTCAACCAGGATGGCGGCGCATAAGGCACAAGAGTCGGAGTTTGTGACGGGCGCGTCAGATGGTGCAGTCACAGACCGAGCGCCGGGCCAGGAAGAATCGAGTGAGGATCAGATCAAGGACAACATCGAGAGGAAGGTATAGCTGATACGCAGGCTCTGGTCTGAACTGCGGAAAGTGAGTCTCGACTCGAAATATGATCACCTACCTTGGTCTATAGCAGATATATATGTCATGGTTCTAATCAATTCTGTGTCATTGACCATATTGTGAGAAGGTGCAGGAGGAATAGTCATTGTACGAAATCGAGGTGTTGCGAGGAGGGACTAGGAATAGGGTGAGAATCGAGGAAAGTCACGACGAATAATTGAATGTCTTTTAAGGAGATCCACAGCGCCTACCGCGAGCAATTCCGCACACAGCACTCCGTAGATACGGATGCACCTTCCAAGTCAATCAATCAGTCTTGTTAGGAAGGTGGGGTCGCGTTCTTCTCCGCACGTCACCGGCCCGGCGAACAATTGTATATCGATTGCTCTTACCGCATCGTACTGCAATGGCCCATGCATCTTTAAACTTGCTCCAAAGGTAGACGTCTCCTCAGTTACTCTTGGAACAGAGGTTGACTTCCATACATATCAAGTTGAAGGAGACAACGACGACCTTTTGCTCCCCAAACCACCCTCCGAATCTCTCCACTCATTCAATTCTACTATTGTGATCGTGAAGTTTTCCTTGACTCCCTCTAGTTGGAGTGGACGTTCAAAGACACGACACCATGGCAACCTTTCTACGAGCGTCGAGCAACTTGCGCTCTTTGGGCCGCCTCGCGGCTCCAGTGAGATCTCCTCTCAGGTCCTACGCTATCCGCACCCTCGCAACGTCTACCGAACCTCGCAAAGCCGCAGCTGCGGCCGCGCAGTCCTACGAGTCACCGCTTTCCGAGACTCCCTATTTTGCAGATGAACCTGTTGGCCCAAGAGTCGTCACGCCCATCCCGGGCCCCAAGAGCCAGAAGGCCATTGAGGAGCTCCACAAAGTGTTTGACACTCGCAGTCTGAATATGATGGCAAACTACCAGCAGAGTTACGGCAACTATATTGCAGACTTGGATGGAAACGTGCTTCTTGACGTTTATGCTCAGATCGCCTCCATCCCAGTTGGCTATAGTAATCCTGCACTGCTGCTAGCAGCACAGTCTCCAGAAATGGCCTCTGCTTTGATCAATCGACCTGCTTTGGGCAATTTCCCCCAGCACGACTGGGCCTCCATCCTCGAAACCGGTGTCCTCCGTGTGGCACCCAAAGGCTTGGACCAAGTCTTCACTGCAATGGCCGGATCCGACGCCAACGAGACCGCTTACAAGGCTGCTTTTATGTGGAAACGTCAACAAGAGCGCGGTGGTCCACATGTGGAATTCACCGAGGAGGAGACATTGTCTGCTATGACAAACCAGATGCCAGGCTCGCCTCAAATGTCAATTCTATCCTTCAAGACCGGATTTCACGGCCGTCTGTTTGGAAGTTTGTCCACCACTCGCAGCAAGCCTATCCACAAACTCGATATCCCCGCATTCGACTGGCCGCAGGCCCCATTCCCAGTTCTCAAGTATCCTCTCGAACAGTATGCCGCAGAAAACGCGGCCGAAGAGAAGCGCTGTCTCGAAGAGACTGAGGATATCATTAAGAACTACCACAACAAGGTGGCTGCCATCGTGATTGAACCTATTCAGTCGGAAGGCGGTGACAATCACGCCAGCCCAGAATTCTTCCGTGGCCTTCGCGAGATCACGCGCCGGAATGAGGTTCTCATGATTGTTGACGAGGTGCAGACTGGCGTGGGAGCTACAGGCAAATTCTGGGCTCACGACCATTGGAACTTGCAAGACCCGCCTGATATGGTGACATTCTCTAAGAAGGCCCAGACGGCTGGATACTACTTTGGCAATCCCGATCTCCGACCCAACAAGCCATACCGGCAATTCAATACTTGGATGGGAGATCCTGCCCGTGCCATCCTTTTCCGGGCCATCATTCAAGAGATTGAAAGACTCAACCTCGTGGCCAACACGGCCAATGTTGGAGATTATCTGTTTGCGGGAATTCAAGCCTTGGCCCAGAAATATCCCGACCATTTCCAAAACCTTCGTGGTAAAGGACAAGGAACTTTCATTGCCTTTGATAACCCCAAACGAGACCAGTTCTTGGCCAAGGCTAAGACCTTGGGGATCAACATTGGTGGAAGTGGAGCTTCAGCGGTCCGCTTGCGACCCATGTTGATCTTCCAGAAGCATCATGCTGACATTCTGCTGGATGCTTTTGAGAAGCTGGCGAGATCCTTGTAATGTGTCTGATCAAAAGTTGGTCATTCTCAGTGATAATCCGTGCTTCATGTCCAAACGTTGGGTACATGGAAAAGGCCAAAGGTCGGTGACCGAGGCGAACGCGAGTTCGCAAGGGTGGCGGTGGGCGGTCTGTAATTTGTCCATAGTTGAGCGATCTGCTCCTGGAGTTTAGGACAGCTTGATTGAATATAAGTCTTCCCATATGCAAAGGTGTTTCGATCTCGTCAGCGGGAACACCTCGAAGCTGCTCAAGGTAGCATTGCCTAATATGTATCATGAATATGGCAAGCCTCATGCAGCGACATCGTCTTCCAACGAGCTTCCATCTCTTGGAATGTATTTAATGCCATTGTCCTCTAGCGACTCGAGAATCTCTCGTGGTAATTGCCCAACGACTTTGGTGGCGTAGATACCTGGGACATATTCGGTCAATCTCTGCCACTTGGCGACCCACGACTGTTTGGGTTCGCCGAGGGAGATGAGACCTTCGAAGACCTGTGAGGTACATTCGGATATGGCGTCTTGGGAGTTTTTCAAGGTGAGAATGGATTCGCAGTTGGGGCAACCTTGTTTGAAGAAGTCCTGTTGAATCGAGCCGTGTTAGTAGAAGGGAAGAATAGATTGGGCGCAAGGTGGGGGAGAAAGAGGTTAGACTTACATTGTAAGGCTGGACGAGCGAGCAGACCATACAAGCGCGGGCATTGCGGCCGAGAGAGGATGTCATGGTGAGGGGCTGTTGGTATCAAAGGGTGGAGGGGAGAGAGTTGTAGAGGTTTGATGTTGGTCTGGGGACTGAGAAGGGCTTCGCCCAAGACAAGAGAAGCAAGGCGTGTGTTGATGAAGTTGACACGGACTCTGGCGGAACAGTCAAGGCAAACGTCAACAACAAAGCGGCGATGGGAGGGTTTGGTCTGGTGTTGACGAGTCGCTCAAGTCGAACTGGGACGCGAGGGAAAAAAGTGGACGTTTATCATGTGGGAAGACAAGGGCGGTGCAGTTTTGCCGGCGCTAAAGTCTCTAAGCTTTTAACCCTAGTAAACGGCTGGTTACTCGACATCCAAGTTCGCACCTGATTCGGGGGAAATGAGGAAAAGGATAGGACAGATCAGCTCTTCTGAATGGGGGCGATCTCGGAGCGGCTTTTACTTCTGTCAGAAGAGAGGTTGAAGGATTGATTTGCTTGACCATTCCTCGTTAGAGCGCAGGAAGATTTGGTTCCCATCGAGGGTCATCAAGCGGCGCTTTAGGTCTTTATGCTCCACACTATTATACTCGGGTGCTCCACTGTAGTTTATTGACATCTTGGCGCAGGCAAAAGAAGTTCAAAGAAGTTCCGATCGGAGTGTAGAAATGTGACTGCGGCAATCTGATGGAAGCATACAGATCGATCAATCTTTTTCACGGCCCACAAGGCAATTGGAAATAGAGGTGACCTCCCTTGATCTCTTTATCGGTATCAATTACTCCTGTCCGTCACCGTCACAACAAAAGCGTGACTCGAGTTGTCTACAGTCCATAGTTCTCGCTGGTCTTTTTTTGGTCTGCCGAGACTCAAGTCTTGCTCTCTGTGTCACCACTTCTACTCGTTATGTCACGGTAGCACTCGAAAGCTCTGTATCCCTGGATATCCGACCTCTTAAAGCAACGTGCACCAAGAGAGGATGGCGTCTAACGATGCCTCGGACAAGGCTGCGGCCATTGCGATCAAGAATAAAGGCAACACCGCATTCGCAGCACACGACTGGCCCACGGCGGTTGACTATTATACCAAAGCAATAGAGAAATATGATGCAGAACCATCGTTTTACTGCAACAGAGCACAGGCAAATCTCAAACTAGAAGCGTATGGATATGCAATTGTTGACGCCACCAAAGCTATTGAGCTCGATCCCAACTATGTTAAGGTGAGCACGAGAGGGATGGGATGGTGTTAGGTTGTCTGACATATTGCCACAGGCTTACTATCGGAGAGCACTTGCCAATACGGCTATTCTTAACTCGCAAGATGCCCTCCGAGATTTCAAGACGGTCGTTCGAAAAGAGCCCAACAACCGAGAAGCCAAGTTGAGACTGTCGGAATGCGAAAAGCTGGTTAAGAAGATACAATTCCTCAAGGCCATTGAAGTCAGCGACCCTCCTTCGGCGTTTGAAGGTCTCGATCTCGACTCGATTGAGGTGGATGCTTCATACGACGGGGTACGGTTGAAAGACGAGATGACACAGGAATTTATCGACGACATGATTGTGCGGTTTAAAGATGGAAAAAAGATCCACAAGAAGTACGTGTTCCAGATCATCAAGGCGGTGCGAGACATTGTGTACGCCGAGCCGACGATGGTGGAGACAGAGGTTCCGGAAAAGACAACGTTGACTGTGTGCGGTGACACACACGGACAGTACTTTGATTTGCTGGAGATTTTCAGACTCAACGGGTACCCGACAGAAGAGCATGCATATCTGTTCAACGGTGACTTTGTAGACCGAGGATCTTGGTCGACGGAGATTGCGCTATTGCTGTATGCATACAAATGGCTCCGGCCTAAGCAGTTCTTCCTGAACCGCGGCAACCACGAGACAGACGACATGAACCGAGTATATGGGTTTGAAGGCGAGTGCAAGGCCAAGTACAACGAGAAGACGTTCAGATTGTTCTCAGAGTCGTTTTCGGCGCTTCCGCTGGCGACTTTGATCGGCAAGAAATATCTTGTCCTCCATGGAGGGCTGTTCTCGGACGACAAAACGACGCTGGATGATATTCGCAAGCTGGATCGCCACGTGCAGCGACAGCCGGGTCAGCAAGGATTAATGATGGAGATGCTATGGACCGATCCTCAAACGGAGCCTGGTCGAGGACCTAGTAAGAGAGGTGTGGGACTTCAGTTTGGACCAGACGTTACAAAACGATTCTGCGAAAACAACGGACTGGAAGCGGTGATTCGAAGTCACGAGGTGCGCATGGAAGGTTATGAGGTTGAGCACGACGGAAGATGCATCACAGGTAGGAGATTCCGGGGTTGGATGAGTGAGAATGGGCGAGTGCTAATCCAGGACAGTGTTTTCGGCTCCCAAGTACTGTGACTCGACGGAAAACAAAGGAGCGTACATCAACGTTGGACCCGAGTTGAAGTTGGAATACCACAAGTTTGACGCGGTGCCGCATCCTGACATCAAACCTATGGTAGGTGCAAATTACTTCAAGGGGGGTAAGTGACAATGCTGACACGGACAATAGGCTTATGCTCAAAATTCCCTCATGTCGATGATCTAGAGAAGAGAAGTGACCAGTTGTCGTTCGCAGTCTGGAAATAGGATGCAGAGTATGAGAATGAAGTGGTCATTCATACTTAGCCTTATCCTGGATCAAGATTGTTTTGGTCGTTCTTGGGTACACCTCACCATGTCAGTGTCTACGTTTCTGTAGGGTTGGCATCAGGTTGGAGATGGGGATTGTGTACTTGTACCAAAGAGTCATTGGGATACATGCAAGGAAGAGTGAAAAAGGAGGTTTGATCACTCTATGATTAGCAATCACGTGAGCATTGCACTGCGGACTTGGAAGAGTAGGTGAATAGAGACTGTGCTTTGAGCATGACATGAAGGCGTGCATGTTATCATCTACAGTCACGTCACCTACTCTCGTATGCATACCTAGGTACATGGGTCAACATCCATGGATATTATCTAAGCACCTAAGGTACCTACATGGTATGGTTAGGCTATCAGATAGAGGTGGAAGTGCCCGCAACTCTGCCACAGCCTGGTGCCGGAGTCTCAATCCCTCTGACAGCTAAGCCCCAATGGAACCCCTCCACCCAGTGGGCCTCTGTGTGTTTCAGGCTCTCTTGTCCCTCTCCAGATCGCGTGGGTGGCAGGTCGTTGCCTTGTCGTTGCCTGTTTTTGCCTGTTTATTTCTGGTCCCATACATGATTCGCCCACATGCGAATGGCAGCTGAAACACGATCATCTCCCAAGAAAAACCCCTGATGACCATGGACGAGGCCTATGGATCGATTCAACGCAATGATGCAGGAATACAAACAATGAGGTTTCGGTTATTCGGATTCAATTCGTCCACAAGTCGAGACCATGTTCCAGTCCAGCTTCAAGCCTAATTTGTTTTTGGATCATTGTCACCTTTTATTGTGCAGTTGGAACTCTTCGAAAAGTGCCCTAAGGTCCTGCGGGTATAGGGACTCGTGGTGGTGCACGTCCCCTGTTGGCTGCCTTTGATACCTAGGTGCTCTACCTATAGGCAGTGCTTTCAGACCCTCGGGCATGGTCAAAGCCCCCTCGCCCCCTCGGCCCCTCCCCCGTCCTCCCTCAAACCCCCCTCGTCTCTTTTTTTGTTGCCAATGCTCAACGGTTCCCGCAAAGCTAAAGTTGACAGTCATCAGTCATCAGTCGTCACAATCTCATCACCGTCACTCACCATCAATTACCATCACCAATCTAAGCTTCTTGATCATATTATTATTCCCTCTTCCCAATCCTAACATTACCTACCTTGGGTCAAGCCCTCGAAGCTCTTCCATCGGTATTCCAAGATCTCTCAAGATTCCTGGCCAAGTCCATCCACACTCTGTCTGCTCATCGTCTTCCCATCGTCATCGCCCGCGTGACTTTCCAATAAACAGGCAGGCGCTCGTCTTCAGTCATCTCCAGGTTTTCAGCCTGATCAGCCTCATGAGGCCACGCAATCTTCAATATAATCGTCATTATTCCACCGATTCAACAGTCAACCACTTGCAGTGCCTCAAGCCGTGGATTTCACAGATTGAGGCCGAGTTCTACTGACTTGGCCCCATTCTGTCATGGCAACCTTGACCCAGTTGGAACAACATCGCCATCAATTCACCCAAATTGCATCAAAATCATCGCTCCGCCTTCGTTCGAGCGACGACCACTCATGCGTCAGTTTGACCACCATCTACAACGTAGGCACGCGACATGTTGACCACAAAGACGCTTCGTCTGTCGACATCACTATACAGGCATCGGACCCATCTGGTAGACCATCCACGCCAAAGACGTCAGCGCCTGCACACATAACCACTTGTTCTTCCTCCTCGTCACCTGTTTTACAATCTATCACCCTCCCAGACACTTCATCTCAATCTCCCACTTTATCGCTTCAGCCTCGCCGCCGCTCGACCCTCCACCAATCAAGTCCTTTTTTGACCATCATCCCCCACGACTTGCACCATGTCTTAGCCGTTAATTATCTTGACTTCGACACGCTACTGTCCCTACGTCAAACCTGCCACACGATGCACGATCTATTAACTCCACAACTCGTCAGACGTGTCCGCTCAGCCGTGATCCAAGAGTCACTCAAAGTCGAGGAGCAGCAATTCACCTCGTATCGATCAATTTACCCGCGCCAGCGTCTAGGCCATCTCTGGGATTTGTTGTACTACGCATTTGATTTTCGACTCATTGAAAGGCCTGCCACCAAACTGCCATGTTATGGCTGTCTGGAGACAAAACCGCTTTGGGCTTTTGTTGAGCGCATGAGCATCAAAGGCACCGGCCTGGGAGCGCGCTACGCCCGTGATCGCATGTGCAAGGACTGTATGCGTCGCTACCGCCACATCGAGGGCTTCTGGTGGAAGGAAAATTGGGTCAAGAAAAGTGACACCGTCAGGAAATCGACCCGCACCAACCGCATCAAGGGCTGGGTCGTTCACGGCGGCAGCCTTGTCAATCCCGATCAGGAGGTGGGAGTTTGTTCTTCTTGTGGTTGTGGATCCTTTGAATTGTGGTGGGGTTGCAAGGATTGCTTCGAGCTCGAGGAACGCCGTCGTCGCGAAGAAGATCTCGAAGACTTTTATGGTTGGCAGAGGAAGGTGGTCAACGTCTTGGAGGCCTGGAGAGTGAGGAAAGAAGGCAAACGGAGGCAACGCGTTGCCCGAAGAGAGCGAAGTCGAGGCAGAAATCGATGGTGGACTCTGAACATTGATCGCTCAAACTGGGAATGGCAAGGTGGCCTCAACGACCGGCTGGCGGCATTACTCGAATGGACCGAACACAAAACTCAACTCAAATCGCCCAATGCGGTCTCTCGGACCTCGACCACCCCTGAGGCCTCCCAGTCCAATACACAGCCGTGGCGAGCAGTTGACCAAATCCCTCTCCCAGAGAACCGTCGTGTCTCCAGGTGCTCGAGCTGTTGGGTGCCCAATTGCCCGCGGCGGACCTACATGCTTGGACTTGCCTATGAGCGGTATTTACCGCAAGATCGATGGTGCAAAGGGTGCCAGACAGACTTTGAGGCAAGACGAGCAAAACGGCGACAGTGTCGCCAGTCAAGCCGGCCACGGCAAAGTGGTGGCCCACCGGTGGACATTTTTAGTGATGGATGGCTGGACGGGTTCGGCGATTTATTTGATGACCAAGTCTGATCTGGTAGGTATCTGGTGGATTCTGGCTTTCAAGACAGTGACAATGCCGGCAAATTAATCGGCGTGATATGATAAGACATTCTACAATATGATGTTATGACAGCAACTGAACTGTACGAGAGGCTTGTCTGATGATTTCTGGTTTTCTCAATGAAGGATATCATGATATAGTGTTAGCGAGACACACAGGGTTTCAAGACAAATGAACAATGTAGTTGACAATGTATGATCAAGAATGACTACTCAAGATCGACGGAGAGTAGTCACTAATCTATGTATGGGGGTGATCAACAATACCTCCTGTCCAAACTGCCGGTAACGGCATCAATCCCTCACTTCAACCATACCCATACTGTACTCGTAGATTGCATGAAGAATGAGATGACGGCTGTCTGCCGAGAAGAATGCTTAAACAGACTACCATGATTAGGTACCCATGACTCTAGACTCATCAAGACCCTTGCCCAGGGACAGCAAGGCCACTGGTACAAGTTGCCCAACGACATTTGCCTCTCTATTGTAATCAATCACCTCTGGGTCCAGACCTGTCGCTTACTATTATTACTACCATCTACAAGTGCCCGTGCGTAGAACCTCAAAAAGCCGGATCAATGGCCCCTTCGCCCCTCGGCCTTGACTCCGAATTGTCGCCGAATTTGGCCCACGCAGTTCACTCCTTGTCCATCCACCCACCCATCAACATCCGTTGTCAATCATCCAATTCGTATTTTCCGTGAAGTTGGCCAATGACACCTCTGTCATCATCTGACAACTTCGTCCATGTCGGATGAGATGTTCCTGATCGGGGTCCGACTGGCCACACCATCCATGTTCCACCCTGCCACCCTTATCCTTATCCTTGGTCCGGGGCCATGATACAAACATCGATGCAAGATATAGTACAAGATGATTCCATAAAATCTGAATGGTTAGCCATTTGTTTAATATGAACATTCCATCTTCTCCATAACTATTTCTTTATTACTATATGTTGGTTCCAGACATCGACTGTCGGTATCGATAGGTGGTTTTTAAATCTCCGCTATTGTAATCCACTTTTTTTCAAAATCCATTCCACACTCAACGTCGACAACGACCATGACTCAATCCAAGAAACTTGTCATCTTTGCCAGTTCATGGAATTACCTCGAGAAGAACAAATCCAACATGTCGCCGACTGATGCAGCACACAAGGCCCACAGCAAGATCTCAACATCAGACACTCAACCTGTATCCAAGCCACAACCCCTTCCCACAATCAGACCGGACCCACTGTCGCCCCGTTCCATCCAACAAGTGCCCAAACAGACCAAACACCTCGACTTTGATCGTCTCCAAAAGTGTGTGTCACCGTCTCTACATTCCGACCCAGAGGCTTTGTCATTATGGTATATTCTCACTACCTCGCTGTTACTATCATTCCACAAGGAGAAACTCGTGGCCGATCTGTGGAGATATATCATTCGGACTGTCACAAACACCAATGATCAACTCGCTGTTGCGAGATGTATTCGGGAAGCATGTCTCAAGTCGAGTACCCTCGTGGGATTTCCCAGAGTAAGAGTTGCCCTGACATAATTCCACCATAACCTTCCTAACCATCCTTCTCAGGCCATCAACGCACTGATCGCATTAAAAACGGCCATTGACACCTCAACACCACAACTATCCTCAATCCTCTCGTCCGACCAATCCTTACGATCACCCATATCATCCGCCCAGAAATCCAGTCGAGGCATGCAATTCTTCAGGCAGATCTATAAACAGCACACCGGGAGGGTACTGGCCGCTATGGACGAAACATCAGGCGGAGACCTGACGTATTTCGCCATCAATTGCATCTATGGTGAATTACTCGCTGATCACTCTATTGTCGGTGCTCGAGATACGGGGCTTCTAGAGTTCGTCTGTTGCTTGGCAGATGATTGTGCTCCGCAAGCGAAGGGGTATGTATCCACTACTTATGTTGATTGATCACAGCATTCACTTTTTCCCTTCTCTATCATGGCTTCCCCCCTGATTGACTGACTAATTGACATATCCCATCTACACAGACATTTCTTCGGTTCCATAAACCTTGGTGCCTCCAATGACATCCTCCGATCTTCTATCCTTCTCACCGCCGATATGGCATTTCAACTGGGTCTTGATTCTCCATGGGAGGCGAACAGAGAGGAATACCGATTTCTGGATAGGGTCTTGGTTTAGCTTCCTGCTGGAACTTCTTCTCTATACCTGTATAACGACTGATGAATCAATCATAGATAGATACCTAGATATACAATTACTAGAAAGGTCTTGCTTTGCTAAAGTAGACTACGTTCCAAAGTCCAGTCCTAGAATAATCTCTTCAGACTCAGCCATCTCGTTCTGTGTTATCTCCCATCAACAATACTTTGTGTCATAGTAACACGGGAGAGACCACACCAGCGCATTGGGTCGGCGTGGATTTCATCGCCCAATCAACATACCCGATGAATCTGCAAGCATGCATGGACGACGAATGTCTCCTGATGTAACCAGACACGGCACCACATATCACTGGCGAACTCTGCCCGGAGGTTTATTTTCGCCCGAGCAGGCACTGACTGATCTGTTCAACATGTGGCTGTCATTCAACGAACCCATTCTTCCTCCGTCCCTGGATCACATCCCAGGAAGGTGACTGCCTCGCTCGGACGTTGGAAATTGTTCTCATGGAGCATCTGAACAAGCATAGGTCGACAGTCAAACCAACTTTTTACTAATAGCAATTTCCGAATCCGATGGCAACATTTTGATCTTTGGTATCTACAGAACCTGTCTCAGCTAGAAATCAAAGATTCTCTTCGTACTAGCATTAATTCCCCCTCTACTGAGTGGTCAACACATTATACAGGCCTCAACTCTAACAGTGTCGTGATGAAGCTCTCCTTGAGATCTCTAAGTAGGAAGGTGGAAATATCAACTCAGAAGTTCGGGCACCTCGGGCCTTCTCCAGGCAGGATGAGCGCCCAAGGCGTCACAATACTCAAGAGTTGGGGGCCACTGGAGATCAGGGGCTTTGACTACTTGGGTATCTAGGTACCTATCTTACCTATATGCTCTATGAGAACGGTGGCGTAGAGAGCCCAAGGCGCCCATTCTTGCCTTCGTCCAGTGGACCAAGAAGGCAGCCAAAGCGATATTCAAGGTACTTTGTACTTATTGACCTGGCAGTTTGGTTCCATCGTCAACTTCACCCCTTGAACGCTTTTTATTCCTCTTTGAAATCATCATACGCCTCACTTAATGGCGCACAATGTACACATAGAAGGTCCTATTTCCGCACTCCCTTTCCATAATGCCGGCGCTGGTAGCATTGTTTTTGAGGTCTCTGAGTCCGCAGTCATAAAAGTTCCACGTCCCTCTGACGGCGACCGCCGCAGCCTTGCCGTCGAAATCGAAATCTACCAGCGCCTGGGTTCACACCCGAGCATTCCAAAAGTCCTCAAGATTCACGGTGGCATGTTAATTCTTGAGCGTCTCCAGGGCCCACTCCGTCAGCTCCTATTGGATTGGCATGAAGCAGATCACCCACCAGAGCCTTCGCGGGTCCTCCGATGGGCCACTCAAATAGCAAGAGGATATCAGCATCTTCATGAATGCAATGTCTTCCAGGTTGATATTGGATTGCATAATGCACTTCTGGACGATTTTGATAACGCCAAAGTCTGTGATTTTGCGGGTTCATCGCTTGATGGATCACCTCCAGCTATCTTTCCTTCCCAGCACGCTGAACATCCGAATTTGTCACCTGAAAATCCCTCTGTTCTTTCTGAGCTTTTTGCATTGGGATCACTTCTATACGAGCTTGAGACGGCTCGACAGCCCTATACAGATAAGGAAGATGCAGAAGTTGAAGAATTGTTTCGTCAAGACCAGTTTCCGGACACTGAAGGATTAATCCTGGGAAATGTCATTGCTAAATGCTGGGCAAGAGGATATGAAGATGCTAGTCAGGTCGTATCAGATCTAGAATATCTTCAAGAGAACAAGGGATACTGGTGGACACGACGGTAGGCGTCTGTACTTTGCTCAAGTCTGCTCTTGCTAACGATTAGGCCTGAACGAATTCCGCTGCTCGTTGTTACATGCATCTTCTCAATCGTCGTTTTACGTCAGATCATCCGAAATAACAATTAGCATTGCAATGAACAAGTGCGAAGAATAACGGTTTGGGAGGATAGAACAGGCCGGTTCCGATCAATTGCATATTGCCGACAGCAAACCGCCAGAAAATAATGCTTCATGAAACCCCCGGCCAGTATGGCTTCGTCTGCCTGTACAACAATGTCTAATTCTTGCGCTTTCTTCCGGGGCTTCATACCTGGGCATCTATGGGTTGAATACGACTCGTTGACTTTTTCATTCTCAGTCGGATCGCCTCGAAAGATAGATATCATTGGGCTACTACAAATGTATCAAAAGCGCCTTTCAACCTTCCTTGTCTACCAATGCTGTCCTCTGTGTCGCATAACTAGACCGTCCCTGCACACTCCCTTGTAAAACACATGTCACTGGATTTCGTGAAAAGTAGTCCCACGGGGTTCAATTCTCGACCTTCAAAGATGCCAAATTTTACCTGTGTACCACTTATAAGTCAATTCCACCAATCTGCTCTCCCCCTCGACCACAAAACTTACAGCTTGGGACCGAAATACTGCTTCAATATCTGTTTCTTGTTGACTTTGCCCATTGCATTGCGCTCGATATTGGGGACAACTTTCAAAATCGATGGGATTTTGTATGGAGCCATATCTTCTTTGAGATACAAACGTAGAGATCCAAGGTCGAGATTTTGGTTCTGCATAGCCCCAAGGGCCAGCTCGGTTAGCATATGGTCAATCAAATCATACTTGACCGACCAGGCATTGAAGCACTTACCTCTTCTCTCAGCTTTATGACAGCGGCAACTCTCTGACCCCATTCTGGATCCTCCACGCCAACCACAACCACTTCAGATACAATGCCACTCAATTGCGTATTACCTAGAATCTTTCGCTCGATCTCAAGGGCGGAAATCTTGTATCCGCCGCTTTTGATTAGATCCACGCTTTCACGACCCAATATGAAATAGGCGCCTTGAGAATCTCTTTTGGCCACATCTCCGGTCTTGAACCAACCATCAGCCGTGAAAGACTCTGCTGTAGGCTTGGGTTGACGCCAATACTCGCGGAAGAGGTTTGGTCCCCGGAGCTCAATCAGGCCAGCTTCATCCTTTCCAGATGACGTGATTATTCGACTGGTTTCAGGTTCAACAAGACGGACTGATACGCCTGGCAGAGGCCAGCCGACACTTCCATCTGTCCTTTGTGAAACGTCCAGTCCACAGCTAAGTGCCATGCCAACCTCGGTCATGCCATAGCGTTCCAAGAGTTCATGACCCGTGATCTGGCGAAACTTACGTTTGGTGGCAATCGGAAGTGCAGCGGAGCCGCTCACTGTCAGTCGAAGACTTTGTGCACCACGACTCGCCCTTGTTTCTGATACAGTGCCTCGGATGTGGCCCTCGTAGTAATCGATCAGGCGAGAGTATACTGTTGGTACGGCCATGAACATGGTCGACCCCCCTTCCGACCAGCGATCCCATACCACCTTGGCATCAAATCTGGGGTATGTTTCCACAGTACCTCCAGCGAACAGGGTAGCTGTCAGCCCATTTATGATGCCATGGACATGGTGCAGAGGTAGAACATGGATTAAGTGATCTTCTCGCGTGTACTGCCAGGCACGCACCAGCGACCGCGCCTGGAATGTAATTGTTTCGTGTGTTGTCACGCAGCCTTTAGGGCGGGACGTGGTTCCAGATGTGTATATGATCAATGCTCGTGTCGACAATAATGGACATGCTGTAAAACGTGGTAGATAGGGTCGACGGGTCGACTTGGAGATCGGTTCGAGATTTATGAATGGAACTCCCGGACGCGCGCCGCGTAGCCCGTTTTCAAACTTTTCAAAATCGCGGTGAAGGATCACCAAGGATGGATCCGAGTCCGACAATGTGTATTCTAGTTCCTTGATAGGATGGGTTGTGCCTGACAATCTTTAGAACGAGACAAGAAGATTCAAGGTTGGGAAAAACGTACACATTGGCACACAGATGGCCCCTGCTGCCCATATTGACCATTGGGCAACCACATAATCATATCCAGCAGGGACGAGAAAGGCGACTCGCGGCTCTTCTGTCAACCCCTTATCGGTGGGGAGATGCTTTTGGATAACGGCCTTGAGCGAGGCTGCATCATTTAATAGCTGGGAATAGGTGAAGCTCTCCTTCTTGGTAGTGTCGATGATTGCTGCCTTCCATGGTTGAGCCAATGCATGGCTACGGGCTTCAAGGAATAGGGGCAGTGAAGGGAGAGACGTATCCTTGGAAATGGTCGAGTAGCGGATAGATTCAGGACGCAGAATGGTCTCCGTATCTGCTGGAGCAACTACTTCGACGGCCATATTTGCTTACGAATAACGATGAGATTATCGCTACAGAGAAATCTAGTGGTCTTCATGCCTTGCCATTTTATGGCATTGCCCTGTGTATTGAGGTATTCTTTGCAGCGCAGTTCGATTCGCCCAGTCACAGACTCGTTGAGATCACCGAGTCCAGATACGGCCGTTCTCGTTCTGCATTGATATCCCTGTCGTTCGTGAAAACTCGCCGAACACCTGGTCCTCAACTTCTATGCCCTACCAATGTCATAACAATCCCCGATGAATATTGAGGCTGTCTAGAGGTGTTGATCACTGTCGGTATCAATCATAGCAGAGACGCCCTTGCGACCCGCTTTCGGCCATTGTTTTGACCAAGAATTGCCGAATAGCCAATGATTGCTTTTAGATGCGCTTCGACAACAGACAGATGCTTGACTGTATCTCGCCTTGCCAATCCCTGGCAAAGCTTTTTGCCGCGCCGAGCAGAAATAGCCGAAGCTTACTCCATATCAATCCCAAAGTGACCCAGCTCCATGATCGTGCATCATCTGTGCCGTCCATCCGTAAACGATAGGCTCACTCTGATGCAGCTGGCCATCAGCCATGCTTTCTCTGGGACTTGCAAGACCACGCCACTTCGTTGAACTCACTACGGCGGTATCTTTAACCCTTCAGGTGGGATCCTACGCCGCTATCTTGACAAGCGGCGTCAATTCTAGCACCCGAGATCCTGCAGACTCTGTTGGCATGCTAAAGTCCTTTGGTGTGCCTCGCAACGAGCAACACGGGACGTCTCTAGCTGATCACTAATTGATAGACCATAGCCAATAAGAACGTTGCCCTTCTTCGAACTGTCTACTTGAGGCTAGTATGCCCAGTGTCAGTCTTCTGGCCCGAGAATCTATCGGCCATTGACGCTTGGATTACTCGTCTGTAGTTGACTCGTCTGTCGCTGTCGGTGCAGTCCACATGAAATGGAGTCGTGGCGGTCGTTGATCAGTACCCACCGAGGGGCCTCCGCGAAATTCAATACCCCGACCTGAACCCCAGATGCAAAGGTGATGGAGGATAAATACTTGAAGGATGGCCTTCTTTTGCAATATCATTCTCATCCTAAACATCCATATACTCTTTGCTTGATCTTTGCTTCCTCTGACTCCAGAATTTAGAGGCTCATCTTGCGTTCCCTGTCTCATCATGAAGTCAGACTCACCCCCTGCGGTCACTATGGAGGCCCGCGACATGGTCAAGGGGACGACAGAAAGCATTGAGGACCTCAAGCAAGCAGCAGAAGAAACCCTTGGGGACTATGCTGGGGCTGTCGCAAAGACAGACCCGGTAGAGATCCGGCTAGTCAGGAAACTAGACTGGAGAATCATGGTACTTGCTCTATTCTATTGCCAAAGTAGTAGCAGCTCCTCTAACATATCGCCTTGACAAAAAGCCCACTCTATGTACTATGTATTTCCTCAACTACGTCGACAGAAATGCAATTGCTCAAGCTCGTCTGAACAACCTGGAGGAGGACTTGAACATGACTGGAACCGAGTTCAACACAACAGTGAGCGTTATCATGGTTGATGAGACTTGTTTGCCTGACAACCGATCCAGGTCAGCATTTTGTTCGTCGGTTACGTTTTGATGCAAATTCCGAGCAACATGATGATTACGAGGATCCGCCCTGGGATTTACATGAGTTCTTGGATGCTGGTTTGGGCGGTCGTTTCTGGTAAGTCCCAATCAGAGTCTTCTGAAGGTCCATGCCTAACAACGATAAGGATGCACTGCTCTTGTACAAAACTTCGGTGGCCTCGTTGCTTGTAGGTTTTTCCTGGGTATCACCGAAGCGCCCTTCTATCCAGGAGCGACATACGTGCTCTCGATCTTCTACACCCGCAAAGGTAACCAAACTCCCCGTCTCAATTATGATCGAGAGCAATAGCTGACGATTTCCTCTACAGAGGTGGCTTCCCGCATCGCACTCCTTTACTGCGCTCAAATTCTCGCCACAGGATTCTCTGGACTCATTGCTGCGGGAGTATTTGCCGGTCTTGATCAAGTCCACAACATTGCAGGATGGAGATGGTTATTCATCGTCGAAGGTGCTGCCACCGCCCTGGTCGCATTGTTTGGGTTCTGGCTGCTCCCAGACACTCCGTTGACCACTCGGTGGCTCAAGCCTGAAGAGCGCGAACTTGCGCATGCCCGTATGGAGCGTGACAGAGTCGGAGATGCCGGTCAGGCTTCGGCCGTTGAAGGTCTCAAGCAAGCCGTGAAAGACCCCAGAACTTGGGTTTTCTGTCTTATGCAGAACTTCCATCTGTCTGCTTGTTCGTTCAACTCCTTTTTCCCAACGTAAGTCCAGTGGTCTCTCCACCTTCAAGAAATCCACACTAATCCGGTCCGAACAGCGTCGTCAAGACACTCGGTTTCAATACTACCATTACTTTGGTCATGACTTGCCCTCCGTTCTTGTTTGCTGGAGCAGCTGGAATCTTTTTTGGTTGGTCATCTGGCCGCTACCACGAACGTACCTGGCACATTACCACAGGATTGAGCATTGCGGTTGTGGGATTTGTCATCGCTGCGTCGACTCTCAACACGGCTGGTCGCTATGTCGCTTGCTTCATCTTCCCTGTCGGAGCGTACTCGGTCAACAGCGTCATAATAGGATGGGCATCATCTACACTTGCTCAGACCAAAGAAAAGAAAGCGGTGGTGCTGGCCATGACCAACGTTGGTGGTCAGATTGGTTACATCTACGGAGCCTACCTCTGGCCCAAGGAAGACGGCCCAAGATATGGTATTGGATTTGGCGCCAGTGCTGGATTTGCGCTCTGCAGCATTGCCTGTGCCTGGTGGATGCGCTTCTTGTTGAAGAGAGAGAATGCAAGAATCAAGCAGAGTGCGGCCGAGAACGTCAACCTTTATGGGTACTAAGATATGTCACTGCCATACATGGGCAGGGAAGATAGAAGAGGATACACTCTCTCGCCTATTTGAGTTGGGTTGAATCAATTGAAGGTGGTATGTAAATTGTCAGGTTGTTCGGATAGAGCGTAAAGTGGAAGATCAAATTGATATCACGTGATAAACACAGACTTCAGGGATCCTTAGAGACACTAGACCTCATTTGGATGAAATCACGTGCAGTGACGCAGCCACGCATCGAGACACATCAACGCATCCGCATCCGTTGCATTTTGGCAACGAGCACCAGATCGTGTGTTATCTGCTTCCATTTTCCTCTCATTAATCCCTTTGACATCCCGTGCAAGCGCACACATCGCCCTCTCTTGAGAAATACCCCGATCCAAAATGCAGTGAAAGCTTCAAGTCAAGCGCTCCATGGCGCTGGATCTCGACGAAGGCTATGTCGCGCCGGGCCTCGCCCAAGGTCGAGGCGAGGCATCTCTACCCATCTTCAATGTTGAACGAGTGCAGCTTCAGTTCAACATCGCTTCTGACTTTGTGGCTGGCCAAGTCGCCAATAATGTTCTGATCTTGGCCCTTGCCACTGGACGTATCCTACGCATCGACTTGGAGAGTCCTTCAGATATTGATGGTACATTGTTCAATGACCCGCCGCAACTTCCGGTCTCCTTGCTAACTCACTCGAACAGATGTTGACCTGCCCAAAAAGACCAGCGAGATCGGCCTTATCCGTCGCATGTTCCTTGACCCCTCTGCTTCCCACCTCATTGTCAGCACCACCTTGGGCGAAAACTTCTACCTTCACAGCCAGTCCAAGCAACCCAAAGCTCTCTCCAGATTAAAAGGCGTTTCGATCGAGTCAATAGCATGGAACCCATCCCAGCCCACAGCATCGACGCGGGAAATCCTAATAGGTGGGGCCGATGGAAATATCTACGAAATATACATTGAGCCAGCCTCTGAGTTCTATCGCCGAGAAGAGAGATATGCTACCCAAGTATGGAAGATCCCAGATGGCGCAGTCACAGGACTTTGGGCGGAAACTATTGATGCAAGACCTGATGTCCGGAGGGTGATTGTGGCATCTCACTCGAGACTATGTCATTTCATCGGCAAAACAGGAGGCAAAGGCAAGGAAGGTTCAGCTTCTATATATGCCGATTTGTTTTCCAAGGAAGCACCTGTTACTCATGACACGGCGGGAGCAGTTGCATCTGCACCGTCATCATTCTCTGTCTCACCTGAACCCAATGACCCGGCATCAGCACCAGAGAGAAGCTTCGGATGGTTATATTCACAAGGGGTTCTGTCCGGCAAATTGTCAACGTCACCAGTCGGCCCAAGCCTTGGGACCAAGATCTTTAGTGACACTAAACTTCATCCACGATCTGTCTTCCCAGAGACTGTTTCTGCCCGAGGTGGACGGAAACTGATTCAGGATCCAATTGCTGCGGCCATTTTGTCTCAATGGCATGTGCTTGCACTCGCCGAGGGGCGAATAGTTGCGGTCAACCGTCTTGATGGTTCTCTGGTATATGACCAAGCCGTTTTGGAACAGGGACAGACTGCTTTGGGACTGGTGGCAGACCAGAAGAAAAATACATTCTGGCTTTTCACCAGTCAGGAGATCTTTGAGATTGTTGCCAACAATGAAGAGCGAGACATCTGGAAGATTATGCTACAAAACCAAGACTACGATGCCGCCTTGAAGTACGCCCGTGATGCGGCGCAAAAGGATTCGGTAGCGACAGCATCTGGAGATTACCTGTCCAGCAAGGGGCAATATCTGGAGGCAGCCAGCGTTTGGGGAAAGAGCAGCAAAGCCTTTGAGGAAGTCTGTTTGTCTCTGATTGATCATGGTCAGGACGACGCCCTGAGGTCATATCTGTTGGCTAAATTGGGGTCTTACAAAAAGTCGTCATATATGCAGCGGGTCATGATAGCAACGTGGCTGACGCAGATATTTATGGCCAAACTCAATTCGCTTGACGACATGGTAGCCACCAAAGCAGAGTTGGTGGAGAATACTGACGCAGGCGGGGCGAAACAAGAGCTGGAGGCCACTCGAAGAGAGTTTGAAGAATTTGTGTCCAAGCATAAATCCGACCTCGACGCCAAAACAGTGTACGAGGTGATCTCGAGCCATGACCGAGAAGAGGAGCTTCTTTACTTTGCCAACACCATTACCGATTATGATTACGTGCTCTCGTATTGGGTGCAGCGCGAGAGATGGACGGAAGCTCTATCGGTGCTTAACAAGCAGAGCAACTCGGAGACGTTTTATCGGTACAGCAACGTCCTCATGACCCACGTGGCCACAGGCTTTGTGGAGATATTGATGAGACGGAACAATCTTGACGCACAAAGGCTCATCCCAGCGTTGTTGAGCTACAACGAAAACGCCAATGTGCCGCTATCTCAAAATCAGGCGGTGCGTTATCTCACTTACGTGGTGACGAATGACTTTGAGGTACCTGCGTCGGTGCATAACACTCTGATCTCCATTATGGCGTCCCACCCGTCGCCATTAGAAACCATGTTACTCGGGTATCTTGAGACCCAGCCAATTCCACCATTGTATGACGCCGACTTTGCGCTTCGATTGTGTATTCAACACGACCGAGTCCAATCTTGTGTGCACATATATGGCAGCATGGGGCAGTATCAACAAGCGGTAGAACTTGCGTTGGAACACGACGACATTGATCTGGCGGCGATTGTGGCAGATCGACTCGAAGATAATGACCAGGTCAGGAAACGGTTGTGGTTGCTGATCGCGGAGAAGAAAATCAAAGAAGCATCGTCGATCAAGGATGCGATTGGTTTCTTGAAACGTTGCGAGCTCCTCAAAATCGAAGACCTTATTCCATTGTTTCCGGACTTTGTGGTGATTGACGATTTCAAAGAGGAAATTTGCGAGGCGCTGGAGGAATACTCGAGACACATTGAGGGACTGAAGCAAGAAATGGACATTTCACAGCACACAGCGGAGCAGATCAAGGCGGAGATTGCAGCGTTAGACAATCGATATGCGATTGTCGAGTCGGGAGAAAGGTGCTGGATCTGCACGCTCCCGGTGCTGAGTCGACAATTTTTCGTGTTCCCGTGTCAACATGCATTTCACAGCGACTGCCTGGGTAAGCGAGTACTAGAAAACTCGGGGAGCTCGAAACGGAAACGGATCAAGGATCTTCAGGGGGAAGTCAACCAGGGGCTGAGTATGGGACCGCAACGACAGAAGCTTGTTGCGGAACTAGACGGGCTTGTTGCTGAACAATGTGTGCTCTGTGGGGACCTGGGGATCAAGCAAATCGACCAACCATTTATCCAGGCGGGAGACGATGCGGAAGCATGGGCTATATGAGGGAATAGGTAGGTAGATTGGCGACAATGATGCCCATGAATTCATTCGTCGTACCGCTTGTCTCATACACTTAGGTGATAGGACCAAGTTTGATTACCGCTTCGATCTAGATCTTGGCTACAAGGGCCACCTACCTGTCGGACTTGTCAAGATTAAACCTGGCAACAAATGTAACGCGCACGCGACTGACAGGAGGAGTACGAAGGATGCATGCAGGAATGCATCCACCATTTCAGCCTGATGCAACGTCCACTCATACCCAGCGCTAGTATGTGTGTGGGAGGTGGCAGGTAGCGGATGGTGTTCAATTGGCCGACCAGGTCATACACAAACGATATCACATGTGGTACAAGTGTAACAAATGTTAGTCAGCGGATAAGGCTGGAGAGTCACGTTTGCATGTCGGGGAACGACGCAGCCCCACTTGGATTTGACGATTGGGAAAGTGCAAGGGCCGGTAACTAGCTTCGTACCTTACCCATAATGAGACAATCCCATAATACATACCAACTGCCATTCTAGGTACGAGGCCCCCCTCCCCAGCGCGCCAGCGCCAGTACACAGAGATACGAGTCACTCTGCAGTAGCAACGGAGGGCAGAAACCATTTCGAGACAAGACACAAGTCAATGACGAGAAACAATGCCATGTGAAGACCTAGGAAACACGCCGTAAGTGTCTGGTCCTGTATGTGGAGAGTGCAGGGTCTGGTGTGTGGGTGTGCGTGGTTCAGGCGCCCAACTGGATGTTGTCATGATCATTGCAGAGTCCACAAGATTTCCAATCATCTGGCACGCCATTTTAACAAGTACCAGGCGTATCCAATAGCGTGTAGTGAGACATGATAGTATCGGGTTTTCTGTTGGGTGGAAATAAGGTCTGGACTTTCGGTGTTTGATGGATTCCAGGAAGGAACAACAGGGACACTTACATAAGGTTGGACTTGGCTGTCGTCATCGTCGAGGCTTTTTCCCACCTTCCGCCAGGGACGTTCTTGCTGCTCATTGGCCCAATGCGTTTGTCAGGGTTTCTCTTGGTCGCTCCTTCCCCCCCACCCGCTTGAATTACGGCGTACCTCCGTCCACTCTGACTCCCATTTCCCCCCATAACTTTTTCTCTCGGGCATATCGTGTTTTCTCCCTCCAACTCTATCTGGTACTTTTCGTCCATCCTCCGGCCGGTCGAAGCGCCAGAGGCTTACCTGATAGCCAAGTTTTAGACTTTTGCGTCTTTGCCCTATTGGCAATCATACATGCTTATTCAGAATCTCAATTGTATCGACTGACATGGGTTTTCTTTTCCAGCCCATTTCGACCAGTTGCAGATCGTTCTACCACCAGGTTGCGACCCTTCGCACCTATCCCCCCGTATGTCCGTCCATGAGTCAGCGGCACACCATGAAGTTCATCCGATACATGTAGGTAGACAAGGGAAGCTCAAAGTATATATCATACAGCTTCTCGCACGGTAAGGCTTCCTTCTCAACTCACAACATCAGTCAATCTGTCAGGGTCTGTGTGCCTCGCCTCGTCTTTGAGAAATCAATAACCACAAGTTGTTTCTCTCTGTCTCACTTCGCCCTGCCCACGACATTCCTCCAACCTTCGTTGAATCGTCCTAACATTCCAACATGTCTGCACTTTTTCGTGACTCCACCGTGGGTCAGGCAATTCGTTGGGCTACAGGCAACAAATATCTCCAGTACCCAGAGGAAGTCACCGGCTTTCAATGTCCAGATTCCTACCAGCACACCAAAAGTCTTTACTCAGAAGCCTCCACTCCGGCAACTGCCTCCCCTGATGCCTCCCCCGAGGCACTCGAAAAGGTCATCGAAGCCCCAGAACATGACCGGCCTGTCTTGACGCAGGCAGCCACTGCAGTGGATCGAGAATCTATTGCCATGACCGACCGTACTCTCTCCAAGATCATGACCAGACCAGAAATGAGCATGGTCAATACTCGGGCCGATCTGGAACAAGCCTACACCAATGCCACAAAGCAAGAGAGTTTGCAGCACCAACCTAGTCGCCCCATTGCCCCCGCAGTCACCTCCGACGGCACCATTCTCGTCGACTGGTATACCACTGATGACCCAGAGAACCCCCAGAACTGGTCCACAGGCAAGAAAGTGTTGGTAGTGGTGCAAATCTACCTCTATACCCTCGCCGTATACATGGGTTCCGCAATCTACACTCCATCCATCCCATACGTCGTTGAACAGATGGGCGTCTCTGAAAATGTCGCTGCCCTGGGTCTCTCAATGTACGTACTTGGTTATGGCATTGGCCCATTGATCTTTTCTCCTCTCAGCGAGATTCCCGTCATTGGTCGCAATCCACCCTACATCTTGACATTGGGCATTTTCGTCATCATCTCAATCCCTACTGCCGTGGTCAACAACTTCCCTGCCTTGATCGTCCTACGCTTTCTCCAAGGCTTCTTTGGCAGTCCTTGTCTCGCGACAGGTGGTGCCTCAATTGGTGACATTTTCTCTCTCCTGAAGCTGCCTTATTTCCTCACCGGATGGGCTGCTTTTGCCACAGCTGGTAAGTCCCTAAATGCCATCTCTCCCCACAATCACAACTGACATGAACAGGCCCCGCCCTTGGTCCCATCATCTCAGGCTTCTCCGTTCCTGCCGAGAACTGGCACTGGTCTCTCTGGGAGATCGTCTGGCTCTCCGCCCCTGTCTACATTTCCCTGCTCTTCCTCCTCCCCGAGACTTCGTCAGCTACCATCCTGCTCCGCCGCGCTGCTCGACTCCGAAAGCAAACCGGCAATAAGAACCTCAAGTCCCAAGGTGAAATCGATCAGGAGAAAATGAACGTCAATGAAGTCATTGTCAGCAATTTGTGGCGTCCGGTTCAAATCAACGCATTCGACCCGGCTGTTCTCTTTACCAGCGTCTACACCGCCCTCATGTACAGCATTTTCTACTCATTCTTCGAGGTCTTCCCTCTGGTCTACGGCACTGGCAACGGCCCACATTCGGCCACCCAAGGTTACGGCATGAATCTGGGAGAAATTGGGCTCATCTTCCTCTCCATCTCAGTCGGTGTTACCATCGCCATCGTTATCTACATTACCTACTTGAAGAAGGTGTTTGAGCCGGAAATCATGACCAAGGGCCTTGGAGAACCCGAGAGAAGACTCATTCCTGCTCTGCCTGCCACATTTCTCCTACCAATTGGTTTGTTCATGTTTGCATGGACCGGCAATAGTTCTCCAAAGATTCACTGGATCGTTCCGACAATCGGTGTTGTCATCTTCACCGTCGGCATCTTTATCTTGTTCCAGTGCATCTTCATCTACATTCCTCTGACTTACCCACAATACGCTGCATCACTGTTTGCGGGTAACGACTTTGCACGCTCATCCATTGCCGCAGGAGCAATCCATTTCTCGCGACCATTATTCCACAATCTGGGGGTTGGTGAAGGTGTCTCTCTTCTGGCAGGCCTGACCGTGGGTGGAATCATCGGGATTTACCTTCTGTGGGCCTATGGTGCCAATTTGAGGGCTCGCAGTCGATTCGCTGCTAAATAAGACTTTGAAGAAGCATACATGACAGAGGAAAAGCAGACGTCGTAACGTTTTCTTGTCTGACATGAAGTCTTTCTGACAATCTGTCTTATCTACTATTGGTGGCTATTTCATGATATTACCACTGTGTCCATATTGCAAGCGTTGGGCGTTGGCAGGGTTCGTTATTACGACAGGGTATTTGTGTCATTAATTAATCATCATGAATGACAATTATCACAGTCGATTATGATAGAGATAGAACTCAAAGAAATCAAAACTCGGTAACAAGAAAAGGACTTCGATGTCGAAGCATTGCATTATTGTAGAGATCATGCCTTCTACTTAGATGAATGACTGATTAGTCACAAACATCTACAGACTCAAGGAAATACAATGGAACCTGAAATTTGAGACATGGTCGAGATTTGAGATTCGACAACGACGTCTATGGTATGGTACCTCAGGGACCTTGTGTAATGATCGAGGCCGGTGTGGGCATCCAATCCAGTTCGGACTCACATCAATCCGTCAATCTATCAAACAAGTGCCACGTCGAATCTACCCAACTACCGTGTGAAGAAGTGGGCCGAAGAAAGGTCCCGTCCACAATGCACCCTCCTTTGTCCAGAGAGGTCTTGCCCGTCTGTCTTGAGCGACTCGAAACAAGGAATGACCAAATGAAAAACAAGTGACGCCAACCTCTGCTGCTTGGATAACAGACAGACAGAATACCCATGTAGGTGATCGTGATAACCCCCACAAACAAAGCCGTGGTGGCTGATAATAGCTAGACTGAGGTAGCCTGGCTTGAAGAGAAAAGACGAGAGGAGATGAGCAGGCAAGGCGCGGAATCGGGTAATAATGATGATTTCATTCCCTTTTTCCCACTCCCATTCTTCTGCTCATTTTGCTTGCTCCAACTCAGTCTGCTTCTTCAGCTGTTGCTGTTGTTGCTGCTGCTGCTCATGTGCCTTGAATCTCTCCATAGCCATAGTTTTGGCAAATAAGTTGGATGGTTTAGCGTTCCTGTTTTGGATTCCTTGGTTAATTCACCCATCATACCTAAGGTAGTCAATGGATAATTTTGTAGTTAGGTACATACTGGTATCTTTTTCCTTTAATCTCACTGAGTTTCTTCGTCGTTGGACTTCGAATCGCATCTGATGGACTGATGTATGTCGAAGAAGTGGAAGATGATAGTGATAATGATTGTTCCTTGCCCATGTTCAATTCGAAGCGTGGTGCAGGTGCAGATGTAGCTACACTGGGGGCTTGCTTCGTCAATAGAGAGGCGGATTTGCCGTTGATGTCAATGCTGGCTTTGGTGGGTGAGCCGGTGTTGGGACTTCGTTCGGCGAGGACGTTTGTGTTTGATTTGGTGGGGGACATGGTGATGGATGGATTGGAGGGTAATGGTGGTGGTGGTGGTGGTGGTGGGATCGTGTCGTAGATTCGAGGATCAGGTGGTTTGTCGGATTTGTTTAAGACAGACGATGAAGGATATTGAGAGCTTGCCTTACAGCGTGTGGTGTGTACGTCGTTGGAAAGAGAAACAGAGAATATTTTTTTCTGTTGATGAGGGAATAGGTTGGGTGGTAGTGGTGGTCGATGCGCTCAGGCCCGCAGGGTGGTCAATGCCAATACTTTTTAATAGTAAAGTAGTAGGAGCGTGTCAGTGTGTTGGGTGGTGGTTGCCAGGGACTCAAGAAGGCGAAAGGGCGTGCAAAATTCTGACCCGCTGAGTTTCTTCACCCTTCAAGTTTTGGTCTTATTTTATTACTCGGGTTTGATTCTGTTGATTGTGTGAGAATGTGGAGCGATGAACGATTTTCTACATATTACGCATGCGACATGTGTACAAATATTGCAAACTCCAGTTCAAGATCCACTACGCCACGTTCCAGATTTGAACTGCAGTTCCGGGACTTGTTGGTTGAGGCTTGATGACCTTTTGGTTTGGTTTGGTTTGGTTTGGTTGAGTAGTGGCATGACGTCAATATGTAAACTTTGGATGTTGGCGCGACAACCGACGGATAATCATTCTTCCAGGTCACTCGTTCGAGATAATGAGTGACTACTCCGTACACACGGCGTTCGCCACGTAGACATTTATCTGGGAATTCAGGTATTCACTATAAAAGTCATGAATGTGTTTATAATGTGCCGTTCATAATATCAGATTTTCTTCTCGAAGAACATCTACCAATTTTGGAATACTCCCGAGATTTTCTCGATGCGAGAATGTCACTTACTGACAGACAACAAAATTGATGGCTGCATTCCAACCCTATGCTCTTTCCAAGTATTTACAGTACTGTAGGGTCCCAGTTGAGGTTTCTCCTTTTCGAATAACCGAATTCAATATTTGAACCTTCACAATGATGACAACCATGCCAAGGTTGACCACATCCCAATGTTGACCACTGTAAAATGCAAAATGTTCCCCCAACTTTTCGTGGTACTTTCCAACAAATAACCACCAGAAAATGCACTTTTCCATATCCATATCTTTTCATGACCAGAGGAAGTGGACCCATGGACAAAATAATAATTGAGTTGATGTATTCCCAAATTCGCCAAGCTCTTTTTGTTCAAACACGACGGTTCCCTTGAGATGAAAACTTTGTCAAATGTGCAAGAAGCCAAACGAGAATTGTAATGGTTGCATAAGTTCCCATTATGCGATGTAAGTGCGGATCGTCACCAATTCATCCACCCGAACTCGAGTCCACTACTCTTCTTCATCGTCATCATCTGCTGTTTGGTACAAGAAAAATTGAACAAAGATGGCCATGTCCAGGAGCAAAGTACCCAAACTACCGGCAATCCAGCTAGCATTGACGGCAATATATCTGGAATAGATGGCGCGAGACTCTCCAGGTTCACAATGACCAGGTTTGCGACAAAGAGGAGAATATGCAAAGATGGACATGACATAAGTAAGGTTGCCGATGCAGGCGAACAAGAAAAACAGTAGCGAGACCCCCTCAGTGCTTTTGCGTTTGTAATTAAGAAGAAGTTGAGGAAGTCGGGAACCCAGGTAAAGAACGGCGCACAAATAGCCGAAGATCTGGCCCAGCGTGTCAAATTCGAGAGGCTGAGAATCGTCATCCTCAACCTGGTGGCGACGACCATGCGTCTTGTGTGCCCCAATCCACCAGCCAAAAACACCCGCGGCACAGACAAGCAGGATTGCAAAAATATTGAATAAGATGGTCTGGACAGTGCCCGTTGGCTTGGCGTTCCTGATGCTTGGGGAATCGTCAGGCTTAACAGGGTCATGCAAGGGAGTGACAGGGGACAAGTGGGTGCCGTCGACGGATAGATGTCTCTGGAGCTGTGAAGTGGTAGATCGAGAACGATCATGCTCATCGCGCGAGGGAGGTTGGGTCTGGGAGCCGCTGTGTAATAAAGGTCGAGTCTCGCCCGCGTCACCGTTGGTGTGTCGATCATGGCGGTGGTCATCATTGGCGACGTGGTCAGTCAAGGTAAAGCCACGATAGTAGAAGACTTGGCCTAGAAGAACAATATCGGCGAGAGTGTAGTAGATGGCGAGAATAATCATGGTGGGTAGTACCCCCTGCAGAATGGCGCCGAGGATATTAAAGACATCTCCAGCGAGCCAGATAACAATGAAGACTACCGACAGTCCTTCGGTAGAACCGCGGCGGAAGTTCTCAATGATCTGGGGAGAAAACACCACGACCCAGCATGCGATGGAGATGGAGCCGCAGATGCCCGACAGAGCTTCAATGTCGAGCGAGATGCCCTGCTGAGGAGGAAACATAATGTATGTGTGTGTGTGGATGGATGGTGCGTATGTATGTCTGGATGTGGGCGTGTTGCAGGCGTCTTTGAGCTGGAACTGTAAAGTAACCCCGTTCTCCCTTCCAACAGCCCAGGCACCAAAAGGAAAAGGAGCTATGTACCAGAGATAACAAGATGAAAGATGAAACCCTTGAAAGAGGAGTGAGGTTGAGTGACTAATGGAAATAGAAAGTTGCAAAGAGTGACGATGGAAGTCCCGTTCAGCCAAGAGCAAATCTAGATTTTGTGCACGTGATGACATAAAACTTGGCAAAAAGAAGAATGGCGGCAAGAACCTGGGGAAAACGTCAACGAACCAACCAGAAGTGGAAGACTAGGAAAGAGCGAGCGGCAGGTTCTTCCGGTCGTAGTACTGCCAAGAGGCTAGTCCATATTCGGACTTGCATTTAGGATTCCTCTACTGCCTCCTTTCCTGACCCTTGACTTCCTATGGTATCAACACTTGCATCTATTAAATTTCACACATTCGGCATCATGTAATCTTGAGATTATATCTAAACAAAATATCCACCTCTCTAATATCTCTTGTTTACATTGATTGATAACCATCATCAGCTAGTTCCCCAACATCATGTTTCCAAACGCCAGCTTGGTGCGTCCATAGACACCAGACATCATAACCACAGAGCTCGCAATGCCATCACTCCCCTTTACCTGAACCCTATATTTATGCACACCTAGGACCAATGCCATGGCCCGAGACCTGTCGCTGCTTCGTCACCGTGTCGAGTGAGTTCCCGAAGAGTCAGTTGAACCGTCCACCGTCATGCAGTCATCATGGTTCATTATTTCCTCCGTCCAGCACAACCAAACAGCGCCATCAAGCCTGCTCCTCCTCCTCCGCCCCCGCCTCTTCCCCCAACATCTCCCGACCCCTTCAAGATTGTTTCTCCCGTTACGGATGTTCCTTTACCCATGGAGTTGAGCGTAATGGTACTGATGTCCTGGTTCTTCTGCAGCCACTGCAGATCTTGCTGAGTATCGATTCCTAAACCCAGTTGCTCTCCAGATTCTCCATTTTCCATCCATCGTTGCACGTGGGCACTTGTCTTGTCGTCGATGCGATTGGTTTTCATTTTATTCCATGTGGCAAGCAGATTGTCTGCTCTGTGTCAATTCCTTCTTTGCAATTCGGCAGCAATCGAACTTACCATATTCAGCCACCACTTTCCTGAGCTCGCGGAGAATCCTTGTTCTTTGCAAGAGTTTCTCCGACGCACTCCCCAGCGCTGTTGCGCTTTCCAGGTCCAGGAGCTCGCCTTCTAACTGGGAAATCTCATCCTGCAAGCACAACAGGAGTCGAACATGGACCTCATCAAACCGCCGGAAGATCACAGTATTTTCACTCGTCATATATGACGCTAGCCGGGAGTGGTCAAATGATTTAAACCCACTGAAGGAAGGAACTGGTTCTTCGGCCGGCACTCTGGGTGACCTACGAATATCACTTCCCCTAGTTGATGGACGTCGGGCTTGCGCCGGCAGTTGAGGCAGAGGTGCTGTGGGTGCAGGGGTCGGCGTCAACGTGTCATGTACAGCCGATCGAGTAGTCATACGAGAGTCGGTTGATTTTCGTGGCTTGTGTGGAACCGGTGGCCTGGAACCATTATCGGCCTCATCGGAGCTCGAGTTACGTCGCAGAGATACGTTGGATGGGTGTGAGTGGAGAGCCCGTTGACGTCTCTCTGATGCACTAGATTTAGCTGCACTCAGCTTCGGTGTGGTCATTGGCTCCGGCGGTAGAGGAAGATCAAGTGGCGTCATCTTTGGAGAGGGAAGGGGTTGCACTATGGAAGCAGAAGATGGTGTGACCGCGCCAGATATTGATGGCATGGTGCTGACAGGAGCAATCCGGGGTGAATCATGAGGTGTCTGTGGCAAACTAGGCACGAAACGTCCAGTTGTGGTGGCCATGGACGTTACTGGCTTCCGATTGTACTTGGAGGTAGGTGGTGCCACACCGGTTTTCCTCGTCGATGTCATGGATGACCTGGACGATTGACTGACAACACCATCGTCTCCATTGTGGTCGGCGGCATTTGAGGATTGGTCTCCAACAACGCTTGAGCCTTCATCCGTGCCAGGTGCGCTCACCACTTCGGGTTGATCCTCGACTCCCACGGTTATTTTTTCTTCTTCTGACGCCGAGGTCGGTCGTCTCTGATGTCCTCGTCTTTGATCCTCTCCGAGAGCTCCTTTAATTGCTGGGATACGCTCGGCAGCGTCCTGCGGGCTCCGGGGCTGTGAGTCTGAAAGGATACTATCGGTAGCGGAAGGACTTGGTCGAGATTTGGGGGACAGGGCTTGATTTGGGAAGAGGGAGAAGGAAGTCGATGGCGAAAATGAGGCCTGCTGGTATGGCGACACTTCCTTTTCGACTGTGGGAGATGGTGGTGTATACGTGTTGCCATTCAGGACGGGAATCCAGTTGGGATCATGGATGTCTGGTGCTGGCCCTGTGTTCAAGTATGATCTTCGGCCTGTGGGCAATTCAACAGGAGCCAGTACGGTGGCCATGACGAGATTCACCTCGTGGTGTTGAAGCCGACGGCGTCGAGAAGTCTGGATGTGACAGAGCGAGCCAAGGTGACGAGAGGATTGGAATGGAAAAAGAATTGCACGAGGTTAGATGCTAGTTAGAGAGAAACCGCGTCAATCCCCCCGGGCTGGTGCATCCGACTGACGAGGTGAAATCACTCGTTAGACTTTGGCGAGACACGCAACAAATTCTGGTGGTGTGGCCGAGTCGATACAGGCTAGCAGTTGGCTGTATGTAGGGGTATGCAAATAGTTTAGTCTAGAATCCGTCTACTTAGAGGGATGGATGCTCGTATGCGTAGAAACTACTCCGTACTGTCGGGTGCACTTGTCGCCCCCAAGGATTGAAGTTGATGATGAATCAGTCCATGCCAAAAGGGCTGATAGCATGATTGATGGACTGGTTACAGATGACGGTGAGGAGTGTCCATGGAGGTCTAAGGTGCATGTGTGACCGAATAGGATTCATGGAAATTTGAGGTCGGTTCGGCAGGACCCATGACGAGGCACTCGGGAAGGTGCAGTAATGGTGCATAACAGGGATGTTGGACGCAGGTACCACAACGCCAACAACTTCAAGGCGTAGTGAGTAATGAGGATCTGTGGAGCAACAGATTTTAGGGAGATGAGCGTTGATCCTTGGGACCATGGGATCATGGGTCCCCCCGCCCTGGCGCCCGAGGGCCCCGCCAGTGCCCGCCCCAAGCGGAAATGGACCACGATTCTACGAGAGATATGGGAGTCTAGGAGAGGCTATGCAAGTCGTCACCACTCGGCTGATAACTCGTTGTTTGGAGCTGTTATCATAATAGAATTGAGTGCAGCGAGAGACAGAAAAATGACAGTACCTCATCTACTAGTCTCTCCACCTGCCAGTCCCATACATCATCGAACAAAAACTGAAGAAAAAGAGGGTTGACAGGTCCTCATCTGGTAGGCTGGCACGGTATAATGCTGAGCAAGCCTAATTATCTAAGGTACCTACTCGTACCTTAACAAGGGCCGACACATGCACATCCCTATGCCTATGCCCTAGCCCCAAGCCTCCGCCCTCGCCCTAACGCGGTGGGGGCCACCCTCGACCCTTGGGAGCCGTTGGGGGCGTTCTCAGTCCGGGAGTTCTGCGGCCCTCCCGGTGTCCACTCGAAAGTTAACTGTACTCGGTCCCCGGAAGTCTGCCTAAAGGTAGGCCGAGGGGCTGCCAACCAACCCCATGTGCCCACCTAGAGCAGTACGCCTGAAACGCACTGCAAATTGCCCTACCGCATTCGCAAAGACTACTGAAAACACAAGCGACATTACTTTGTCTACTAGAATGGTAGTGAAGGTCAAAATGTCGGTTTCTCGAGTAAACTAACTAGAACCGTAATATATGTAATAATAGTTGGAATCCTTCGGTAGCACTGGATAGGGTAGAAACTACTTTGCTTACCTGCTTATTACCTTAGTTTGCTCGACGCGGTGTCGCGAATCTTGTTTGTGTTGATTGCTTGATTGCTTGATTTACGGTAGCTTCTTTTTCTGGAGCAGTACCTGCTTACGAGTAGGCACTCGTGCTCAGAAGGAAAACACCGTGACGCTGATCAGTGCACGGCCATTCCAGGCGACAGTCATGATTTTTAGCCAAAGCAGGTAGAGAATGGACATATCTGTAAATTGTGCCAAATTGACTGGTATGTCATATTTGTTGTAGAGCTCAATGCGTGCTGTCATACTGTCAGCATATCTCTTCCATGACATGAGCTGCCCGACAAGAAAAAGCGTGTCAGGCGCGGTAGCGCGTCAACTCGTCAACGCCAAGTCAAGACAACACCCAGAAATGTAGATCTTTCATGTCGATCTATTTTGATCCCCCAGATTGTCTTTGAGTGCCTGGTCAAAGCTTTTTCGAGTCTTGCCTTGAGAAGAGGGAACAGCATGTCTTGGTAAATTCGATGATTTCCATTCTGTACTCTTCATCGACAGGTCAGCTCAAGCAAAATATGGGATTCAATAATATTCGTTCCTTGGGTGAGTCTATGGAGGTCGTGTTGTGATCCAATATCAGGAAGTCACGGGAGGAAGGTCACAGTTGAGCACGTGAGGTGCAAACAGTAAACCGCAGCTAACCTCAAGCTATCAAAGCTCACCTCATAATATCTCCAGACCAATTCCATCCTCTACCTCTACAAGGCTACAACCCTCATCTCATCTCAAATGTTCATCAAGACCTCCCAGGTTAACAGTGTACTGTAATCATTCACTATGCGTCTAACTTTGAACAATGCTTCACAGTATCCCGAATCACAAAATCCAATCCATAAAAGCTCGCCTGCTCTCAGAGCAGTCGAAATCGTCCAATGGCACTTCCATATGTCGAGTATCCCATGTACCGCTTGCTGACTATGTACCATGCTGTTCGCCGCAAATCCCCAACACCTGTTCGTTCATGTTCCGATTCCTGGGTATCCACAGCCATCCGTTGTCGTCAAGCGTATCGAAAATAACATTCCTTCCTAGATCATCCGTCCAATCTGTGGCATCTGCCACGTTCCATTCTCGCCCACATGCGTCCATGCCTATATCAATAGGACCTTCTCATCAAACTCCTTGGGTGATGATCAAACACAAAATATACCTCAATTTCCCAACCATGCAGTGTGCATCCTTTGTTGCATGATTCCAAATCTGCAACGAGAACATTCTTTCAATTTGGGAAATTGTGTACACCACCGATATGTCCCGCCCATGCCCACCCAGGCACCATTGCCACCCAAAACCATACCCATCCCACGGAGCCTCAGGGTTCAAGCTGTCAGGCATTGGCCATGGGGATTTGACTTACTTCCGATGGAGCTGTTCTAGTGAAGAGACTGTGCCGCTCACCGACATGCTGCCATTTGTGCTGGGCAAGAGTGAGCTGCGGCTGCTCGTCGTTCCACTCGGCGTCAATGGACCGCCGAACAGAAGCTTCTCGATCGCCGTTACCTGTTTTCCATAGCTCGTCTTCCGAAGCATCGGGTAGTGACTTTTCATGTCCGCCTCCAGCGCGGCCAGCTCGGCGCCTTGCAGGCTCTTGTGCACCTTTTCTGTTCTAGGTTAGTCACCAAAATATCTCCACAGAAAGGTCGATACACTCACGCAAGACATAGTTTCCATATTGATCACTCATCAGATCCATCACTGGGGTTCGTCCATTCGAGTCCGGCGCAGTAAGCCCTCGGAGAATCGCCATACGTTGGTCGGAATCGGCGCATTCGATGCTCTTTTCCACAATGTTGCTCGCAAACTTGTGTTTGGAGAAGTTGACCAGATTTGACAGGACGATGTTGACAATCCTACGACGGTCCTGCAGCTCCCCGCCCTCGATGATGTGCTGCACAACGTAGTTGCCGTACGAATCAAGGATCAAAGGCTGAATGTTTTCTAGGAGCTCGTTCAGGATCATTCTCTTGGCGTTCGGTTGGCAGTACTCCAGCATGCGTTGAACCACACGACAGCCATATTGGTGGGCCGACATCTTCATGACATGGCCGCGATGTGCGTCCACAATGAATTGAATATGTTCGCCTGGAATTCGCTCAATCGCCTTCTGGACCACGTGGTTGCCATTTTGATCTTTGACCACCTTCAATATCTGCAGGTTCGGTCCGTGGAGCTCTTTGACCAAGCTCGCTTGCTGGTCGATCAACACATGTTCAAAAGCCTTCTGTACAACTCGGCAGCCGTACATTTGCATCGAAAGATGGAGTACATGGCCTTTCATCTGGTTCGCAAGCAACTTCTTCTGCGACTGATTACCATGTTCGAACAATTTCTGGATAACATAATTTCCAAACACATCAGTCATCAGCTGCAACAGGTTTGGTTGGATCTCCTTGAAGACCTGTTCCTTTTCGTCACTATTGGCCGTCTCTAGCTTCTGTTGAATGAAGCGGGACCCATGTTGATCCCCGCTGAACTCCACAACATGATTGTATATGTCCTTGAGCTCATACCGCTTGTTTGTTTTACTATTCATGCGAAAATCTTCCAGGAGCTGACTGCAAACGCTGGAGCTTTGATCCACATCACGAATGCCCATGCGTGATGTTGGAGCATATCCGTTGCCATTGCTATAGTTGGAACCAGGATACGGCGAGGCGATTGTCGTCGGTCGCATGCCAAAACCAGGGCTGGCCGCATCATAAGGGGATCCTTGATAATGGGTATGCAAAGGGCCAATGGTGTAGGGGCTGGCCTCATACCTCATGGGATCGAGGCTGCGTAGTTTGTGATCCAGCATGCGCTGATCGGCGTATGATGCGGGATTAGGAACACCGTTGGCCGAGTTGCTGCGTATGGAGTCAGGCCCCGTGGGGGGTGTGTCTGAGGTAGAATAATACGGGCTCTGCACGTTGCTATGCTGATCGCTAGACATGGAGGAGAAGGCCCCTCGCGAGCCATAAGTCATACCGGGGTATTGAGCCAGATTATGAGACTCAATACGCTGAGACTCGAACGGTCCGGGACTTGAGTAGGGTTGGTGGGCACTGTCAATCAGAGGGTAACGCGGCTCTGGTAACGCCTGGCCGCGGCCTTGGTTGTGTGCCATGCCATTGAGTGCGTCTGCGTGTACTGGCGGGAAACGACGTCCAGGAACGAACTCGGTGCTTTGCCGTGCTTGATCGATGCTCAGAGCTTGTAGAGACCGTTGAACACTAGTAAGTTTCTGACCCGAAGGCGATGCAAAAGGTTCGGCTCGGGCAGCAGTCTGATGGCTTCGGTTGTTGTGTCCATAGGGAGAAGAAGTAGATGCGAAGGTGTCTGGACCTTTTACTGTCTGCGAAGAAGGCTGCCTTCCAAAGCCATATGAATCATGAATGTAAGGGGTGGTCATGTTACTCTGGCTAGTATAATTTATGGGCATCGAGATTTTCCCATTTGAGGCGGAGGCTAGCCCAACACCGAAAGCCTCGCGTCCGCCAAATTCTTTGGTGTCGACTCCATAAGGCTGATGGGCCGAACGATTTCGATCAAAGGGTCCGGCGCTTGTAGGCGATTGAATTAGACGCGAAGTGATGGTGCTGGATCGTCGATGTGGAGAGTGGACATCGCCGTTGGAGCGATCGTCCACATCGGGGGCGCTTCCCATGAACAGACTTGGAGGCTCCGGAGTGTTGCGCGAATCTTGGTGAGGGCTAGGACCAAGATTCTGGCGTTGCTGTGTTGGTGACAAAGGTAAACCCTTTGATCTGGACATGGGGCCTGCGAGCGTGGACATCGAAGTCCACGGAGGCTTGGTTGAGGAAGTATTCTCGTCATGTTCACTTGAGGAGAAGATCGAGTTGGCGCCATTGGCTTGGTGTGTTGAATTTGCCGAGGGGATTTGGTTCGTCGGCGAGGTGGGCATTTGGTTAATAAAGTTGTTGTATGCAAAAGACGGGGCCGGGGGGTCATGTCGGACTCTGTCAGCGTCGAAGTCATCGATCAAGGAATGGTTTGTCCCCCAAATGCGGCGGGAAGAGTCCCAGGGTGACTTTCCAAGTTCATAGTCCGAGGTGCCACCTAGCGCAGGCCTCGATGAGGTGGAGCGTTCGAAAACAGATGCTCGTCCATGTCGACCCTGTTCACGGGCTTGATTAGCGGAAAGTGGAACCCGGTCGGGGGTGCCTGTACTGACAGCATCGACAGCGGTGCCAGCGTCCATGGTGCGCAGCGGGCGGTTACACGCCAGGCGGGCTGGATGAGAGTTATATAGGGGTTGAATATTCGAGTGAGCAATCTTGTCGAGGGCAGTTGTCCTTGTCAAGATAGCGGGTATGAGGACAAGGCGGAAATGGACAAGTTTTCCGCAGTAGAAATGGTGTTGGGCGACGACGACCCGGTATGCCACATGCCACAAAGTATGTCGACAGTGTGAGACACAAAATTATGTTCCAAGATATGTTGAGGGTCGATGTACAACCAAGAGAGATTATCAAAAAGTGGTGAGAAGGGAAGAAAAGGATCGAGGCGGAAGGAGGGCGAGAAGTTGAAGGAGGAAGTGGGATGGGCGAGAAATAAGGACTGGCGGGATCATGTACCCCTTCGCTCGCCAGCCAAATGCTGGTACAATCTCAGCAGGCAACCGTAGGGCAACAGGGAATCATGATCCTAGGCTGACGGGTGGTTGCAGGAAGTCGAGGTGAGGGCGCAAAGGAAGGGAGGAGGATCTGCCAGCAGACATGGGCGTGGAAAGCGAATTGCGCATGGAGCAAGGGATACGCCAGGAGAGTGCCGGTGTGGAATGCTGCGTCGACGGGTGTGTTTGTGCAAGGTCAAGAACAAATCTGGGGAGATGTGTGGCTCGACGTGTCGGCTTGCGGTGAGGGCGGAATGAAAGCGAGGAGAAGAATGGCTGATGAAAGGGTGGAGACGGCCGTGGGAGACGAGAGACAAACACAACTTTGGCTGCAAGAGCACAAGGTGGAGGGGGATATGGGCGGCGCTGTAATGCACGGGTTACACGGCCTGACAAGAACCACCACGGCCAGAAATGCACCAGGAAGATGGAGTTAGAAATGTCAAAAAATGGCAATATATCAGATGGGGAGAGAAGATGGCATCGATGGATGGATGTGCAAAAGCCAAAGTTAGGCCATGTGAGAATGGGTCCTATGACTGAATACCGGATCGTCCATGTCCAAGTGCGGTACGGATGGGCTACAAGTGCTAGGCGGGGGCTAGTGACAGACGAGTTTAGTGTGGAAGAGGCTGAGGTGCAAGGTGTGCACCTCCGTATGTGGTGCCTGTAGCCTGTAGCCATGCGTGGGCAGCAGCCTGGGGGTCTGGGGCCTGGAGGCGGTAGCCAGGCACTTTACTGTCGCACTGTCGGTACGTACTTCCTTCCCGTCAGGCTCCAGCAGGCCATCGCGGGTGGGCGAGCGAGATTCAGAGCCCAAGAGGGTGGCGCTTGCCTTCCACCAAGAACAGCCCAAAGATTACTCATTGATCAAAAGACTCAAAGAGAGTCACAAGGTGAGAGGCGACTTGGACGAAGTTGTAACGGCGGCACTGCAGTTTGCCAGGTGAGATGGCCAGGCTACCAGGCTATGGAGTCACTAGAATCCCCTCGATGGCCACCAAAGAGATGAACAAGATCCTCGATCAAAAATCAAGAATTGGTGGATCCAGGCTTGGATGCCCAAAGAGTTTATGGGCGTTCTCATCCCTATTGGCTGATGAGTTTTGGTTTCAGGTTCAGGCAGTCAATGTGGAGTCCGTTTGACAAGTCACAGTTGAGAAGTGGCTGCAGCAGCCTAGTGCGGATCAGGTCCGACGCTGGCACCAATTATAAGAGGCCCCTCGGTCGTGACATGGGGGCCGAGGTGCCTGGGGAACAGATGGGCAAGCACCAAAGGCAAAGCGGGTGGCTATTTAGGCTTTCAGAGATCTAGCCCATGATACATTCACCACCTCCAGTAGTCATCACCAAGTAATTGCTTTGACGGAAAACTTCCAGGTCAAACAATTCAAAAGTGCCAACGATGCCAACAACATGACAATCAACTGGTGGAAAGACATGGCAAGGACCAGCAGACTTTAATGACAGGGTGGCGCCTTCCGAGGCATATAAAAAGGGCTGACTTCAACTCTGACTCAGACATGCCAACTTAATTAAATACCTAGTACTGGCCTTACAGTGTCTACCCAATACTGTGGTACACTCATAACTCCGGTCGCAGTCTCGATTCTTGAGTCTTCCGATCCTCTAGATTTCGACTGGCTGATAACTGTCCTTATGCACCCTGTTATATGGACACAAAACCTTTTCCACGGCTGGAGTAATTGGTTGAGACCCATCATCTTCTGACTGGTTATTTAGTGGCGAGTGACGTGGCACCCATATTATTGATTGTGATGGTGTTCAGCTGACAAAGGAGTCATGTCTGGCCTTAACGAATGAAACACTATTGTCAAGTCTACAGATTGTGCGTCTCTATTACAATAATAACCTTGCTCGACAGCTGGTCCATCTATGTCTTTGGAAATCATGTGTGCAGTCGGATCCAGGCTTGGGTCGCCTGTTTGTCATCAGACCTCCTCTTTTGGGTGCTGTTGCATACGATACAGTCACGACGACATAAAAGAGTACTTAGACGTAAGGCAAAGACCCCCTCAACGCCTCTTAGCTTGAACTCGTAGCAAAGGTAGAACTTTGCAATTTTCTATATCGATGAGATATCCGGCGTTTATGCTAGATGTATGCATGATCATGATCAAGTTTTATCTTAGCGGAAGCCTCAACACCTAAGGCAATGCAAGCCCCATGCTTGCGGCCCAAGATGCCTTTCCGACAATCACATCAAAACACAAATAGTTCAAGTGTGGCCATAACACGTTATCTCACTTCGAGGAGAGGTGGTGCCTAAAACGCAAAGATGATATGCATCAATCACGTGGCGTCGAGATCTCTGGAAGCGAGAAAGGCAGGCACGCTGGCACGATAGGGAATATCCGTTGGTAGTATATACTCCGTAGTGTGCACCTGGCAAGGCATTGAGCGCCGAGTAAGGTGATGCCACAGTGGTACTACAAGGGTAAAGGTTACTAGGTACCTTTAGGTATCAATCTCTTTTTGTCATTGTGACTTGATAATTTGAGCACTGGTTACCTAACGAAATGGACTTTGAGTGCAGTACGTTTCATTTCTCTCGCATTCTTACCTAGCACACACCAACTGGCGACTTCAGCTTTTCAGTGGCCAAAATCCAAAACGATGCACTGATAAACATTGCAAACCAAGGTGAAATCAACGTGATCAATTGTAATTGATGATGATGAAAAATGGGTCTGTAATCAGTAGTCCTGGTTGTTTGTTGATGGTTTTCCCTGTCAAGCATCCACCCAAGTGCGACATGTGCGGACGGTCTGTCTTTGCTACAAGATCTAACCTCCGACATGCCGGTGCTATGGTGAATGAAAGATGGTCATGATTGGGTGCAGCCAACTGCCCTCTCAAACAAATGTCCAATAGAGATGAAGGGTCTTGTTAGTGGGGTTACGCGTCGACTGGCTTCAAGCCTCCTCGGCCGTGGCGCGAATAGGCGCTTGGAGATCCTTATTCTGGCCCGGTGACTGGTCAAGAGACCTGACACCCCCGGCCAAGTACTCAAAAAGTCTGGCATCGCGTGAGTTTGGCGAGATGTGCTCAGTCCCCACTACGTCAACCGCGTCCACTCAGCGGCTGCGCCCTGTCTTCAAGCTCCAGGGGCCGCTTTGCACTTTGCGGGTGCAAGCACCGCCCTGGTCTTCTGATTCCCCTCCAGTGCCTCCCCAAAATTCACCGTTTGCTGGTGCTGCCACTACCACTTCTATACACTTGCTGTTGGACCATTTCACCATCTCCTCGATCTCGACCCTTCCACTTTCTTTGTTACACCATCCTGCCATCACTTTCATGTGACGATCTTCTGGTCTTCACCCCGTCATTCCTTCAAACAAAGGCAGATCTCGGCTTCATTCCTTTGCTGATTTCTTGCCGTCCATTCATTCCTTCTCAGGTCCTCCACCCCAGCCACACGCACTCAACGCAACGACCAACACCCACTCTACGAGCCCACCACGAGTTGCGCGGACGTTCACCTAGAGCGCGACTGGATATTCGCGACTTGAAATCCCTACACACACACGCACACGCACACAGCCCACGAGTACTTCTCCCACTGCCTTCCTCGACCGGATATATCGCTTTTCAACGGGTTCCTGAGTGCTAAAGAAAGATCACCGCCCCCTCGTATTACGCCCGCCTGAGCAGATCATCAACCCCCACTCACCGACTGACCTGGCGTCAGCCTCGTTGTGCAGATCTATCACAACTATATTTTGAAAGTTGCGCCTTCTCTTCGACCACGGCCTTGATCTTTCAGCCATGGATTTATTCGCCCACTCAAACTTTGTCCAACGACGAGACGCAGAGGATTCTACGAATGAACACATTTCGGCCTTGGAGATGAACCACCTTGCTTTTGTCTTTTTCGCATTGGTTGCATCAGCCTGCTTTTGCTGTGTCGCCCTCTGCTTTCTCCGTCGCAGGAGAATGGCTCGCCGCCAGCAGGCCACATCATTACCCACATACCATCAAGTATCACATCATCAACGATCCCCCTCGGTGACCAACTTTGGCAATGGCTACAAAAACGAGTCGGTCTTTGTATACGACGAAAAGATGAATCTCATCCACAACTCGTCTAGCCCGACCTCGACCTCGGTGCCTGAGATTCACATCACTTTCCCAGACGAGGAAGGCAAACCCAGCAACAGCCAGAATGGTCGTGTGGTCGTTGTCCACATTACAGACTCGGGCAGTGTGGGTATGGGTCCCCTGCAACGCGATGACCTCCCTCCTTATCAGAAAGAAGATGCCGACCGCTTCCAGTCGCTAGATCTCGAGCGTATCGGCGGACTGCGTGAGAAAGAGCCACTTGATCGACGATGATCATGAATGGATTCTACATTGTGGACAAGCATCCATGTGTCTCGAGCTGGTCGCAAGTCCGACCACTGGGACATGGTTTGTGGAATACGTACCGCCAAAGGATGCAGACAGCGTGTACGACAGTCGAGACCATCCATCACGACATGATGATACACACACTATTCTTGCGTAACGGCATCAGCACATTTAATAGACCTGGGACATATTTAGCTTATTGATAGTTCATTGTATTGTATAGTTGGCCCATTGGAGGCAAGCACTCGCCGGAAATCACATGCCACAACCAATCTACTCTTTCTGGATAGCCAAAGAAAGGCCACCAAGAAGCAATGACTGAGATATACATACACACCCCTTCTTCAGTTCGGTCTCAGAAGATCCTTGTGGTTGACACAATTACTGACTCCATCTAGCCTGACTGATTATGTGCTCGACACGGTTCTGATTATTATTGTCAGGTGCTGCCCTGATCATGCTTGTTATTATCAAGCCTGGCTTCCATTCCGTGAACCCCCCAAGCTGAAGAACCAGAATCCTCGGCAAAGTGTTAGCCTGCAGTTCAACTTGACCGCCAATCTCCTCCATCCCTCATAATGTTCTTCGTTCTCTTCATATTCTTGACAATCATTATTAGTGAGTTTGTGTGCTACAAAATCTCATTGTCAATCTCATTCGCAAACCATTATTTACCGTCTGCATCTACTTGCCAGTGTTGCACTGACTGGACTTGGGGTCGACCACGTATTCAAACCGTCGTCCGTGAGAACCCAGGAAAGTCTCCCTGGCTCCTTGGCCTGGGTGTGATTGACCCCCCAGAGCACACCCAAACCCCTGGTTTAGGGGCAAGTGGCCAGTGGTCAGTGTGGCAGCTGTCCCGAACCATAACCTGGCACGCCTCGCTGCTGGCTGCCAACGTGCCTAGCTGCCTAGTGACTTACCGGCCTCGGCCACCCAGACAGCGCCGGACGTCTCTTCCACCCTATTATTGACTGACTGCGCTGCACAAGCACGCCCTCTCCCGTCTGTTCCAATCCACCAAAGCAACGCGTCAACAACTTTCAGCTCGACCAATCAGCCAATCAATTCTCCGTGCCTTGATCCAACCCACTCCATTATTGTGTTGACTCCTACCTGACTGTTGACATCCTGTACACACCTAGAACACCACACACAGTCTTACAGCTTCGTCCTTTGACCCTCACATACTCCAACTCGGCCTCGCATTCACTACAACCAACAATATCAACCATTCTTCCATCACAGTGGCCGCCTTGCGCCTTCGATATGATCACCGTCGCGACGGCCAAGCCCTGACAATTTAATTCCACCCTGAGTCTCCTCCTTCGAGTTGTGGCACACAACCACCTTCGATCATGGCGACAGCCGCCTTTGTCGACCCCCGAGAGAACGCCTCCAACAAAACTCTTAACGCGTCATTCAACGGCCTCTCGGATCCCTTTCTTGACAATACTGTCTCCGACCACCCAGTCCACTCCCATCGCTACTCTGCTCTAATCGATTCCGACACCATTACCCTCGGCGCCAGTACCTCGCCAGCCCAGGTCAAACGCAGTCTTGAAGCCCATATTTCCGAGACTGAGCGTCGTTTACAAGATGCCCAAAAGCTCGGCCAATCTCTCCTTCAGCAGCAGGCAGACCTTCAGGAAAAATTGTTGGAGGTGGATAGGCAGCAGGGCGATGCGGAGATCTCCCCAGGCTTAAGACAACAGCTGACTGATTTAGAGAAGGAGCACAACGACATTGGCAAGGAGATTGCTCGCGCTCTCCTCGGTCCAAAATCTCGTGCTGTCAGTGGCGAGGAAAGACCTACCGCTGAGCCTTCCACGTTTTCCAGCCAGGCTACTGCCTCTCCCACAAAGGTCTCGGCCCCTAGTAGACGTTCCAGAAACCAGCCCAGCAATCGCGCTGGAGACCTCCAGTTTGCTGCAGATATCAGCACCTCCCTGCTTGCACAAGTCCGCCAATTGCAAAGTGCAGTCGCTGAGCGGGATGATCTCCTCAAGCAATCAAATTCGGAACGCGAGCGTCTAGAACGTGATAACCAGGTATTCGCCCAACGCCTCCGCGCACTCGACGAGAATGAGCAGAAATACAAAGACGAAAACTGGAATCTCGAAACCCAGACACACCAACTCCTAGCGGATGCTCGCGAAGCCAATGATCGCGAGAAGAAATTGAGATCAACTCTAGCTGCCATCACCGCCGATAAATCGAGGTCCGAAGCCGAGGCTGAAGAACTCCGGCTGAACCGCGATAGGCTGGCTGATGATCTGGCTGCTGCCAAAAAGGCACACGACTCCGAGCTTCATACCCTTAAGAGAACAATAGAATTGGGTGACGGAGAGAGGACCTCTCTGCAGACCAAGGTCGACGAATTGACTTCCCAGAACACTGAGTTGGCCCGCGCTATTGCCGCCCGATTGAGGTCCCAACATTCGGACGCCGACCTACTACCAGGTAATGATCAAGACGGCGACTTCAGAGATGTGGAGGCTCTCGACGATTCGCCTCCTCCTTCACCAACCAAAGCTACCCCTAGACATGGTGGCCTGGAATCAGAAACCATGAGGAGTTCTTTGCATCATGCCCACCGCATGATTCAGAACCTCAAGAATAACATTCATCGCGAAAAGACCGAAAAGATTGAGCTCAAGCGCATGCTACAAGATGCGAGAGACGAACTCGAGCAACGTCGTGGCGATGGAGCTCCAGGAAGTGGCAGCAAGCGCCAGCGAACCAAGGTGGACCCTTTCAAGAAGCCAGTCCGGCCAGACATGCTTGGTAACAGCCGCCGATCCCGAACTGACATAGAAATGGACGATGAGGATTGGGAAGACCATGCTGTTGACACCCCTTCACACAGCTCTACCTCCAAACACCTCAATGTCCCGTTCTTTGCTACTGGGCGGACGACAGATGCGAGCGACGCGTATCAGACGGCCACGGAGAACGAAGCTGGCGCCTTCGAGACGGCGGATGAGCGGCACACCACCGAAAGCGAGGACTTCCAGACTGGGGCTGAAAGTCTCGCCGGGGACAGTACAGACGATCTGACCGAGACCGAAGACAACGCATCCCATTTACAGCGCAAATCTCGTGCCATCAAGCCATCCCCTCTCTCCTTTAAACCTGCTGGAGACAGACAATCATTCATGAGCACTGCCTCTACCTCAGCTGGTGAAGATGAGGACGAGCTCAAGACCCCTGTCGTGACCCAAACTCAGAAATTCCGCCTCCGCAATGGGGGAAGACAGTCTGTCGTTCGTCAGTCCCAAACGCCAACTAACGGCACGCCGACCAATATTTATGCTGGAAGCAGTTCGTTTGATTCGCCTGCAACCATGACCGACCGCAGCCCCCCAGGCGCAGAACAAAGTCTCTTTGCAGAGCTTGGTGAGCTGGACGATTCTAATTTCGGAACTCCAGGCAGATCAAGTATCATTTCTGCTGCCTCCACCCCTGGCCTAGCCTCGGCCGCCAGCAGACGTACGACACTGGAAGCGAATGCCCCATATGTCCCAAAACCTGTTATGGTAGATTCCGGCGTCATGACAGAGCCCTGGCAACCGGAACCGCCTGTAGCTTCAGGGATCGTAACAGAAGATAGAGCTGCTGGGCCAAGCACACCCATCCAATCTTCCCACCCTTCACCAATGGCGATAAATTTCCCTCTTCCACCCACGGTGCCAAATTCACCTTTCAAACATACCGACAATGGTACACAATACACACCACAGCGAGCTTTGCAAGACAGTCCACTTCGAAACACGGCCTTCATCACGCCTCCTAAAACTGTGTGGGATGAAGCCCAGAGCCCAGAGAATGTGCAGTCAGAACAGGACCCATATGCTCTCACTTACACCCCACAGGTTTTTGGATTTTCGGGACTTTTGACACACGAGACTCAACCTGTATCCCCAGAGAGGCCTCAAACACCCCCGCCCGTGATCTTCGAGCATCTCAACTTCTCGGACATACACTTTGAAGCCACAGAACCTGTGCAGACGCCGATCAAGTCAACATCGATGCAGCTGACTTCGACTGCAACCCAAGTCGAAGATACTCCTGGACGTTCAGCTAGAGCAGAGAAGCTTGCAGCCGCTGCTGCTTTGGGTTTGGCCAAAGCCAAGAGCACGTCTGCTCCATTAATTGCAGAGGATGAGACAAGTGAGCCAGACATTCCACAATTCGAAGCTTCGACGGAGAAAGACCATCCTTTGAAGGATGTGTCTGGCAACAGTCTGCTTAGGAAGCCGACACAGGCACAAACGCTTGGGTCGAAAGACTTGCAGATGCCCGCCCCAATTGCACGTTCCCACAACGACCAGAGCTCGCAGACAATGCTCACGGCGGCAGAAATTGAGAGCGCTTTGCGTTCCAAGACCGCTGTCGCAGAACCTCTCCCTCCTGCACTGACACGAGGACAGACACAACCTCACAAAGCCACCAGACCAATAATTGTACCTGCACCTATAGATGTCGCTCGGGCATCCCTCCCTGCAGACCCGCCAGTTTCGGAACTTGATCAGGACACGCTCTCTGCATTCCCGCTCCCCTCGCCGACTAGACGTCCATCCAGCGCATCGAGTCAGAGACTTGGCAGTGCCACGATACATCCTCCACTTCCACCGGATCACAAGGCAGCAATCGCCAGGGCTAGTAGCCGCGTTGCATCGCCGACAAGAGATCTTGATACCGTGAACAAAGCTCCAACGATTATGGGTCCACCGGCCATTCCTGCGTCAGCCATGCGTCGCCCCAAGACGCCCAGTGACTCCATCAGGTCGCCGACACGCGAAGGCAACGGGCCAAGGACGTCGAACGTCAGTCGATTCAACCGTGGAACCGTTGCATCACAGACTTCACGCCGATCTTCCGTATCTTCTTTTGCATCTGAGATCGATGTGCGGTTCAATATGCATCCAAATGCAACGCCAGGACCCCACACGTTTGGAACAGATCCTAGAATCATTCAAGCCATCACACAGACTATGATAGGTGAGTTTCTGTGGAAGTATACGCGAAAGACGGGTCGGTCGGAAATGTCCGAAACTCGGCATCGACGTTACTTCTGGGTCCACCCATATACGCGTACGTTGTACTGGTCGGACCAAGACCCTCAAACTGCGGGTAGAGCTGAGCTCAAAGCCAAAAGTGTGTTGATTGAGAGCGTTGAAATTGTCAATGACGACAATCCTATGCCCCCTGGTTTACACCGAAAGAGTCTGGAGGTTGTCACTCCTGGTCGACGTGTTCGATTTACTGCAAGCACTGGACAGAGGCATGAGACCTGGTACAATGCACTCAAGTATCTCCTGGTGCGAGGTGAGGACACAAACGGGGAGGCTTACACCACTGGAAGCAACGAAATCACGAGAGATGATGTCAACGAGTTCAATGTCAACGCTGCAGGTTACGGGGCCACTTTGGTGCCCAATGGCAGCCGCATGAGTCTATCGAGTTACAATTCAAGGACGACACGGGGGTCTGTGATCCATAGACCTTCTGCAGCTCATGGCATCTCGTCTTCCTCTGCCAATCGCCTCCCGGAGGAGTCGACTGCTAGTCGCACAGCGCCAAATTCAACTGTCCGAAGGAGCCGAGCGGACCAGCCCCAGGACGGCGACCGCGATCGTACTGTGCGGGCCAGTAGCACGAGTCGATTTTCACGGATGATGAGCTCCGTGACTGGACGAACTCCAAGAGCAAGTGAGGCTTTCACCACGCCCGGTCGAGCAGCTAGCGATACTGGAAGCATCTATGATGCTAGCGTTGTCAGCGATGGTCGAAGAGATTCGGCAGAAGAGATGCGCCGGGAAATGTTGAGACAGGAACAAATCGGATTCGGCGGGCTCGAGAACGTCCGGGCATGCTGTGATGGTATGGCACTCCTGTTTCCTTTGATACCAGCACGGCTGCTATGAGAAGTCAGACTAACATGAATTATTTTGATAGGCAAGCACGATGTGTCGACCCTAACGCACGCTCATCGACACGCTTCGAGTGCAAGCCACTCACACCGAGGCGTCAGCATGAGCTTCCGCGGATCCGCTCGTCGAAGCAACACAAACTCTACTCTAGTGTCCAACGCCCACGAAGGGATGTGATGTGGGAATGGCGATCCGTTTAATGACTTGACTGCCTAGAAAATCATCATCTACCGTTTCCCTAAACTACTGACTCTGTCTGGTTCCTGTCCTGTGGAATCTTGTACTGGGTGTTTAGAACGTACTGCACATATGTCTACATGTACAAATTGTGTAGACTGGTATATCAAGTGAAGCTCGCACGTCATATGTCGTATTTGTATATGGCCCAGAAGGATCCGAACAGTGAACATGGCTAGAATACTACTTAATCATTCACGTTTCCCAAAAAGGAGAGAGAGAGGAAAAGGCAATTAATTTCCGTGAATCATTCATGTCATACATCATCTATCATCATGTGCCGGGAGCCAGCTCCATTGAGGTGTTGAAACCAGTCAAACTGGCTGGAGTGGAGGATTCAAGGCTTGCTTACGACTCCAAACACAGAGTTTAAGGTGTAAAGGGTACAGACTGGGTGTACATCTCTACATCACATAATGTAGACCTTCTTGACCTCATCCCAACCAAAGCCTTCGCCAGTCGTGGGGTCACGAGCCTCACCATCCTTTCCGATCTCGATATCATGAATATTGAAGTCTCCCGCAAGACCAGCCATGACCAATTTGCGTTGCAACTCCTCGAGTCTCTGACGACCGTAGATCCGACCGTTGGGGAGGACCACCGGGTCTGGTTCCACTGAACTGGTCGTATGGTGAGCATAGGGGACATTACGGGCCAATTCGTTCAGTTCCATGCTACAGATAGGACAAAGCGACGTGTTGGTGGCCATGAGCGCTTGACCCGGTGTGGACGAACTGGCTGGGTTGTATTGACTGTGACAGGCGGGAGTCTTCAGGGCGGACAGCCCTGCGGATAGAGCGACGTGCAGCAATGGCTGTAAGGGAAGTGAAAGCAGGGCGTGGTGCGTTTCGACGAAGAGGTTCGATAGATGATGCCATCGAGAGGGAGCGAACAGTGACCGGTATGGTTCGGCTGGTGTGTCTGCGGCTTGAACCAGGAGGCCAGAGGCTTGCATGATCATCTCTGATCGTGCTGCTGAATGGGGTGTCAAGTGCTGCTGGGCATGCTTAATGGCTTCGAATTTCTTGCTCGTGGTGCCGATTCGAATGAGTTCGATGTATTGTTGAAGTCTCAATTCAAATTCTAGGTCGGTGATTTTGTGGGGAGCGGAGATCAGCTTCTTGAGAGAACTTTTGTTTTCATTGATCCACGCCAGTGCCTCTCTGGTTTCACCTCGGGTTAAAGAGGATGCGATCTTGTGGCAAGAGACAAAGATGTCCAAGTCGATGAGGTGGGAGATTTGTTTGGATTCGGCGAGCGCCAGTGCGGATTTTGAATGTCCAGATCGGAGCAAATAGTCGACGATAAGGCGGTTGAGCCGTGTGCTCGCCCAGTTCTCGTACTTGACATCGGCCAGAGAGGGAATGTCGTACACGTCTTGTAGATGCTTGATGCGTTTCGCCGAGTGCTCGTGTAAAGCCTCCTCATCGGCGTGTAGCTTTTCCAACTTCCGCTTGAATGTCTGCATCCTCTGAATCATGGCGTCGAGCGATGCTAGGGTCTGGTCTGGGGTCTGAGTCGAGTTGATGGCACCATTGGCTGTCTCTTTCAACGCAGGCAGGATCTGGTCCCGTTCACGTTCAACATATCGTTGAGTATTTCTGAAGTTTCGTCGTACTAGTTCATGGGGGAGTCGAAGGAGAGGGTGGTCCTGTTAGGTCTGTGTCAGCCAGGGTCAGTCTTGCCAGGCCGTCATGGTATGTACCAGTAGAATATGACTGTCCGGGTTGATCTTGGTGGTTGAGAACTCAGACGCCATGTTGACTTAGACTATGTCTGCGTCAGGCAGACTACAGTGAGAAGGTCTTTTGGCTTTCGTTTGGGAGTGATATGTGTTGACACCTCATCTGGCGGATATCAAGCGGTGTTGGGGTGGGGAGGTCAAGGTTCATGTCATCTCTTCTACTTGTTGGTCGTTAGATGAAGAGAGTGACCCAGAGCACGTGAGCAGGCGTAGGCACGTTCACCACGTGATTTGGAGTTTCATTCTAGTCACGTGAACTACCAACTGACCTGTCAGTTCTCGGAAGTACAAACAAGAAGTGCCCAACTGTGTGACTCGATCCAGACGGGACTGGTGGACAAGCAGGATCATTTCACTATTGTTGTTATTGACCAGTGACCCATTTCAACTATGGCTTGCCAGGCGCGCCGGCCGGGCCTAAAGGATCTGCACACGGGACGAGGTCAAGAAGAAAGTCATCGAACTACATAAGGCATGGGATATGTACATAGCGTACGCATACGAGTACACATAAAGTACGCTACCGGAATTTGCCATACCCACTGCATATGAATGGTAGCCTGATATCTATGCCCAAGTACCTGTTCCGGGATAGGCTGGATAGGCACGGAAGGGCATTTCATTAAACTTCGGGGCGGCCTCTGGGGGCTGCTTTGCGCATTATTCAGGGGCGTTTTTCGGCCGAACCACCGCCAGTGTTTCAAGATTCGGTCTCGCCGCTGTCCATGCGTAGCACTTGTAGAAAAAAGGATCCACACGCCAATGCTTAGGAACCGTGATGTTTTTGTGACCACCATTTATTATATCTTGTCTCGTAAGGTCCTTCTGAAATCTAGTCCAGGAGTAAGCACTGCAGTGTACCTAACACATGAGGACAAGGCCGTCCATAAATCAAATCATTCAGCCCCAGGTCTCCGCCGGCTTACTCTGGTCTGGCCGAGTGCTGTCGTCAGCAGGAAACGTGTAAAAACCAGAAGAGAGACAAATGACGCGATGAAGGATGAAGGATGAATGCTCTATGCTCATTCTGCTTTCAAGAAGTCAATCACCTCACCACCAGGCGGGAGCACATAATTACGAACGAGCGAACTCGCAATAATCGCGACGAAACTGGGTCATGCCGAAAGTGGCACACATTTGCGTGCTAGGCGCAACCGGTATGTTGATTGCCGGTGGGCGCTGTATCAATAGGCATCTTGTCGATAGTATGAGCTGACTCGAATGTCGTTCAAGGCCCTTCTGGAATCGAATTCACCAATCTGATACTATCAAACCCGCTTGGTCCAAAGGTGACGCTCTATGTGCGAAATCCCTCCAAATTGCCGAGCGAGTTCAACGAACCAGAGCATGCAGCTCGTCTCAGAGTCATGGTGGGCGAGCTTGACGACCAGACGGCCATAGAGACGGCTTTGAGCGATTCATTTACCCCAGTGGAGGCTGTGGTGTCGTTTGTCGGACCTTACGCATCCCTCAAGGCCTTCTTACTCCGTACAAAGACAACGCCCATTGCCGATGCCTTCCCTACATTGCTCAAGGCGATGAAGAATAAAGGGGTGAAGAGGATCTTAGCTCTGTCTTCCTCATCGTGGCTGATCCACCCCGATTCGGGCAAAGATGGCCACGACGAGGACTTGTTCGACTCAGTGTCTTGGGATTGGTGGATCGCAATGCAGTTCGTGGCGTTTGTGTTGCCTCAGGGCTTCCGAGAGATGAAGGAAACTGGCCGGAGAATTGCCTGTGAAGGTAAAGATGGTGGATGGGGGTTGAAGTGGACTGTATTCCGCGTACCTCATCTCAGCAATGGCTCGGGTGATACAGCGGTGTCAGCAGGCTATTTTGGCAACGGCTTTACTGGATCCAAGGATCTGACTCGCAAAAGCATGGTGAGATGGGTTTCGAATGAACTGGAGGCTGGTGATTGGATCAACTCTGCACCTGTCGTGGCGAATACGCATTGATTCTTCGTCAAGTCCGGCATGGGATCGAATTGGTCATATTCTTCACCTCCAAGCATTTTCTGCAGGGTTCAACGAAGGGTATACGCATTTGAATGGGTTCACAGAGGACGGAGACAGCGATGTCATAGATACCCATTAGCTTTCATTTATTTTGTTCTATCATACAAGAGGCTGGATCTCTGACGTGCTAACAGATGTCAATGTCGTCCACAGCAATGTTACCTCATAGATGATATTGCTGGGGGTTCGTAATTTCTACCCCGAGTCGTTGCCAGAAACCCTCGACATTCATATCTGCCTGTCCACTATTATTTTGTCAGCATTCGCACGCCAGAATCATCGAGTTTGCTTACTCGGTTCTTTCAATAATGACTGGCTCCGTCTGACCCTCAGCCTTGTTAGGATTACGGAAGACAACATTCTCCGTCTGCGATGCGAGGTTAGTCATGATCGATCGGTTCCGCGTTTGAAGGTACATACAATGCCTAGAGATAAATGGATCGCCGGGGGAGAAACCACGAATGTTTCCTCCGGTTCCCGTCCTTCGAGGAGTGCTTGCACGTTCTTGGCCAAGACAGCGGCTTGCCCAACTCCAGGCCTGGCGGCCTTGTGTGAACCTGTATCGGCGATATCCCCCACCGCGAAGAGGCGAGGGAAATCTTTATTGGCGAATTGAAGGGTCGGTCGAACACGAATGTAGCCATTTTGAGGATTGATGATTGTTCCTGGGGCAGCGGATTCCAGATCGGCCACCAGGTCATTGTTGGGTTTCTGCCCTGTGGCTAGGACGACAAATTCAGTAGTCAATGTCTCACCAGTGGTGAGTTTGACTTCAAAGGGCTCTCCCAGGCTTGGGAAGCCACCAGCTGGTAAGACGACCCTCGCTCCCGTTATCAGCTTTACTCCCAGCTGATCAAATCGCTGCTTGACGCGACTATGGAGTTTCTCGTGGAATTGGGGCATAACGTGTGCGCGAGATTGGACCACCGTGACTTGCTTTTCTGGATATATCTCTTTGAGATCCGTCGCCATTTGAACCCCAACAGCTCCGCCGCCCACAATCAGGATTGACTTGGCCTTCTTGATGGCATTTTGGTGGCTTCTCAGATATGTCACGGATGAGGCCTTGTCATCCTCCTTCATTGCGGCGGGCTGGGATAGTTTAGTCCCTGTTGCAATCGCGAGATACTCAAAGGGGATGGTAGTCGATCCCTGCCACTGCCTATCAAGTATGACTTGACGAGCTTGCACTGAGACGACTCGTGCGTGGACAACAGCATGCTGGGCTGGGTTTGGCACAGATGAGAATATGCCAGTGTATGGCACGAATGCTTTGTGTTCGTGTCCGGGTAAAATAGCGAATCTTGGCTAGGTCACAAGTCAGTAGTGTTCCCTGCTGTGAAGCGATGGCACTTTATCGTACAAAAGTGAATAGATGGTGGAAGTGGCTGTGAGGCTCGATCAAAAGCACCTGTCCGCAGTCAGGCTAAAGTTCCAATTCCGAATCTCGAAGATGATGATTTTTCACTCACTCTATGTGTCGACGGAATCACTCGGGCCAATTCTTGTGCAGCGGCCTGTCCTAGATTTCAGCAAGTGGCATATTGAAGGAAGGGAAGTATCTGGAGAGACCCACTCTGCCAACATAGGACCCACCGACGACTACCACATTCTTCAAGGAACTCCCAATGCCCGCCATTGTCTGTATCAGATGATGCACTATCGACTGCTATGCCTCTAAGATCGAGACAATCACGTCGAAGCAAAAATGATTAGGGAGGAGCACGAGGGATATCTATACTTTTAGGTACGGAACCCGTTCCGTATGGAGATCGCGCATTATCTAATCAGATCAAAGTGTAAACGCCGAACGGCCGAACTTTAGGAGCGACGTCGTACTGTCGTGCCTGCCGTGTGCCTGTCCCGTGTCCCTGCCTCAAAACATAAGATGCCGTTCTTGCCTCCTCCGTAAATCGCAGGAGTGACTCACTGCTGATCCAGTTTGGAAGGACCCTTGTGCCTTCTGCCTACCTAATGTATTTCGGGTGCAACTTTCGGCAATCTTTGGACAGGCAAAACCTATCAGGCACATAGGATATAATTGACATATCTGGTGTTGAGAGCATTCGTTTCAGACGGTTGCAATGTGCTTGGTCTGTCTACACCGAATTTAGGACGTTCATGGGTCGCCGTATGGGCCCTCGGGCTGGTTTCAGGTTAAGAGACGTCCGCCGGCCCCAGGCTTCTGCTTCCACTGGGGTAAGTGCGGGCCGCTCTCAGTGTCTCTCTAGTCACGTGATATGATAGTCGCCCAACGACATCCCACCTCACTCATCAATGTCGCAACGCGTGATGTAACCTCAAGAATGTTCAAAATGTGACCATTGCTGGCGACAGCCTGGAATGTCTGTTGAATTGGCCAACTGCTTCGTTGCGGGCGTCCGCTCTCAAGCATGGCTGTGTCTTCTCCGACCCCCTACCTTGATGCACTTCGCAGGGATGGTTTCGTTAAGATTCCGCATCTATTATCATCGGAAATGTTGTCTGCCTTGAGAGTGGCTTCCAAGAATACCACTGACAATGCTCGTCAGGGCAGGTGGCCTCATGTTCGAACGGTACCGAAGCAGTACCTGCCCTGGCAAGATTGGAAGCCCGGTGACAATATCTGGGGAGTACAACACTTGCTCCACCCAGAAATGAGCGACAGAGACAGCTTTGCGGACCTTTATTTCTCGCAAGAAGTTCTGTCTGTGGTCGAGGAACTTGTCGGGCTGAAAGGCGACCCAGAAGCAAACGACAAATTGGTCATGGAGCTCTTCAACCTCCTTATCAGCCCTGCCGATAACACCGATTTCGAGCTTTGTTGGCATAGGGACGACATTCGCCCAGACGTCAGTCTAGAGGAAGAGGCCCGCCAACTCAGTGAGAAAAGTCCAAACGGCCAACAGCTGCATGCACAATACAACATTGCGTTATTTGACGATGCTTCCTTGATAGTCATACCAGGGAGCCATCGACGAGTCAGAACAGATACTGAAAGAACTGCATCACCCTGTGAAGCATCTTTACCCGGTCAGCTGATAGTAGAGCTGGGGCCTGGAGATGCGGTCTTTTACGACAGCAACATTCTTCACCGCGGCGTCTACAAAGGGATTGATGCGAGTCAAACCCTCGGCCGGATGACTCTGCATGGCTCTGTGGGGTTGGCGGACCATGGTCCTCAGCGAGCTCGACAGGTGCTCCAGCATGCTGTTGGTCAGTGGGTCGATAGAGCTCGGTTCAAGACGGACGACATGACGGGAGTTCGAGCCGAAGCCATGAGAAAGAGGTTGGTTGCAATGGGGCGAGGCGAAAATGTCGGGTATTCCCTTATGGGCTGAGAGAAGCAAAGAACTTCCTACCTAGTTCGAGCAGATGGCGTCAACTGTGATGTGATTGACGCGTTCTTCAAGCACTGAACCGGTCTTGAATCAAGAACAATTTGTCTCAGGTCCAATTTATCATGACCATCTCGTGAAAAGCTGTGCACCAGAAAAATCTAGCCCCCAATGCCTCTACATCATCGGTTGTCCAGTCGTTAGTCTCTGGGAAGTGTGACCGCATCTGGGCCAGCAGAACGACACCTTCGACTTCGAGCTCTCCACCGCCAATCAACCAAGAATTCACAGCTACGAGCCAGATCCAGATCAAGCATTGTCGATATTCAATTTCAACGGGCGGATCGATGGATCTGACCGCAATTGCCAACGCTTCTGTCACACTGTGGAAGACACATGCTCGGAACTCCCTTCCCACGATGCTAAGGACTCCATAACGGACTAGGCCGAGACAGACGAGTTTGTCCACTGACAGCCTCTTGCTGTAGACTGCAGGACAAAAATCCTTGAGCGGTGCATACACGGCCTCGTTCACGGGCCATGGATTGACGGTGTAATCTCGACGAGCAAGTCGGTTGATTATGGCTATGGTTTCTTTACCGAGCATTCCCCTCTCAGCAAGGGGAGCAAATCCGGGAGGCATTGAGATCAGGGCGTCCTCGTGTGTTAGCATCTCGAAGGTTTCGGGTCGAGGTCCGTCGAAACCCAGGAAATCGAATTCTTCCACGTCGGCTGATAGCGAGTCCTGAATCTGAAATCTACGGGACCAGTCAGACACAAGCAATCAATAGGGATTGATACAGACATACTGAGAGGCCAAAGCCTGGATCCAGGGTACCGCGATCAGGCCGTTAGCGCCACCCCGTGCTTTAACCATGGCAGCAGCTTTGGACCTATGGGCTCGTTCGGCGTCACGATTGTGCTCGGAACCTTCGAGGATGGCAAGAAACATCACGGTCAATATGGGGCTATCGTCGATACCCGCATCGGAGAGCTCGATTCGATTCCGGAGTTGAGCGAGGGCACCCTCCTTGTGGAGGTAGACACCAGTCACGATCTGTTGGCTAGCGGGGGCAAGTTTCATCAATGGGCTAGCCAGGGATAACATGCTGGCCACCACGACATCCAAAACGTCCCTGGACGAAGCCATCTGTTCGAGAAGCCAAGACCCGTAGAGATTAGAGACGCCAAAGGTGCCCGCAATAGCGGCGTGAATCGGAGAGACAACATTGTGCACTCACAAACAAATCAATATCAAGTACCACAAAGGATTGCCGGACAACGTACTAAAGTCGATAGCTATCCCGGCGGTGACGCTATCACTGCCAGGGATGCAATTGAAGGGGTCCTTCCTGGCACCTTTGGACCAATGCCATGGACTTGGATCTGCTGCTGGTGTCTGCGTCGCTACTTGATTATTCTCCGGTTGGGCCGTCTTCTCCGGCTTGCCCGCGGACAAGAGAATCAACTTCTTGGTCCGGTGTGCAGCTCGAGCAGCATGCGACTTTGCTTGAGATATTGCGAGCTCCTTCTCCCTGACTGTCTGGCCACCTTGAATACTGATGAATGCGTACTTGGCCATCACAGAAGATGGTTTGTACGGTTGGCCCAAACACGATAATGGCCCACAGGGCGCGGAAGTGGTATTGTTGCGACAGGAGGATTGGGGGATGGACACAGTCAACCCACCAGGTTATATTGTTTCAGGAAATTCCACTAAATCAGAGCATGGGTTGTAGCATATTGAAAATGGATAACAACTAAAGTATATCACTTAGTCAGAGTCGATATATGCATCTGATTCCCTCAAATAAGTCCATCAGGACATAAAATACATTCAAACCTGTCCATCACGATTCAAGATCTCGCCAGTCGTGATTGAGCAAAGAATTTCCTGATTAGAAAGGGTTATACTTTCTCCAGGTCTGATAGGCCGTTGTGCATCATTTAACCCAAAATCAGTAGATGGCAGACAGCCGCTCAAGCGATTGTTCATGCAGTGGCTGAACTAGGGGTCGTTGTTCTAGTCAAATGAGGTCTGGTTTCTTTGTCACGTGACAACTGCCAGATTTGGACCGAATTGGCATGTTCTTATAATGGCGGCGACATGACTTTACGGCCGTTTGTTTGCAAATGTTTGGTGTCAAGGATTTCTAGGAACATTGGGACTTCCATGTGTCAACATAAGACGGTTGAACCCCTTGCAATGTCATCGTCCAAGGTACACATTTGACTCAGAGCACAAAGGCTACGTACGAGAAGATGTAAGGAAGATGTCACCGTTGGCCAAGACATATCACGTGAAATGGATTATCGATATCGCCGCCCGAGGGTTTCCCCTGCGCTTTCTTGTGCCGAGGTCCAAATCCTCAAGAACGAGAAATCTCCAACAAACTGCGACGACCAAAGCGATTGTCCTCGCCCACTTCTTTCAGCCGATAACCGTGGTGGGAATCTTGTGTTGAGCACTACTGTGCTAACTAATCACTTTGATCACAGCGTCCTCTGTTGTCCCGTAACTCTCGGCCATTGACCGACAGTCCCAGTGTGTCTCTTTACCGAGGGTCAATTGACGGTACTCTCTTTTGTTTGAACCACACCTCGACCTGTATCATATTCCTTCCTCACAATCTTCGAGCTCGATCCCTTCTTTCAGTCCCTTGCGAGTATCTCATCTCACTCAGTTCATCATGGAGTCCCCTGAAGAAGCTGTTCTCTACCACAAGGAAGGCCGCAACGCCATCATTACCCTGAACCTGCCCAAGAAGCTCAACGCCTTGACCCAACCCTACTACTACCGCATCTCGTGCCTCTTGCGAGAGATTGCCAACGACCCAGACGTCTCAGTCACCATTCTCACGGCCAAGGGTCGCTTCTTCTCCGCCGGTGCCAATGTCACCACCACTCGACCGGGCGGCGACAGTGGACAAAACAAAGATGCCGCACGCGGTGACATTCTCAGGTCATTTGTCGCCAACAACTTGGACATTACCCGGTCCTTCTATACCCACCCCAAGATCCTAGTTGGTGCTCTCAATGGCCCTGCTGTCGGCCTGTCTGCGGCGTTGTTGGGCTTCTGTGACTTCATCTACGCCGCCCCGCACACATTTATTCTCACCCCCTTCTCCTCGCTGGGCCTGGTGGCCGAAGGAGGCGCCTCATTTGGCCTCGTCCAACGCCTCGGCATTGCTAAGGCTAATGAGGCCTTGATCATGTCCCGCCGCATTCCGGTTGAGGAGCTCGTCCAAGTCGGCTTCGTCAACAAGGTCATCAGCGGCAAGGACCAGAATGATAGCGACGGCTTCCTTAAGAAGGTCCTCGCCGAGGTCGATGATAAGTTGGGAAACCATCTGAACCAGGAAAGCTTGATTGGGATCAAGGAGCTGATCAGGAAGCCATACCTGGAGACCTTGGAGACTCAAGGAGTCCGAGAAGTCATGGCTGGCATGCAACGCTTCGTTTCGGGAGCCCCACAGGAGGAATTCAGAAAGATTGCCAGCGGCGAGAAGCGACACAAGCTGTAGGCTAGCTGATCCATTTCTCCATGATTGGTGTGTGTATGTATGTTAGAATGTATACACTGTCTAGCCAATGTTAGCATCAAAAGTCGTCATCACGCTGCTCTAGAATCGCTGCTCTTTCAAGTTCGAGTCTTATGCATTCCGAATGGCTTTACTTCCACTAGACAGCCGTCATGTCCGTCCGTCAATTCTGATGTAATCACCCTACTCAGCTTCACGATCATAGGGAGAACCACAAATGAGCACAAGTCCCTTGCAGCCACAAAGTATAACTCGAATGCTGCTTTTGCACGAGTGATAAAAACAGCATGATGAGTCAAGGATTTATCCCGAAGTTGGCACTGGTCTTTGACAACATCATTGGTCAGAGACTTACTCAGGGCTACCACTAACTTAATCTGGGAGGGTGATCCTGTATCCAGGCGCTCTACCTCGCCGCTTTAGCACTATCCTTTACCATAAAGAACGTTTAGGAACACGAATACTTCAATTTTCTTCATCCTTGACGAGCACCTCGAGCAATCCACTTTCAGCTTTGCATATGCACTCTTTGTCATGCATTAGTTTATGCTTTAGACAATGTCTTCGAGCTGTCGTCATTTACAGACAATAAGCTTCCAAAACATGCCTCAGTAAGGATGCTTGATGAGGTGATCAGTATTTATGCCTGCGATGTTTTCTATGCCAGCAGCTGTGTATATATAAGTCCTCCAGTCGATATGTGAGTAGAATCTGTTCAACCACTGCTTCTCCCAACACAGTCTGCATCAAGCATTCTAGGGTCGACCTGTAACCACGAAATTTCCAATCGTTGACAATCATCCATCATCATGGTCTACGCAACTCTTCCTAACGGCATCAAAGTCTTCTATCGAGAAGCTGGATCCTCATCTAAACCAACATTCCTGCTCCTCCATGGGTTCCCCACTACTTCGTTTCAGTTCCGCAAGATCATGCCTTTGTTGGCTGAGAAATACCATGTTGTTGCGCCAGATCTACCAGGCTATGGCTTCACTAAAATCCCTGATGAGCTCAGTTTCAAGTACACATTTGCAAACATTGCCGACACGATCGAGTCATTCCTTGATGTTCTGCAAATCAAAAAGTTCGCAGTTTATATCTTCGACTATGGCGCTCCCACCGGCCTTCGATTGGCCTTGAAACGCCCCGACGCGGTCTGGGCCATTGTAGCCCAAAATGGCAATGCCTACGAAGAAGGCCTGAGGGAGTTTTGGGACCCTGTCAAGCAGTACTGGACTACTGCCAATGGTTCCCCCGAACACAAGGAATACCGGAGACTGATCACCGAGGCTGTCCTCGGTCTGGAGCCCTTCCGCCAACAGTACATCCATGGAGAGCCTGAGCCTGACAAGATCGATGATCCAGCGACTTATCACTTGGATTGGGCCTTGGTCAATCGTCCGGGAAATCTCGAAATTCAACTTGACTTACTCAAGGACTATGCAACCAATGTCGACTTGTATCCTCAGTTCCAACAGTATTTCCGCGACAGTCAAGTCCCCTTCCTGGCCGTCTGGGGCAAGAATGATCTCATTTTCCCAGAAGAGGGTGCACACTCGTACAAGAGAGATCTGAAAAAGGCTAAGATTGTCTTGTTGGATGGCGGGCACTTCTTAGTCGAAAGCCATACCGAGGAGGTGGCAAAAACGATCCTTGACTTCTTTGCGGAAAATGGGCTTTGATGAGTTCACCCTCACGTACATAGGGACAAGTTGGCACCCATGGATAGGACATCTCAAAGTCTTGAATGGCAAAATTGCTGTTACTGCAAGGTACAGCTTGTGGAAGAAAGACAGGAATGACAGTGAGCTGCAAGGTTATGTAGATGCTTCGTCAGCGTAACATCAATTACACTTCTATCACACTCTGTCACAACCGACCTAGATAAAGAGAGCCTATTTCTCATGTACCTCACTGAGCCAATCGTTCCTTGGCTATGGTGCGCTCTCATGTTCCATATGATTTGGCTCAAATCCCTCCCTTTCCCTTGAGCCCCAGCCTTCAACCGCTGCCCTAAACTCTGACAACTGCAGATATAATCTCCCCGTGCCTTGAATTAAAGTGCATAGCGGAAATATTTGTTCTCTTTGTCCGTCAGATCGGCGAATTCTTGTCCTGCAGGTTGTGGCGGGAGATCCGCAGCCTCGCGGTCTCTTTTCTTGTTCTCGCGCCAGTTGATCCACCACAGACCCAAAATGCATACCAAAGAGGCCAAGTACACTCCGAGGATAGTGTATTTGGCTTTGGTATAGTATGGAGGGTCTCGGAAAGTTTGGGGCCCAATCAGGAAACCGACACAGTACGCAATCAAAACCATGGCATTCACCGTTGTTTTCTTGGTGTAACCCGCAGCATTGGTGCTCACCACGCTGAGAATCAAGATCAATGGCGAGGGCGAATTACCCAGGATGATGTAGTATGCCACAAGCTGTCCGTATCGATATGCTGTTGGACCGTGGCTTGAGAGACCAGTCATCAAGGCAATGGAGAAAACACTGAGAAGTACGGCAAGAGATGCCGCCAACATTCGATTCTTGAACTTGCCGGCCAAGTAAGGAAACCCAAGATTGGTAATCACCTGAGTAAGACCGCTGGGCATGCTGAGCAGAAGAGTCGTCTTTGCATCAAAGCCATAGCCTTGGATAAGTAGTGCGAAAAATGTGGTCAATCCGCCTGATGGAATCAACCAGAGAATACAGAAGAGGCAGCATAGCCATGTCTGTTACACGCACAGCAAAGTCAGTAGGATTCATCGACACTCTTCAGGGTATGAACTTACGCGGGGATCCGTAAAGGCCTCGCGGAACTGGGGCCATTTGAAGACTTTGCTTCCAATGCCCTGTTGATTGACCCGGAGACGCTCTATAGCCACACGACGTTCAAAATCATCAAGCCATTTTGCTGTAAGGGGCGACTCAGGGAAGTAGATGAACATAAAGATTCCAAATATGCAAGTCAGTCCTCCTGAGAGAATGAAAAGGACTCTCCATCCTGCAAAGGTGATGCTGTCATTGCCGAGAAACCCTGCGGCGATACCATATGCGAATGCAGCGCCTCCAACTTGTGCGACTGCGTTTCCAATATACCAAAAGGCAGTTCGTGTTGCGTGCTCATCACGCGAATACCATCGTGCAGTGATGAGGACAAAGCCCGCTGTGACGGCGCCTTCGAGCGCACCCAGCACGAAACGGCCGACCATGAGACCAGCGAAGTTGTTGCATGCCGCATTGAGTCCGAGGACGACACCCCAGATAAAGACTACGCTTGACAAGTATCGAGCAAGAGGCAGTCTCTGCATCAGTCTGTTGTGTGGGTAGACGAAGACGAGATAACCGAAATAGAAGATGGATCCGCACCTGTACGAGAGTCGTTAGCATCAATGAATCTCGATTCTTGTCGAATCAAACCAGGATCACCTACCATGCATACTGGCCCGAGGTGAGCTTGGTGTCTTGAATGAGGCCCATGACAGATGCATAACTCAGGAGAGTTTTGTCAAAGTATTGCACCATGAAGGTGAAAAACATCCATGGAATGAGGTGGCGATCGATCTTGCGTCGCACTCGAACGTTTGTGGCCTCATCATATGTGACGGTCTCTCCTTGGGTGAAAGCAAGTGCTTGGTCGGCACCTTCGGATACGGTAATAGCACCTTTCTCGTTGGCAAACTGTTCCGATGGGCCAACACTGTCGGCGTCTGCTTTGGTGGTGGCCATCTCTTTGTTGTCCATGGTTCGATTCTGTGCTATAGGTACTCTCATTTCAAGCGGACAACCTCAATCTTATAAGTGAATTTGAGGTCGAGCGCCATGATATGTCGATTCCTGCAACAGGAGACTTGTAAAGTACGTTGTCCCTTCTTTACGGTCCCAGGTCCACTATCAGCGTGGTCAAGATGCGCACTTGGACCGCAAAATGATAACCGGGGACGGGTTACAGCGATCTTGGCAATACATCGTTGTCCGATAGAACTTTCTTGCACGAGACATGGAGATTAGGAAAGGTTGCGTAGAGCGGACCCAGACCTAGCGCCATTAGAGCACCCTAGGTTATCCCCGTCCATCCGTGCACCCAAAGCTAACACATCATTTCCAACCATGGCCACCACTGTGGATCACATGAATGTGGCCTGCGATATGCAATGAGGCCCAGATTGTCAAACAGACAACCATGATATGATCCTTGGACATTTCCAAGCCCACGGGGTGGGGTTTTCCCACGTTGTTGAAGCCTCCGCCCTCATATTGGACCCGCTTTTCTTGGGATACGCTTGATAGACTCCAACAACGTATGGCTTCGACCTTGATAACCGAGGGTGAATTGGTCGGAGTAGAGTCCACTTCTTCCACTACCCCAGCATTTGCTTGCCGAGTTGATAGCACTGTACGATAGTCCCCGCCCCCAGCTAGCATATTCCCGTGGATGTTTCCGTCTTGGAGGGCTACTTACTCTAGATCAGGCGATATCCTTTTTAACTGGAACGGAGAGATGCACTTGTCATTTGAGAAACATCAAGAGACAAGACATCTACTGCCGATTATCTTGCAAAACGAAATGATAACATCAACGCTATCAATTCCGGAGTACAGACTCAGGTAACTACCACAGCGGCATATCGCAATGAGTTCACAAGAACAGCACTCTGAGCGCCCTTCTGTCACTCTCCCTCAAGGAGTTATACGTGGCATCGTGGAAAATGATCAATATCCACAGCCCGTCGAATGCTTTCTGGGCTTCCCATATGCCCAGCCTCCTGTGGGGAGCCTTCGATTTCGCCCACCAGTCAAGGTCGCGCCTTGTTCTGATGTGTTCGATGCTGTTGCGTATGGCAATGCTCCCCCTGGAAACCAGTTGATTCCTCCTAGAATCCCGCTAGTTTACAGCGAGGATTGTCTGTCTGTCAATGTGTTCAGACCAAGACCCAATTCAACCCACAACAAGCTTCTACCAGTCGCGGTCTATGTCCATGGCGGCGCCTTTAACCGGGGTCACTCGTCTATGCAGAACACTGCTTCCATGGTTGGTTGGTCTGAAGAACCGTTCATAGCTGTCTCATTCAACTATCGAGTTGGAGCATTGGGATTCCTCCCATCGACCAAGTCAGCGGAAGAAGGCATTCTAAACCTCGGTTTCCAGGACCAGAGATTGCTACTCGAATGGGTGCAAGACAATATTCACCATTTTGGTGGCGACAAGGACAATGTGACTCTAATTGGTCTTTCTGCGGGTGCTATTGCGGTGAGTTCTTTCCTGTCTTGTCTTTCCCGTAGTCTCTGGGACTATTTTACTGAATCGCAGTCAGATCGGACATCTCCTCCTGCAGTATAGCGATTCCAACCCTGGGCCCTTTCACCGAGTCATTATGGAATCAGGTTCTGCAACCTCACGAGATTGTCGACCCTATGATTCCGAAATCGTCGAGCGTTATTTCGCCGAGTTCCTCAGTGAGACCGGATGCCCGCCTAATCTCTCCACGGCGGACACCTTCACCTACTTGCGCGAACAACCCTTGTCTCGAATCACCGACGCACAACAAGCAGTGTTCAACAAGTACAGACATACCATGCAATGGGCATTTCGACCTGTAATTGACGGTGACATTATTCCTCGACCCCCTATGGAAAGCTGGCGATCGAAAAACTTCTACAAAGTTCCAATCATGACAGGTTTCTGTACGAACGAGGGATCTCTGTTCGTGGATCGCAAACTGTCCGAACCAAAACAATTCATGGATTTCGTGAGGAGGCTGCTCCCTGGACTTCCCGAGGAGGATATTGCCGAGATAGATAGGCTTTACCCTGATCCATCCACCGGAAATACCGTCTATCTTGATGGCAGAGTAGGCAGCGAGATTGGGGCTCAGTTCATGCGCACGGAAGCTGTATATGGTCAGTACTCGCTCATAGCTCCGATTCGACAGACGGCCCATCTTGCATCTTCGATCCCAATATCTCCTCCTGTGTACCTCTACCATTGGGATGTTTTTGCAACATTACATTTTGGTGCGGCCCACGGCGACAGCATGAGGTACGAAACCATGGATCGTGTAACTACTTCTCTATCCCCTGCACAAAAGGAAGTGGCGAGCATTCTGCATGCCTACATGACCAGTTTCATTTGCCACCAAGGCGATCCGAATCGTTTGCAAGGTCGAATGAAAGACCGTCCGATCTGGAAGCCATACACCCCTGCCCAGCCTCTAACCATGATCCTCGGAAATGGCAACAGAGAGTTGATAGGCGGGCCAGTAGGTACACCGGCCGAGTTAACAGAGGACACTTGGGCTATGGAGCAGTGTCAATTCTGGTGGGATAGAATTGATATCACACGACTGTAGAGAGCCCCTCTTAATTATTTCAATGGGAGGAGTGCATGATAATACTGAATATTCAAAGAACTATTTGCATTGGTCACATCGAGCGGTAATTGATTTGTTCCACTCCAAAGCGAGACAAATCGAGACAAATGAAGGTCCAAGTGTAGAAGCAGCAATATAAAAGGAGTGCCACGTTTGTCCGCTTATAAAAGGGAACCTGTGTCGCATACCAGGTTGATAGAGCATGTTCTGTTCTACAAGAAAGAATGACTGAGAAGAAATGACCACGCAACACCTTATCCATATATACACTACCGATCCCACACATGGTCGTTGGTGACCATGCCGACTGCCTTGCCATCCTGTTTGAAAATAACACCGTCCTTCATAACAAAGTCGACCCGTCTGAGGGCTTGAACATCGTCACGAGGATCAGTATTCACAGCAATCAAGTCGGCGCGGGTTCCCTGATCAAACCAACCGAATTCCATGCCACAGAGATCCCCACCACAAGACTCCCAGCCACCTACAGTAGCGGCCTCGAGGATTTCTTCCCACGACAAGCCGACCTCTCGTAGAAGTTCCAACTCCCTAACCGACTGACCGTGCGGATATGTGCCGGTGTCTCCGCCACAGGCGAAACGCACACCCATTCGGTATGCCATCCTCGATTGTTCCATGATCTGGTCGAAGCGTTTGGCGTGCACGCGCTCACAGACGGCCAAGGTGGGGACAAAGATGGTCTTTTTCTCGACCATGAGCTTGAAAAGTTCTTCGTTGGCGAAATATGCATGCTCGATCGAGATAACGCCGGCTTTGATGGCCATCATTGCTCCGTCGATGGTTCCCGCGTGACAGACGACGGGAACTTTGGCAAGATTGGCCTCCTTAACTAGCGCATCGACCTCCTCCTGGTGGAAGACCAGATAGTCTGGGTTGGGGTCTTTGGGCGGATGGGTTGGACTGGGGATGTATGGGTGTTGTTGAGCGGGTGGGTACCTCATGATTCTCCTTCGATAGTCGGCGAAGAACTTGATAACGTCGGCACCAGCAGCGATGCGTCGTCTCACTGCCGTCCGCACTTCGTCCACTCCATCGACAGCTTCCCCTCCACGCGGATAGCAGACTCCGTTCGCGTGGTTCTCGGTCCGCATTTCGTACGACCCGGTGCTGGCCAATGCTCGTGTGGCCACAAACATGCGTGGGCCTGGAATGAGCCCTCGATTGATACAATCACGGATCTGGGCGTCCATGTCCCCCATAGACTCTGAACTTAGATCTCTGGGTTGTGTCAGTCGACACTAAATCGCAAACACTATCTATATATTCTGACTTACCTGTATGTGGTGCAACCCGCCAACAGTGCTGTTCGCACATGATGGGTGGCACGGATGATTCGCTCTGGAATACTCTCGTCGCGCTTTTGGACGAGAGATGGCCGCTCGCTATGACTTATTAGCCAAATGCAATCATTTTTGTTCAAACATAGCAGTCGGAAACTGACTCGTATGAATGAAGGAAGATGTGAGTGTGAGCATCAACGATCCCTGGCATCACAACCTTTCCTCTGAGGTCGACATCGCCTCTGGGAACGGAGGTTCCAATGTCTGTAGAGTCTTTTCTCTCATAGTAATCAACTATCAGGCCTGTCTTGGGGTCGACAGTGATCGACATGTTCGACAAGAAGGCCTTCTTCTTGGGATCGAACAAAGTCGATGTGTGGACTGTGTATGGGGCCTCCATTGCTGGAGCTGCTTCAACTTTCGCGATCATCTTTGCTGATGGTAGTGTTCACCGTTCAAAGAAACGCAACCAGCTACATAGATATGCAAGATAAAGACTAAGATAAAGACTGGTGTCCAGTATTCCAGGTCTCGGTGTGGCAAGCCTGTGGGTCTTGTCTAGTTTGCATATGTATGGAGTTGGCCCACATACGCAGTTCCCCTAGCCTGGTTGTCCTCCGTAAGCATATTCCCGTCAACCACCAACGGCTTTATGCATGATCGACGCCTGCTTATCCGAATTCCATACGAGAGCAAAAGTGCGACATGGCAAGAATTGTGTGGGGTACCATCGACGGCTCGGATGCTGTGACCCTTGCCCGTTGTAAGTCCCATGACTAAATCGCCCAACGCAGGGACGATGAAACTATAGAGCTGTTTCGCAAAACCATTGGTATTGTGGTCATGCACTTTCCGTACTAGTTATCATCTAAGAGATCTTTAAGACAATTGCCTCGTCACGAAAAAAGGGTACTTCAAGGCCAGTATTAGAATGGCGTTTTCAATCGTTGGCGCCGGCGATCTGGTTCTCAGTGGCCCGCTTAGCCGTCCTGTGGACGGCAACCATGTCTACAATCATATCAAAGACACTGATTCGTGTTTTGCCAATCTGGAAATGCCCTTCAGTACAGGCGAACACCCGGCAGAGAAATTGATCGCCCTGAGGTGTGACCCTGAACACAGTAAAGTTGTCCGTGAAGTTGGGGTTGACGTTGTCACCGTGGCCAATAACCATGGGATGGATTATGGCTTGGAAGGCCTCCGGACAACATGTGCAGCCCTGGATAAAGCCGGCGTTGCCCGTGTTGGGTCCGGAGAGAATGTGCAAGAGAGCTTTGCACCTGTGTACAAGACCATCAATGGCACAACAGTGGCATACATAGGTATCACCACGACTTTGCCGAATGGAAGCGGTGCCGGACCTCAACGCCCTGGGCTGGCCGGTGTACGTGTCTTCACCAAATATGTTATTGACACCGTGACATTGGACGAATCACCTGGCATGTCACCATACTCCGAGACGGAGACATACAAGCCCGATGAGGAGCGACTCTTGTCAAGCATCCGAAATGCAAAGGCCAAAGCAGATGTCGTGCTGGTGGCCATCCACTGGGGAGTACCCTGTGGATGGGTCGCAGCAACACAGGATGAGATAGCGACATACCAACAACCCCTGGCGCATGCCATGATTGACGCTGGAGCCTCGGCAATCTTTGGGCATCATCCCCATGTCGTGCAGGGTGTCGAATTCTATAAGGACGCTCCGGTGTTTTACAGTTTAGGCAATTTCATCTTCAGTAACAATATCGTCACACCCGGAGATGAGCTGCGAAAGTACCCTCCATACAACTGGACCAGCTTGCAGGTGACAATATCCAACATTGGCGCGCTAGCCAAGTTGAATTTTGACGGGAGTAAGTTGACGAGGTGTACGCTCATTCCATTTGACATTGCCGAAGATGGTGAACCAAATGGGGCGACGCCACAGTCAGCCGCATTGCTCTTGTCGCGCTTGCTGTCGTTGTCTCGAGGACGAGGAACGGCATTTGAGCTGAATAAGCTAGACGAGGGGTTTGAAGTGACGATAACCAAGTCATAGAGGTAAAGACTTCGATGTTGGACTGGTGGATCATCAAGTCGCGGTGAAGCTAGATTGTTCAGAAAGTCATCCCCCAAAACATTTGCACAAAGATCTCCCACGATCGAGCATATGTAGAACCATTTCTCCAGCGTGCCGTAAATGAAGCGAGAAGGGTGGAGACTTTGATGATCGGGTCCATGATGACACTGGGGCTCAGTTGTAGCACAGGTTGGCTTCCTCCGAATGCAGTGGATGTAGATTGCCGTTGACTCATGATGTAAACTGCCCAGACGAGACCCGCCTCAAGAACCTGCTCAGCTGCCATCCAAACACAAATAATTTTGGTCTCTTCGTTAAGTAAGGCGTAGTGGTTGATAATGGTGCATGCAGAGTTCCCCACGATATGGAAAAGCCTGGATGGGAACGCACCCGAATTTGGTTGGTAGAATGCGTCTGACGCTGTAAACAAAGGGTGCAAGGCGATGTATAACCTCGCTGAGTCAATGCTTATAGTAGAAGGAAATGCTGTAACTTGTAGCGGGCCGGGGATGAGGCTTTCCAGGACCTCGTCTGGTTGCTGGAAGGAATGATCCATCCGATGCACCTCGTTGTGCAGAGAGATGAGGACACTGAGGGCTTCGAGGGATGGATTGGGTGCGAGGAAAGTGCCATATGCGCTGCGAGCGTACATGGCGCAGAATGCAGAGTAGCGACGGAAGTGAATGGCAGTCATACTGTGTAAGTCTTCAGTAAATGTCACCAGTCGATAGGTTCTGGATTTTTGGCCTACCTTTCCATTTTCAGCAGCGTATACTCCAGGTTCTGGAATTCCTGGTCGATCGCAATACCTCTTGACTGATATTGGTCGCGGAGGTCTTCAAACATGGTCCAGGCCCTCCCTAGTAAATCCCAGAGTTGTCCGGACGATGGACGGATCATATCACAAAGCGCCAGTCCACACAGAGCTGTACATGAGGATGTAATCGTGTCCAGTGAGCCATGGTGATTTTCAGGTTTTGTAATGAACCTTTGTAAATCCTCGATGCATCGAGAGGAGAAATTTGACATCGTTTGATCCAGGTCCCTTGTTATTAGCGCCGAGGAGATGGCAAACACCAGACTTATTTCAAGAGCGGCTGGACTGTCTTTGTTTGAGGTTGACCATCTAAGAGGATTCTCATGAGTAAGCATCGCAGACTCGCCATGAAGATGCAACAATTTATACTCCTGGGACACTACTTTCATGTAATGTTCGATCATCGCCTTCTGAGTCGAGGGGGTGACAAGGGAATGGAGCTCAACTTTGCGTAGATCCCCTGTTGTAGGAAAGGCTAAGACATGCCTGCTACGAGTGAGCTCATCCACTTTGGATGTCCTGGTGGACAGTAGTCCTTCTGGAATAGGAGTGCCATTCTGTGGCCGATAACAGATACTCTTCTTGAGCAAGTGATTCAGCAGGTGGGAGGAGCTGCCAGGTCCTAGATACGCAAGCTGTGAGGGGGAGTTGAGATTGTCACCATCAGAAACGTTCAGGTGTAGACCATGTTCTTGGATTTCGTAAGATTGTTCACCGGAAGATGAATCTTGACAGTTAGTCTTATCTGTGGCTTGCTCGATTTCAAGCTCGAGCCGCCGCCTCTTCTGTCGAAGAAGATGAAGATGACTATGGGTTCCTTGTTAGCGTGGATCCCAGACCTGGAAGAGGGAGTTCCTTACCTAGACGAGATCTCTTGCCTTAGATAATGGTCCCAAAAAGTGCATTCAACGTCTGCTAGGCTACAATTCTTGCATGCAGGAAGCTGAAGATCGCACTATGTTTGACAAGTTAGCCTGCTTATGAGTGGGGGAACATTACAAAGGGACTACCTTGATTCTCCTTTTCCGACATCTGCTGCAGACTTGCAGAGCCATGGGTTAGGGCCAGGTGACGTTGAGGCACTTGCAATGTAATTCTTAGGAAGTGTCCACGGAAGAAGTGGTCGCTAGAGACCACATGATAACAGGTTAACAGGATATACGGAGTACTTTGAATTGGACCAGATGAAAGAAAGATTTGACGAATATACACGTGACATGCACGTGCTACATACTGGTGGGTGCTCCAGGGACGGGGGCACGGGGACAAGGAGGGAGGCGGTGCGTGGAAGAATCGAGATGCTTAGGCTTAAAAGGCAACCTAGAAATGTGGCTCTTTTTCCCAAATGGCAAGCAGGACGAGACTCTTCACTTATCATACGTTTATCGCTGTTGGTTGGTCCTCAAGAAAGACTCGTAGGGCTGAATTCGTGGCGAACATGTTCAACGATATACAGTCAAACCTCGGCTGCAACCAGAGATGCTTCAGTACTCAAGGCGTTTCAGAAGTTCGAAACACCAGCTTTTCGCCATGAACTCTGCGATTCCTCAAATCGTCCAGACCTTGTAGCACTCCATAAAAACCACCTTGGCCCACTCTTCCTTTGTGGCATCTCAATATATTCTTCTCTAACAGAGTCTCCGTCAATCCCGTGAATTTAACCGCCCACTGGAAATCTTCCTCGTTCGCCGGGTATTCCAGACTTCCCACTGTAAAATACTCGCCCCATGCCGTATACATATTGGACCCCACGCTTTCCACGTCTTCTCTGGGGCTGCGGTTTGCGAGGAAGCAAGCGTATCGACATCCACTCGAGTCCGAAGATAGTGCCTCAGCACACACTTTGGCTGACTCGGGGTTGCTGACAATATCCCATGCCAGTTTCAGCGTGTTTCCGGTAAAGGTGCGAATCGTACGTCCCACACAGGGATCTCTGTAGTCAAAGACCTTGTCTGCCCCAAGAGACTTAACGTAGTCAAAATGCTTTGGAGATGTAGCCGTAAGAACCGTGTATCCGGACCTACAATCACAATTTGTGAGATGAAATCAGACCGGCAGAGACCAATCTAATACTTACAACTTAGCAAACTGAATCCCAAGAGCTCCGGTAGCTGTAGCCCCGCCGTATATGAGAACGCTCGTACCGTTCGTGACTGGAACGTCTGGTAGACTCATTTTCAATCCCTTCTGGTACAACCCCTGCGTGACTGTTGCCACGCCGAGCGGCAAAGTAGCAGCTTGGTCGAAGTCAAGGCTACTGGGGATCTTGATGAGCATGTCGCCTTTGGCAACAATGTATTCTGCATAAGCACCGTCCTCGGGCTGGACAGCATTTCCTCCGTGAGCAACACCAGCTACGCGGTCACCAGGTTGAAGGGTTTTGGTAACGGCTTCGCCAACTCTAACAACCTCGCCAGCAAAGTCACATCCCAAAAGACATCCGTCATTAACCAGATTATTTTCCAAGTGCTTCCAGTCTGTCGGATTCAGCGCCACTGACACGGTCTTAATGAGGACAAAGTCATCACGAAGCTGAGGGACAGGTCTATCACCAACCAAAATCGCTCTCCCAGATTGTGCGACGACAGCCTTCATTGTTGTAATAGCGATTGAAACTAATTGCGCTACAAAGCACCATTTAAGCCTTCTTTCATCTTAGGCGAACCTTTGGAGAAGCCAATCGATGGGAGTGCATTGTGTTGATCTCGGCCAGGATACACAAGGGAAGTTTGTCTACGGATGACCAAGCATTTTTCTTGTTGATGGCTTTGCCTTCCAGCAAAAATGCGGCAGAGGTTGATATTTGGCGCTTAATGCCGGTCAATGTGACACCACACTAGGCATTTTGCGTCTCCTGGTCGTGACTGACAAGCTGCCCGGATCAACGTACAGGTGCCACAAGCTCCCATTCCAACAACAAAGTGCAATTCCAATAATCAATCTAGCTTAAAGTCCCTGAGCTGCAAGCATCTGGGATGACTTGAAGGTGCTCGAAATTCCAACAAATCAAAATGGGGAGCATATCGCAGTATACCATGGACGATCCGGTCGTCAAAACGGTTCATTGCAGTGGCCATCCGTTTGAGATTGGACTAGCCCATGGAGCCTCAGCTAGAGCGGAGATACGCAGCAACATTGCTACATATACCTACTTTTTCGGAGAGACGGCTAAGATTTCATGGCAAGAAGCAAAAGAGCGAGCTGTAACACGATTCCTTCCGACTGTCGAGAGGCAATGGCCAGAGATCGTGGAAGAAATGAGAGGCATAGCAGAAGGAGCTGGAGAAGGCGTGACTTTGGAGGACATCGTCACCTTGAACGTTCGCACTGAGATTGCATTCACCAACTACACTGATGGGTGCACTTCAATCAGTCAGCGAACCGAAGATGGGAAGATGTATCTGGCACAGAATTGGGACATGATCCCTGAGCTTCAAACTGGAATGGTCTTCCTTCACATCAAGCCTAATGGGTCACCCATCACCGTCAGATTCCTAGGTGAAGCTGGAATCGTGGGCAAGATCGGTATGAATAGCGCTGGATTTGGTTTATGTATGAATGCACTCCGGTCTGGTGCGCTCAACCCAAACAACATGCCAGTCCACATCATGTCGAGGCGTTTGCTACAATATGCAACCAGCTACGCCAGTGCTGTATCCATTATCGAGGAATTTGGGTTGGCAAGTTCTATAAACTATCAGCTGGGCGACAGCGAAGGCAACTTTGCGGATATCGAGTGCACCCCTCTTGGACTTTTCATGATATCTCCCCAGAATGGCTATGTTGCTCATGCCAATCACTTCTATGGACCAGGTCGACCCCCTAACCTGGTCGACCACCCAGCCAAAGATTCCCTCACCCGACTTGCACGAATGCAGGAGCTGACGGATCAAGACCAATCCAAAGGAGTCAATACAACCTTTGAGTCCTTGAGAGTCAGGCTTTCAGACGAGCAAGGAAGCCCACCGGCAATTTGCAGGAGTGTGCCACCTGGTGCTATGGGCATCGATAGGATAGTGACACTTGGTACCATTTTGATGGAGTTGACTTCTTGCACTGGCCAAGTCACCATTGGCAGACCTTGCGAGGATCTACCCATTGTTAAGTGGTCGTTTTGATGATTGCTTGTCTCCCACATCAGCATAACATATAATCTCTGAGACCATAAAACAACTTGAATCTTAAACAGGCGAATGCCGTCGTTGATCATCGTGAACATCATCCTCCGGTTTTCGCGTCCAGACCTGACATCTGGCTACAGCAATGCCCACTCGCCGGTCTGCTCATCTTACAAACAAAATACCGACAAAAATGTCGACTTTGTTAGGATGTTGAGGACCATTGGTATTCCAGCGGCCACAAGTGAAGTGGCATGACAAAGGTGAAAAAGGGGCATACTTCGCATCTAGCCTAGAGCCTCACTCGTTTTAAAGGCGAAACCCGAAGGCTTCTCTTGCCCCAAGCCGTGTTAACAATACAGAGATTAGCCTTACTTGGCTAGCCACTCTCCGCAAATGTCATCCGAAGGACGCCACCGGATTTCCCCTAGCCCTTCACCAATATCAAAGGGCGAACCCGTTCACAAAATCAACATCAGATGATCATAGTTGATGAATTCTTTAACTACGAGTTCTCAATCCAGAGGGCTTTTCTCAGTGCTCATGTGCTAATGCTTGGAGTCTGTTTTTAATCTTGTGAGTGTAGGAGATGACTTGATGCTTGACTGAGGCGGCACGTTGGTATGAATGTTGTCAAGCCCTCATCCCAACCGCCCCTGGCGATGTTTGAGTTGGTGGTCCACCCGAGAAGCCCAAATCAACATAAAGGAGGACACCTGATGGTTCGAAGGGATAACCCCATTAGATAGAGGCCTAAGGATACGGCACGACAACTTGATGGGCTACGTAGGTATCTGCTTTAGCACATCTACCGTCAAATCTACGCGAAAAGCATCACTGCAGTCACGTCGGCAACGATGGAGTTTGCCGTGAAGTTGCATGTTGAGGTTCCGCCAATGACGCGAATCCGAAACCACAGCTAATATGGCCACTTGGTACTTCGGGGCTATTGCCTAAGTCCTACAATATATGTGCTTACGATGGATGAGGCAGCAGAGGTCCCGATCATTCTGAACCATTTTGCCACGAGTATGGGATCAAAGAGGTCTGCAAGATGTTCAGCTAGGGCCTTCCATTGGACCAAGCTAAGAGATTTGAGAAAGCGCCACTTCGTTGGCTCGGCGAGGGAGGTTGCCTTCCTCTGCTTCATGGATTGGGATCAGTCGATCATTTGATAGAGCGCAAGGTAGAATCTACATCCTAGGAATCCATGTTGAAATGGTGTTGGATCACGTCCATTACCTGACAATTGAGTGGGGGTTTTCTTCGTCGGCCAAAGTCAACTCAGCTAGACACGGATAGCCGATAAGCCAGAGCGCCCTGAAGGAATCGCCCCCGTGAACCCTATGCCCCTCAGATAGCCAAGGAGGCCCCTCGGGCCATCAGTCAAGACTACTCCGTAGGTAAAGGTACTGGCGAACCTAACTAAAGTCAAATTATGTGCGCTGGTTTGAGTTGCTGCCACAAGTCTGACACTGTTCTCATTCCACTCAGACTTGATCATAAGGCCAGTGAATGCATGGTAATTCTAGATCACATTCCCAAGGTCTTGCACACCCTCAAATGCCCTAAACATATTGAATGACGACAGCTTGCCATGACCTCTGATAGACAATCAGCTCCTCGAAAACGCAGGCATAGTAAGGCCTGTACGCGCTGTCGCAAACGCAAGATTCGCGTAAGGACGTGACCCAGAGACTTAATAGTCATGCTCATCGATTTTTGCCTGTTGACCCTCTCTCTAGTGCGATTTCCAGTATCCAAAATGTGGCGCGTGTACTATTGCAGATGCAACATGCCTAGGCTATGATTCAGTTCATGGCGCCAATCAACCTCGAAGTGCTACATCTCATCTCGAACAAGAAGTCGCTCGTTTGGAGGCTGAACTAGAACGCATTAATCGTCAGTCGAAGACTCACGTCGATGTTGCAATCGAGGCAGTCGACAAGCTCTCCACAGACCTTGCAACCACCGTCGTCTTGCCTCAAGGCCTGACACGAAAGCAAGAAATCCAGCCTCCACTCACCTCATCATTCTTTCTATCCGGCTCGCCTCCGCCATATCTAATCGAGTGGTCTCATGAATATGGCATTTCCGACCATGAAGAGGACGGCTCCTCCTCTCAGATCAAACTCTCTTCGGTTCCAGATCATGTCGTCAATACAATGTTGAAGCATTACTGTGAGATATATCGTCCCCTGTATCCTGCGGTCGAAGAGACAGATCTATTCGAAGCATACGACAGGGTTTACAACAACAAGTCCCCGTCTCCTTTTGATATCTTCTGTGTCCATATCACTTTGGCCATTAGTGTTAGAACCTTTCCTCTGCTGTGTACTTGCGGATACTGATTCCCTCCCAGATGCAGACGTTGATGCACCGCGATGAGAAACGTGCGACATCAGCTTCATATGGATTTTGGTCGACCGCGGTTGGGATCCTTCGACAGGCCGGGATCACGGATCTCTGGGAGAGGCTGCAAGTCTTACAGCTGCTTACTCACTACGGTTTCCTAAATCCCAAGCATGTCGATTGTTCCAAGTGCGCTGCCGCTGCGACGAGGCTATGTTTACAGCTGGGGCTTCAGCATGAGATACCACTGTCTTTGCAGAAGAACCTTGATCCTGCTGCACTGAGTAGCAGAAGAAGGATCTTTTGGCATTCGTACAATATTGATTGGTAATCTCTCTTCTTCGAGCCGTCACTGTCCGATCTTCTGACAACTTGATCAGCGCAGTCCACACAGTTCGATGTCGACCATTCTTATGGCCTAGGTCAGCCTCGACGGCTCAGGTAAATCCAGGTTGCGTAGAAACTGGAAGGATGCTGACGAACTTAGTTCTCTGATACGGACTCACAATCGTCTACAAGTCGACAGTTTTGCCTGCTCAGGGAGATAGAGTCTGAGATTGCGTGGGCAATGTACTATCCCACGTTGGTTGTTGACGATCTACCCTGGAATGGCTCTTTTCGCCAATGGTTCACGGGAGTTCATGAACGCTTGAATATGTGGTACCAAACAACGCATCAGAGCATAAACCACGGCGAAAAAATCCAGTTTCACGAATTACTGTACCAATGTCAGATCATGAGACTCAATCGCCCGTCGCCACGGTGTCCCAATCCCACCCTTGAGATGCGGAAGAAAACCGTGCAATCAGCCACAGCCGTGCTCAAAGAGTTCGGCACGATAGAGAGAGTTGGGAAGCTCTTCAATATCTGGCATGCTTCTTACTTCATGATGGAATCGGGATGCTGCATACTTGGTATCATCCTAAGCGCCATGGAAACATCCCGAGATGGCGGTTCACGACTCGAGGAGGATGAGATGTCTATCTTGAGCAGATATCTACCGACCCTCCCTCATCTTCTCTGGAAACTGTCGCGACGTTGGCCTGATGTCGCACAACATGCGGCAGTTATGAACACCCTCTGCGAGACGAGCCTGGAGAGATTCGATTCATGGTCCAAAGGGAAAACCGTGGACAGAGCCGAAATTGCTCGTCTGAAGCACCAACTACTTCAAAACTCACGGTTCTCACCCCTTCCCGCGGATACCTCAGAGCCTGGGGATACCTCAGAGCCATTCTTATTCCCAGAAATGTATCCAACGTTTTTAGAGCCGGGTCTTCCAAATGATGCCCAACTCAATTTTGACCCTCTTGAGCTCGTGGTTCCAGCCGGGGATGGGGCATCAAACACCGCTTGGATCGATCCCCAGGTGATCACTATGCAGGATACTTCGAACATACCCGACATCTATGGCTTCCATAATGACGATGCTTTGATCTGGGACTTTGAAGGGCTTGATTCCGAGGAGATATTGGCTGCCCTGGCATGGTAGGCGATATTCTATGGTGTGGAGCGGAGGATGAGGTCGAAACGAACCTACATCTCGAAAATTTCGCACTTAGAGAAGACAGCCACTTCCACGGAGTGCTGTAGTCTAGCCGTTAGCAATAATAACGATACCCAGACACTGTCGTTACACCCGCAGTGATCTTGTTTGACACGTGACTACGTCAGAAAGAACACTCAAGATGTATGGCAGACCATGATGAAGCTTATGAGCAACATACGGCGGAGCGATAATGGTGCAAATGCGCCACCATGACATGACCCCTAATAGAGGATTCGGGGAAACCAACAAACCTCGTTTTCACATGCTAGCAGAAGTGTGAAGCGTATGGAAACTGTTGAACAGCGAGGCTGACGAACTATCAAGATATTGTATCGGGGTAGGCGCCATCAAGTGGCTAACTGACGGAAAGATCCTCAAGACGACTTTCAAGGATGACCTAGACTATGCCAACCAGTCTGCGGATCTAGATGTGACGAAAATTACCAAGGAAACGTCATTGGAGTACCTGAGCCAATGGAGAGGTGGATCACCGAAATACCTGTTTGCTCCGGCTCGTTGCTTGAGAAATGTGCTTCTAGTTGGTGATACTTGGTAGTGCTTCAACGTCATGACTCTTGGGTGTGTGGACGGATGTTGGTCCCAGTCAACTCCCAAAGCCACAGTGGCTAGTAAAGACCCACTGATGTGATTCGTCGGGCGATCTACCGAGCCACTTTGGCTGTGATGTCACATATATCATTTTTGTGCTTCAACACCAACAGTGCCAGATTCTCGCAGGCAGGTTCAACTGGCAGCCTAGCAAAAACGTCATACTGGTAAGTGATTACGACCATTGACGCAAGAATGCAGGTGAATATCATCGCTCATGCCAGGTGGAGGCAACCTGACGACGCGTAATGATTGGTGGGCATCGATGACCGCACCTTCTTCACTCATGGATGTCGTTTGCTGCAAGGCAAGAAGAGTAATGTCATGTGCCTGTTGTTCCTGCCTCAGACCAGTTCCTCTTGCTATAAGTACCCCTCTGTCCCATCTTTCTCTCGTTCGATCTTCCATCCAAACACCTTGATCTCGAATCTCAACAAACCTCTAAAACAATTTTCAAACCAAAACAAACCAGACCAGACCAAATCATCCACAATGGCTGACTCTCTCAAGAACGCTGCCAAGTAAGTCATTTCTTCCGATCATCGTGGCCTCCATGCAATCGGCCTCGCCGCCAGTGCCCTCACTCCTCCCAGTTTATTGCTCACCACTTGGATCATGCTAACATCCCTGGAACAGCTACGTCGGTGACAAGTTCAACGAGGCCACCGCAGGGGCTAGCAAGGAGGCCAACAAGAACGTCGCAAAAGACTCCAACGCATCTCTCGGTACGCGTGCTGAGGCCGCAAAGGATGCCGCAAGTGACAAGATCGACGAGTCCAAGAACTCCGTAAGTCTGAACATGGGGATATTCCAAAGCATCAAACTAACGATTACAGGCATCTGCCGAGGGCAACAAGCAAGCCGCCACCCACTAAGCCTGTCTCTCACCCATAGACACCCATCGACACACACCGAGTATGGAATCCATGGTTGTGATGGAGGTTTCTCACATTGGCTTCTAGCCCTGTATTTCCTATGACCAATCATGAGCACGAATTGCAGCCTCTCTAGGTAGCTGAAATCAATATTCATTGAGAACAAACACATTCGACTTTTCTGTGCTTGGTGAAAATACTCTTCTTCCCCTTACACATCTGGTGTCCCTATCATGAAACTTGAGTGCAGCGTAGGGTTTTCGGAAATGGTTCTGGCGGATCAGCTAAACTCTGAGTGAAGCCAGAGTCGGAGGGCTTTTGAACAAAGCGATTTGCGTCCACACCTCATACCAATAACAGAGTAGTCTCAGCTTGTGTGAACAAGTGGACGTGTAGGGCACACAAAATCAGGCGCGCCCAGGTCCAGCGGCCCTGTCTTTGGGGTGACAGTCTTTTGGGTGACAGTCTTTTGGGTGACAGTCTTTTGGGTGACAGTCTTTTGGGTGACA